AAATGATAAGTGTCACTCAACATGTTCAAAATCAAAGTGGCTTATGTAAAAAACCACAAACTCTGTGATCTTAATGTTAAATCCTACAGATGCTATAATCTGTTTTTACTTGTGGGATGATCATACTTCATAGCATATACAACATGTTATGAGCTGTCACATTCGTGGAACAAGGAAACAGGAAAACTTAATTCATTCCCATATACCAGGAAGACGGGAATGGCTTAAGATGAATCAATGAAGTTATCTTACAGACTCAATAACCAAAGCATACAAATTTGGGTGATATGTTACAACCATCACATTGGTTGGTTACCTGTACCCTGTTACTCACATACACTGACATCATAGGAAACCTCAAGATCCTGGGTCATTAGGATCTTTCATTACTTGAACAGAGGAACATCTGTCTGGATGGGATGAACAATATGGTCAATATGACCTGCATCCGGGTAGTAGGTGCATTTAACCAAATATGTATCTGTATTAGATTCCACACTAACATATCTATTGACAAACCAACCATCTTCGCAACTGAAGGTTGTCACTTTATTTTCAGATATTTTGAAAAACATCAAAGTCAGTCATCCATGATCGCTATTTAGTTTACATTTTGATGGTTATCTGAACAACTTATAAATCATCGTTGTCAGGAACAACACAACATTCACATGATTTATGCCAAAACCATCTCAGTCTGGAGAAGTTGGGAAGGTTGAGCAAAGAAGCTAAAATTCAGACAACCAGGAATGTTAGGTTCTACAGGGATTTATCCCGAATCCTGTATTTGAGGGTACCTGGGACTCATACTCTCAGTTTTCAGGGGTCCTGGACTACTCTTAAATATTATTATTAATACTATGTTGCAATACTGTTGTAATTCAGTTACTGTTATTGTATTGTGCATCATGATCATCACAATGTTACAGTAATTAAATTGCAAATGATACTACAACCCGGCTAGTAGCAAACTCACTGATAACTTATTGTTACTTTATCAAAATTTTTACAAAAAGTATTTCGACTTTTTCTGCGTTCCTCTGGATGCGCTAATAAATTTAGTTGCGTTCGTTGTCAATTTTTATGCGAATAGGACGCAGGAATACTATATTGGAGGTGTTGGATACTGAGTTCAGGATTCCCAAGTTTTCAAAAGCATGACCATGATGAACATTATACATTGTCATGGACTTCAAACCCCCCTCCCCACCCCACTGTATACAGGTGACTATTCCAGGCATGACTATATATATATAGTCATCTTGGTCACTCAATTATCAAATGTCTCACAATTTAATTTTCTATCGACATGATCATATTCTCTAAATGAATAAGATAACAATATTCAGCAGGGCGATAAACATTTTTTATTTTATTAAAGGATTTCCTCACAGTCACAGATTCACATAAACAATGTGACATAGTGACTATTCTACAATTAAATGTCTGCATTTGAGTTGTCTGTGACATTGCTTACCATGCCTACCAGTCTGGGGTTTAAACAAATCAGGTGTCTGTGTTCTAGTGGATTGATTAGTGTGGATTGATTAGTGTGGATTGATTAGTGTGGATTCAAAGGCAGATACAAAACCAGTACATGTACAACTAGTGAGTGAGTGTAGTTTTATGCCGCTCTCAGCAATATTCCAGCTATATGGCAGCGGTCTGTAAATAATAGAGTCTGGACCAGACAATCCAGTGATCCGATGACATGTGTCAACCAAGTCAGAGAGCCTAACCACCTGATCCCGTTAGTCGCCTCTTATGACAAGCATGGGTTCCCAGCTAACATCACATAACTGGTCCAGTACTGGCATCCTTCTGTCTTGTACCGTTGGTACTGGCATAATTTACGACAGTATAGAGCCAGAACTGGACAAATGCTTGTTTTCCGTTAGTGGTCCGTTCCAGGCAAAACTGTACTTGGCCACATACTGGGTGGTTACCGAAATACTGCACCGCAATACTGTACCGGCCCAGTACTGGCAGTACATTTCCTGTCTAGTGAACTGTGGGAGATTATCTCAGGACCATGTCATCTGCTCAAGAGAGGTGGCCAAAGGTAGGCTGTGACGTTTTCGACATTTCTGAATGTAAACTGACTTAATGTGACACTAAAACGTAACGGTATTTGTTGTGAATCACTTATAGGGACTACTTTTTCAAGTAAGCTTAAACTTCTTTGAACAAGATCATCCAGAACAAAATAGAATGGGTTATTCACATACGTTGGGAATTCGTGACAAAAATACTGAACTACATGACAAGATGCATGATGACACAACAGAAATATCTGAATCTGTTAGTGTCCCCTGTGGTTATGCTATATGTATGACAGCGATGATTATTACTATGATGATCCTAACATGCTGTTGTACTTGACGATGATGAGGACAATGATAATGTGAGAATGAAGATGAGGATGAGTTAGTTGATGGATGTGATGGTAAATTACTCCATTTTTCTGGACAGGAACGGGCGACGTAAAAGACGCGAGAAATCAGGACGCAGTACACAGGAGGAACCTGAATTCGAGGCCGAGAATTAATGACAGAATAATGCATCATGTTTTCATCTTGTTTCATGAATTAAACTCATATGGATAAACTTGTGTTTTCTTCCATTTATAGAGTTTGTTTTCATATCAGCTTGTTTTAAATAGTAGAAACTGTATTAAACTTAACCGGACCAGTGCCGGCCAAACTGTAAAGGGCCAATTTGCAACCATTACGGCTGTGTACCGGGTCATACTTCTTTACCTGTACCGATCCAGTTCAATGCCAATGTGCAAAATAGTACAGGCCCAGTTCCAGGATGCCTTACATGGGCCTGATTTTCTGACTTTACTGGGCCAGTATTGGCCTAATTATGTGATGTTAGCTGGGTTACTGAAGATCAATATGCTAACCCGGACCTTCACGGGTAACATGTACAAGTAAAACTACAACAAATTACCACAGGGATCCCCAGTATACAATGGCTGCTGAATATGCTAGTTTGATGCTTCATGATGACTGATTGTTAACAAATCGAGACTGGACCAGACAATCCATTGATTGATAATATGACCAACATTCTATGCCCTTGTGGTAAATTAATACACCATCCAACACGTCATTGAGACAGTACTGGCTCCATCTGATTGACTCTTTGTACCAGCATTTGTTGCAACCCTGAAATCCCAGTACACAGAGACTGAAAGAGTGACTGGAATGTGTTTTCACTCTTAAAATGTCGGCTCCATATCTTAGATACAATAGTCCAAGCTGTTTCCATGGCAACAGAATGCATGAAGAACATATGAAATTAAAACAAGAAAAAATAGTGTCCAGGGACACGGATGCCCCCGCTGCTGTAGGAAGAGTTCACACATTCAGGGTCCCACTGAAGCACTTCAAAACACTAAAAACAATGTGTTGAGGGGTTACATAACACAACCTATTATCATATAAAGATCAATAATTGAACAAAATTCACGAACAAGTTCAATAAACATCTATGCAACTATGAGATGCACACCTTTCGAGTCCCAATGAAACACACATATAAGCTTAATCAATTCTGTTGAGCAGTTTTTGTGGAGAAGTGGATAGACCTAATCCCCTATTTCACTATCATCAGAGAGAAATTCAACAAAATTTATCTAAGTTCAAATGTCTCTAAACATACAAAAAAAATATAAAATACAAAAACAAAATATGAGATGCACACCTTTAGAGTCTCTATAAAAGACATATGTAAGCTAAATGAGTTTTGTGCAGTGGTTTTGAGGAGAAGTGGATAAAGTACACTCCCTGTTGTATGGGACGAACAGGATGAATAGAACCAAATTCAACTAAGTTCAAACATCTGTAAAAGTGACAAAATTAAGAAATTGGATAAACAAGGTATGAGATCCACACCTTTAGAGTTCTAATGAAACACACGTAGAAGCTCAATCAATTCTGTTCAGCAGCTTTTGTGGAGAAGTGGATAGACTTCACCCCCTACAACACTATATTCAGAGAGAAATTCAACAAAATTTATCTAAGTTCAAACAGCATTAAAATTGGAAAAATAAATAAAATACAAAATCAAAATATGAGATGCACGCCTTTAGAGTCCCTATAAAGCACATGTGTAATCTAAATGAATTCCATAAAGTAGTTTTTGAGAAGAAGTGGATAACGTAACCCCCTGTTGGATGGAACGAACACTGGCTGAATAGAACAAAATTCAACTAAGTTCAAACATCTGTAAAAGTGACAAAATTAAGAAACTGCATAAAAAAATTATGAAATGCACACCTTTAGAGTCCCTACAAAAGACATGTAGAAGTTTATTCAATTCTGTTGAGCAGTTTTTGTGGAGAAGTGGATAGACTTCATCCCCTATTACACTATCATCATAGAGAAATTCAGCAAAATGTACCTAAGTTCAAATGTCTTTAAACTTACAAAATAACCCAATAAAATAAAAAAACAAAATATGAGATGCACACCATTAGAGTCCCAAGAAGCCCATGTATAAGTTCATTTAATTCCACAGAGCGGTTATGGTGGAGAAGTGGATAGAATACATTCCCTGTTTCGTACGGACGGACGGACACCGAGGGTAACCCTATATGCCACTGCCATATATGGCGGGGGCATAAAAATATAAAAAGGTAGTAGTTAAGCATGTGGTTATTGCACATGAATAGTTTCGTGCAAAAATATTTCTTGGTTAGAAAATGATGTCCATACTGTTTTGGAAAGACTTCTGCCCGTATTCCCCACTTAAATTTCATTCTAGTCAAATCATATCACCTGAATATATATTCCATGACTGATAAGGATGAGTTTTAACATGTTTCTTTAATTGTATCTGAATATACTGAAAGACATATCCAACTTCTAAAAATGCCACTCAAAGAAATATTTCCTCATCGATACGAGGGGGATACGAGCAGAAGTCTTACCAGCCTTAATATTCTGTCTTATAATTAGTACATACGTATATATATATTTAACTATAATTACCTCCAGATGTGCAGCATCGACGCCAGCTTCAAATCTGTCCCACATCCCTCGGCAGGATTTGTCCTTCAGGAGAACAAGCACTAAGTTCATCTCCGAAAGGTCAGTGGTGCAATGGTCACTAGCCAGTTTGCACGAAGGGTCAAACTTCAAATATGTGGAATAGTACATAGGAAAACAGCCTGAGCCAATGGAAACAAAACTGATCCTAATGCTGTTGGAGTCTGGGAAGGAATTTGTCACTGTCTCTGATGAAATATTTCTGACGTTGAATATAAACGAGATAGTTTCATGGTCTTGATTGTATGTGTAATCTGGAAGTGAGAATGCTGCAGACTGAGGTGGCGAATTGACAGGTTTTTCAGAAGTGTGATTTGATTCCTGCAAATCCTGTACAGCCGTTTCATCTGGTTTGTCTGCCTGAGTTTCAAGAGAGGACAAGACTTCAATTTTAGGACTTTCAGATATTTCATTTTCGCTGGTGTCATGTGCATCCCCATTTATGCGCTTCTCATCTTCAATAAAAGATGGCAGCTTTGGAGTTTCCAAAGGGACGACAGGAAGTGTTATTGTCAAGCATTTCTTCGTCTTGTCAAACTTGGCAGATCCTTCATCTTCAACAACATTATAGGGAAGTTTGATGTCTAGTTTATAGGCTGCTGGTGTTTGAGATTCCACCTTCAATCTCTGCTCAAAGACATCAAGGTCAACATTTCCAGCTGACGTCAGAAGTGGCAGGAACACTTTTACCACTAAATCTTTAGGGCGAGTTGAAGTCCGAGCATCAGGAGCATTGCGGTACTCTTGAAGGTCCAAGTCAGATCTGTGGGTTATTGTGTACTCTGGCACAGTGGCTTTGGACTCTTTTATTGCTTTAGATTTCTTTGTTTTGGCTTCCTTTTTCTTTTTCTCTTCTTCTCGTTTAGCAATCTCAGCATCTCTTTCTTTCATTTTCTCTGCTGTTGTTTTGTCATCATATGGATATGGCATATTTTTGAGAATGTCAGCTGCTTCACTGGTGCCACTGCTCTTTTCCTGGCCATTTGCTTGTTTCGTTCTAATTACTGAAGCCTGGGGAATGCCTTTGAAATCCATTTTGGTTCTCTTGATATTCTGTCTGTCAAGTTTCACATCAAACTGCTTTTCAATGGCATCAATAGCTGTATCGTGCACCAGTTTAAGAAACCGATCGTTGGTCTCCGACATTCTATAGGTGTCAGGATGAAAAACAGCATCGAAAACTTGACATTTTTCGCCTTTATCTTGGTCGTCACGAAGAGGGGACAGTGAGTGAGGGATCTGCCACATTACACCACTCTTACCATTCGGACCCATCTGTCGCGTGTTTGTTGGCTTTGCAAGTTTATCATTATGACAAATATTAATGAAAGCTTTGGTCGTACCATTCACGCTTGTTTCCAAAACATGACCCGGTTTCGGATGGATAAACTCCACATTCATCCCTCGCTCATTTTCCATTTGAGATATTTCTTGCTCGTAGAGACGCCTGTTTTCTGGATCAGATATCTCTTGGGCATATTCAAGAAATAGTTTTCGAAAGTTTTCATCTTTCAAAGCGTCACCTATTCGTTTCAATTCGTCTTGCGTTACATTCAAATCTTCCAGTTTCTTCGACGCCATGTTGCACCGGTGTGCTGTGGGCATGCGTCCTATAAACAAACTACAAAGGGAAGCAACTCCAACCGCACTACGCGTATACACGCACCCACACGTTCAGTGTTGTTATGGTGATTATATACACACAGCTAGATTACCTTTTACCCTACGAGTAGATTGAGGTCAGAAAGGCACAATTATCCCTGTTTCAATGAAAGGATTGGTTACCGTCGCATCACAAAGAACATTAACATATTTCAAGCTTCCGTTTTCACAATTTTACAGAAAGATTTAGATCTACAGTAGAGTGTGAATGGGTTTTTTTTCCCAGTGAGCGACATTTGAACTGAACCGCAAACGTGTCAAATTAAATCCATTTTTTATATTTGTTTGTTATTTAACGTCACAATCATCATTATTCCAGCTTAATTCAGGCGGTCTGCAAATAATCAAGTCTGGACCAGACAATCCAATGAGTATCTACGCAACTGGGATATGACATTCAAATTAATTCAAAGCTCAACGCATGGTAGATTGCATGGAGAGCCTCAATGGCACAAGATGCAAAATGACACACATGGTGACCACCTGATCCTCATTAGTAAAGTACATATTGTTTAACTTATTCTGACAGAAGCCCCATTGTTGAAAGATGCTGGTAAGGGCATGTGGATACTATTTGATGATATAAATCTAAAGATACTAATAAAGTTTGAATTTGAAGGATGATGGGAAGAGTATTCTCGTTTTGGAAAGCTTCCTCACAAACATGAATTATGGTGACCTGTGTCAAATGATCTGAAGTGCAGCAGTCTGCTATGCAGTTATTGCCCTTAGTTGAGTCAGGATCCGGTGGTCAAGGGTTAGAGTTCTGAGATTTGGTTTGCTCCACAAGTCAACTGACAACTGAAATACTGACAAAATCAATAACTGAAAATGAAATATCAGAAAAACGAGAGCTGGGTTGAAATTTTTATTTACTAAAATAAAACAATTAAATCTCACAATATTTTTATAAAACAAAACAATTAAATCTACTGTTATAATACACAAACACATATGAGTATGAAATTGTTTTGTGTATGAGGTATAAAATTGGGGTACAAAAGTTACTCTAAGGTTTTTGTGGTTTAATAACATGACTGCATCTGTCAATTGGAAATCCACATATCAATGATACAAATATGGCATCTAAGTCATAACCGTGAATAAGAAACAGTTAAAGCAATATTTTAACAGCAAAATAACAAACAAAATATTTGCGACTGTGTAGTGCAAAGCACACATACATTCAGTCCACAGTGCTACCAAGTGTGTCGCAGAACATCCTAGTTATGGCCAGTGCAAAAAACAAAGTGTGAAGGATGTACACGGAGAAATGATATTTCAACACACAGAACAAATGATCAATATTCATGATAATAAACTCAAAAATGAATATCAAAACAATCAAAAAATCAATAAATCTGAAACATCACCAAAAGTGACTTAAAAAAGACACAAAACAATGTTCAGTTATGGAGACTAGAAACTGTTTCATCAAAATTAACAATGTTAATCAGCCATAGAGCACGTCCATGATATACATACATATCCCTCAGCTTCCCCACTTGGCTCCGCAACAATAACTTGCATATCTTATGGGGACATTTGCCATTTAATGATGTCAAATACCTCTAAAATTTATTCAATGATTATATTTGGCAGAAAACTGATAAAATTCTCCCATATTCTCCAAACTCACATTTACTTACTGCTTTATTTCAAAACAAGGAAATTATCTTTTGCAACAAAAATATAAACGTCCATACTTCATTGTGTATTGGAAGACATGCAGGAAACAGTTTACAGAATTTAGCAAAAACCAAAAAAATCTTAAGATACAGTTAGTTACTAATTAATATAGTCAGTCATTCAATACATATTTACAGACAAATTTCCTAATTCCAGTCAACTAAATAAACTCCTATGACATAAACATTACAAATGTTGTGAGATTGTGCCACTTCTCCATACTCATAGTTTTCCTGGTCCACAGTTGCTGTCGTTAGTAATGGATTGTAGTCTGGTATAATGGTTTGTACTGCCTTAGGTTGAAGTGAGTGAGTTCAGTTTTACGCCGCACTCGGCAATGTTCCACCTATATGACGGCAGTCTGTAAATAATTAAGTCTGGACCAGACAAACCAGTGATCAACAGTATGAGCATCGATTTCCACAGTTGGGATACGATGACATGTGTCAACCAAGTCAGCGAGCCTGACCCCGTTAGTGGCCTCTTATGACAAGTATAGATAAATGAAGATCAATTCTAACCGGATCTTCACAGGTGCCTCAGGTTAAAACATCTACAATTTGTTAAATATCTCTTCTGATCTAAGTGTCTAGTAAATGTTTTCTAAAGCTCAAAATATTAAAAAATACATTCCAAATCGTGAAATAAAGTTGCTATTTCATAAGGCACAAATATAATAACATCAACAATCCTATCGTAATATCTCTAAAAAGTAGAAATAACTATCTACATTGCGAATAAAAAATATGTATTCAATAATTAAAATTAATGTTGATTTGTCCTAAAGCACTTGGGAGTAAGAACAATGTTACAATTTATGACACATCGAATGGTTAGGACGGATGTGTAAACATTCCTTCAGACAACATGGAATGTTTGACAGACGTTCACATCGACAACAATATTTCGCCTAACAAAGACAACAGACTCTACTTGTATTCTGCCATAAGTACAAGAAATAAATATTAATGCAAGTGCACATATTTAATTCGGGGAACATTTCATTGGAAAAGACAACTAAAAAACATTCATACTGAACATACCAAAGGAACTATCATGTACTGTAGAAAAATACAATCCATAATTAAAGCAAAAAGGAATCTGTGTAAATTTTTTAATTTATTTTATAACTTTTGGCCTGATTTGCTTAAGCACGAATCACTCTGGTTGGCACGTCGTAACGACCTGCGATTTCCATATATTGCACAACATGTTTGATGATTGTAACCAATATAGACTGATCGATTTGCTACCTCTCACACTACTAGTATTTGATCTGCCGATATTAGGGTCGATCTCATAATATCTCGCGGTATTTGTTTCCATAGTATCAAAATGTCTGAAGCAGACTTAGCAGCAGTTATCTGCTGTGCGAGACTATGTGAAGGAGGCGGCAATGTCAAAGCGAAGAAATTGAGAAGTTGTTGGACGAAAGATTGGATTCTCCGTCCCGACATGCACAGTGCATACAACCATCTCATGCAAGAACTTGAAATTGAAGATGAACAGTTGTGAAAAATCGAGGCTTGGTCTCTTTGAAGCCGATAAAGCCATGTTTCGCACCTGTCTATACATATTTACATGACACCAAAACGCAATTTGACTGGCCACGCCACATCCAACTTGCCGAGTAACTAAAACAAGCTCTACACACTCACGGCACAATCGATGTGGGTCCAGCGGACAATTTGGACCATTTGTTGAATTTGATTAATCATCCAGACGATACGACTCAGTTGAATTCGGCATATCGATGCGACGGGCCGACCTGTGTGGGTCTGCCTTTACAGATTTCAACTCCCAAGACAAAACAAGCTGTAATTATTTCTCTCATCTGCATTCACAACATCATTCAGTCAAGGAAAATGTGACACATGTTGTCTGACAATGATGATTTATCTCCACACAAGTCCACCCTGCCTCATTTGCTGCTGTCTGCGGCCTGTGTCAGGAACACTGTTGATGGTGGCTCCTTCTGCTGGACAGCTTTCTCCTCATCAGAGTCGTCTCCCATTGTTATACGACTGCTGACGTCCTCCAACTCCTCCAGTTGACGTTTCATGTTCTGGAAAGAGGTTCATACATTTCATGTTCTATAAAGAAGTCCATATGTTTCATGTTCTACAAAGAAGTTCATACGTTTCATGTTGATATGAAAGAAGTTCAAACAGGGTTATGAACTTTCCAAGTGCAAATGTCTAGTTTTATGAAAGCAACAAATTGGAGGACTCAATCTGTTAAAACCTTTATTTCAACAGTATTTTTAGATACCTTATATTACCCTAAAAGCAACCTCCACTAAACTTACCTTCCTTGCAAAATGAAGAAACTAAAGCTCAGATATAACAGCCCTTGTAGGTCTTCCAGGTAGGTCTGTGTTTGTGTAGGGCTATGTCAACCTACCTGTAGGTCTTCCAGGTAGGTCTGTGTATGTGTAGGGCTATGTCAACCTACCTGTAGGTCTTCCAGGTAGGTCTGTGTTTGTGTAGGGCTATGTCAACCTACCTGTAGGTCTTCCAGGTAGGTCTGTGTTTGTGTAGGGCCATGTCAACCTACCTGTAGGTCTTCCAGGTAGGTCTGTGTTTGTGTAGGGCTATGTCAACCTACCTGTAGGTCTTCCAGGTAGGTCTGTGTTTGTGTAGGGCTATGTCAACCTACCTGTAGGTCTTCCAGGTAGGTCTGTGTTTGTGTAGGGCTATGTCAACCTACCTGTAGGTCTTCCAGGTAGGTCTGTGTGTGTGGGCTATGTCAACCTACCTGTAGGTCTTCCAGGTAGGTCTGTGTATGTGTAGGGCCATGTCAACCTACCTGTAGGTCTTCCAGGTAGGTCTGTGTTTGTGTAGGGCCATGTCAACCTACCTGTAGGTCTTCCAGGTAGGTCTGTGTTTGTGTGAGGCTATGTCAACCTACCTGTAGGTCTTCCAGGTAGGTCTGTGTTTTGTCAATGTGTAGGGCTATGTCCAACCTACCTGTAGGTCTTCCAGGTAGGTCTGTGTATGTGTAGGGCCATGTCAACCTACCTGTAGGTCTTCCAGGTAGGTCTGTGTATGTGTAGGGCTATGTCAACCTACCTGTAGGTCTTCCAGGTAGGTCTGTGTTTGTGTAGGGCTATGTCAACCAGTCTTCCAGGTAGGTCTGTGTTTGTGTAGGGCTATGTCAACCTACCTGTAGGTCTTCCAGGTAGGTCTGTGTATGTGTAGGGCTATGTCAACCTACCTGTAGGTAGGGTCTCCAACCTACCTGTAGGTCTCCAGGTGTATATGTATGTGTAGGGCTATGTCAACCTACCTGTAGGTCTTCCAGGTAGGTCTGTGTATGTGTAGGGCTATGTCAACCTACCTGTAGGTCTTCCAGGTAGGTCTGTGTTTGTGTAGGGCCATGTCAACCTACCTGTAGGTCTTCCAGGTAGGTCTGTGTTTATGTGTAGGGCTATGTCAACCTACCTGTAGGTCTTCCAGGTAGGTCTGTGTATGTGTAGGGCTATGTCAACCTACCTGTAGGTCTTCCAGGTAGGTCTATGTATGTGTAGGGCTATGTCAACCTACCTGTAGGTCTTCCAGGTAGGTCTATGTTTGTGTAGGGCCATGTCAACCTACCTGTAGGTCTTCCAGGTAGGTAGTATGTGTGGGCTATGCTACCTGTCCAGGTAGGTCATATGTATGTGTAGGGCTATGTCAACCTACCTGTAGGTCTTCCAGGTAGGTCTATGTATGTGTAGGGCTATGTCAACCTACCTGTAGGTCTTCCAGGTAGGTATATGTATGTGTAGGGCCATGTCAACCTACCTGTAGGTCTTCCAGGTAGGTCTATATGTATGTGTAGGGCTATGTCAACCTACCTGTAGGTCTTCCAGGTAGGTCTGTGTATGTGTAGGGCTATGTCAACCTACCTGTAGGTCTTCCAGGTAGGTCTGTGTATGTGTAGGGCTATGTCAACCTACCTGTAGGTCTTCCAGGTACGTATATGTATGTGTGGGGCTATGTCAACCTACCTGTGGGTCTTCCAGCATGCATATATGTATGTGTAGGGCTATGTCAACCTACCTGTAGGTCTTCCAGGTAGGTATATGTATGTGTAGGGCTATGTCAACCTACCTGTAGGTCTTCCAGGTAGGTATATGTATGTGTAGGGCTATGTCAACCTACCTGTAGGTCTTCCAGGTACGTATATGTATGTGTAGGGCTATGTCAACCTACCTGTAGGTCTTCCAGGTAGGCAGTATATGTATGTGTAGGGCTATGTCCAACCTACCTGTAGGTCTTCCAGGTAGGTATATGTATGTGTAGGGCTATGTCAACCTACCTGTAGGTCTTCCAGGTACGTATATGTATGTGTAGGGCTATGTCAACCTACCTGTAGGTCTTCCAGGTAGGTCTGTGCTTGTGTAGGGCCATGTCAACCTACCTGTAGGTCTTCCAGGTAGGTCTATGTATGTGTAGGGCTATGTCAACCTACCTGTAGGTCTTCCAGGTACGTATATGTATGTGTAGGGCTATGTCAACCTACCTGTAGGTCTTCCAGGTAGGTCTGTGTTTGTGTAGGGCCATGTCAACCTACCTGTAGGTTTTCCAGGTAGATCTGTGTTGAATATGACCATGTCAACCTACCTGTAGGTCTTCCAGGTATGTCTGTGTTCTATGGTTCATGTCCTTCAGTTTTTCCCTCATGTCCTTCACCTTTACCTGAAACAGCAAAAGCCTTTGTCACTTTTACCAAGGATCTAGATTCTTGTCCTGTCAGACAACCTGACAATCACATCAATGCAGATCAACCATGTCCCTGCCCAGTTTATCCACTAGGAATATCAATTATAAATACTCACACAATTCTGACAAAACATCTACAGGTTAACTGCTATTGGCATGTTGCATGCATGTATGTTCCATGCATTATTTGACAATTCACAGATGACTGTTCCTAAAAACTCACCTTTGCCATCACCTTCTTCTGTGCAATGGCCTGAGCGTCTTCCTCACTCGGCTCCATGTTCTCCAGACTCACTGGAACAGAACCAACCCGTTACCGTAGCACTGCTTGTCCAGTGGGATATCACCAGTTGGTCACATGGTATGTGTGTTTGTTCGTTAAATTTCAATTTTTATCATTTATTCATTTGGGTCATGAAACATTTCGCACTGAATTCTTTACACAACAATATGGGAAAAAGATTACAGACAGTTCATTATTCAAATTAAAAAATTGTCAAGTTTTCTTTAGTATGCAAGCACTCATGTATGTCTCCACATGTGCCACTCTCGAAGTATCTCATATTCCTCACCCCTGTGGCCTAAACAAAACACAGATGGGGCATTAATACAGGATATAAAGAGCAAGGCAGCATCAAACAATCAGGATGAAGGTTGGCAGCATGAAACAATCAGGATAAAGGTTGGCAGCATCAAACAATTAGGATAAAGGTTGGCAGCATTAAACAATCAGGATAAAGGTTGGCAGCATTAAACAATCAGGATGAAGGTTGGCAGCATTAAACAATCAGGATGAAGGTTGGCAGCATGAAACAATCAGGATAAAGGTTGGCAGCAGAAACAATCAGGATAAAGGTTGGCAGCATTAAACAATCAGGATGAAGGTTGGCAGCATTAAACAATCAGGATGAAGGTTGGCAGCATGAAACAATCAGGATGAAGGTTGGCAGCATGAAACAATCAGGATAAAGGTTGGCAGCATGAAACAATCAGGATAAAGGTTGGCAGCATGAAACAATCAGGATAAAGGTTGGCAGCATGAAACAATCAGCATAAAGGTTGGCAGCATGAAACAATCAGGATGAAGGTTGGCAGCATGAAACAATCAGGATGAAGGTTGGCAGCATGAAACAATCAGGATGAAGGTTGGCAGCATCAAACAATCAGGATGAAGGTTGGCAGCATGAAACAATCAGGATAAAGGTTGGCAGCATGAAACAATCAGGATGAAGGTTGGCAGCATGAAACAATCAGGATAAAGGTTGGCAGCATGAAACAATCAGGATGAAGGTTGGCAGCATGAAACAATCAGGATAAAGGTTGGCAGCATGAAACAATCAGGATGAAGGTTGGCAGCATTAAACAATCAGGATGAAGGTTGGCAGCATCAAACAATCAGGATGAAGGTTGGCAGCATGAAACAATCAGGATAAAGGTTGGCAGCATGAAACAATCAGGATAAAGGTTGGCAGCATTGAAACAATCAGGATGAAGGTTGGCAGCATGAAACAATCAGGATAAAGGTTGGCAGCATGAAACAATCAGGATAAAGGTTGGCAGCATCAAACAATCAGGATGAAGGTTGGCAGCATCAAACAATCAGGATGAAGGTTGGCAGCATGAAACAATCAGGATAAAGGTTGGCAGCATGAAACAATCAGGATAAAGGTTGGCAGCATGAAACAATCAGGATGAAGGTTGGCAGCATCAAACAATCAGGATGAAGGTTGGCAGCATTAAACAATCAGGATGAAGGTTGGCAGCATGAAACAATCAGGATAAAGGTTGGCAGCATGAAACAATCAGGATGAAGGTTGGCAGCATCAAACAATCAGGATGAAGGTTGGCAGCATGAAACAATCAGGATGAAGGTTGGCAGGAAACAATGATAAAGGTTGGCAGCATGAAACAATCAGGATAAAGGTTGGCAGCATCAAACAATCAGGATGAAGGTTGGCAGCATGAAACAATCAGGATGAAGGTTGGCAGCATGAAACAATCAGGATAAAGGTTGGCAGCATGAAACAATCAGGATAAAGGTTGGCAGCATCAAACAATCAGGATAAAGATTATGCGACTGACCTGGATCAATGTTACTGGACACAAGCTTCCTCTCATACTTGGATCTGAGAAACAAGAAAAGGATCTTCAGGAAGTGAATGGCAAGGATTTTAGCATTGATATCAACTCACGTTAGGTTCGCTGTCAGAAAAGCCCAAAGTGTATAGGTCTCAGAAGCAAGCAACCATTTTCGTAATTGTTTTGGATGGGTTCAACAAACAGATATAACCCTGAACGAATTTACCTCAGTAAAGCTACCAGTAGACAAGGAGGGTCTGTTGAAATATGCAGACATGCATTTGTGAAAGATAGGTGAGTTTGAAGATTGGCAGTTTTATGTAAGTGCAATTGTAAATGTACGTAACATAGAGTACAGGATAAAATAACTCATTTTCAACAAAATATTATGCATTTCCTAATTCCTCTTCAACGGTACTGTCAAACCACAGATAAATCTGTGCTGATAATCTCACCCGTCACCACTACAAGAATGTGGACTGTTCCACACATTCATATTAGGGTCATCACCAGAAGTGAATATTTAACACAGTAACCAGTAACAAAGGGAGAAAACTCAATACATACAACTGTTCTTCCAAATCTTCATTTTTCTTTGACACTTCACCAAAGAGAGCTAAATACAAACAAAAAACAATGAATATGCAAACTTCATTACAAAATCTGAATCATTACTTTATTACAATTTTCTGAAGCTTATATCAATTCCAGCCAATGATCACTTATTGCCATACCTGCATGAGCTTTTTCCTTTTTGTCCAGTAAATCTTTCATGTTAGCAAGATGTTGCTGAAAAAGATATAAAAAAGACAAGGTTTCAAAGATGGAGGTCTTAACATTAAACTGCCTTCTGCAGTGTTTTTAACAGATTCTAAACCGGCCGTCCTGTGTACATCCAAAACAGATGTAGTGTTTCCATTGTCTAATGTACACCAGATATTGATTGGCAAGATGTAACCAAGATCGGTAAATTTGAGGGTTGACTGTCCTTATTTCCATTAGAAAATCTGTATCATATCACAGACTGTTATGACAGTCTTCATGGTCTTATTGAAAAAACAGTCAAAGTCATAGATCTTTCATCAGCAATGAAGTGACTGGTGAATTTTAATTGGTATTTTTATCTTCTACCTTAGGACCAGCAGATAAACATGCCACTGCTATCAATAACATGCTTTATATATAAATTGCAAGTCCAGTGGGAACAAAAAGTATGGCTATTTCAATTCTTGTAATATATCCATTTAAAGTTCATAATGTCAAAATTCTAACATTGAAATCCCTGTCAATAATATGACTGTAACAATCTCATTATATTAGATTTAAATTGTCTCCAATGTGTAGTGGTAACAAGACATAACATCTTGATTTAATGAGACTGGGATTCTGAATATGTGTAATTATTTGACATCAATAATCTGTAATTTTTAGACAAAAGGTAACCAAGACACATAAATAAAACCCCAAAAGGTATTACTGAGTCACCTGAAACCGAAAAATGAAAACATCCGAGTATACACAGAAAAAGAAAGGTGTTCCCACAAAACTAATTATATTGCCTAAGTAGAACTAGGACCAACATTTGCATCTTTCACGGTGCGTTCAAGTTCTTCCTCCATGTTCTTGTGGTCATGGTCCAGTCTCTGTAGACTTTCTCTCAACATGGCGTTCTCCTCAAACACATCCTGCCCACCTAATGATCTGAAATAATGAGTGAATCTTTATTTTTATAATGTATGAGGTAAACACAAACATTTCGGTACATCTATCAGAAATATTACTATATAATATTATATGAAGAATATAATATCGAGGTTGGCAAAAACTATGCATTTATTACATACATTTAATCATTTTAAATAAATTGGGGCATTTTGACCAAACCTAGGGCAATTTGACTAAAACTCTGGGGCTTTTTTGTAGCTGGGGCGATTTGACTGGCACCCGTGACAATGTCTGGACTTCCTGTCTGTAAACATCAATGTCTGAACCATACCCTTGGTATATTTCATCTTTTATGACAGTTCCACTTGAATATTTGCTACTCATCATCAAGGAAAACACTAGAGCTAAACTGAAGCAACAAGAAAAGAATGTGGACAAGTCTGATGGAAAACCATCTCTGATTTCCACAAACTTTCAGTCTTGAACAAACTGTCGGGCAACTCAACTTGTCTCAAAGGCAATGCATGTCTAAATGGACATCAAGAGGAGAACAGAGGTGGGTGCAGAATGTTTCAAAACCCTTTGTCAGTGAGAGAATAAGAAATGAAAGCCATTGAACTCAGCCGCTATTTGCCCGCCACTAATTCATTCAAAAAGCAAGACCTTTTGTTAATCTTGAGGAGTACATTGGAGTTTGAATTCTCCGGCGGGTTCCTTCTCTTGATGTCCATCCTGGAAAATCTACAGAGGGAATGCCACAAGGATGAAGTTTCACTGTGAAGATCCCAACAAGCGAAAAAGGCGCCGCCATAGCGATGTAATGGCAGATCTACAATCACTTGACAAACCAACATGGGTAAGTGACATGTTCAGGACATGGCAGACCATTTTGCCTACAGGCATTGGCAAAGTATGCTAAATATGATGAGGAGTTGGACAGATACTACTACATTTCAAACTCCCTGAAAGTTTATTGCTGCTGTGCCATCACATTACAGACACAAGCAGCAGGATCAGCATGCAAACTTGTTGTCGTATGGCCATTGTGACAAAGGGATGCAATCTTATAAAATATGTGCTGTGTAAGACAGAGGGAAAGTTTATGGCTGCAATCTTATAAAATATGCAAATATACTTTACAAACATCATGTTCATATTACAGAAGCTGGCATCCAGAATTTCCCAGCTTGATCACAGTGATGCTAAGCAGTAAGCTATAATGTTAATGACGTAGCCTTATCACAATACCACCGGCACTATCACAAATGATTTAAACAGAATTGTTATAATACACATATATGAAAACCACGCACTTGACACTTCTATGCAGTGAATTCTTGGCACGTTTAGATTCCCGTGGTCCAGGAATGCGTGTACCAAATGCAACTTGTCTCTCTTCGATTTCACCATGACTCTTGTGTAACTTCGGGATTGTTTTCTTGGCAGATAAGGAACCGGCCATTGTATCCTTCCTGATGCGTTAAATCCTCATGCACAGTTTCATTTCTATGAAAAACTAAACCAAAGTCACAGGATTCTTGAACATAAGCCTTAGCAACACTACTTGAATATTTGCGCGCAATATTTTGTTTTCATTCGTTTCCTTCCTGAAAGTACTTACCTCTACACATTGTACACACGACTTAAAGTAATTTCAAAATACAACGCTAAAACATGTTGTCTTACTTTAACTAAACTGATACTGTTGTATTTGAATGTTTAAACGTTATCTTTAATAAATGAACATTTATTTATATGCATAGTATCTCTATTCTTCTTTCTACAGAAATGCAAAAATAATTAGTTGCTTTCCAGCTAGTATAAAATATCAAAGCTCCGAACTTATACACGCGCTACAGTGGAGCTTGCACCAAAAAGCTCACACAACTCGCACCTGCAAAATTTGAGTTGGGGCTTATCCGGAGTTCTATACTTTACTTGAAACCAGAGACCATATAATAATCTATTATATGGTCTCAGTTGAAGCTAACAAAATTTTATACAAATTTTCCTAGATACTGTAATAGAGCCATCAGGTCCAAACGTTATTCATTCAAATAAAAAAATACAAAATCAAGAGCCAGTCGGGGCAAATGACTGTCTGACACGTGCAAGTCCATTCGAGATACCATTCCGCAGTTATACAATGGCTAACTTGGACACAACATACACATCCCTTGCAAGCAAGTCATTATGTTATCATCACTGGTCCAGACACTATTATTTACGCCACATCGGATGGCTGGAATATATTGCTTATCTTCCAACGGCGTTAAATAACAAACAAACAAAACAAAATATCCTCAGTGCCGAGCACCAGACAGGGTAATAACAAATACCATCTTGGATGTGATGGTTTGGATTTTTTGTTTTGTTTTCTTTTTCTTGACTTCCCCTCAGACGTGCTGCATCTCTGTAAATTTTATGTTCTGAAAGTGCCAAAACCTGCCATAGTATTTTGCAAAAGAAAATATGTTTTGTATCAGTAAAATGTACGAAAAAGGTTTTATCGAGAATATTCAGTTTTATCACTTGTAAATACCTGTACATATTTGGTCTCTCATACCTCTGTACGGAGTGGTCCGTGTATTGATGTTTTTATAATGTATATTGTAATGTACCTTGTAACGTCTAAGACGTAAATAAAATCTCTCTCTTTCTCTCTCTCGCTCTCTCTCGCGCGCGCAAGTAAAGAAGGCTTAATTCAATCTTTATTTCCACTTATTGTAATTTACATGGATACGCACTGTAATGAATATTCATGATGTACACACGCGCAGAGATACATTGTCTTAGTTATTAAATTGTCTGAGAAAAGACCCATGTAATTTTTTTTTATTTAGGTTGTGGAAAATAATAGCCTGGCATTTTATTTGTCAGCTTAATTGTGTCATGCATTTCGACTTTAGGAACCATGCTGAAACAAAGGAAATAAATGTGTAAACAAAAAGAACATGATGTCACATGTGAGATGTCTCTGGACACCCATACATATCATAATCTGTAAGTGCAACGGAAATATCTGTAAGCTCCTTGGCAATGTTTCTATACGCTGAGCTCCCGCTGTTCACTGAGTGTATGAAGTATGGACATGCGGCGCAGCGCAGATATATTGCGAAACCTGTTTCATGCTCTATCGATGTTCGGAGCTTAAATATTCCTTGCCAAGATGTCGGAGTCAACAAACGAGTCTCAGGTCTGAATTTGTTCCTGTTTTTAGTTGTATCTGATTGTACATTTCTTCTTGGTTAGTTTAACGATGACCTTGTTTTACTATGTCTACAGTGAAATCCATTTTACACCCGAAACGGGTTCAGTATGTGATAAATCTATTACTGAGTTTCCAGAAACGGTCAAACTCGTCAACTTCACGCCGAATCACGGTCAATCATCAATGACACTGACTTATATGAGTCAGGGCTAACAGTAGCTCTAGTAACAGTACACTGCCACAGCCAATGATTATTAAACAACCGAGTCGCCATGTGCGAGCGATTCATAGTACCAGGTCTCCTGAAACATGATCTAACCACTATACTGTACCAGAAGAATAGTTGTGCATTGAACGACTTCCAATTGATCGAATCCTACAAACATGTAACAGGTTTTGGCTGTCAGTTTTATGGCTTATACTTATTGATATGTATATGGCTGATGTCTTATATGTGAAGATGCATGCAGTATAAATGACCTATTATTCATACAGAAAAATACTTTGTATTCATTGTCAATTTATTGGCATTGTCACTGAAGATTGGTGGATATCCATGTCATGATTTCTATGAATTTCATCTAACCATCCTTCAAGAAAAATTCGTTTAGGTGGTTTTGGGTTTTACATGATTCTCAAGATTTCATACAGTGGAACCCTGCTTATCCAAATCCCAGATATCCAGAAACCTTGTACACCGGACCATATGTACTCGAAAAGAAATATATCCTACATAAAATTCTTTATGTAGCCAGAATCCAGCTTCAATCTCTGGACAGTGAAGTTTATTTATCCAAGTGCAAAGTACAAGTGACCGGTGGATAAAGCGTTTGCTCATCGTGCCGAAGACCCGGGTTCAATTCCGCTAATGGGTACAATGTGTGAAGCCCATTTCTGGTGTCCCTCTGCCGTGATGTTGCTGGAAGTTTTCTAAAAGCGGCGTAAAACCATACTCACTCACTCACTCACTCACCCAAGTGCAAAATACATAGGGTTGAAATGGTATACCGCAGTATTAGTAGAACAGTGGTATTTTGCCTTCGGTTCGGTATGCTGTAATGCAATTACAAAAATCGGTATTTTTGGTTTTCGTACCATCATTTTATTAACATTTTAACCAAATTTCTAAAACGTCTAGAAATTGAATAATTTCCTCAAAATCTCTGCGTTTCTTTTTTTCTCTGCATTATGATCATATCTCATATACCAAACCGAAACGGATCGAACCGAAGGCCTTATCCCGCAATACGTACCATACCGTGGTGAGAACATATCATTTCATCCATAAAAATACACACTATATTGTGTCCCATTTACAACTACTCTTGACAGTGTTTGATCTGGAATTTATCAACTAGCATGTCACATCAAAAGTTTTGGTATCCTGTGATCGCAGTATTAATATACTCAGGTAAAACACATACTGGTGAGAAAAAAAGTTCATTGTATATCTGGAGGTATATTTGTAATCTATTCTTTTTGTTTTAATAAAGTATTTTAGTATGATACATCCCATGAAACAAACCACAAACCTACTGTCTGGACAGAGGCTCTGTCACTAGACCACAGTGCTCCTTCTACTTGATCTCTCTTTGCATTAATGGTCAAGACTCACACTATGTTTACAAGACATCATTTGACGTTTTAGAAAACGACTGACTTCACTAATGTTCCTCTCGGTCAAGGAGAGAGTCCAGGCAAACAGAAGCCGAAGAAGCAGCCGAAGCGTGTGTTGCACTTCAGTGATGGCATCCTGGAGGAGTACTCTACTGACGAGGAGGAGGATGTACAGATCAAACCAAAAGAGCCAGCTGTTGACCCAGTCAGTCACTCTATAACTTGGCATTCTTATTCTTTTCATTTGCCCACTAACCCTACACACCGTGTTGAATTCTCCATCATAAGGGATTAATATTTCAATATCAAAATAGTAAAGGACCTTTTTGATAAAGTTGATTATCATTTAATCATTGATTTTTTAAAAGAGATAGATTTGTTAAATGAATATATGTTTTGTAAATAGATAAAGTTTTATAATTGGTAGTTCAGATTATCAACATAGACTGTTAGTGGCTGTATCCTCAAAGGGGGTTGAAGTAGCGTAAAATTATTGTCCTGAGAGGGTACGTAAGTCCCAAAAACTTTCAAAGTAAAATTTTCACGTACCAAGTTTTTAAACATAGTATTTTTGTTCTTTTAAATTTTGGCTAAATTATCCTGCAATCACCAGCGGCTGAAGGGATGGTGTAAATCCAGCTAGGCTCCATGCAGGTAGCAAAAGTAATGTAAGTCCCCATGGTTCCTAGTATGGTGATCTACCTTCAGATGCTGGCGATCTATAGCCTGTGTTTTATATTGTTTTGTTTTCTTTAATTACAATGTTTTAGTTTTACATGCTAGTTTTATGTTCATATCTGTGATGCTCTAGTATTTTTGGGGCGATGGGGTAGTCTAGTGGTTAAAGCGTTATTCGTCACCCAAGACCGGTTCGAATCCCCACATGGGTACAATGAGTGAAGCCCATTTCTGGTGTCCCCCGCCGTGATATTGCTGGAATATTGCTTAAAGCGGCGTAAAACCAAACTCAGTCAGTCAGTCTAGTATTTTTACTGTCCATCGTCGACAGGTTTAACTCTTCACAATGTTTTCATTTTATTATTATATAAATTGTTTTCGTCAAGATATGGCTGAGATATTGCCAATGTGACGTTAAATATTAACTCACTTACTCACTAACCCTGATTTGTTACATCGTCTTGCAGTTCACTGACTCTTTACTAAGCAGACATGGTGCATGTGGTTTATCACGTTATTTTCTCACATTTGTTATTAGACATGTCATAAAAACAAATATTTTCCCTGCTGTGCGACACTGACATAGAATGTCATATAATAGTGTAGTCATATTGTGTAACTGGAATTGTTATGTATTCCATACATGACACGTAAATCCTACTTGGTAAATAATTATTGCAAGTTTTATATTGGGATATCATTATGCTGCTCTCCAGTTGAATGGATTTGACAGTAGCTTTGAGAGGATTAATCAGTAATAATAGTTAATATTTTCCACTGCTGGTGATGGTAAAATATTTTCACTTGTCCTTGAAAAGTAAACTATGTGTCCACTTGTCCTCCTGGCATTGTTTTACTTAGTACAAGTGCAGTAGTTTGCATTAAGTTTGTTTTTAGCTTCACTATCTGTCAGGCCTTAAACATTTTTAACTGGTTTGTGAGACTGACTACAATATTTTAATGATTTTAGAAAATAAATAAATGTCTTTCGACCCAAATATATATTGGCATATGCTACTTCACAATCAGGTGAAGCACTAGTAAAATGATGCATAATACCTGTCAAAATCGTTTGAACTTTCTGACAAATTCAGTTGTCTTTCTGTATCATTTCTCAGTTGTACATCCATACTGATAATGGTGTGACCTACAAGTTTGTTTTTCATTCGTTAGTGGTCGTAGAAGTTAAATTATTACTTTCTTTCATTTTACCATCCACATTGAATTTTACATTGCATTTTGTGCAAACCAACCGATAAAAAAGGCCTTGACATCATTTATTGCTTCTGTCTTGTTTCACACAGACAGAATAATCAACTCTTAATTAACATGTTTTCTGTTTTCAGAAAAAGCTGGCTTGGTTACCATGGTTCTGGTATTGCTTGATGACAGCATCAGCTCGAACTCTATCAGGTAAATTGTTAGCAATAAAATATTAGTATTTGAAAGGATACCACTTTACATCCGATAAATGCTGAACAGACATAGGTAAGCAACATAGTATCAGCTCTCACTCTATCAGATAAATTGTTAATGATCTCCTTTGGCACAAGTTATGTGTAACTAGAAACAGGAGACCAGCAAGAATAATCCTCCATCAGATACTTCATAGGGGGTTGAACAGGTTTCTGTTGTATTGTGTAGTTGGAAACACTGTTTCAGTGTGATTCTGCAGTAGAAGCAGTCCCCAGGATCCTATGATGCAACTGTTCTGTGATGTGGTTGACTGAGTTGGAAGTTGCTCATGATATCAACCACTGGTTAGTCTGGTCTACTGTTATGTAGCTGAAATATTGTCTAGTGAGGAGGCGTTGTAATACAATTGCTATATTGATACAACTATTGCACTTTGATTGCTGGTGTCAGATAAGTGCCTCACCATCATGCAACAGAGATATATTTGCTTTATTCCCATGATGAAAAACAAACCACAGACCAACTTAACCTGAAAGGTTTACTTGCATGAACAGGGATAAGATACAAAGACATGTGCTAAAATATCAGGAAAAGTATTAGATTGTAAAAGGATACCATTCAGATAAATGCTGGACAGACTTAGGTACGCAGGTTATTACCTTTTAGTTATATGTTACATTTATCATTATATTAATATGATATTATCAAGTGACAATAGTAATTGAAACAGTCATAAAATGTTCACACACTAAACATACTCAAGAGGCCAAGAGGTAGCGACAGTTTCCTGACAGGTTATCTGGAGTTTATATCTCAGATGGGAAAGTTTACACAATCACTCAACTTATGTTAAAGATCAAACTGGGAAGAGTGAGTATAGTTTTATGCCACTTTATGCAATATTCCAGCAATATCATCACAAGGGACACCAGAAATGGGCTTCAGACATTGTGTCAATGTGGGGAATCAAACCGAGGTCTTAAGCATGATGAGCAAACCCCACTGCCCCCTATAGTTAGAACAAAAGACTAAGGAAATTGGATAGAGCTATAATGACTGATAGGGATATCAGGATAACATACACTTACTGGAATGCTAAGTATCTTGACATTTACACTGACAAGACAAGTTGCAGATCTCTGCTCACTGGCTGCATCTGTGCATTTTTCATAGCATGTGCAGTTGTTAGGAAAAATTGTTTCTGTTCATGGCTGTGGAACTATACAGTTAAGTGATGACATGGTCATTGTTGAAAGGGTCAGTCGAGATTTAGATGTAAAATAATGATGCTGTCAATACCCTAGTGGTAATTACAGCAAGGAATGGGAAACACACGCAGTGTTCTAGGGATGGGGTTTGAATGCTATGTGATGCTTGTAAGATGTATAACCCGATGAAAATTGAAATGAAATCTGATGTTTCAATCACAACAGTGGCAGACCTGTGTGGAGAGAAGTTGGCCTGGTTTTTCGGGATCACAGCTCCTAAATACCAATATGCCATTGATGAGTACTACAGACTCAAGGAGGAGGTACAGTAACAGAGAACATTGACTTATAGTGTATAGTGTCAGTAGAGTGGTACTGATGTGATCATCAGTACAGATTGGTGTACACAACATTCCTCCATACCGTGACCCATGAAGGTCCGGGTTAGAATAATGGCCTTCAGTAACCCAAGCTTGTCGTAAGAGGCGACTAAAGGGATCGGGTGGTCAGGCTCGCTGACTTGTTTGACACATGTCATGGGTTCCCAATTGTGCAGATCAATGCTCATGTTGTTGATCACGGGATTGTCTGGTCCAGACTCGATTTTTATAGACCACCGCCATATAGCTGGAATATTGCTGAGTGCGGCGTAAACTAAACTCACACACACTCCTGCATGAAGTGACCGAGATATGGTGGATAAGTGACTTGGGGCTGTTTGAAGACAACCAGTGGTATGTGTTTGGGTGTAATTCCTGTGCTCTACTGCATGTATGATTTGTGTGTGAACTCTGCCAGTGGTTTATGTTGATGTAATGTAAGGAGTAGATGGATTCAAAACTGTAGGATATGTAGGATATAACACGCAAATGTGTGCCCAGTATGTAGAAATGTAGAGAATGGACGCAAGAAAAAAATTCACTGTGTCCCAAGGGACGCACAATAGTATTCATTGTACCCACAACACATCTATGACTTTGCTAAGTGTTTGGCTGTTTCTTTCAGAGCTGTTACATGCATCATTTCACCCATCAGTCCACATAATCAATGATTCATTCTAGGCTGTAAAGATATTATCAAAACGTACAGTTCTGTTACTTCACGGGACTGATATGAGAACTGACAAGACAAACCAAACGGCACCGCCTGGGCCATTGTTAAGCCATGCAATGTATTGTTTAATGACAATAACAAGACCTGACTCACAAGCTGGATGGGTAAACATCAATACTCAATGAAGTGGGGAAAGCTGCTATCCCTTCAACCAAAGGTTTTGCCCTACATACTTTAACAATTTGAGAAATGCAAATTTGAAAATTTATTGTTTTGTTTCAAAACTTTTGGGACCTACAGACCTGAATTTTTGGAAAAAATCTGTAAAGCAAACATTGTATCCAATCAATGATGTGTGTTGATTCAGGAGGAGAAGGACATGGAGATGATGGAACGTAAGCATGCAGCAGAACTGTCTACGATCAACATCCAGGTGGAGCAGACTAAAGTCCCCCAGCCGCACGCCTCCCAGTCTCCCCTCAAATACTGACCGCTGGACACCTGGAGGACATACAGAAATCCATCCCTTATATGTATTGTACAGTATTACAGGAAAATGTGAAAACATTATGACATAACTATTCCTGAAATGATGCTGACAATTTTGGTAACCCGCTCATAGAATTGTTTATATTTTTTGCATTGTGATCATACTTGCCTTGCAGTAACGTGTTTAGAGGTGAAATATTGAAGCATTATTACTGCACCATGACAGTTTCCAGTGCAGTGTTTGAGGGAGGAAAATCCATAATGCAACATATATATTATGCACTTGGGATTCTGGTATACAATAAGCGATTCTATGTACAAAAATTGATCTATTTCATTTTAAATATATAGATGTTACGAGGACGGGTTGAGGGTTGTCAATATAAATTGTAGTAATTGTATGAAATGTTATGAAGTCATGTATGAAAAGTTAGAACTTTTTCACACCCTACAATTTATTTTAGTATTCATTTTTTCACCTTTCTGGTATCTTATAAAACGTGTAGGTAGTACCTCTAACCTAAAGAACAATTTGGTTAAAGGTAACTAGGCACAAGACATTGTGCTTTCATGTGTAGTAGAATAATCAATCACAAGTTTTAGTAATGTATTAGGACTGGTAGTAGTTTGATGTCAGTTCATTTGAGTTTAAGGAGCAATGTGTAGTATTTAATTAACTTCAGCTCGTCATGTAGTGGGCACAGGTTTGATTCTTTATTTGAGTACATTATGTGAGGCATATTTCTGTTGTCCCTTTGGAAGAGATGGACAATCATACTCCCTCATGTAGGAAATGATAATGTCTGTAGGAGTACATCTGTTGAGTCTCATTGCGTAGTTAGCTAACTGTAACCCAGGGATCAAAAGGTTACCTGAAAATACATCAATGTCAGCTCAATATCTGTATCCATGGTAATGCATTCCATGTATGTTGATGTTCATTTATCATCCAAAACTGGAATAATTGCTATGAAATTCCTGCACAATGCTATCTGACCATTGTGACATCAATTTCCATGGTATCACAATCAAATTACATCACTAATCTATCTGCAACCGAAGCTGGACAGCTGTACTTTGTACACTTAAGACAGTGAAATGTTTGGAACAATGATTTTGGATGATAAATAGAATCTCAGTCCTGGTCTTTGGATTTCATATATATCAACACTTGTTAAAGGTTTTATCAATCTGCATTGATATGTTTGGTAATGAGAACACACAGTTACATTTTCTGTTTCTTGGTGACTGCTGGAGATCTATTCCTAGCTCTACTCATAATCCAGTTTCCATAAATGTCACGCCGAAGACCCGGGTTCGAATCCCCACATGGGTACAATGAGTGAAGCCCATTTCTGGTGTCCCCCCCCGTGATATTGCTGGAATATTGCTAAAAGCGGCGTAAAACCAAACTCAGTCAGTCAGTTTCCATAAACTCTATCAAAACTTTAACTGACACATTTCTCAATGTGCATGCCACTGATCATTCTCTTCCCACAGAGATTTCTTGTCATATCTTCCTACGAACCTCTGTTCTAATACGGCCACATTTCCCAGTTCTCATAAAATCCCCTCGCGGCACAAAATTGCAACACAAATTGTCTCCCTTCTTTCTATCCAATCAGAACATGTGTTACATCGACTTAGATCGACCTTGGCTAATACAAGCAAATGTGGGGCCACAAATATCCCTCCTCAGCCGTGGACTTGTGTTGATGTGACACACAAGGCATTTAATGGCTAGCTTAACGAGAGCGATTGAAACGCCTTTTTATCCGCTATTTACATGACTGAGTTCTGTCTTTAAGACACGTTTGCGCATCGCGCAGGTGAAGAGGTTCTAGTTTTCCCGAAGCATATGGAAATTACCGAGCCCTTGCGAATGATCACTTTTGAAACAACGTCGCTGATTGCACAAGTAAATCTGATTGCAACCAATCACGAATCCTTAACACTCACACCATGAAAGGGCCGTATTAGAACAGAGGTTCGTAGGAAGATATGACAAGTAATCTCTGTGGGAAGAGAATGGCCACTGATACACACACGAGAAACCATCAGCAATACGTCAGGGAGCAAGATGGTAGGATGTTAGTCATAGGTAGACACTGCATGTGCAATTACTGAGAATGGGGGTGCTGACATTGTTAAGATGTTCTAAACTAGTCCTATATATGATGCTAGGAACTATCTGATGAGCACACTGCCCTGTCTAAGAGTATGTGAGTTAACTATATACTATCCACCAGTATCAATACACAATGTGTTTTGTGGTAGCCACAGTGACTGAGTAAGTTAGGTTCCTTACACAAGAGTGTGCAGGGCTCCAGATAAGGGCCGTATCGGCGTATGTACGGATAAAATATATGCAATTCAATTCAGAAGGTTACTCAACCCCAAAGAGTACCAGAATTCAAACATTACTGAGAAAGTGTAATCTGAAATACATTGTGAGTTACCTACCATTACTGACTTGCTGGGTTGGTTATGAACCTGACTATTCATGTTAAAAGTCAGACATCAGAAATTATTAATTGATTAATTATCAGTTATAACTCAAGTGTTTTTCGCATGAAAGACATTAATTGTGATGACTATTGTTACATTGTGTGATAAACTCACTGATCATTTGATTTATTGGTTATTAGATCAACTGATTCACCACTTTAAACTGGTACAGTCAATATCAACTGATTAATCAATAAATAGATCAGTCGCTTCACCTTTCCTAAACTAGTACAGTTTATGTGTCAATAACAATTGATTAATTGATTGTTTGATCAAACACTCCACCTCTATTAACTATTATCGTGGCAGGCTCAAAATTTGCTGATGCTGCATTTTACTGTATTGGCTCCCACAAAATACTGTGGCTTATGAAGAGGGGCCGGTGCTTGTCCAAACTGTTAGGGCACATGTGTTGATGCCTCTGTCATTCCTCGGGCCCTGACTCTCAGAGGTGGCAGGACAAAACCTTCCAGAGTGTGTGTGCTTTGTACTGCCATCAACAAATGTTAACACTATTTTTCTGAAACATCAAAAGTTTTTCTAGGTGTTGGAATCTTTGTGAAGAGTTGCTTTCTTTGTGTTGTGTGAATGATGAAATACTCATGTTGATGTAAATGCTTAAAGATAAGAACAAAAATGGTACAGATCTCTCGGGATTGAAGTTCAGCAATAATTTTTTCAATGGATTTGCTATTCAAAATTCATGAGTTGAAAAAGTGACATTGTCAAGATACCCAAAGCTGGTATTAAATATGTATTGTTCAAGTTTCATGTCAGGAAATGTATATATGTTACTATGCAACTGTAAGTGAGTTTTGTAACCAAAGAAAATTTGAATACATTGAATTATACTAAAATTATGTGTCTTTTGAACATTTTTTTGGTGATTGAATTTAAAACCACTCACATTACATCTTCTGAACTTTAGTATATATATTTCAGCAAGAATACAGTCTCATTAATTTGTTTTATGTTTAGGAGGAAGATCTGGTTCATGATTTCATTTTATTTTCACTGATTGAATTTTATCTTTGTTAGTTGAAATATATTGGTAGTGACTTCACCATCCCAAGTGATTGGATTTTATCTGTAGGGATTGAAAGGGATGATTTAATTTTAACCTGCTCTTTCTTTTATGAACCCTGGGTGAAACGTGTTTGGTATTTGGAAAGTAATTGCATTTAAGTTGGAGGATTTATATCATATAAAATGTATAAGATTAACATTATCAAATTTTGATTACTGTCATTTAATTCACAGTATCAGACCAAATTGTTCTTCAGCATTAAAGGCACTTAGTCAATGACACACCAACTTGAATTTACCAGCTGGGATGTACCATATTTTATTACCCTGAATGCTTGCATAAATATTGTGACAAAGTCATGTGAGTGGATGTGTTTATAATTTGGCATGTTTGAAATTGTATATTTTCTAAATATTGCAATATTTATTGTAAGTCTGTGATATTTCATGCATTGGATGTATTCTAATTGGTGTGGAAGCTGTTTTTCTACTTTGTGGAAGCTGTTGTTTCCACTTAAAGGTTTTCCAAGTTAAGTGTTCTTCATTTCATTACATTGGCGTGTGTGTCTGTATTAAATCTTGTTATCTATTCCATGTGTTCTGAATGAATTGATATATGAAGAATAAAATGCTGTGAATTTATTGATATGCAAACAATATGTTTGTCAAGATTTTGAAGAGAACAATTCATATAAACAAACATAACTAGTAATTACAATTTATGAGCTTTGACTAAGTGTTTAGAGTTCAATGAAACACACAATGAAATGGCTAAAAGCGCAATCAATATTGATATTTTCTATTCTGTATACCCAGATCTAGTAGACTGGATCTAGACTGTCAAAGATTCACTTGATGTTCCCTTCAAAGGCTGAACACGAACGGTGGTTACAGAGAGACAAAGTTTCATGACCAGATCCCACTGTGGTAGAGTAGTCTCCCCTTGCTTGTCTCGGCGCCATAAGAAAGTGTCCTTCTGCCAGTGGTCTCATTTGCTAAACAGAAAAATCAATTCAGTTGCTATTTCCATATATTTTCAATTCACCTTAATTAAATAAAAATAAAGCAAAGGTCTTTTTTGAAAGTCCAGCCATACATATTTAAGATTTATTTGATATCTCAGCAGCACCTTCGGAGCTCATGCTGTGCAATATGGTACATATAACCGCCTCCTTGATCGTAATTGTATACATTATTGATGCTCAGAATAATCTTTAACGTCAATAACATATTTCAGTATTTGCGTTTTCAAAGTCTTCTAAAGTGAATGCGATGGTGTAGAGATAGATGGAGTCCACAGCGGATGACTTGAATGGGTGTCCTTCCACTGTAATTATGTGTTTCAATTGTTCTGTCAACATAATCTTTGTATTGGATGAGTGGCGTTTGTGCTTCTGAAATGAAATAAACTTTTATCCTATATACACTCTTTTTGTTTTGGGGTTGAGAGATCCTGTCAATACTGGGTTTTGTATGAGTTGGTGTGCTGCCAGGCGGCCTGTGCCACCGTCACCACTCTCCCCCAATAACAGAGTTGCCGATTTGGTCACGAATGCAGAAATAGGCGTGTATAGTTTTGCGATGAAGAGAGTTGTCTCCCTTTAGTTTTTAGCTTCAAGCCCAAGTTACAATGCATGCCGTACATTTTAATAAACGCTTAGTCAAGCGACACAATATCACATTTTGTCAAACGTTAAATGTTTAAAGTGAATTTTTAAAGGAAAAAAATATAACAGAACTTTTCGAAACAAATACATACCCTGAGCGTATTTAATTAATAAGTGCAGTACCCGTGAAGATCCCGTTAAGAACTGATCTTCAGCAAGCCATGCTTGTCGTAAGACGCGACTAACGGGATTGGGTGTTCAGGCTCACTGACATGGTTAACACATGTCATCGTATCCCAATTGCGTGGATTGATGCTCATGCTGTTGATCACTGGATTGTCTCGAACTGTTTCGATTATTTACAGAAAATGTATATATAACTGAAATATTGCTGAGTGCGGCGTAAAACTAAACTCACTCACTAATAAGTACAGTACAGTATCGTGGTTTATCTACTATGAAACTTCTGTCTGAAATATATTACACGAATTTAACATCGCCATGTCGCAAGTGAATATTCCCACAGTATTCGTAGCACATGACCCACACCTTACAATGTAATAGATATTTTTTTTAAAACTGCAAACTTTAACAATAAACTTGTTGATGAGATGGCGAACGGTAAAGTGCGACCGTGTGAAATACATGCCGTTTGGAAATATATAACAGTTATGTAATATGGTTACATTTTTAAGGAGTCGGTGATTATTAACGTGTTTTTGTATAAAACATCACCCAACATGTTTGAAGTGCAAGCACCTGTTAATATTTACACATTTGTACCTACACGTTTCACGTGCTCATGCCGGTATGTGATTCAAAGCAATACGTAAAAAGAAAGGGTATGTATTTAAAAAAGAAAAGGGTAACAAGGACTGAACCTAACGTGGGTGTGACCATCTGTCTGACTTAGCGTCACTCCCGTATGCTTTTACATATTCGCTACATTCCAGTTCATCCCTGTATTTTATGTCGTGCGGTGATTTCACACAGGCTTTCTTGTACCTGCCACACCAATACCGTAAATACTCAAATTAATGTATTTATATATTTATGCGACTACTGACCCGTAAAATATACATAGCTGGCTTTGATAACATGTAACTATCCAGCAACGTCAGTACCAGCAACCCGGTACCCTAAAAGGCGGACGAGTCCATATTCCGTGATCTAAAACCGAAACCATATGTAGTTGCTCCCGTTCAACGGATTGCGATTGGTATCATATGCATCGCGAAATATCCGTTACTGTGTATTCTCATTACATACATAAAGCAATCAAATGTATCTAATACAACAGTATGACAGTTCCGATCAAGAATACGACACAATGGGAGTGGAATCGTCCTAGGGTACGTTTCTGTATTCTCATTATGGCCAGGGTACGTTTCTGTATACAGAAACGTACCTGGGGTACATATCTGTAGTACCCGTGCCGACAACGACCCCTTCAGCATTAATAGTTTGCGGCCTGTGTACTGTCATGCATGTTGAGAGGTGCGTTTTTACGCCATTATAAATATAAGGAATTTCTTTTTAAATAATGAAGATGCTGCACAGATTTAGTAAACCTAAAGAATCATCAATTTTTAATTTTTATAAATATGTGTATTTCTTAGATATATCCTGTATTAGGTTAGAGGGATATCAGTGGCGGATCCAGAGGGATATCAGTGGCGGATCCAGAGGGATATCAGTGGCGGATTCATTTGAAAATGACTTAAGATCACATTGAAGATTTTTTTTTGCGTTGGCGGAGCCAATGGGGGGTTCAGGGGGTTCGAGCCCCCTGAACCCCCTCCTTTCAAAATTCCTGGATCCGCCCATGGATATTCAGCGTATATGTGCATATTTACGTGTGTGCAAAATCCTTTGACTCATCCATCTACTTAACTCTTTCCACCAAATTTTATTTCATCTTCAAATTGTAATATGGCCCCTCTCTCGAAATCCCATAATCCGTCTTTCATCTGAACGACCTCCATCAACTGCATCAACACTGGCTGCAGAATGCGGACGCGCTGGTTTGTGGCTGAAGGGAGGGGTGGGTGGTGCTTTAATCAGCACCAGTGTGACAGCGGTATGTATCTAACCTAGCATCTGTGCTCGTTAATGTTAAACTCAGCTGACATCACAATCACCCGCAGAATCATGATTTAGAACGCCAAGCTACTCCTACCCCCTCTCCTGGCCGCGCTCTCCCCACCGTCTCCCCGCGTCTCCTCCCTCCCCCACCTTGATACGCTGCGCAGCTGTCCTTGGCTCTTGCATTACGTCATGTTTCATAAACATCACTTAGAACACCAGTTTCTGGGCAGTCGAGACACTGCTAGACTATACAATTATTTCTTATTGGAGAAAGAGTTGTCCAACACAATACACAGGCAATAAAACCTGGCTGCAAATATAATTTTAATTCAATGATACGTACATACAATAAATACGACAAAATACTGTTATTTTCTGGGTGATATGTCGAGATCAAGCATATCAATACATGGCGATAGACATGCATACAGTAACAGATGTAGGTTTGTGCAAGCAAGAGTAATTTTGATTAAATTAAGTTATTTTCCCAATAATTTGAATTATTTATTAAATGTCTGAGCTAGCATAAATTTTAAGCCGCGCCTTTTTCAGGAACTAAATCTATTCATATTTCTCTGCTGAAACACCCTCTTGCAGAAATCTCAAAATGTAATTGTTTTTAGCTGAGAATAAACTCGTTACGTCAAACAAACATCCTCCCGTTTCCCATCTTTAAATAGCCTTATTATTTATTACGTGTCACCGCATATTTGTAATCGAATTATCTGAATGTCACAACGGCCGATTTGTCAAGTTTGTTCTCGTAGCACAACAATCAGTTTCATTATTAACAAGCACCTGTCAGACAACCACTGCCATATACATCCCTCATTATGTGCAACGAATTTACCATATCAATGGTAACCTCATAATAATATCGTAGCGATGTGTAGCATAACCTTCTAGGTTTTCATTCTCAATGGAATTGATTGACCGAGTCACCGTATTTGGCCGTGGAAACCATATTTGGTCTCCCCATTTTGCCATACATGGCGCGTGCCCAAAGAAGACACGTTGAATATATTCATACGCCAATACAAATAATTCATAACTAGCATTCTTTATAGATATAACGTTGCTTCATGTTGTAGGCTATACGACATGAGCATTTGTAGATATGCAAGGGCTGTTAATTGACCACTATCCGCCATTACTTGGGCCTATTTTCTTCCGCGGACTAATCTGCACGGCGCTGAGGTCTTCTTCCCTTTATGGCGATGCAACAAACAAGGTAGTAAGGAAATTGACAAATTATTCCTTTGCCGACGACCACGATGCAGGTATCTTCGCACACCGACACCCCCATTACTAGTGGAGGACAGCTGATAACTTCTGTTGGAATTAATGGAAGTCACACTTCTAACCAGGTAGCGTATGCAAATGCGCCGAAACAGTTAATTTTAGAGAACGTTGATCCAGCAAGTTTAGAAGAAGAGGATTCGGATTCCGATGGGGCAGATGGAGCGTTTGTATCTCAAGTTCACCAACAAATGCAACTTACACCCGGTATGCAAAACATGGCACCCGTTCTCGCTGGACCTAAGCCTGGAAAAAAGACGAAAGGCAGGGTGAAAATTAAGATGGAATTCATTGAAAACAAATTAAGGAGATACACAACGTTCAGTAAGAGAAAAACAGGAATCATGAAAAAGGTATGTTTTACATATTCTTTTATACGCAGCATATAATATGACAGCTCTATGTAGTATCTTTTTCATGTTGGCATATGTGCACATAACGTTTTCATTCATGTGATGCTTCCAAGGGGCGTTTATATCTCAATTTTGACAGCTGACAACACGCTAACAGTAATCCCTTGTAAACACGTGTTATCGTGTTTTCACTCAAGCAGCACGAGCTGGTCATTGTTACGTCATTGTTTGTCTGAAGCATAATGTTTGTGAGTTCATTTAAATGCAACAAATGAGAGATGGCAGTAAAGAGATATTTTAATAGATTCAGGTGGAAATATTTCTTTAATATTCCACAGGCAGTATTTGGGGTGCTCTCAATTAATGCTCTAATGGCCACAACGTTATACACGATCACGATATATAGATTTGTACAACAATCAGCTGACAATTCAACAGCACGGCTATGACCTAATACTACGCATTGTAAAATATCATTGATCAGCGTGTTTTGAAAATAGAACGCGTGAAGAATACCATAAATGGGAAAAGGATTTTTTACCATCCACTGATATTCCATTCATTTTATGTATTGAATTATATATGTGTACATTGTGTCTTGTTTGACGTATATATGCAGTGCATTGGAGTCTAAGTTGGATATTTGTACTTCTGTTACTATGTATGGCCCAAAATGATATTTATGCAGTATATTCTGAACAGACAGTTGCACCCCTAATACCCAAACTGACAAATAGTAAAACCCATATGTAACATTTTGGGGTGCAGGATCACTGCATGCATAACATACACAATTACTATAAACGCTGGGGCAATTCCAGATTGCTACTGCTAGTTCTGTTCATGCATACATTTTTTGTATGGGATTATTTTGAAAATAAAGCATCATATTTTTAATAAATTCATTCAACGATATTTTTACCTATGTGTCACTGGGTCATAAAGTACAGCATGTTGGTTGGGGTTTTAGTTTAGTAAGTGCTAACTGAAGTATCTACATGTTTGTTGTGCATTGGAGAGGTTATCTGGAGAAGAAAAGAACCTGGAAAGTCTTAAATGCCTCAAAATATACTCCCAAACCAAATAGATGACATAATTCTACAAGCTCTTAGTTTGTCTTGATGTTTGATATTTAGACAGTAATAATTGTCATTGCATTTCGACAAAATAAATGTTTCTACAAATTCTAGTTGCCATGGTTACCATCCACATTTATCACTTACACCCACTTTTCTACAATAATAGAACAAGATTGCGCTGCTAGTGCAGGCTAACACTGGTCAACTATGTTTAGAATTTTTAATGTATGTGCTCTCAGAAAATAGGTACAGATCTTCATCAGATGTAAATATATATACACATATAGATGCAAGTTGCTGTACACAACTAAACATACACAGAAATTGCATGTACATGTTTTCAATTTTTTATATATATACATTTTTTTCACCAGCTAACCCCATCAACTTGACATTCCAAGCAACTACCTAAGTTGATGTGGTTGTGTTTTTTTTGTTTTTTTTGTTTACATTTGTTTGGCCAAAGTATATTGAACATTGAATGGATACTTGAACAACTATAATATACTTTGCATTCAACAAATGGTCACCATGTTCAATTTATCTGTGCACATTATTTGTTAATTTGTGTTGAAATATTAAAACATCAGACAGATAGCATATATCGAATATGGTGGTACACTCCAATAATTTACTATTACCATAGTCTGTGCTGACCACTTTTGAGGCTACTAGTCAGAATGTGTGTCTAAGCATCATTTTCAGGAGAGTTTAGTGTTATATTGGCTTTCATGAGTTTAGCTCACCAGACCAAAACAAATAAACCGACTTGGACGGGTGGCTGGGGTCACTGACAGTGGGGTGGAGGGGGTCGTCAGCACGGGAACTACGGATATGTACCCCAGGTACGATTCTCTATATAGAAACATACTCTAACCAAAATCAGAATACTGAAACTTACCTTAGGACAAGTTCATTCTACATTGTGCTGTTTTCTTGATCGGAACTGTCATTTTTTTGTATGAGATGCATTTGATTGCGTTATATAAGAAACAGGCATAGAGAGTAACAAATACTTATACCACTTGCAATCTGGCAAACGGGTACAACTACATACAGCTTAGATTGAAGAATATGGATTCATCTGCCGTTTAGGGTACTGGTTACCTTTCTGTATTTTCACTTTGTTTAGGGTGCATTTCTGTTTAGAGAAACATTCCTGGGGTACATATCTGTAGTGCCTGTGTTGACAATGACACCTTCAGCAACAGTAGCAATAGATTCACACACATACAACTAAGATCGTTATTACTTGCAGGCCTATGAGTTGTCAACTCTGACGGGGACCCAGGTGATGCTTCTCGTGGCCAGTGAAACTGGTCATGTCTACACCTTCGCCACCAGGAAACTCCAACCCATGATTACAAGTGAGAGTGGCAAGGCACTCATACAAACGTGCCTCAACTCACCTGACCCCCCTCCCTTCAGCCCCGGACAACAACAGGCTGTAGAGCAGAGAATGAACCCCTCAGGCTTTGAAGAGACTGAATTGACATGCACAGTTGGGGAGGAAGACTCAAAGGTAATCATCACAATGTTTCCTGCACAAAAGAACGATGTGAAACATATGATGATATATAGCATATGATAGATTGTTATGTTCACCAGTGAATGCTATGAAACATATCCTATAATTTAAAGTGAGATGAACACATGATATACAGCATATCCTGGTATCTGCCCCAATGAATACTATGAAACATATCCCATAAATATATAAAGATGAGTTATATAGCATTACCTAGTTTACTAATTTAGGGCACAAGAAAATGGTATATATATGCCAACATGGTGTTGCATGGAACATATCATATCACCTGCCGTAAATATATGATATGATATGAAACATCTGTGATAAACAGAATGTGATGGAGAAAACATCCTATTATGAAGACTTTCTGAAATTAAATGAAGAGTCTTTGTACCCAGAATGCTTTGATTGTTGCTCACAATATAAATTATTTGCACGTGTGCTCCAGACTCCATCAATTGTAGGCTACTGTCATATAGCTGGGATAGTACCGCTGAAGGGGTCGTTGTTGGCGCGGGTACTACAGATGTGTACCCCAGGTACGTTTCTGTATAAAGAAATGTACCCTAGCCAAACTCCGAATACAGAAACGTACCCTTGGACGATTCCATTCTGCATTGTGGAGTTTTCTTGATTGGAACTGTCATACTGCTGTATTAGATGCATTTGATTGGGTTATATAAGAGCATACACAGTAACGAATATTTCACGGTGCACAACGTACACCACTCGCAATCAGTTGAACGGGAACAATTACATACGGTTTCGGTTTTTGGTTGTGGAATATGGACTCATCCGTCGTTTAGGGTACTGGGTACGTTTCTGTATTTTGATTTTGTTTAGGGTACATGTCTGTATACAGAAACGTACCTGGGGTACATATCTGTAGTACCCGTGCCGACAACGACCCCTTCAGTGGTAGTACTGAGTGCAGCATGAAGCGACAAACAAATTGTTTGACTGGCATTCTAGAAGATAGTGAGATGTGCAGATGATAATAAATTAACATGTTTGGAGGAAATGACAGTGAGAGGCAGTAGCTTGTTGCTTGCCATTTGTATTAATCACTTTGGATGTTGTGGCACATGTAAGATGTTTGCACCGTAGGGTACTCAGATGTGGCACTGGGCTGAAACCCAATACCAGTGTATCTGGTCCACTGCTGCCCCCTTCCCCCTCAAACAGCTGGCCATTGGCGGAGGGATCAGGACAGTAATTAAACCCAGCCTGTGTACACAACACTACTACACACTCTTTACCCCCAGGAATGTCCCTAAGCACAAATCCCTGCTGGAATATTCTATTCTCTGATTAATCTTCCTTATAGAAGAAGATCCAAGAAGCTGGGAAGGGGAGAACATTATCATTTAAGTCAGCCATGTGTATTTTCCAAAATGAGGGATTCTGGAAACCTTGTCTATGCAGCTAGATTTTGATGATGATATGAGGATATTTTTATTGTGAAATCATGTTTACAGTGTGTATTTTGGTTCAAAGCTTTCCTGAATTTGCTTTGGTCTAAATATTTTCTGGAAACATTGGGTCAATATCATGATGTTTCATCAATGAGTTTTGTTGCGTTATTCACACATTGAATCAATATATGAAAGAACATAAGAATTCTTGTACATGTGTGGTGGTACTAAGGCTGTAATGATTCACTCGCATATTCGGTGAATCGAACCGTAGCCCTTCATGAATTCAATTCGTTATTCGTGGTCATAAGAACCGAATATTCATGAATATTTACAATTTTTATAAGGGAGTGTGTTTTACTTGAACCCTATGTCCTTTTTCAAAACGAGATATGCAAGAATGCAATATGTACTAGCCTTGTAGTAGCCCAAGTCATGTTAGTTTGCCAAAGCGGACATGTTACTGTCAACTATAACTATTACATACAAAATTTGAGTGTCATGAGATGACTGGTTATTGCTGAGACAAATTAACACTGTCAACATTGGCATTCAATATTGTGCATCAATCATTTAACTACAATATTGTATTCATGAATAATTATTCGTATTCATTACCTAATATTCGTGATACGTATCATATTCGCAACATAGTGTATTCGTTACAGCCCTAGGTGGTACTATAAGAAAATATTCACAATAATAACATTAACTGAATATTATCATAAACATGTCAACATAGAGGATCAATCTGTGTCTTCATATTTTTTGTCATGATAGTAAAGTTGTCTTTTTTAATATAATTAAAGATATATGGGAGCCTTGTTTGTAATTTTGGTTCAGAGTTACATACATTCAAATGGGATCTGGGAAATGGCCCACTTAGACCTGACTTAAATTGGAATGCAGTATTATGAATATAAAACTAAATATATTTAAAAGTTTGATTGAAACCTGTCGAGAATTTGTCTTGAAAGTTTCAAAAGAACCCATAACATTTGACAGGCCCATGTCCACAAGACTTCGAACGCCAACCTATTTTCTCTAAGCAACAATGGTCAAGGCATGTAGTTGGATGGGTGACCACATTTGGCGGCATTCCTTTGGATGAGAGTTTTGAGGATTTAATTCCTGCCTCATACTGAAGCGTATGCTTAGGCAAGTTATTCTGTTTGAAATATGCCTCTCTTAATTCAGTTAGCGGGTACCCGGTAGGTTTAGATCTCACAGTTAGCTTGGGTAATATACTCAGTGAGCCGAGAATGGTACTTAAGTGCACATTAATCCATTGATGGGGTAATAATGTAGCACTTTAAGCACACTATAGGAATGGGCACATGATAAAATGTGCACTTTATTGTCATCATCATTGTTATTATTGTCTCAGGTTGTTTGTAACAATATGTGGTAATTTTGTTACACTATAAACAGATGTTACACTGTATACAGATATATGCAGTTATTCCCTTATGTGTATCATGTATCATTGTTACACTGTATACAGATATATAGTTATTCCCTAACATGTATCATGTATCATTGTTACATTGTATACAGATACATGTATATGCAGTTATTCCCTTATGTGTATCATGTATCATTGTTACACTGTATACAGATATATAGTTATTCCCTAACATGTATCATGTATCAACCCACATTTTTTAGGCAAGTTCAGTGTTTCGATATTTGTAAATGGCATATGGTTTCCTTATTCATTTCAAGTTGTCTTCAAGAAAAACAACAAGACTATCGCATAATGAATAAGAATATTTGCATCTGTTGAACATTATGTATATTTGCATCTACTGAACACCATCACAATATCTCATGACAATTTTCATCCCCTCTAAAAGAATCTGTATCCGCACTTAAACAAAGTCTGTGAATTAAACGAAAATGGAACATAAGAAAGTAGTTCTCCAAGTACCGGAATCCAGGAAGATGAAGGTAAAGCAGACAGCATGGTTGCTGGCAGGTAATGCCATGCATAGCACAGTGTGATACTGCTAGTCATCAGTGGCAGGCAGCTGTCAATGGACCCATGGCTTCAAGTCTCTCTGATTCTATCTAGCTGTACTCCAGCCCTGCTGGTGTAGAGTTGCCTTATTCAGGGGGATGAGTAACCTGGCAACTAACATCAAAGCTCCCCCTCCCCACTGCACCTCTCCCCTCACCCTGTTACATATGGCCTGCCTTGCCTTATATGGAGTGAGCCTGCTACCTAGCTGGCTAGGTAAGAAAGCAGACCCAGATTTTTCTGGGCCATAATTGGCAGCTCACCATGTAGGTAGCTGCTCATCTTTGCTTATCTGTGTGATGAGGCATGCTGGGAGGTTTTGTTGGAAAGGTTAAGGGTCACACTGTGGCTAAAGTCTGTTTCAGCTATTCTGGACAGATTTACGGTGATGGGAATACCATCAGAGAGCTGTAAAACTGTATGGATGTCTATGCTTTTGTGTTGTTTCCTGTCATTCACACAACACAAAGCAGAAATGTTTTCTTTTGCCATATTCTCAAAAAGCAATTCACTCGGTGCTCTGTGTGGCATTGTCAATGTACCATGTATACTGTGGTATGTATGTGAAACAGTATACCTTTGCATACAGCTGTACAAATTGTACTTGCTTTCGTCTCATGTATTTGAAAGCTCATGGTTACAAATTAGTACACTAAAGCAAATTTTATTGAATCAAAGTAAATTTATTTTTTGCTACAGAAATTGATAGCATATAATTACCTGTTACTTATGAAGAGTAACCATTTATATGTTTTCTCTGTGGTGACTGTGGTGATAAAAGTATTGATATGATTTATTAATCATTGTTTTTGAAAAGCTAATTAAACCAGAGTACTGGTCATGTTTTAGTCCTATAGCAAATATTTGTTTACATTCTGGAAATCAGGTCAGAGGTTGGTAAAAACATGTTGGATTTTAAACAATCAAATGAATTCTGTTTTCCTTAAAATGTAGATTGAAAGCTCAAAAATACTTGAAACACTAATTATAAAATTGCACATATCAGACACTATGTCTTGCTTCTTTCTGTAAAAGTTTTCACTGTCATGTTAATTTACTGTATATCAAACAATGCTAAGCATAACAGTGAAACAACTGAAGTTGTAAATATTCTGTGCTTGTAACAAACTGGCATCAAGGTATATACTGTCACTGATGGGGTCTTAACACTATATTAAAGGGTATATAGTGTTAAGACCCTGTTAGTGACAGAATGTTAAAGGATATATAGTGTTAAGACCCTGTCAGTGACAGTATATCAAAGGATGTATAGTGTTAAGACCCCGTCAGTGACAGTATATTAAAGGATGTATAGTGTTAAGGCCCCATCAGTGACAGCATATACCTTGATGCCACATTTTACATTACAAGCTCCTGTGTTCTGTCTCAGATAATTCTGATTTTATTTCATGCAACTCTTATAAAAGTAATGTTGATCCTAAATAGATTGAGGCAATGTCAGAGTTTCTTAAAGTAGAGACAGTAATTTCCAGATCCAAGGTTCTACCCACAAAACAACCTTAGCACTAAGATGATCGAAACTCCCATGCTTAATATTAGCATACAATATCTAAGATCTCTTTGTGAAACAGGTCTGTGATCTGGACTGGAAATAGCATTGGGAGTGTAATCCCTGTTAACACCTTGTACATGTTCAAGGGAATGGAAGTTTTTCTAGTACAGACTGTAGCAGTGCTAAGACTTGGGAAGGTGACTACCCTACAGAAATGGCTGTTAGTCTTTATTTGGCTCATTGCCCTTTCCAGGAACCTGTGATGGTTTGATTGGCATCTGGCCAGCAACATACAGAGAAGATGCATCCCTTGCCATTCCCCCTTCTTGTCATAAGAGCTTACACAGCTGTGCGTTGAGACAGTCCATTCATTGAACAGGGGTGGCATAGACATGGTTATCTATTGTCAAGACTGTTTAAGCAAGATCTTCAAGTAATGTTTGTTTGTAATGGATGTTTATAAATGGAATGACCTTGAACCTGGACTCTGAGAGTTAAGAAATGTCTGTTTATTTGTCATTTCTTGTTACCCCTGTTTTAATGGAATATTCCTGTGTAAGTCCTACAGAAAGTACATTCTCAGTGTGTAGTTTTGAGTGACTCATTTCAGCAGGAAATTCCACTTGGAAGAAATCTATTTGTAGTGGAATTTCAATAAAAGCTAATACATAATTAAGCAGATTGCTTTTCTGTTTTCTTGCTTACTTTGAAAAACTAGATTTGCAAAAGTTTCTTTCAGTTACATTATTTGCTCAAGTGAACCTTATGATTCTCAACTGATTTGGCAATTAGAACTTTTTTGACACTGTAAAAAAAATTCAGAGAAAGAATTCTGTGAATGAACTGGTGATGCAATTCTTTATACACAACAGTGGATCAGTATTCGGTTCTGAGAAATATATGCTATTTCTGAATGCAACAACTACAACATAATATTTTGCAAGATAATATTCATAATAATGATAATATATTGATAAATCTACAGGTACTGCTTCATATAATGCCAGGAATTTAATCATTACTTACTGGTAAGTCGGACTACAATCACAGGCAGTATATATACAGTTATAAATATAATCTGGGAATCCATTAATCTTTTTTTTATAGGTGAGCACACATGTAGGATGGGTGATTGCGTGCTATATCCAATTCCAAAGCAAACATAAATGGTATCTGATAGGTCAGAATAGGTAAGTTAAGTACTGACATATCCAAGAACTTACACACCTTGAGGATACATGAGCCCTGAGTATTATGAGAAACTCCAGAACACCAGCATGTTATAGTTACAAAAATATTGTCTTGGTAAAATAGAAAATGTAATTACTAGAGTCTTACGATGCTATGCATTGATTTTCATCTCCTGTATCAATATACATACGATTCATTACATAACAAGTTACATTGATGTAAAAACGTGAATATTAAGAGGAGAACCTGACTAAGAACCAGTTTATACAGATTCTGAAGTATTTTCTGGCTGGTTATAAATAGCAGAATCTGTACAGTGCTAAGAAGCTTTTATTTTTCTCCCTAGATTAACACTTAGTCTCTTAATATATATAATTTTGATGGGACACTAATTCCTTTTAAATTGAAAAAGTGCCCCAGTGGGATGGGAGATTCAGAACCTGAACCTGAGGAAATCTAGATTTGCTTCACAAAGGCTTGATGATTCCAGAAAGGACTGACTGGAAGGGAAAATAATGCAGTTCAGGGACTGTTAGACAGAGTAGTTTCTCCCCTACAATGTTCCATCTTTTGAATGCAAATGATGCAAGTTTGTGATTCATGGCCTCCTGTCACTTTGTGTTGTCTCCGGCCATGAAAACTAAGTAAAACCTTGCCAGATTTCTAGAACCAAGAAAATGTTCAGAAACGGAGCCCAACTCCAGTCTGGAATGATCCTAATGCCTCAGCTGAAGCTTTGATATTTAGCGTTGTTCTGGGTTCCATTTGAACTGTTCAGTTTTACTGTTTACTTTGTAGAATGTTTATCTTTTGAAATGAGATAAATATTTCTAGGACAGAGTGTAGATCTGTATAAAACTCAGGGTTTTACCTCGACTCACAAACATGGGGGTCTGGGGGACCCCAATTACTAGTTTTAAGGGTCCTTGCTGACAAATGAAGGTCCTGTGAAGTAACGATGTAGAGAAGTGTACATTTTGATAATTTCTTTAGCGCCTGGACTGACTGACTGACTGAGTTTAGTTTTACGCCGCTTTTAGCAATATTCCAGCAATATCACGGCGGGGGACACCAGAAATGGGCTTAACACATTGTGCCCATGTGGGGAATCGAACCTGGGTCTTCGGCGTGACGAGCCAACGCTTTAACCACTAGGCTACCCCACCGCCCCTTTTTAGCGCCTGGAATGAATCATTGATCATTCGGACTGATGAATAAATGATGCACGTAGCTGCTCTAAAAGAAACAGCCAAATACTTATCAAAGTCATGTGTATGAATACTATTGTGCGTCCCCCTGGATGCAGTGAATTGTTTTTCTGCGTCCAACCTCTACATTTGTGTGTACCAGAAGCACATGTACGCATTGCGTAAAACCCTTGTGTAAAACCCAACTGACTGTAAACCTTGTTTGTCCCCCAGGCTGGTATCCAGGTGATCCAGGAAGGTCTGGCTAAGCAGCCCATGTACCAGGTGTCCTCAGGTGTGGTCCAGGCTGACCAGTCCACCTTCCAGACCAGTCAGCCAACTGCCGTGTCCTCCCAGTCAGTACAGCTAGCCACAACACAACCCACAGTCACAAGTTATGTCCAGCAGGCCAACACAGGGCACACTGTCACCGTGTCACAAGCACCACCCTCATCCAAAGCAGCCACTGCAACCGCCGCAGCAACCAACATCTCAATGCAGATTCCTGCTGGACTTATCCTCCCTGGTGAGTTGCTAGAGTTGCCTCCCTTAGCTACCAGGATTTCCTTGTTATTTGCAGGCAAATATTTCACTGAGCTAAATTATATTACATTTTGACCTCATAAAATATTGACTCTTTGACTCTTGTTATGGGTTCAAAACCTCTGCAGGGATGTACCTTGGTCTATCTATCTTGTTGTTCAAATCAATGCATATCCTCTAAAGCCTTATGGTTATTATACATATCAGTGTTAATATAACCAGCTTTTGACAATTGATCAACTGACTGAAAAAGTTGGGTGTATTTCACATCAAGCTAGAACTGGAAGTAATGTAACTGTAACATGCATTCTACAATTCAAACACACATACTTCCATGCGTCCCTCTCCGTCATGAAATGTTTGGCAAACCTGCATCGTTTTGGGCCTTCCGTTCACATTGATGTGAGCTGTACTGGTATTCCTACTCTTACTTCGGGAAAGTTATATCAAATTTATGCCCATTTCACACAATAGAAGCCGGAATGAGTAGTTTTCCATGATATGAATCTATAACTTTGTACTGACCATGCTAAACATGTCAAACATTAATTCTGTTATTTGCACCATTGTAGACAAAACATGGCAGCTGGTAAATAGTATGACAAGAGCTATAACTATTCATGAAAAGTCCATCAGTATTTACGATTGATTGGTTGGTTTTACGCAAAATCACTTTTCTCCCATTTTCACAATCCTTGTATGTATTTTGTTTGGATTCCAGTGTAGATGTGACACCAGCTGAAGGTATATGACTATGTTACCTGTTACAGGTATATGACTATGTTACCTGTTACAGGTACCCCCATCACTATTCCTATACAGCAGGGTCACCAGGCTGTGGTAACAACCCAGCAACAACAGCAACAACAACATCACCAGACAGTGTATAGGATACCCTCAAGTCAGCTCGTCTCAGTTGCAAGTATGTGAAGATTTCATATAAGTTGCTTGTCTGCTTGTTTCTTGGTTAGAATAGGTCCCAGCATGTTGATTGTACAAAGTGACCATATTAATCAGGTGGTCTGGTCTGTGACTTTGTTCACAGCATGTCATCATACCCTACGTTCTTGGGTCAATGCTTATGTCAGTCACTGGATTGTCTGGTATATACGCTATTATGTAAAGCCACTGCCATATAGCTGGAGCATGGTGATAAACAACTGTGACGGATTGATGGCATTAAAATCAACACTGATATTTTGTGACAATTTGGGATTAAAACATCACAGTTTGTACAGCTTCTTTTATTGTTATTTTCTTTCTTATTTTTAGATAACACTGTGTTATAAGGCATGTAAACAACAAGTTCTTGGTTGTTGCAGGTAGTCAGTTAAATACAAGTAGCAGTGATACATCCCAATCACCTGTTTCATCAGTGTCAAGCACTCCCTCCAACATCACCATGGTATCTGGTAAGTCTTATAATTGTAAACCTGGAACAAACACATCCTCTACCAGCACCGTTCTGTCTGGTTAATCTTCCCCATCTCTCAGCAGCATGAATGTGATATGTTATTTGTAGATTGATTCATGATGGATCCTATGCAGACCCTACATTTTGTTCCACATTTAGATCACATATATAGGGACGGTGGAGTAACCTTGTGGTACCCACTTGGGTACAATTTTTGAAGAACATTTCTGTCGTCTCCAGACATGATATTGCAGGAATATTAGGAGCACATAGTGGTTAGCATGCTGGCCTCTCACACCAAAGGCCCGGGTTCGAATCCCAGTGGAGACACCAAAATTTGTGAACTGGGTCTCATACTGTGTTGTGTCCTTGGGCAAGGCACTTCATCCACATTGCACTCAGTCCACCCAGCTGTTCAAAATTGGTACCTGAGAAGCGGATGTACGGACCTATACAGTCTCATGAAGTGCTTAGTAACGGCTTTGAAAGTACAATTCCGTCAGGGTAAAATGTAACATCAGAGAGCAGCATCATGTTGGATCCTAGGTGCAAAAATTAGCCTTTTTATTATTTTATTATTAATTAAAAGGTGGTGTAAAACTAACCTCACTCACTCACACTCACTTTTCCACCTGTAGACTTCATATAAATATCTGTTAGGGGCAGCATTTTTATTTTTTGTGTTTCTCAACACTTCTAATTTTATTGCCGACTCCCCCCAAACCTTTTTTTTTCATTCCAACACCGCCCACTCAAACCTAAAACATACATATAAAATGTTTATCTTTCTAAAATGTTTTAATCTGTTGCTGCCACAAGTCCAAAAAAAGGCGAGAGTTTGTAATAAGAATTACAACAAATGAGTATCCATAACATTATTTGGATAATTTTGTTTTTATTAATTTTGGGAGTATTTTTTTATTTCTCCTGCTCTCTCACCCTCTCTCTCTCTCCCTTACTCTTTCTCTTCCCTCCCCTCGACGGCCCTCCCCATGTTCAGAATTTGGTGGCTTCGTGAAACACACACAAAAAAATGATGCCCTTATACAGATGATGATGGTATATCTGATGTTTCTTGTATACATAATAAAGGTGACTTATACAGATGACTTTAATCAATTACCTGTCTGCATCCACCTTGCAGCAGATGGGCTACTTCCAGGCTCGGCATCAATGAGTGGCAATGCAATGACCCCCGGGATTGTGATGTACCAGACACCCCAGGGTGTGGTGTATGCCACGCCCACTGCCACATTACAGGACCGGGGGACCATCTTCAACTTCCAGCAGCCTGCCACAGCCATATCCATGCAGCAACAGGACCAGCAAGGTAGTAGCCTCATCACATAGGTAGACTTCGGGCTACTGTGTCATGGCAACTTTCAAAACATTCATTATTCAGAGGTAGATAGAGTCGGTTTGTATATAATTTCTGTCTAATTTCAGAAAAGGGGATTGTGTGAATTCCTAAAATATCTTGTAGAAGATTCAGTGTCAATTTGTAATTGTTTCAATTTGTCCAAATATTGCTCTTTGGAACAAGCAGTGCTGGCAGAAAGTGTGGGTAGCATTGGCATACCCTCTCTGTGATCCAAAACCAAACATTCTTCCGCTCACTAGTATATTGGGCAAGTTAGAAAGACACTTATGTTCAGACTACTTTGAATTTGTGTTTCCAGTTGGAAGTGGAACTCAGCAGATCATTACAATTCCAGTCCCAGTGTCACTTGCAAATTCAGGACAGGTACGTAACTCATGTGTATTAATCAAATTGAGTTTTATGGTTAGTTGTCCATATTTTGAATCAGGCTAGTGAACATGTTTCATTATTATATACAAAACTGAAAGCTTGTTCGTCTGATAATGCCATCTCAAAATATCTACATACATATTCAGGAATGTTTCCCTCTACTTATGATTTGTTTATCCCTGAATTCCTTGTTTGAATTATTTCATGGCAGCCTTTGCTGATCATAAGATCGACCAAATAGATCAGCAGGTCAAGCTTGATCCATCCTACCTTGACAAGCTAAAGAGTTGTTTGCAAATATCAATTGCTGGGTCCCATTTGACAAAGCGGTCCTAACTCCCATACTTTAACATAGACTTACGACAGTTGTAGCACTACAATCGCTTTGTGAAACCGTCCCCCAGACTTTTTGGTTCAGACTAAATGATTTTCAGACATGTGACATATAACTGGTGTACTGTATTCCTGTACATTGATGAAATTACTGTTCCAGGTGTTCCACCTTACAACAGCTCACCAAGAGGCAGTGGAGGTGGCGCCCCCTCCTGTGAAGAAAACACGCAAATGAAGGGGGAGAGAATATGGCATGTCACACATTGGACAGCATCCTGTGCGGCCTCAGAGTCCTGTGTTTGGTTCCCTCGTGAGGGAGATGAGCTCCAGATGTCTATCACATTTCATCACTCTTGGTGCTGTAGGAATGACGACAGACCATGATGTGCAATGGTTTCTGATATGGTGCCTGATGTGGCCTCTTACCCGGTGATACCCACTCCTGCATCTGTAACCTTCATAACATCCATTGGACCAGGATTGTTGTTATGGGATCCATGAGGGATTTTCATTTTCCAAAGATTTCATATCTACCTGAATGGTTTAGACCCGGAGGTACTGTTCAGATGAAAGAAATCATGAAAAATAGATTTCATTTGCAAAAGTGTGTGATGTTGCATTTGAAACTGTTTGTGGTGTATGTTTCATGAAACTACCGGAATTCTGGTCAGTCTAGGATGTATCCGTTGTCAATCCTTTTGAGACAGCTGACCTCGAAGGCAGCCCTGAAGGGATTGGTTAGAGTTACGTTGAATGATGCCATCACAGCATTCAGTGCATGAGCCCATTTAGAGTTGTCTCCCTTAAAGCTAGACATGTGTGAAGGGGTCTCAGGCTGAGAGTTGATATAATTATACCCCTATCCGGGATAGTGCTTTCATTGCTTGCCAAAATACATATTGTTATTTGTCAAGTTTGTACTAACTATGAACATTGTTATGTGATTTGCTTGATTAAATTAAGAAATCATGAATTTAATGCATCGTGCCATTTTACATTGTTAAGGTGCATAGTAAAGAAGTAAATTTGATATTTGTTTATCAATACTTATATTTTCACAGGATGTAACATGAATTTAAGTTAACCATCATGATCATAATGAACGCAACTTTGTCCTTGGTCATACCTTAGTTTAACTGGCTGTTTCATGCTTTTGTAAAAAAATTCTCTCACTAGAGGTATGGTTTATGCTATTTATAAAGGATTCAGCCATTCAAATAATGTATCTAAAAATGCTTAGTGGTATTCATTATTGTGGAGAGAATCATGGTTTTGATACTAAATCAATTTTGACAACATGAAACCTCAAAAAGAAACAAAGGCATGCTGCTAGTTAAAGTCCCTTTGCCTGCTAGTCTGCATTTATAAATGGCACATGCCATCTTTAGCCTGAAACCTCAGTGAATTCGTCAAGGATTGTATTTAGTGCTTCATGCATAGATGCTTAGTTATTCACTTGTATGTATTAGACCTGAAATATGAAATATTTTTCCATTTTGTAAAGTGGTAAAAGTTGTTATGGATTGTCCTGTTCTAAATTTGTAACCACCATGGTAAAGGTGAACAATGTTTTGTTGATGTGCAGTGGAGTTCTTGGAATATTGTTAGTGAACTTATCGTGAGCTCGATCACTGGCATTTGAAAATATTTCCGTTATTTTTCTTGATTACATATGAACTTGAAAGACCTGTACTGTGTTTGATGCCCAGCGCCACTGAGATCAATGTTGTAAGATGTTGTCTTGAAGACAGTACAGTGATGTAATATAAAAGTGCCTCTACTGACTTGTTCTGATAGTGAAATTTTGTGTCAGCTTATCACTATTTTAGCTCTATGCACATTTCCTGAATTTGTCTGTGAGTTTGCTTATTTTAAGGTAGCAGTATACTTTTGCTTGAAATTGATACCGAATTCTGGGACAGTAGGGGTTCCATGTAATCCCTTTCCATAAACAGGATTGTGGTGACGTGATGCATATGAAGTTCATGCTCTACATCTACATGTATTGTTGAATGGCTGGCCCTCAAGGAACCTCCCCCAGCTCTTGTTAAATACTCCACTAGCAGCGGTAACTGTGTCTGTGTCACAGAGCTGCAGTCTGTTTCAGAAAGTTTTCCAAATAGATATCCGATCCAAATCTGCATTACACCTTGTATACTTCTGCAGAGGTTTGGAATCATGATCTTAAGACAAATGCATCATATTCACATCCCAACATTTGCCTTAAAATACCATTATTTTTCTATCTGCAGCAGTATATTAACTTATCAAATGCAAAGTCAAGGTTACAAATGTTGGCCAAAATTCTGTACCCTCTGGCTGAGTCCAGTGTTACAAGTATTCAGGAAGTTGCATTATCAATGATATAAGTGCAAATATTTGAAAGCAAACAAAAACCAATTGTGCTGCATGTGAATTACATTTATTTTATGTAAGGGTTAAAGTGAATTGTGCTGCAGAGTTAAAGTGAGGTGTGCTGTGGTATGTTCCAAATCTGGAATCTGTGAGGAAAACACCAACGAAGAGACTGTTAGCTACTACTTCATTTATTATCAAGATCCACAGGTTCAGTTGTCAGGTCACACTTTTCCTTTAGATATAGTTGCAGTATGTCAGGGATACCTGTTCCTCCTATTTGGCCCAAAGTCAGCAGCAAACATTTAACGTTCGTAAATTGGAATCGAAAAATGTCCAGTCATTGTTAGTATATGTAATTAGTACATAATTTTGGCTTTTGGAAGGTAACCTGTACTTCACTGATAACAGGACCTGTGGAAAGAAAGAGAATTTTGGCAGTTGCATTGAATTGCAATCTCAGTGTACAGTGTCAAAAAACGTCTGCAGTGAATGAATTTGCAGCTTCTTTAAAAGTCCCTATTTTTGACCAAAATATGGACTTTGCTCAAGGAACACAAAGTTTAGAATCTTATATACATAAGTCCCTGAATGTATGATATGTGAAAGGTTGATTCATCTGGGCCTCTTTGCACAAAGTGATCTCGGCGCTTCAGCTATTGTAGATGTGCGTTAACATATGGCATTTACGATTACCTTAGTCCTAAGATAGCGTTGCACAATGTGGCCCAACTTTTCACTTTACGTCACAATACATCAAGTCAGATCAAGTGTTCAGTTGTGTCTTGCAATGCTTATCTTCAAGGAAAACTGTAATTGTTGGGCAGATAAACATTACACCATTAAACGTCCCATGCAAGACATTTTATTACTGCTTCATTCAATGTCACTTTCTTATTCCTTTGTAAAACAATCGCACTGGACATTTCTAACGGTCGTCATCTTGAGAACCAGTTGGTTGATTGGTTGAAGTGTTATATTTCTTATTGCATATCTATTGAAGGGCATTGGTAAATTGTTTCTTCCACACATTCGTGTTTCTTTTTAGCTGTTTGTTTTGTTTCTTTGTTTACTTCACCAAGAACACATTTTGATGTCTTGTTTATTAATCACATGATGTTGTTCAGGATTGAAAAGTGTGTGTCACCAAGGTTGGTGATCACTGTTGTTAACCATGGTGGCCCACAGGTACTTTGATGAGAATCAAAGGACTCTTTGGAAAAATTGTTTCTGACGTACAAAATGTTTGAAGTTATGAATACTCAACATTTTTAGAGAGGGATCAAATGTAAACTTGATATTACGGATTTCACTTTCTCAGTAAGGTACACATTCATGTAATACAATGTATTTGAAATAATATTTAATGATGATTCAGGTAAAAAAATCACAAATGTTTTGAGATACCAGCCTGCTCACATAGTATAGATTCCATTGCTCATTAATTTTAGGTTGGGCATGACTTCAGGCTGGTCATTCATATTCTTGAAATCATCAAAGATGCAGAAAAGCTGCATGTAAGTATCCAGGTGTTTATCAAGCAACTATGTCATCTACCAAACGAAATCATTACCAGATGGGTTGTATTTATCTGATGTAGAATGCTTGATGTGTACTTAATGGAGCATGAGAGAGTTATTCATATTGTCAACATCACTTGTAGGCCAGTGGGTGGGTTGTCAGTTGTATACTGCATTTTAAAAGTGACACTCTTTGACAGTGGGGGAAGTTTTGTGTTAAATTTTCATGTTTAATGATACCAGAGTATTTTCTTTTCAAGCCAGTGTCGATGCATTTAGAGTCCTAACCTAAGTCCTATGGTGATGACAGTTGCATTTGTATATTTTAGAGTTGACGCTTAAATTATTTGGATACTAATTTAGTAACATTGTTCAATGCTTTTGTATTTATATTGTATATTTTCCATTGCCAAAATGAATAATGCGCATGAAGCAGGAAGTACTGTTGTTCATCTTAATGTCCAGTGTGTTACCTTGATCCAAAGTCCCTTCTTCCTTGTGTATGGAGAATCACCCTAACCACTGACAGGCCAGACATTGTGATGTTAAGTATTTTGTTGATAATCAGATTAAATATTGGAAGTATTTATTTATGAAATGTTTGCTATTTATTCTACCAGTGTCTGTCTGTTACTATGTGCTTCACCACCATGTTGTCATGGAAACAGATGCTCTATTTTGTATCTATGGTGGACTGGACCTTCATATTTTTGTACTATTTGCAATGCAATAAAATGTTAAAAACCACCTTTTTCTTGTGTCAAAAGTAGTTAACTCACCTGACTCTTTATTTGTTGGTGGGGGTGGGGTAGCCTCATAGTTAAAGCGTTCGCTCATCATGCGGAAAACCTGGGTTCGATTCCCAATATGTGAAGCCCACTTCTGGTAACCCCTGACTAATATTGCTGGAATATTGCTAAAACCAGAGTAAAGCATTGGATCCACTTTTACATTCTCCACGTCTTGTCTCAAACCACAAGGCTTATGATGCTAAAGCTTTGCACTGATGTTAATAACAATGGTTTAAAGCTTCTTATAGAATTTTATTCTGTTCATACACATGGCAGCTGTACTCAAAATTCTGTATATATTATTGTGAAAGCGTATGAAATGTAGACAAGTATTCATGCCGTTTTTGCATACTTTGATATTTCATGTTGCTGTGTCACATGACTTTTAAACCCCAGTTTATCAAGTTTATTGCCTTTTTCACATCTCGGAAAAAATAAGCGCTCACTTGCACAAAGCGATATCAGCACGCTACAAGAGTCATAAGCCAGTGTAAGAGTATAGGAGTCAGGGTAATTGTTCCACCTAGATCGCTTTGGCCCAATGGGTTTATGGGCTGAAACTACAAGAACATCCCAGCAATGTGTCCGTTGACTCGTCACTCTGCCATCTTGTCACATTGGAGTCGGCAATGGCGTACTTAAAAGTCTATTTGGTTTAAGCTTCCACAGTCATATGGTAGGAATGAATATCATCACTTCATAGCTGTAGCTTAGATAGTGGCAACCAACAATTGATAACTACCGGTATACGTGCGGCGGGGGATATAGTGTTAGGCTCAGTCCGTACGTACGAATCGGAATATCTTAAGAACTGTTGACTAGATTCTTTTCATATTTGGTACCTAGCTTCATCACAGTATAAGAAAGGACCAACTCAGGTTTGGTGACCTTGACCTTCATTTCAAGGTCACAAGGGGACTTGAACGTTGTTCCTGCATGTTAAGCTACCTCAAGAACTGTTCCCTGGATTTTCTTCTTATGTAACACCAAGCTTCATCTAGGGAAGGCCCAGGGCTCGGCCAATTTTGGTGACCTTCACATAATTGTCAGGGTCACGACGACACTTTGAAGATTTCAGCATGTTAACCTGAATTGTCAGCAAGATATTTCAAGAACGGTTCACTGGATTTTCTTCATAGACATTCAAGACTTCCCTTGAATGTTTTTCAATAAGTAATTTCTTTAGTACTATTTTTGCATATTTCATATACTATGACATTCATGTCAAGGTCAAAGTGAGTCTTGAAAATATGTGTGTGTTTGAACAACTGAAGAGCAAGATATCAAGAGAGGTTGACTGGTCATGTTTTTGTTGACATTTAACTTCATCTGAAACTTTCATTACTTTATAAGTTTGATTTGATAATTTGCAGCGGGGGATTATGTCACCTTAGTGACAATGCTTGTTTAAAAAAGAAATATTCATAATTTTATAATGATATTATTAATGATGTTTCCAGACATACACAGGAGACATTCACGGTTGACTAACTTGGCAAAAATCATCTGCTAGTACAATTAATGAATGTTGCAAAGTGCCACAGTCAGCAATATATGCATCATGGTTGTCTGCAACCCAAGTGGAACTTGGGCACAGGGCCATGCTCACCAATACAAACTACAATATATATGACAGTGAATTCTTTGAATAATGTGGACCAAAGTTATAATTATTGGTAACTGCCAGTTGTCTGTGGGATGAGTTTGTCGCGTGTTTATTGTTAGTGGACTATTTTTCTTATTGTCATATATATATAGATGAAATATGGACACTTAAATAATATATTTTGAATCAAAAGTTGACTTCTCCTATCCATGAGAGATATGATTTTGACACTGATTTTGACGGTCAAGTTTGGGGGTCGGCTTATCCATGGGGTCGGCTTATAGACGGTCATATACGGTAATGAGATCTGGCACAAGTTATTACAGTCTGTATAAGAGAAATAGTCTTGAACACAACATTAAACACATCTCCACCCGCTTGCCAGTTTATTAAAAGGCAATATTTCATACATTTTCTGACACGGATGACAGTAACAAGGACATATTTTACCGCCGTTACCTTCAGTATCATGCAAGCACCACCAGAATCTGACAACATTTGTAGTGTGATCTTAACAGGATCAGACTTGGTTGACACATGGCATCGTATCCCAATTGCGTAATTGATGTTCATGCTGTTGATCACTGGATTGTCTGGTCCAGATCTGATTATGTACAGACCACCGACAGCTCAAATAGTGCTGAGTGCGGCGTTAAACGTTACACTGTCAAACTATCTATCCCATTAAAGATACATACTATTGATAGTTTTGAAACTTTATTGAAAATCTCCCACATTTATAAACAGACAGACAGACATTATATTTCAGTAATGTAGGCCATTGGCCCATAATATAAACAAAATACAAATATAAATAATACATACATGCTGGATGTAGGATAACGATTGAAATACAAGATCAATTAATTGTAATGGTGGGTTTACTTCTTACTCTTAATACAGCAGAAGGGATTGTACTTTATGTTTTTATATAATATATGTTGTTACACATGGATCTCGCAAGAACATTGGCTGCATTAAAACGTTTATATGTATCTTCAAGCAGCGATTTTATGACTGCTTCCTTCAAAACTGGTGCTTCTCACTTGGCAGTAAAAGGCAGAGACGTTGATCATAGGGTATATTTGTGTGGCGGATGGTTTCCACTGCTAGACTAAAGTTGTTACAGCAGAACATGGTTATAACTTTCCGTTGATGTGGCAGGAGGTCACAGGACAAGTAGTGTTCAACATTAAGTAGAGATTTAAATTGTGAATAATATTTACATTTAGATGAAGAGTCAAGTGAGAAGCGCCAGATTTGAAGGAAGCAGTCATAAAATCGCATCTTGAAGATACATATAAACGTTTTAATGCAGACAATTTCTTGCGAGATCCATACAAACCAAAAACCATACAGAAAAAGGATTAGTCTTATTCGTGATGCCCAGGTAGATTTATTACTATCATCCAGAGATTTGAGCATTTGGTAGGCTTGATAAGGAAGTCTATGGTGTAGCTGCATCAGTCTGCACTGGTCAGTATGATGATCTGGAGGTATAGTGATACTGGTCAGGCTTGTTCACTTGGTTGTGACATATGTCATCGTATCCCATCCGTGCTGTTGATCACTGGATTGTGTGGTCCATACATTATTATATTTACAGACCGACTGCTGATCGAGTGCGGCGTTAAACAACAAACCAACCAACCAAAAGTACATAAAAATTGGGCGGTGTTTGATTAAAGCTCATGTGTATATATATTGACGGAGCATACATTTGAAATTATTCATGACAAGAGCATCCTAGGACAAAAAAATACGATGCAAATTACGATGAAATCCAGAAATGCAGAGATCATATACCGATATGGTCTCTTGAGAAATGTCAACTAATGTTGTTTTCTATTTGGAAGCCTTTGAAGAAACGATTTCACGATTTCTGAAGTACGTTTATCAAACAAGTACCCATCAGAAGGACTCCGCTAAAAAGGGATATCTCTCTCTTTCTCATATAACCGATTTATCCCCTACATGACAATCATTCCTATTGTATTAGCCCTGATTCGAAAGTCGGAGGAGTTTCGAACAGAGTTCCCGGATCGTCCCTAGTTGTCCCTTAAAAACGCAGGAAAAACTGGGCCCCGTCTCTTCATATTTATTATTGACAACACGCATGGAAAGTCGGGAACCAGCTTATAAGAGAGGCCTGGTTCCCGGGGTCTGCTGCGCCAACGCTTCGAAGCTCGCTGTCAGGAAACCAGTCTTCATCAAATCCGTCATCGTACGATTGTATACGGATTAGTCACATGACATAGTCAGGTGATCCCGTGGATATTGTTCAGACTGTGACCAGTGAACTCGTCGAAAAGATGGAAGCTAAACTGTTGACTTTTGCTGTTTTAGTTGGGTTTTTGTCTGTAGTTCACAGCGACAAACTAAAATGGAAGGTTTGTGGTAAGTATTCTCCATGTTATACTTGTTAGTAAGTTCAGTATCAGCCGTAGTCGTGGAAATTGTGGATGTACGAACATCTCCTTCCGTCTTCCAACAGTTCGCCGAGATTATTTGGCCTTCATAGCAACGACTGAACGAGTCGCACCTTCCTGTTCTTCATGATTTGAACAAAGATCAAATGCTCTAATTCTACACTTAATTTTAGTTATTCAGATATGTAGATCTATCTAATTTTCATCACATACAGTTACAACTTCACTGTCTTCAGGCGGATTACAGTGCTAACAACGAGGTGCCCAAAGTGGTGCGATTATAGAATATGTTGTAACTATTTTACAATGTTTACCAATAATCCTTTCCTTTAATACTCACACACATGGTTAGGTTAGGGTTAGGGTGACGAACATATCCTATAGCGGCTCCATTTTTTTATATTTCTATGTACAAAATTGCTGACCCCTCCCTACTACATGTGAACAAAGTTGCTCACACACACACCCCACCTCCCAACACACACACACACACCTCTCCCCAGAACAAAATGGGTGACCCCTCTTTAAATCATCATCCCCCAACCTAAATTATGAACGGTTCGGTCCGTAACATGTCCAGTACCCGTACAATAAATGCACATACAAATTACAATGGTTGTATTTTAACATGCACAGTACACATACAATGGTTGTATTATAACATGTACTGACATGCGAACAGTTATCGCCATATTTTAGCGGTATTTACAAAATTACTCCACGGTTCATTACATTAATGAAACAGAATTAAGTATACGGTAATTGTAATTGACAGGAACTGCGCACATGTGATACTGATGTATTGGCAATAACTGCTCGCTAGCCAGTGACTGTGCAAAACATTTCTGTTTTTTGTTTTATAAAAATCACTCCGAGAGATGCATAATAAAGTTAGCCTTGTCTTTTTCATTCATTTTGTTTAGCTATAAAGCAAAATGTGTTTTCACTATTCAACATCCTTCAAACACATCTAAGGGAGACAAACCTGCAAGATTGTGTAACAATACTAACATCCTGAGCAAAAGAATGTTGAAGTGATGTTTGTGTTGAAACATTGACAATACTTGAAAAAGAATTAATTTTGTCACAGATAACCAGCACTGCAAGTAGCACAGAACACATTTCATGCTAGTGATGTTACAAGTTTTTGTATGGCAAGATATGTTTTTGTTGAAAACAGCCATAAACTTTTTTCAGGTTAATTGAAACTTGTATTTAGCTATGTATAGTGATGGGACACATGAAATCTGGCATTATTGTCTGTTGAGGGGTTTTACATGACGCGGGTTTCCTGCGTAGTTGACACAACAATTTTGTTAAAGACTCTCAAAATATTATCATACGAGTCAGGCTTGACGCAAGTTTTATGAGTGACCTTCAGAATTCAGTTCAGAGTCAATAAAATCGATTTGATAGCACACAATGATACTTTTTGTGAGGTCTTCATTAATTTAGATATTTCTTTCAAATTAATGTTAATAACTGTATGTTACAGTGAATTAATCACAAGCCTGATTATTTGTTCAGTATACTGGAGTTTGTTATGAATGAACTGAACTGTGAAAAATATACTATTTATTAACTAACATATAAATGACAATACAACACAAAATAATAAAATCTTTGCAAAACTCTTGGTTTTTGATATACACACATAAATATTACGCAAAATTTTTCACAACATCCAAATATTGAAAATGACTCCCAAAAATGAATACTGTGGGTCACCATGACTCTCTTTTTTCAAAGTCTGTGTAAAACCCTGCTGTTGTATTTCAGACAATTCCAAATATGAAGGCGTGGTGGCCACAGTTGACACTAATGCTACTGTAAGTGAAGGGGAAGCATATCTCAAGAGAGGCACCAGCGTTGCTTTTGACGTGTCCTTCAAGACAAGTAAGTTTGTAGTTTTATCTCATTCATAAATCATGTGTACTGGAAACAAAACTTGTGCTACCTTAACTTCTCAGTTCTTGTTGCTAACTGAACATAAATGATATGAATGGCAAGTCTTTATGGACAATCAACTGCTGTATTGTGCAATAGCGACGTTTTGGCATAGATACAGTACAACCAGAAATTATTGAGAATTTAAAGATTGTAATTTTTTTTATTTTTTCACTCATTACTCACATATTAAATGTGAATATTAGCAGAACATAACTCCAGATTCAAAGACAGGTGAACAGTTAGTATTTTGTCAAGTCGCCATGGGCAGCAATGCAGGCTTCAATGCGGCGGGGCATACTACTGATCAAAGAAGTTAGAAAGTCGTGGTCCAAGCTGTCCCAATATCGGACCACCTCTTCTTTCATTTCAGTAATATTTGTCAGATTTTTCTTATTGACACTTTCCTTCATAAGTCCCCAAACATTTTCTATTTGATTTAGGTCAGGGCTATAGCTTGGCCAATCTAATAATGTCATATTTTGGGTCCGAAACCAGGCCTGTGAATGCATTGAACGGTCCGAAACTAGGCCTGTGAATGCTTTGAACGATGTTTTGGGTCGTTGTCCTGCTGGAAAATCAAAAATATTCCATAGAACACGTGAGCAGATGGAAGTAAATGTCCCTCGAGAAAATCTGTGTACCGCTCACTGTTCATATTCCCTTCAAATACACAGAGGGGTGTTGCCTCTAACACAGATATGCCACTAGCATATCTGTGATTGCCACCCCACACGTTAAATTTCGGAATGTACTTTGGGCGCTGATGCAAAGGTTTTTCAGTTTGTTTGGTCCAGAATTTCAGTGTATTAGGAAACAGCCATACAGAACTTTCATCTGAGAAAATCACATTGTCCCAGTTAAAATTTCTATCCATTTGCAATATTTTTCAAAACACAATAAACAGTGGACAAAGGGATGCCTGTTCTACTTGAAATCACTTTAGCTGATCTGATGTCCTTGTTATAATACTCTAGAATCAACTTCCTCCTCTCTAAATCATCCATACTGAGGATCACTGAAAATGTCGTCTGCTAGCAAGTAAACAAAGGGGGATAACTCTTCACAAACTAATGAAAAAGGATTAACAGAGTTTTCTCTCTTGAATGAAACCAAGCACTTGATAGCTGGTCAAGGTTGTTTATACTAGAAATCCAATTAAACATATTCTTAAAATTCTCAATAAGTTCTCGTCATACTATACCTATACTGTTTTCAAGCATGAGGTGGTGAATGGATACAGCAGCATATATATAGGGTACATGAGAGCTGACAATGACAATGGATGATAAACAAGATGATTAACAATGTAAACAAGCATAATTATACATGAGACAGGCCAAGGCAAGATAAAAGTATGATGGAAAGGTTACCAGTGAGGGTGTGTATAACTTTTATCCCCTGCCGCGCGAAGCGTTGGGATATAGTATTTAGGCTCTGTACGTACGAATTGGAATATCTTAAGAACCGTTGACTGGATTCTTTTCATATTTGGTACCAAGGTTCATCACAGTAAAAGAAAGGTCCCAGTCAGGTTTGGTGACCTTGACGATAATTTCAAGGTCACCAGGGGACTTTAACGTTTTACCCTTGTCAGCGAGATATCTCAAGAACCGCTCACTGTATTTTCTTCATATTCAACACCAAGCTTTAGCTAGTGAAGGCGCAGGGCCCAGTCGATTTGACCTTCACCTAATTTTCAAGGTCATAACGACACTCTGAAGATTTCAGCATCGTTAACTGCATGTTAAGATTGTCAGCGAGATATCTCAACAACCGTTCACTGGATTGTCTTCATATTCGATATCAAGCTTCATCGGGGGAAGGCACAGGGCCCAGTCAATTTTGGTGACCTTCATATAATTTTTAAGGCCATGGCGACACTTTGAAGATTTCAGCATCGTTAACTGCATGTTAAGATTGTCAGCAAGATATCTCAAGAACAGTTCACTGGATTTTCTTCATAGACTTTCAAGGCTTCCCTTGAATGTTTTTCAATAAGCAATTTCTTTATTACTATTTTTGCATATTTCATACACTAAGACATTCATGTCAAGGTCAAAGTGAGTCTTTGTGCATTTGAACAACTACAGAGCAAGATATCAAGAGAGGTTGACTGGTCATGTTTTTCTTTACATTTAACTTCATCTTAAATTACGACCTTCACTTTCATTACTTTTTAAGTTTGATTTGATAATTTGCGGCGGGGGATTATGTCACCTTACTGACAATGCTTGTTTCTTTTTCGGTGGTGTGTGTGTGCATGTGTGGAGATCATTTAGAGAAGCCAGAAAGAGGGTGATAGATGATTGGATTAATTAGTTTTGGATTAGGTGGTCGTAAGCTGATGGGATGAATTAGCCCTGGTCCCTATTAAGTTTTGGGTGGTGTCTTTTTATCTGTAGTGCTTCATCTTATCAGGGACCCGTGGTAGAATAGGTCTTCAGCAACCCATGCTTGCCACAAAAGGCAACTATGCTTGTCGTAAGAGGCGACTAACGGAATCTGGTGGTCAGGCTCACTGACTTGGTTGACACATGTCATCGGTTCCCAATTGCGCAGATCGCTGCTCATGCTGTTGATCACTGGATTGTCTGGTCAAGACTCGATTATTTACAGATCGCCGCCACATAGCTGGAATATTGTTGAGTGCAGCGTAAAACTAAACTCACTCACTCATCTTACCAGGGTTGGTGACAGTCATAAGTGATCATCCATAAAGACTCGTCATTTGTATTACTTACTACTTCCAGAATGCCTCTCAAACAGTTTAACATAAATGATGTGTTATATTTACTGTTTGTTTCTTGTTCAATGCCGCATTTGGCAGTACTCTAGCTATCTGGCAACATGCTGTCAATAACTGAGTCTGGACCAGACAATTGTCACTAACAATATGAACAATGATCCACACTGTCAGGTACGATGACACATTGTCAGCAAAGTCACTGAGACTAAAATCCTTGAGCTGCTTCATTTGGGGCTTTTGCATTGTAGTTAGGGCTTGGTGGATGGGAAAATAATATGGTCGCCGACAGTGACACAGACTACAAGTCTGACCACCTAGTCCTGTTGACAGTTGGGGATGGTGGGGTAACCTTCTGGTTAAAGCATTCGCTCGTCACGCCAAAGACCCGTGTTTGATTCCCACATTGGTACAATGTGTGGAGCTCATTTTTGGTGTCCCCTGCTGTGATGTTGCTGGAATATTGCCAAAAGTGGCGTAAAACTTCATTCACTCACTCAGTCTTAGGTCAAGCATGGGTTGCTGAAGACAATGTTAGTTTTGTCTCACAAGACTTTGGATCGATGCTCATGCTGTTGATCAATCATTGTCTGGTCCAGATTCGATTATTTACAAACTGTAGCCATATAGGTGGAATTTTGCTGAGTGTGGCTTTAAACAACAAACAAAACAAACACAAGATTTTGTCTTAAACTGCTGCATGCGACACGAAGCAGAAAACAAAGCTTGATTGTCCTGATGATAAACCAAATGACAAGATCATAAGAATATAATGTTGCAAGGTGATGATGTTAATGTCTGCAAAAGTAGCATGCACCAATAATAGTGTTTTCCTATATTTTTTAACACACTTCACACACCATTAAATCTTTTGCCACAGTTACCATAAAGTATAGCTTGATATGTCCTGTATTTTGTTGAAGATGTTGATGTCACAAGTGCGACAGCTGTGGTCCATGGAGTTATTGATGGTGTGCCAGTTCCATTCCCTCTGATAACCCGAATGCCTGTAAAGACTGTGGATTGACCTGTCCACTGAAAACAGGAACAGGTTATAAATACACGGCGGTGATTCCTGTAAAGTCTCTCTACCCAACGGTAGGTACTAGGTAGCATGGAATGGCATCCTTGATTGAAACCATATAGCAAACTGCATGAACTGAACTTCTCATAATGGCAGAGTTCGAAATTAGGCATGATGTGCCTTTGTCAGAACCATAATTTGTCGTAAGAGGCGACAAACAAGATCGGGTGGTCAGGTTCGCTGACTTGGTTGACACATGTCATCGTACCCCAATTTCGTAGATCGACATAATTTGTCGTAAGAGGCGACAAACAAGATCGGGTGGTCAGGTTCGCTGACTTGGTTGACACATGTCATCGTACCCCAATTTCGTAGATCGATGCTCATGCTGTTGATCAATTGATTGTCTGGTCCAGACTTGATTGTGTACAGACCGCTGACATACAGCTGAGTGTGGCATTAAACAACAACCAAATCAGAACCATAATGTTAAAAAGTTAAATATTTAATGAGTTCTGTTTTTGTGTAAACAAGCATACCACTTCACTTTTGAATTGGGATATTGAAATGAATCTCATGACAAGTGATTTGCATAGATATTCGACATTTCATTATTTCTGTCAAATGTTGAGAGTATTATATTCTAGCATGAAACCCATGGTATGTTCTTTAATTTTTATCACTGTAAATGTTTTGTGAATTGTTGTTTTGATGGCATTTCTGGCATACTAGGTAAAGATCTATGTGTGCTTGTGATCATGCTTATGGTATTTTCCTTCTTCCTGTTTATCCCTTACAATCTTCTCTGCCTGAGAGGGGCGGTGGGGTAGCCTAGTGGTTAAAGCGTTGTATTGTCACGCTGAAGACCCGGGTTCGAATCCCCACAATGTGTGAAGCCCATTTCTGGTGTCCCCCGCCGTGATGTTGCTGGAATATTGCTAAAAGCGGCGTAACACCAAACTCAGTCAGTCAGTCTGCCTGAGAGTTAAAGACAAATGATTGAGGGTTGTAATTTTCATGAAGAATGGGAGATAATTTGAACTTATGAAGTAGAAGTATTGTATTTGGATGCAAATTGTATCACACTTATATTCTGGGATACATATGTCATGCCCTCATGGTACAGTTATCAATAGAGATCGATAATTGTTAACTAAATATTGGAGATGTAACTTTGAGCAAGAATCCCAAAAATGTCTGCAAGAAATGAATATATTTCACATGACTTGAGAGTTGTGCCATGATTTTCCATGGATTATTGGCAAAACAGCTTCCTGAACATAATTTAGAAGCAGACCATGAATAAAGTCCCCAAATTGCATATTGTGTGAGAAGTGTAAAGCCTTTTTCTTTCCCTATAGTTAATGTACAATGTTATCGATAACACTAAGTTTCATATCGTTAACCATTAATTAATTTTCCTATAAAATGATATTTCCCACTATTAATCATTTTAGCCAGCCCCAGTGACCAATCATGTCCCTCACTCAGTAATAAGACTTCATGCTGCTTTAAGTGCAGTACAGTAACCATGGTAGCTGTCAACACAGGTGTATCACTCTCTGAAATAATGTACCTCGTGAACTTCAGTACAAATTTACAGACCTGCCAAGATCCGGGTTAGAAATGATCTTCAGTAACCCATGTTTGTAGTAAAAGGCGGCTAACCGGATCAGGTTGTCAGGCTCGCTGACTTGGTTGCCACATGTCATCGTATCCCAATTTCGGAGATCGATGCTCATGCTGTTGATCACAGGATTGTCTGGTCCAGACTCTCTTATTTACAAACCGCCGCCATATTTCTGGAATATTGCGGAGTGCGGCGTAAAACTAAATAAACTCACTCACAAATTTACCGGTTTCAGAATAATTATTTCCCCAGTTCGATACTTTGTAGATCTTGAGATTGGACAGTGATGGTTTGTTAACTAAGGTGTGCATTCTTATCTCCAGGTGAGGCTGTTGGTCAAGTGGCAGCTCAATGATGATAAGGGCAAGGCAGTCTGGTGTGTGGAGTTGCCGGCAGACATTAAGTGATTCAGCCAACCTTGTGGCTCCTTACACAACTGCATTCAACAGAGAAAAGACACAAAACCATATTTTTGTATGACATTGTGGGTGTTTTTCAGAATCTCACATGCTTTTTAAGATCTTTGTAATATTGAGTCTCAAGTGTACATGCTGATATTTTTGTTCATTCAAGAATTATCTCTTTTGTTTTGTACACAAACTATTTTAGATGAATGTCAGTTGTTTGTTGATGAATATGATTATCAGTTGAATCAATGCTTTGATTGACGATTGAAAAAGATTGACCAGCAATCATAAAAACGGGGAAAAAATAAAATAATTCGGTAAAACTAGATTGTAGGTTTTCCACATTGAAGGCATTTTGCTGAGAATTTTGCAGACACTTTCGGCTTGTTAATAATTTCATCACTCTGACGTGATTGTCATTTTTGCGTATTTGCACACTTCTAAAATGTGTATTTAAAAGTTAATATTGTATACATTGTAACACAAGACTTCAGATTTATGACATCTTCACATGGTGTAGAATGTGCTGAGAGTTATCTGCCCTTTTGTAATAAATTTGACCTCAGGAGACTCAAGGTGATTTTGGATGAGACACCTTTGGGAAGTGGACGTGTGATATATTACCTTAATAATCTGACATCTCATTTCTGTCATTGATTTCATAGATTCCTTTCAAGAACACACTTCAGAATACCAGTATTGTCTGATGTTGAAAAGAGTCTCAGGCCCATGTTGTTTCTCATTTTCTGTAGCAGGTGATACCATTCACATTCCTTGAACAAAATCATATTGTATGTTCTATATCTACAACTGCATGTGAATTAAATGTTTCTCTAAGTTTCACAAACTGTATATTCAGTATAGCTTACATGAGGAAAAATCACCCTGTTATTTGAAATATGAGATGCAGAATTGATATGTTTTTATAAATATGAATCTTGTATATACATGATATATGTCCAAGAATACATCATGTTGAAATGAAAGTTTATTTTAACAATGCCTACTGCCTTACTGAGTATGGATATTAAAAAATGATTAGATTTGTGGATGTGTTTTAATTCAGTTTGAAACTTTATCATCACTACCAGTTGGTGGTATTGATCTGAATAAGTGTTGTGTAGGTGTATAAAATTAATGAAATATTGTCACAAGAGTAAATAATGTTTTCCCGAGGAGTAAGTTTATGTGGAGCTGGAAAAGCAAGATACTTTCTTAATTACAACATATTTGTGATGCAACATTTTGGTTATAGATCATTATACCATTGTCAAGCAAGAGGACATATATGTATAAGAGCACATATATGTATAAGACATGTCGATATACGGATCATTATGAAAATGTTGCATCACAATGATATTAACGTTATTTATTCATTACATACCTTGCATTGACTGTTGCTTTTAAACAGTCAGCGGTTTATGTGGAGCTAGGTTTTGCATTGTGCTGGATGGAGCATTTACGTGGGAAATATTCGACACATTGTTAGTCCTATATTGTCAGGAGTTTGGTTTGAGAGTCTGTCAGAAAACACTACACTGCTTTAAACAGCGACATGCATGGGTATTAATAGAGTCAACAATGTATGCTGAAGCCATTTTTAGAATAAACAGTTTTCTTTTATGAGTATGTGTATTGACATTTTGTATTGGGTGAAGGGTGTGGTTGGACGTTCCTATGTGTTTAACTGTTGTGGCGTTTGACAAAGCCAGCCCAATAATTGGTTTGTGTTGCTTGAGCTTCAGTCGCAACCAATATTCAATGAAGTTCTTGAAAAGCATTTAGGAGTTGGACAAACATGAATACATGATACATTTTTATGGATAACAACTTTTATTCTTTATAGGAAGTTTCAGAGCAAATTCTTGCGCCTTCATCAGGTAAATGTTAAGTCACTGCACAGAGTGAATATATGTAGATAAACATGCCTACACTAGGCGGGAACATGTACTGAATCATTTCATAAGTTGTCTTTTCGGGGAAGTATTTACTGGTTACTCGTCATTGGCGATGTGTGATGCAGCTTAATCTGCAGAGTTACATCCCTTGATTGTGGTAGGATCAGTGTTGTCAGAACCACAAATCTGCAGGCTGTGGTTATATAACTAGTTACAGGACAGAACCATGGTGAGTGAGTTTAGTTTTATGCCGCACTCAGCAATATTCCAGCTATATAGTGGTGGTCTGTAAATAATCAAGTCTGGACCAGACAATCCAGTGATCAACAGCATGAGCATCGATCTGCGTAATTGGGAACGATGACATGTGTCAACCAAGTCAGAGAGCCTGACCACCAGATACCATTAGTCGCCTCTTACGACAAGCATAGTCGCCTTTTGTGGCAAGCATGGGTTGCTGAAGACCTATTCTACCCGGGATCTTCATGGGTCCAGAACCATGGTTGTGTTATACTCCACCCCACCCCACCCCACCCCACGCTCCACCAGAACCCCATTGGGATAGTGTGCATTTGGGTATGGGGCCGACAAGTGATTAAATCTTTCCCTTGTCATTCAGAAATCATCAGCTGGATTCCCCAAGTGCATAATGTTTGAAACCCAGTACTATTGCTCCCTGCCCCTATATTGATGGGATATTGCCCACAGCAGGAAGACACACACACACACACACACACACACACACACACACACACACACACACACACACACACACACACACACACCTCTTTCTCTTTATGAGGATATTTTTACTTTTATCAACGAGTGTTGATATATTTGATATCAGAAGACACGAGGGTGAGATTCTATTTATCATCCAAAATCACTCTTCATTAATTTTCAATGAAAAATGTACATCTCTGAACATGGTACTGCCATTAGACTTGCAGTGCAGCGATGTCATAGCATTGTGACGTCATCAAGTACATGACGTCATAGCATTGTCAGGGCATTGTACAAAATCTACTGTCAAAATGATATCTCCTAGGAGATATCGTTTGATCTCACACAAGCGATATCTCCTGTGGAACACAGTTTTGGATGATAAAAACAGATGTGTACATAAGGAAGGAAGAGTGTCAGGTTTCTGGTGTGGTAATCCACTTCCTTGTCATAATCATCATGTTGTGCAATGTGTGGACAGGGAACAACATCTCTTCGTTCATGTGAAGGTCACTTTGTACATGATAATTAAAATCAATTTAGCATTGCTGAACACTTTCCCAGCCATACACTAACGTTGGTTGGTTGGTTGGTTGGTTGGTTGGTTGGTTGTTTAACGCTGCACCCAGCAATATTCCAGCTATATGGCGGTGGTCAGTAATCAATGCATCTGGACCAGACACTCCAGTGGTCAACATCATCAGCATCAATCTACACAATTGGGATGTGTCAACCACGTCAGTGAGCCTGACCACCCGATCCCGTTAGTCACCTCTTACGACAAGCATGGGTTGCTGAAGACCAATGTTCTAACCCGGATCTTCACTGGTGCATACACTAGCGCTTAGTCTTTGAATACATATAATTTTGATAGAACCAAATAAATGTCCCCGCCGCACCCAATGTCTTCAAGTATGTCGACAGCTTACATTGGGTGATTATGCAGACACCAGTCATTTCAGGCATCTTTGTGAACCAAAAATAAAAAGTAGTAAATATGTTATGAATATTCCATCCTTTAGTTGCGGGGGGACATTGCCATATCAGTGGCAAACACTTGTTCCTTTTAAATTGAAAGGAACCCCAGTAAGATGGGAGATTCAGAACCTGAGCAAATTGTTTCATTTGGGGTTTTAGCATTGCCAAAAGGCTAGGCAGAAAGGAAACTATTGCGGTCCACGGACTTTGAGACAGACTATCCCAGCAAAAGCTTGCTTCATTTTAGGATACGGATGATATAAATCCGAAATTATTAGCAGGAAGTGGGTGAATGTTGGTTTATGCAAATTCTATCATGAGTTTAGAAAATACACGATTCTCATTGGTTAGTCCAAATCGTATAATCGATGTGATGGTCGCATTACCACTGAAGTCAATATTGACGGGAAACAAACAGCAACTGTAATCAACCAATCAATAGACGCCATTGTACGCCGATCATTTACATATTTGATATTGCAGAAGGAACATATCGGATTGGTAAATGTGTAATTTAGCTGGGGCAAGTCCACCCGGTGGTTGACTTCATGATGACCACGTGGCACCATGGTATGCTGGCATCGTATCGCCTCAAACACGTGCTTCACCACCATGTTGTCATGGAAACAGATGCTCTATTTTGTATCTATGGTGGACTGGACCTACTATTTGCAATGCAGTAAAATGTTAAAAACCACTTGCTTCTTTTGTCAAATGTTAGTTGACTCACCTGACTCTTTAACTTAGGGGTGGTGGGGTAGCCTAGTGGTTAAAGCGTTCGCTCGTCACGCCGAAGACCCGGATTCGACTCCCCACATGGGTACAATGTGTGAAGCCCATTTTTGATGTCCCCCGCCGTGATAATGGTGGAATAGTGCTAAATCCAGCGTAAAACTAAAGTCACTCACTCACTTATTCTGTTATAATAACGCAAGTGGCTGCCTTCACGTTTCGAAAACACGTTACCATTCTTATCTCTTTTATGGATGGACTTTGATTGGACATCCAATTTCGTATTGATGGTTAAAGCGTTCGCTCGTCACGCCGAAGACCCGGGTTCGATTCCCCACATGTTTACAATGTGTGAAGCTCATTTCTGGTGTCCCCCGCGGTGATATTGCTGGAATATTGCTAAAAGCGGCGTAAAACCAAACTCACTCACTCACTGACTCACCCATTGTAGAATGGAAAGTTCGGAAAAGTGATTTAGACTATATAAGTGGATATGCACATGACCCTCCCATCTCTAAAGGTGCGTTCTTTCGGTGCGACTTGTTACTACAAGTCGTATGCTACAACTTGTTGCTACAAGTCGTATGCTACAAGTCGTATGCTACAAGTTGTTACTACAAGTCGTATGCTACAACTTGTTGCTACAAGTCGTATGCTGCAAGTTGTTACTACAAGTCGTATGCTTCAAGTTGTTACTACAAGTCGTATGCTACAAGTTGTTACTACAAGTCGTATGCTGCAAGTTGTTACTACAAGTCGTATGCTACAAGTTGTTACTACAAGTCGTATGCTACAACTCGCACCGTGAGAACGGGCCTTAAATCATATGACGATGAGCGGCTGTGTGAAGATCATATTTACACACTGGGTACACAGGCTGGACATATTGTGAAAGCCTGACAACTGTTGCTGTTGGTGAATATTATTATCACCAGCTTCACGTTATTACTTCAGATATTATACTTTATAACTATTGTAATGTACAGCTGTAATTGAATTTTGTACTTCTATTCTATTGGGTACTGCCATTGCAATTATTGATTTGTAAACCAGGTTAATTTTATTATATACTTTTTAACTGCATATTATCATCACCAACTTAGATGTTATTACTACAGAAATTATACGATATACAACCATTGTATTGTACTGTAATTGAATTTTGTATTTCCCCACGCACAGGCAAATTGTAGCGGAAATAGGGTTGCGCAACAAAGAGAAAATGACCAGTCTTCCCATATGCGAGCGAAGCGAGAGTTTCTCTTTGTTGCGCAACCCTATTTGCGCTACAATTTGCCTGTGCCTCACGGTATACAACCATTGTATGGTAGCCTACTGTAATTGAACTTTGTATTTCCTCTCTGTTGGGTACTGCCATTGCAGTTATTGATTAATGTCATGAAACATTTTAACTGCAGTTAGATTTTTGCTGGTTTTACACTGAATTACAGTTTAGCAGGTATTTTTCGTTCAATTTATGAACATAATTAAATGGACACGTATATAGTCTTAAATAACATATTCTATACTGGCTTCACCCTACAAATTCACCAGCTCCTATCAGCAAGTCCCCAGGCTGCATGCTTCAAATATATGGGACAGAGGGGTAGCCTAGTGGTTAAAGCGTGGGCTCGTCAAGCTGAAGACCAGGGTTCGATTCCCCACATGGGCACAGTGCATGAAGCCCATTTCTTGTGTCCCCCGCCGTGATGGTGCTGGAATATTGCTAAAATCATGCTCACTCACTCAAATATAGTATTTTATTCCAAGGGTATATGATTACCTTAAATACACCCTCAGACATATTCACACACACCATACAGTCTTTACTATATAATTAAATCACTTATCAATGAGGGGCGGTGGGGAGCCTAGAGGTTAAGGCGTTCGCTCGTCACGTCGAAGACCCGGGTTCGATTCCCCACATGGTTACGATGTGTTAAGCCCATTTCTGGTGTTCCCCACCGTGATATTGCTGGAATATAGCTAAAAGCGGCGTAAAACCAAACTCACTCACTTATGAATGAAATATGAGATTCTGAAAATAAATGATTCATTTGTTGTGTGTGTGAAACTGGGAAAGTTAATTTGACCACAGGTATCTCAGCGTGTGCATATACCCATAACAGACACCTGTGAAAGCAGAACATAATTGGCACAGCTTGAAAATGACTAACGTCGATATTATTAAACGAATAAATTACAGCTGTCGACATCCCAGACAGTTAAATCACATGATTGTTTGATTATATTCCCTGACACCTGTATAGTTGATTTCTGTGTACATAGTGTCCGTTACTATAATGCAGTCAACTATAACGTGTCAACAATTCAATCTATGCACCTTCTGGTAAAGACTTCAAAATGGATGACATCACACATATATTCAGTGCAAACTGTTGCAGGAACGACTCAGAGTTTAATGGAATTGATCAGATTTTACGATTCTTTCAATTTTCACTTTCATGAAGGGGCGGTGGGATAGCCTATTGGTTAAAGCGTTCGCTCGTCACGCTGAAGACCAGGGTTCGATTCCCCACCTGGGTACAATGTGTGAAGCCCATTTCTGGTGTCCTCCTGCGTGATATTGCTGGAATATTGCAAAAGCGCCGTAAAAACATACTCACTCACTTTTATTAAGAGGCGACTTATGGGACCGGGTGGTCAGTGAGTGAGCGAGTGAGTGAGCGAGTGAGTGAGCGAGTAAGTTTACGCCGCACTCAGCAATATTCCAGCTATATGGCGGCGGTCTTTAAATAATCGAGTCTGGATCAGACAATCCATTAGTCAACAGCATGATTATTAATCTACGCAACTGGGATACGATGACATGTGTCAGCCAAGTCAGCGAGCCTGACCAACCGATCCTTTTAGTCAGCTCTTACGACAAGCATGGGTTACTGAAGATCGATTCTCATTCACTTTTGCATTTATATAGTCAAGTGCATTCATGTGTGTGTCCGGACTAATGCCATTTTTGTTGGACAGTTTAACACCCACATCCCACTTATATACCGTATAGTAACTCCGAGCAGACCAGTTTGTTTTATCCCAACAATAGCCTCCACCGCCAGGCAAGTGGCAAGTACGATCGTTAACGAGAATCGAACCGCCGACCTTTAGTTGTTTGGAGAGACGCTCCACCCACTGGACTAAGGCCATGATCCCCAATTCTTGAGAGCATAATTCAAATCATTTAAACACCCTCTCGTTATTGTTTCCACGTTTTATATATCCACCCTCATTCACACAATGGGCTTGGGGTAGCCTAGTGGCTAAAACGTTCGCTCGTCACACCAAAGGCCTGGGTTCGATTCCCAACATGGGTACCGTTTGTAAAACGGATTTCTGGTATTTCCCACATTGATAATATTAGAATACAATAAATGCGCTTAAAATCACACCCAATCATTCGCTTACAACACAAGCAATGTCTCTGTTTGACCTTTGTCTTCTTACAGAGAACATTAAAATGAAATATTTTGTCTTTTATGTCATTTCATATAAGATCAGAAAGAGTCGCGTGTCATGCCATATGTCTTACCACACCCTATAGTCAGCCCTACAAGGCCCGTAACCGGAGCTGTTTACATTCAACAATTCATCCACTTTAAGAAGAGGGCGAAATTTAAGAGGTAGCGACCTTTGACGTCCATTATTTCACGCTGCCGCACGAGATTGGACGAGTTCATTGTTCATTTAGGAAAGTCAATACACAACAAACAAATAGAACGCTCCATTTAAACGAATTACGACTATGTTCCAGTTACTGTGATAAAACATCGGCTATGAGTGGTTAGAACGTGAACAATGGTACTTATGTATATGGACCTGTTGTAAAATCGGGGTATTGAACGAGTCGGGACATGACCCAACACCCCTCCCTACATTGTTTTAGCTTCGACGACGGGAATGACACTCGTGAGCTCGGGCTGTCGTGACTACATTGACCTGGGACGAGAGTACTGACTCGGTTGTGTGTTTTATTCCGTTTTATTAATCAAACATGATTCGAATTTTCGTGTTGAGCGTGGCTGTGTCTGTGGCTTTAGCAGATCCTGTCACGAACTTCAAGGATTGCGGTGAGACTTGTATACTTCTCATATCTACACACACACTTTTCAAAATCACGTTTTGAGTGCATATATGTAATGATCGAATCGTGTGGGGTTTTTCATATTGTGTGTTCGGTGTCGAAATTAACTATCATAAACTGATATGAGGATGTATTATAAATTTACAGATCTCAGTCGTTTGTATGTGTATTGATAGCTTAATTGTTCTGGACAAACTTCCTCCAGGAAACCCTCAACTCGAGTGTTTCGATAATCAGCCACGGTTATTAAATATAATTTATTACTTACGATCAGGGATGGGTTTATCTGCATCTAGTCACAATTTGAAGTAGTTATTACGTGTCTAAATAACTGCCTCGTCTGTATATCGGTGTTTAATACTGGAGAAATAATTCTTGATGTCGAATGAAGTGGGCGTGTCCAGTCTATTTCCGGATTGAACAGACTTGAGTGAATTTTGAAAACTTTGTTATAATAGATACTTACATATCATTTGTATATATAATTCTGCATAACTGTCAGCTGAGACGGGTTTATTTATATCCCTATAAAAAGGAATAGTGTAAATGGTTGTTGTTTACCCCAAGGAACTGATACATAGGCGGATCCAGAAATTTCAAGAGTGGGGTGGGGGGTGTGGGTTCCGAACCCCACCTTGGCTCTGCCCTTAGTCATTTTCGGGGGTGGGTGGGGGGTTGGGTGTCCCCGAACCCCCTGAACCCCCTCTCTGGATCCGCCACTGTGATATACGAGTACCTGCGCTCACGACTATATTAAGACATTGTCAGCCGCAGTTAATGGGGTGAGCCATGGGGCGCTTCTATCCAGTGATATTGAATTTGATTACAATAACATTCTCTATGGAGTGTTTTACATATTTCGGAGGTCGTTTTCAGACCCGTGTTTGAATGTTGGTTTGGTTCGTTGTGTACGTTGCGTGGACCAGGATGCTTAATGCTGATCATTATGATAACTCCCAAACCATCTGTCGCGTTTTGTGCAGCTTGGATTGACTTCACACCAATCATTAATTGCAGTCTGGACCCGTGATCACGCATCAGGGCATGTATACCGCTCAGTATAAGTTTAACGTGTCTGTTATAATTTCTAGTGGTTTTTTTTGTGTGTGTGTGCGTGTGTGTAATTATTGTAATGGAAAATAAATATAATAATAGTAATTATCGTTATTTACAGTTTAAGATGGGCAGTAGGGAAAATATTGTGGTTACGGGACTGTGAGACAGACTACCCAGACAGCAATGGAACTTTCCTGGTCGAAACACGACAATTTCTTAATATTTCAACCCTTTTCTCTTTGAGCAAGTGGGCGGTTTCGTTTAATCGTCCATCAGACCAGTTTTATCTTGCAAATTTTCAGTTTCCACTTACTGCTTTTTGTTTGTATGTTCAGGTTCTGTAAGCGGCAAGATCAACAGCCTTGACATCACGCCATGTGCCTCCTCAACCTGCCAGTTCCCCAGGGGAAAGAACGTCAGCGTCGTCATCGCCATCACCGCCAGTACGTGGAGTTTCCATGAATCTTTACACACACACCCTGTTTTCCGTCCACATACACCCTGGTTTCCGTCCACATACACCACATATTGTCATTATGCCCTTTATATGTGCCCCAAATACAGTGTACTTTTACATTTATGTTCAAACCCTCACAGCATTCATTGGTCAGGCTCGCTGGCTTAGTTCATGCACGTCATAGAAACACCTGCCTGCCCTGCCCGGGACGGGTTATTTTCAACATGGACTGCCAGATTCTCAAATCCACCAGCCCGACGGTCGGATTAAAATTTAGACATGTACATAAAGATATTCATCATATTTCAGGAATATTTAATAAATCATTATTAATTCACTCGTAAAAATAGAGTAAATAAGTAAATTAGTATTTTTTGTGGGCAGGTAAGTTTTGGTCAGGGCTGGCAAGTTTTACATCTAACCAGCCCTGTGGTTTGGTTGAAATGTTTGGGAGTTTCATACCCTGATAGAATCCTGTTTGGGTAGTTTGATGCTGGCGTTGTCATTTTCTAGACTGTCTGGTGTAAAACTCCAATATGTACAGACCGTCGTCATGTAGCTTGAATTTGCCGAATATGGCGTGAAACGAACTAACATACAACACAGTATGCTCAACAGTATACTTTGCAGGGTTGCGCCCCTTGATCGTTCCAGGACCCGATCATAGATTCGAATCACACTTTCACTCACAGGGGTTTTTAAAGCAAAAGAATGGCATCAAGGTATATACTGTCAATGACGGGGTCTTAACACTATAAATAAGGATCCTTTAACACCCCGCCAGTAAGGACTATATTCCTTTAACTAGCCCTTTCCGGTGCCAGAATGACACGAGTAGTTACGAATGACTATATTAAAGGATAAATAGTGTTAGACCTCTTCAGTGACAGTATATAAAGGATATATAGTGTTTGACCTCGTCAGTGACAGTATATTAAAGGATATCGTTTTAGACCCGTTAGCAACAGTATATTAAAGGATATAGTATTAAGACTCCGTCAGTGATAGTATATACCTTGATCCACCTTTTTTGCGTTACAAGCCCCTGTGCTTTCACTGACCTTTCGGTAGAGTGCCCGTCACTTTTTTATGTCAATTTTGAAAGCTGTAATTTTCCACTCGCGCACCTTGAAATCATAGAAGTTAAACAACTCCCCCAGTTCGCCCTGTTGAGTTTCCCTAGGGCGGTTCGTAATCCAATATGTCTATCATTCAGTTCCCATATTCGCCCTGTGTATTGATCATGGTTTGTCTTGTGTTTCACCAAAAGTACCTGCATCATTCACAGCTTAATTAAGACTAATTTTATATTCTCTTGTGTTAACGTTCACATTTTCGAATCAGACCCGTTATAAGTCCCACAAGCCTAAAATGCGTTGATTGCTGTTCAAACAATTCCATTGAGGAACTAGGTACGGTATTGCGTGTCGAATTGAAGATTTAGAAAAGCTGCAGTGAATTTTAAAGCATCTGTAATATAGCACGTGAGGTAGATTAATGATTAAAGGGTTCGCTCGTCACGCCGAAGGCCCGGGTCCAATTCACCACATGTGCAATGTGCGAAGCCCATTTCTCCTGTCCCCCTTCGTGATGTTCCTGGAATATTGCTAAAAACGGCGTAAAACTAAACTCACGCTCTACGACTTTTTCTTTTGCTCTGATTTACTGAAAACAATTGATCAATATTCTTGTATAGCAACTGTCTCCTTCTGCACAGATGCCCAGGTGACGCAGGCTAAGACCGTTGTCCATGGCATTATCGACGGCATCAATACGCCCTTCCCGATCAACCAGCCGGACGCCTGCGAAGACATGACGTGTCCGGTCAACAGTGGGTCGAGTGTCACCTATGAAAACTCCATATTCGTTCGGACGATATTTCCTGAGGTAAGGTCTTCAGTCATCCAGCAGGACGATGGGCAGGCCTAGTTGTTTAAGGGTTCGATTCCCATATACGTCAACTGTGTGAAGCCTATTATTGGTGTCCTCAGTGACATTGCTGGAATATTGTTGAACGCGTCATTAAACATTACTCACTCACTCAGTGAGCCAGCCCTGTGGGGAGTAACGTAGCTTTTAGACAGGATTGGTCTACTGAAGTTGAGAAAAAAACCCGCTTGATCATTATGCTACTTTCAAATCTTTGTTACAAAAAATAGTGTGAACAATGCATCAGTATAGCTGAATTTAAGAGATCTCTGTTAAAATTGAGATTTAGTTCTAATTCCTTTGGAGTTCAAAATCTAAGAATGAGGATATGTCTAATAGATGATAATGAAGCAAAATGTAATGTTTGGAATGCATTAGAAAAAGCCATGTAATTATTGAGTGTTTAAGATGTGCAACACCAATGAAACATTATTTTGTGAATTAAATAAAAAGGGTATGTTTTCACTATAGATTAGCTCTGTACTACTACTACTACTACTACTACTACTACTATACAATGATATTTTGTAAACTTCCAGCAAATCCTTTTGCCATATTTCTCAATGAGATTAGATAGATGTAAACTAAAACAAGTGAAGCACTCATAAAATATACTGACGGCAATGAAAACGCAACTCGAAATTCATGAAAATTATACTTTTTCAGCATGGGTTTGGATTTGATACTTTAACACAATTGTTTCGATTTATTGAATTCCGTTTCTTTTGCTATATTTTTGTATGTATAGTCATTGTCCGACACTTCGAAAAATGGAAGTTGGACAACTGGTAGTCCAGATCACGTAATTTGTGTACCCCTTTGACACGCTTTTTGTGGAGTGAGTGAGTGCGTTTAGTTTTACGCCGCACTCAGCAATGTTCCAGCTATATGGTGGCGGTCTGTCAATAAGAGTCTGGACCAGACAACCCAGTGATCAATAGCATGAGCATCGTTCTGCACAATTCGGAACCGATGACATGTGCCAACCAAGTCAGCGAGCCTGACCACCAGATACCGTTAGTCGCCTCTTACGACAAGCATGGGTTACTGAAGGCCAATATTCTAACCCGGACCTTCACGGGTCGCCTTTTTGTGGAAGGCCAGAGCTCCAGATAAGATTTAGCTCATGTGGGTACTGTACCCACAGTATTTATTTTGAGTGGGTATTATGAATGTTGAGTGGGTATTTCATTTTCCGTTACCCACTGCTTTCAAATATGTGCGTATTTCAGTCATTTTACTCACCTAAGGTATGTTCTGCGTTATGTCATACCTAATCAAAACCAACTTAAATATAATGGAAATGATTTCATAAAAAATCACTCATCCTATACTGACAGTACAACACTTGTCCAATACTAACAGTACAACTTGATAGCAATCGATGTGTTCTTCATTACGCAAGCGATTTTTATAAATATATTTCGTACGCATTTGTTTTAAACTTTTTGCGTATCTAACATTTTTAATGCGTAATTGGTACGCAACAATTATTTTTCAATGCGTAATTGGAAATTTTCTATGCGTATTTTACCCGGATACGCAGCTTATCTGGGCCTCTGTGGAAGAATCGATGGCTGAGTGGGTTAGAATCCGGGATGGGACTCGGCCTAACAAAGATACTATTTTTATAGAATCGATACTTTACTGAGATAGTGAAATCCCAAATGTTGCATTTTTTATCGGTGTTGGGGTCCCAGTGCTCTTGATCTGAATAACGACAGTGATGATGATCGAGAGGTCAAAATGGCTGCCCGTTATGAACTTGCAAAACGTGACCCCCGACATCGTACTATTCTCACCTGAATTGTTTGTGTAGCCTTTAGTGTTTACAAAGTGAAAGAGCCAGATTTGATTTTGTGAGTGAGTCTAGTTTTACGCCGCTCTCAGCAATAGGTTTTTTGTAAACCATGCACTTATTGTTTGTAATCCCCTCGATGATACTGACAGGTAGCTAAGGTACTGTAAGTCCCCATGGTCCCTAGTATGGTGATCGACCTTCAGTTGTTGGCGATCTATAGCCTGTTTTTATCTTGTATTGTCCTAATAGTGCTATTAGTTTTAACCTTCCAAACTAGTTTTAAATCTAATTGTGATATTCTAGTTGTTTTACTGTCCTTCGTTGACAGGGTTTTATATATTATATGTCTGTATTACAAAGTTAGAACTAGTTTTAGTCACGATATGGCTGAAATACTGCCGATGTGACTTTAAATCTTAACTCACTCACTCGGTGATACTGAAGCAGCGCAAAACAAACCTCGCTCACTGAGACAAATACAACTGTACAGATTCTAGTTGGGTAATTGATGGGGGTTATCACAGAATCTTAGATGAAACGTTTTTCGGGGTCTTTTCACTTATCCGAGAACTCAGTAAAGGGGCGATGGGGGAAGCCCAGCGGTTAAAGCGTTCGCTCGGCACGTCGAAGGCCCAGGTTCGATTCCCCACATGTGTACAATGCGTGAAGGCCATTTCTTGTGTTTCCCGCCGTGATATATTGCTGGAATATTGCTAAAAGCGGCGTAAAATCCTACTCGGATCCAAAAGGAGTGTAAATCAATACTCAGGGGAAACAACGATATGAAATATCGGAGACATTCTGATTATTCTGGGATATATACAGAATGTCGTGGGATATCATTAAGTATTTTTAAGTATGATGCAATCGGGTTTTTCAGATCCGCCTGGTCGTCAAATGGGAGGTTCAGGACCAGTCCGGACAAGACTTTATCTGCTTCGAGGTTCCGGTGGAAATCACCGACTGAGCATGTGCAAATCACCGACTGAGCATGTGCAATAGATGTTTTAACCTATTGTATATAACTGTCCAGGCAGCTGAGTCGTGGAGCGTCCGCTGAATGTGTGTGTGATTCCATTCTTCAAGTGTTTGTTAAGTTTGATTTGCCATATAAACACAACGTTGTTAACACTCTTGTGTTTGTGTTGGTATTCGACCTATTTAGATTATTTAATTGTTGTCAAGTCACGTCAATGGCCTTCGATGTTTCTGGCGTTCTTCTCTGCTATATTGCTGCAATATTACTTATATGTACTCTGTAGGTGTACAAGATTCTGCTGTGAATAGCAGGTTTTGACGGTTACAATGTGATCTACAATATATGTTGTTCACTGGTCACGAGGGGGCATGGGTTGATGTACCCTCGACCCATGGGCCCCGAGGGACCAGTGAACAACGTAGTTATCTTACCGAACACCTTAATGCTAATTTTGAATTGTTTTAAGCACGGGTACAAATCTTTTTGTAGCCATCGCTAGATTTTGCTGACAAGTAAAACAGATTTAGAGTTATCTCCCTTCCCTCCCTACATGGGTAAATACGTGAAACCCACTGGTGTCCCCACCCAACTCACACACTCACTCTACAATAGATTACAACGCTTACATCAGGCAAAACCCAAAGAGCTGAGAAATCTCACGTTTAATGACATTTCGACCGTCCCCGTGGTCAAGTGGATACCCTGGTTAGAATTGGTCTTCAACAACCAATGCTTGTCGTAAAAGGCGACTTATGGGATCAGGCGTTAAGACTTGCTGGGAAATTGTGGCGTTTAAGAACAAACAAGACATGACATATTAGCGACCAAGGCATTCCCATGAACGACAATCCCATGATCAAAAGCATGATCATAGATCTACGCAATTTGGATCAATTAGTGATAACAAGTGAGGTTATTTTGCTGCTGTCACAAACACATGCAGCGACACAGCAATGCTTCATCTGCATAAACACGGGAACGTTTGGCTCAAACTAGAGAACTGAATTGAACACGAGTTTGGTCACCTAATTTGTCAAATATGGCAATGAACTCTCCAGCAATTTTGAGTCAAAGAGTCCTGGCTTGCCCGTGCTGTCGAACGAAACAAAACCCCCTTTCCAATATTTGTTGCATGGTGTACGGATGTTTTTATTTCCTTAAAGCCTTGGGCCGATGGACAGAAAAAATATAACGTATAGAAAGAAGCAAGGCCATTTCATTTCAAGTGTTAATTTTGCTGTTAATTTACAATGCATAAATGAGCGAAAAAATACGGTTTACGCAGCTTTTAACAATATTCCAGCAATGTTACTACAAGCGGGCCGCACAAGTAGGTTTCGCGCAATGTACCGTGAGAGAAACCGGTGTTCTGTGTCTTTGCCAACTAAAGTACTGTCGGAAATAGAAAAAAACTGTTTTTTGGCTGTTACTCTGTATCCCTAAAATTTACACAACTGCAAGTAGCATATGTCGAAATAACCCAATTTGGCATTCAGTGGGATGCGAAATAGGATGTCCAGAGAAGCATGTTTACTGGTAAAATCGGATAAAACTTAGAAAAAGTACGAATAGCTACTGAGAACAATATATCAGTCTATAGATGGCAATTATTTCACTCAGCCAGGTATGACGACGGAGCGTCGACTCACCTGGCATGGAATGCACGTGCTGCCTACAGGCACGAGGGGTCATCTCAAAGATATTTTGTGCTTTTTCATGTGTGTTGACTATGACTCATCTATTGATTAACATCTTACGTGTCTTTCTTTCATGAAGTTTATGTTACGATATAAAAGAGTATGATACCTGATAACCATAGAAACGCATCGTATTAAATGTCTCAAATTATATAGGTGGCATGGCCACCCGATCGCGAAGATCGACAGGACTGGATATTATGTGTAAATTGTTATGACATGCCGTGTACTTCCCAAGTATAATTGCCCTAAAGGATTATCGTATCTTAGCCGATATCTCTATCCCCAAGCCCGACCCCAACGATCGTCTGCGACACCCTTCCAGGTTTTGCTTTTGAGACGAACCCTCCTATCTGTTTCTTTTTATAGTGACGCCAGCTATCGTTTATAATCAAGCTATTTCAAATTGGGCATTTAATAAGTGTCATTTGTAATACAATATCGTCGCACACTAATTTGCATAAAGCCATGGTCTGTTCCAAATAAATCGTTTTGGACTTTAGAAAAAACCCGCATTGCTCATTTCTGCACTAATCTCTCCTCAGTAAAGTCCTTTTTCTACGTTTCCTATGTCCCTACCACTGAGACTGTAGTGAGGCCGAACTTAGTTTAACAGATATTTCACACTTGCACTATATCAACTACATAAATTGTAGAGGTAAATGAGAAAATACAGTTTTTTCCTATTTCCGACAGTACTGTAGTCTATATCTAGTCCCGCATTCCGACAATGCATGAATGAACCCAATGATTGACATACCCGTTATTAGTGGTCTTGCTGCATTTTCGATATCTCAGCTGAAGTTCTTGATTTCTATTACATATTAACCTGATCTTCTATGTATGTGGTTCCACCGTCTGTGCCTTTATGTATCAAATGGTAAAAGAAATAGCAACGGTTTCTGTGCACATTATAGGATTATTTATCCAAATCTTCGAGCTGAACAAGTAAACAGGTCTGTCTAATTTTAAAGCTTGCTATTCACTTTCCCCTAATCCCCAGAATTCTGACCGATCTGAATTGTCATGTTGAAAATGTGACATTCAGCCATTGTGTTGTGTGTATCACTGTACAGTATATTGACTGTGCTGCAGTGATGTCCGTTTAACGGAGAAAGTTAATCATCTGCATATCATTGCTCCTGTGGCGCTGCGATTCGCTGTGAAGAGTTGCGTCCCTTATTCGTTGTGCCAGGATTACTGGGTTCGAATCCCAGATGCTCCTTTTCATTGATCCATAGTGGGTCAGCCCCTAATCAAAAAGTTGATTCTTTTAATAGTGAATAGCTCTAGACAAACTATGAAGCCACTACACATATTCCGCTTCAAAGTTATGTCTCTTTAAGTTTTGATATCAGAGTAATGTTTCCACGAAATCAAAAACCCGTGAAGATCCGTGTTAGAATTGATCTTCAGTAACCCATGCTTTTCGTAAGAGGTGACTAACGGGATCGGGTGGTCAGGCTCGCTGACTTGGTTGACACACATGTCATCGTATCCCAATTACATAGATCGATGCTGGTTCAGACTCGATTATTTACAGACCGCCGCCATAGAGCTGGAATATTGCTGAGTGCGGCGTAAAACTAAACTCACTCACTCATTACATTTTGCAGTACGGTAGTAAACGGCGAACATAAATATTTGTTTCTACATGTCCCCGTTAACACCCATAACTAGACAAAGGCTGCGTATTTTTATTGGAAGGATACCATTCTTCCAGAAAGCCCGTATTGTGTGAAATTTTTCAGTTTAATAGGTAACAAAAGCTTTGAAAACATGCTTGGGGAACTTGTTTTCAGCAGAGATTACTTATGCTCATAGAAATGGTTGTGTCACATTTATTTATTATTGACATTTCACTTCATCTCAATCACTATGGTGGTTCCAACCTACCTGTATTTCTAACGATTTCAAGAGAGCATTCTGACAGAATCTAGATACAAAACCAGTCTATGTTCTACATAATCTCGTACACGGACAAGATAAAGGGATTATCAACTCCACGACCGAGTTATGGCAGATAAGGACTAACGCAGGTGATAAAAGCGGATTTGACCTTCCAGCTAGACAAATGGCACTTTTTTCCATCAACGAACCTGAAAATGACCTTTTGTATCATACGAGAACAGACTGGTCCACATTAATATGAAGGGGGTGAGCGTGACACATCGGCTTTACTGTTGTTGTATTCGGCACACCATTGAGAAATCTGTCACGAAAGCAAAGACCGAAATGCCTTTAAAACCTGTATGATACGTTTCAATTTACCACCGTAGCTGTAGAAGCTGTTAAATACTATTCTCCCAACGAAACTTATAACCCCAGAGGTATGGACCAGACCAAACGACGGTGTCAACTCTTTCTTTTTCGTCTGTAAGGTCTTACTGACCGGTTGGTGCAAGTGATTTGACATTTAAATATTTTAAACAGTTAACCATGCTTCGTGCTTTTGTGGTATGCCTGATTGCCGCTGTGGCGTTTGCCGACCCGGTGCCAAACTTCAAAGACTGTGGTAAGCTATAGTACAGTACAACCAGAAATTATTGAGAATTTAAGATTGTAATTTTTTATATATTTTTCACTCATTACTCACGTATTAAATGTGAATATTAGCAGAACATAACTCAATATTCAGAGACAGGTGAACAGTTAGTATTTTGTCAAGTCACCATGGGCAGCAATGCAGGCTTCAATGCAGCGGGGCATACTACTGATCAAAGAAGTTAGTAAGTCGTTGTCCATGCTGTCCCAATATCGGACCACCTCTTCTTTCATTTCAGCAATATTTGTCAGATTTGTCTTATTGACACTTTTCTTCATAAGTCATCAAACATTTTCTATTGGATTTAGGTCAGGGCTATCGCTTAGCCAATCTAATAATGTCATATTTTGGGTCCGAAACCAGGCCTGTGAATGCTTTGAACGATGTTTTGGGTCGTTGTCCTGCTGGAAAATCAAAAAAATTCCATAGAACACGTGAGCAGATGGAAGTAAATGTCCCTCGAGAATATCTGTGTACCGCTCACTGTTCATATTCCCTTCAAATACACAGAGGGGTGTTGCCTCTAACACAGATATGCCACCCCACACGTTAAATTTCTGACTGTACTTTGGGCGCTGGTACAAAGGTTTTTCAGTTTGTTTGGTCCAGAATTTCAGTGTATTAGGAAACAACCATACAGAACTTTCATCTGAGAAAATCACATTGTCCCAGTTAAAATTTCTATGCTGTAAGCACCAGTTCAACCTTCGCTCCTTTTGTTCCGGTTTCATGATCGGTGATGGAATTCCTCAACTTTTCTGCCAACCCATTGCATGCAGCTCAGTTCTAATTGTCTCCTTACAGACAGCCACAGTTCCTCTATCAATCATATCCAGCCTTAAGTTTTCTAAACTCCTTCGTTTGATTTTAGAAACAAGAATACCAAGCCGCCTCCTGTCACCGACAGTCAATTTTCTGGGCCTACCTGCGCCTCCCTGGTGCTCAGTGCCATATCCATTTGCAATATTTTTCAAAACACGATAAACAGTGGACAAAGGGATGCCTGTTCTACTTGTAATCACCTTAGCTGATCTGATGTCATTGTTATAATACTCTAAAATCAACTTCCTCTTCTCTAAATCATCCATATTGAGGATCGCTGAAAATGTCGTCTGCTAGCAAGTAAACAAAGGGGGATAACTCTTCACAAACTAATGAAAAAGGATTAACGGAGTTGTCTCTCTTGAATGAAACCAATCACTTGATAGCTGGTCGAAGTTGTTTATACTAGAAATCCAATTAAACATATTCCTAAAATTCTCAATGATTTCTCGTCATACTATAATACCATTCCTGGAGTTCCATCAACTTGCGTATATAATGTAAAAGTCTGTACGACAATATTCCGCCGTGCTCTTTTTTTGTGTCAGTCTAAAGCATTCAACGACAAGTGATAACGTTTAAAGAAGACTAGGCAAACAGGCAGTAAAAATTAAGAATGGAAAATGCCTTTCAGAAGCTGGTCGAATGTAACATATGTTATATTTGGGATTACGCTTTCTTAGTAAAAGGGCAAGCTAGAGTACTTCCTGCTGTGTAGTCCCATCTGGGTTTCGAACCCACACTCCTGTGGGAAGTCACCGAGTCGCCAGCACAGAACATCAGCGACCTGACCCACTCACCCATACTTCTGAGGGCAGGGCTCCGAAGACTATGAATAGACAATTCCCAGGATTCGAATCCCGAATGGAACTCCACTGAAAAACAATACTAGAAATTGTATTGTATATGAGAAAGTCTAATCCCCATATATAACATATGGCAGGCCAATATCAATATCTAGCATAATATAATTATAGTTTTAGTAAGTAAATTTATCCAAGGAGAATAAAATCATATGTGTTAATGATGATCGCCAATGATTTCATATTGAGACTGTATTTAAACGACTGAAACGAAATTAATTAATTTTTCGAAGTGACTTCATGAGTCAACTTCATCACATACTGTTAATACATGAGTTACCTCTAAGGTGACTAAAATACTAAAATCTACCCAGTAATAAGTCGGAACCAAATAAGAATATCTCTATAACAACGTAAAACAACACGAAGAGAGCACCGAAAAGCTTGCGTTAGGCCAATCTCTTCTTATTTACAAACATGCGCGTTTGTTTTCAAACAAGAGAAAAGTCCGGTCACGTGATGTGCAAATTAGCCTGTGGCAGTGATTTTTTTTTTTAAATTCTAGTTAAGCACCGCAACCAGCTTGTGCAGTCTACAAACTATGTAAGCTGTTATCCGTCGGGAAATGGTTGTGGCACACTTTGCCCCAAATGGGAATCGTTGCTTGATATCGTTGCTAGCATCTTAACGAAAAATGGAATGCACTGTGAGTACAAGGGCACTACGACACATGAGTCTCTCTGGAACCATAAAAATGCCAAGTGATGAATAATGATATCAGCTCACCACGTCGACCTTTTGGCTGTCATCCGGATTACACAGGTGCCATTGTATATTTTCTTGATGTTAATTTCATGCCATGCATTTCAATGGTCCATACCTACATAGTTTTGAGTATGTTTCAGGTTCTGTAAGCGGCAAGATCACAAGCCTTGACATCACGCCATGTGCCTCCTTCCCTTGCCTGTTCCCCAAGGGAAAGAACGTCAGCGTCTCCATCACCATCACCGCCAGTACGTGGATACCCTTACTCCTTCCGATTGAGGCACTGTTAATCAGGGGGCATAGGGCTAGCCTAGCGTTTAAGCGTTCGCTCGTCACGCCGAGAACCCGGGTTCGATTCCCTCATGGGTACAATGGAAACCAACTTTTGGTGTCCCCCGCCGTGATATTGCTGGAATATTGCTAAAAGCGGCGTAAAACTAAACTCACTCACTGTTAATCAGTCAGCCGATCTTTAGCGGGTGTGAAGAATAGAGGTCAAAGCGACCATCTCTCATCATATTCTTGATATGATATGACAGTACAATGCATGAAATGCTTTCGTGATATCCTTCCATGAGATTGTTGGAAAGTTGCACTTTCTCACTCTCTTATTACATTAACTGCTACAGCTTCCTGTGCGTGGTGGGTACAGTTCCTGCAGAAAGTCGTTGTTTTTATACCAAACGACGTTAGGATATGATACTTCTTGTTACCCTGTCTGGCGAACAGCATTAATCAAATATAACTACTGGGTAGTCCAAGCAGGGTATCCGTATTAAACTGTTTGTCAGTGAGCTAGCAATATACAATTGGCATAGTATAGGCTAGTATATGATCCATCCCTTCATTAAATTAGTGACGTCATCTTGAGCGTCACGTCAAACCCCACTATCTCACCTCTGTGTATTCTAAGCATGTCCATGGCATCCATTGTATAGGCGCCCAGGTGACGTCAGCTAAGACAGAAGTTCACGGCATCATCGCTGGCATCCTGACGCCCTTCCCCCTGGCCCAGCCCGACGCCTGCAAGGATATGACCTGCCCCGTCAACAGTGGCTCCGACGTCACCTACACCAACCAAATCTTGGTGCAGGAAGTCTACCCTAAGGTATACCATCCTTTTGAGGTGATACAACAGACTACAGACAGACTAAATATCTTTCTTTTAAAAATTATTTCATTGGTGGTATATTTTAGCGGGAAGGCAATTTCTTTCCTTTTTCAAAACACAATTTTTTCTAGTATTTTTTTCGCTTCGTTGAAGATCCGTATAATGTGGCAAGAAAACAATATGTGTTCTTCACATTTCATTATCCTTCTTGACTTAAACAATGTGATCGTTTGCATGCCTCCTGTTTCAGATCCGCCTGGTCGTCAAGTGGGAAATTCAGGATCAGTCAGGACAAGACTTTATCTGCTTCGAGGTTCCGGCGGAAATCACTGATTGAACATGCGCTGTGCTCCATACCGGAAATGCCATAGGCTAGTTCAGTCTAGGTATAATTTGATTCTCTCGCTTTTGGGGCTTTAAAGACCCTTGGTTTCAGTGAATTAAAAAGTAGATTAGTGCTATGTTGTTGTTGTTGTTGTTATTGTTGTACAAATACTGTGATCTCTTTTCATGAACCGATCGTAACGCTACGACCTCCTCGGTTCCGTCTTTTAGCCTCGGCATACGGTGACTTACTTAAGGTAGGATCACGGTAACATGGACTGTCCATTATATCAACTTACAACAGACGAAAATCTAAGATCACAGTAACACCGGCTGTTTTATGTGGACGTAAAGCTCAGATCACGTTAAAATCCTCTTTGTAAGGGACCGTCCATAATTTATAGCTGTGTGTGTGTGCGTGCTTGCTTGCGTGTGTATGCGTGTGTGTGAGAGAGAGAGAGAGAGATGTTGATTTTTATGGAGAAGCATTACAATGTGAATGACACCCCACCCCCTCAAACTTATGTACAAAGTAAGTGACCCCACACCCACCCACCCCGCACGTCATGTACAAAATCATATCTCTCAATCTCACTCTCACTCTCACTCTCACTCTCACTCTCACTCTCACTCTCACTCTCACACACTGAAAACTGTGTCTGTTTAAGGTCGATTTACGACAGTCGTAACGCTACGACTGAGACACAGGTGCATGGGTAGACATGAAGTGTAAGGTCGGGCCGTCAAGTCGAAGGTTCGACTCCAAACATGGTCACTGCCATGATTGTTACTAGACACGGACTGACATAGCGTGTGTTTAAGACAGTGATAGTGATGATACCAGTTGTCCATAGCCTGCCCCTTTGACGACACCTGTTGCAAACACACGCAAAGACAAGGCAATTGTTATAAATACAAAATACCATTAAGAAAGTGGTCAAATGTAACATATGATATATAGTTCATTACAGTTCTCAGTAAACTAAAGACATTAGTACTATTGTTGGGTTGAGTCCCATCCCGGATTCGAACAAACACTCTCAGTTTCAGGCACCTTACCGCCAGCACACAAAATCAGCCTTCTAGTCCACTCAGCCTACACAGAAATGAAAGTCAGACTTTGCCTACAACTCTGACAAGGGCAAACTGGCACAGCTCCTATGGCGCAAAGCTAAGAATACACAATGTCATTTAGAAAGTGGTCTAAAGTAACACATGTTATATTTCGGATTACACATTCTCAGATAAGTACAGATTCTAGTACTTTGTTGGTTTGAGAAAGTGTAATTTCAAATATAACATGTGTTACAAGTCGATAGTTCACCCAAACAGTTATGGTACTCGCATTTCCAGGGAATTGCATTTTTTGCATGAATTTCTTTCACTATAAATTATGGATAACAACTTCTTCGTGACTTTCGTGAGTGCGACGTTTCGATACAGATTCTTGTACCGTTATCAAGCGGGATCATTCGGGGTTTTTTTCAGTCCTAACATTTTTTATCACTGGCACATGAAGTTAAACTTCAAATTGTGTTCATTTGTTATCATAATAATGAAGATGGAAATATTAATGAGTAAAAAAGAGTTCATCTTTGTTGATCAATGTAAGGATATACATATACTTGGGTCTAGGACAATTGCCATCCGGACAATCGGCACCGGACTATTGCCACCTAGGACAATTGCCACCAAAAACATTTTAAAACATTCAGTTTCTTTAACAATTTTTATTGAGTTTGACATGGTAATCAATATCAAATAATAACATAATCTTCCATATTACCAACTTTCAACAGCTTAGATTTTGAGAAGGCGTTCGATACAGTATCTACTACAGATTTCTTTGATTATTGTCTTAGCTAAATCTGGTTTTGGTCCAGAAATCATTCGTTGGATAATGCCATATGAAACAACATCCTGTGTTATCCAACATGGTAAACTCTCTGATTTTTTCGTAAATGACCGAGGATGCAGGCAAGGACATCCTCTGTCACCGTACCTCTTTATTTTCGTCGCCGAAATGGTTGTATGATTAGAAGTAATAAGAACATAACAGTTATTGCTATTTACAAGAACGAGTCTAAATTGAATCAATGTGCAGATGATACTGAATTATTTCTTGAAGAGAGTGAACAAAGCTTAAAGGCTGCTATTGATGAATTTTATACTTTTTATAAATTGACAGGACTTCAAATAAACATTGATACGATTCTAGCAAATATACGATTAGGCACTCTAGAAATATCCTTTTTTTATTTACTCATAACTGAATGTCATTAGAATTTGTTGAAATCATGCAAAGGCTCTAGAATTTAAGTTAAGAATCTAAGAATCTAGTTGATCAAAGTCAGAATATGAATATACCAAGAAAACACTGACTCTTCATCATCTAAAGTTGTGTTTATTGACAACCTGCATTCATTTTCTCAAATAAAATTACATTATATAAAACTTCTGGGTGGCAATAGTCCTCACTATCATAGCAAAAATAACTGGGCGGCATTTGTTCAAGGTGGCAATTGCCCGAGTGGTAATTGTCCTTCTCCCATATACTTATACTACCAATTGCGCTTGCGGGTGGCGCAGCAGAGATTGCAACCCAGTCAATGATTCTGGGATATCATCCAGGTAGTCGCTGGGGGAAAAGGCAACAAAGGCAACAACCAGTCCCGTGGAATTGCTCTGGATCAGTGTCCCCTTAATGAACCCTTACAACTAAGCCCTCTTCTATGGGAACATTCCCAATGAATGCATGACTTTCTTGAAACCTTTCTAGTATACATGCATCCATCACAGCAATGTTTTTTACCACCTGTTATTTTTTGGTATAATTTCCATCTTGTAATGCTATTAAGTCTGTAAACACTGACGTTAATGATAATGAGATCAACCGTATATACTTTGTCCAGCTTTGGTGAAGTGCAAAAACTATATATATCCAGAGCAAAGTATTAAGGTGGGTGACTAGTAAGGTGAGGATTAATTAGAAAAATTAATTAGAAAAAGAATTACAAAGCAACAAATGACAGCTTGACAACGGTACAAGAATATGTATCGAATCGTCGCACTTCCGAAATAAATAAGATGTTATCCATAACGTTTGTTCAATATTGTATCTCACAACTTCTAAAATGCCACTCAAACAAGTTTCTTTCACTAATGCGTCAGATTTGGAATGTCCTCCTCATGATCACCATAATGCGTTTGGAAAACTTTACAGAGGATGTAGCCTAGATAACTTTTAGTCCAGCGGATAAGTGATTAAATTGTGCACTTTGAAATTTGGCATGATTGTAGCTTATTCCCTTCTTATCAAATAAAGACTGAGAGGCGTCGCATAATTTTTTATATTTTTCATATTTTTTGGGGGAAAATAAATCATTTTCTTCTACTATTTTCGTCATAATATTTTTCTAAAATCTCCAATTCTCATACATCATATATTATAGCTGATCATTTTTCATCTATACATGTCTTTTTATCTTTAACGGTTAGGTCCACGGAAGACAATTTATATAATGACTACCCGAAAATGGGAAAATTGACGGACATATTTCAAAATGGACTGCATCAGTAAAATAAGTATGAGATCATTCTTGGTGGAAGTGTGGGACGGAGGCATATTTCTCGGCAAAAAGTGAACTTAAAGACGGGAAAGCTGAAGTTATCAATCTTGTCATTAAAGTTTAGTGAAGAGTTTTCGACAAATTGTTTGAGTTTTTGAGAAACCACATGGTAAGAACTCGACGACTCAATACTTTCTGTAAGCACAAAGAAAGACTGAATGTCAAGTGGTCTATCTTCGAGACAGGTGGTACATTTGCTGGACTCCGACTTGTAATCAGTTACAAAGATAAGGACAGCTGAGACTTTCTTATCTATCCATGATCCTGACTTGTATCCAAATTCAAGTCTATCAACATTATATAAACAACACATGTGTACGCATGCAGGGACTAAACATAGAATGTTTCATTCTGATCAATCGTATAGCATAAAACCACCGATTTATTCAAACACGATTTCCTTGTTCACTTGGCTACTGGTTCCTTCTTGGTTACTTGATACAAGTGTTCATGGTCTGACTCCAGCAGGAACACACATGAGTGTGGCGACAGTCTTCTTCCCATCCAAGGGTGGTGGGGTAGCTTAGTGGTTAAAGGTTTGCTCGTCACGCTGAAGACCCGGGTTCGATTCCCCACATGGGTACAATGTGTGAAGCCCATTTCTGGTGTCACTCGCCGTGATATTGCCGGAATATTACTAAAAGCGGCGTAAAACTGAACTCACTCACTCACACTTCCCATCCATGTGTTGCTTCATACCCCTTACAGAACATTCTACGCGTGGAGCTAAACTTCCACTTCACCAGAATCAAAGTTCATATTTGTAAAACATTGTTATGGTTTTGGTTTGGGTCGTGCTTTTTAGACCTTTAACCTGTGCAATGTCCATCAGTTGTACCCTACCAATTGTTCTATGAACTGTATGGCCCCTGAAACAATACCCCGATAGTCTACAAACGTGTGACTTTATCGTATGACATACTCATCTGAATCAGTGTCAACATATGTGCGTCAAAACTTGAAAGTCACCACGAAGATTAGATACCATGCACCACACGTAGGAACAGTATTTCCCAAATTTAACAATGTTAGGAAATTAAGGCGTCATTCGAGGACCATATGATCGTTTGAAATGTACGTATCATTTTGCCGCAAAATGTGTATTCATTACGCAGGTCATCAAATGAAAGAGCATTTGAAAGCTATGAACAAATAACACAGAAGTGAGTAAATATGGTCATCGTTTCAAACATATTAAGAACGTTTGAAATATTTGTAAATATTGTTTATTGATGACACAGGACGGTATAAATACCCTTGAAATCGTGCATATCAAGGTTTAGATTTATCCTATGTTTCATACTCTCCTAAAGGATCGTTTATTGGTAAATGGATTATTACCATATTGACAGAAATGAGCGTTTATTTCAGTGGTTCGGTGATATAACTAATTGCAGCCATGACTAGGAGCACCCACGCCAGTAACATACATAGGTCACTGGTAACATATGGCGCGGGGATCCATTTTACCACAGACAGAAGTTCCCTGTATATTTGTTGACCCACACTTTATCGACGCACTGCATTGAACTGGTCTACGATTTCAAACTCAGCAAACATCCTTTCCCACCATTATTTGATAGTAATACAGGCATATACATTTATTATATAATCCTAATCATATAATTGACAATGGTATTAACTTCAATCACCTTATGATAACGTAAGAGATTTTACCGAAAGCTGATGTGCAAAATAACAAAATAACATAACATTTAATCATATAATGTTTTATATGTGATAATGTGCATCAATTCTGCTAAAGTGCACAATGTATGTTAGGTTGGATACATCAAAAAGGGTATTTGGAGACGAAATATATATCAGAGATTCCAATTATGCGCACGAAGTTTTTTCATTTTCTAAAGATTGTCTGAGTTTGTTTCCAGTCAACAAGAGACAAATGAAAAGAAATAAGCATTGAACTTCACTCTGAGTGAGTGTACTGGAGCATTAACCTTTATAGAGCGAGGGCCAAAAGATATAAACGTCGAAGTTTGCGTCTCAGTTTGGAACGCACAATGTCTACATAGGTACACTATTTTTTTATGTCATGAGAGCATATATTGCCTGATTATACTTGTCACTTTTCCCTTTCCTCTAGACATGTAATATATTTGTGGTTGTTACTTTTAATACAAAATCGCCTTTTCATACCAAACTTCAATGCGCCTTGTGTGTTTGGAGCATTAGTGTGTGAATGAAGAGAGTACAATACTGTGACTACGTATGGAACATGCTTTATACCAGTCAGGTATACACAGGACCATGTGTGTGTACATATACGCATGAGAAATCAAACAACCAAAACATTATAACAACACTGTGCGTAATTACCTAGTGTAGCTTTAATACCTTGATATTTTTACAGATCTGTTGTTACTGATGGAATGCAGTGGTCGGGGTTTCAAAATCTCTGAATAATGCACGGAAGCCAAACTTATCGTTTTTTGTAACTTAGTCATTGGTTTAACTACCCAAATAGGCTGGAAGAGTCATAATATGCTGAGTATCCGAAAAGCTTTCAAAACCCAATGTGGTTCAAGCCCTTTCTGGAGACGTGTCCGACCACTCTCAAATTTAAATTTGTCTGAAGAACTGAAGTGATTAATCTGGTGTGTCCGCTTGCTTTACACTGTTTAGCTTAGACAAGGTCACGTGAACCTGCATTTGTAAAATTAAAAATATGAACCCAATTTGTTTACATTGTTGAAGAAAAACTGTATCATGTTTTAGGTCCGGTAATATGTACATATTCTTGCCTTCAAGTTTATAAGGCATGGAAACATCTGAAAATTGACATGTTTCCCCTTCTGGGGTAATGTCAAACTTTAGTAAACAGAAAATATTAGAAATTTCAGTATCTACTGCAATTAATAGGAATGTATTAGGAATACTCGATAATCAAGGTATCAACTTTTGAATTTATTCCTGGAAATGTCTTTAAATCCGGTCATAGCATACATGAAAAAGGTGCTTATGCATATACGATGAGCATATGTTTCAAAGATGTTGCTTCATATGAAATAAACGCCCTAACTTACTACATATCGGGAAACATACGCAAATCCGGTCATAGCATATATTTCCTACTTAATTTGTATTTGTTTCAGTACCGTAAAATACGGATTTTGATCCTGTGATGGCTAAATAAGAACAGTGGCATTAACCTCGAGGTCTCTGAAAGGTTGTAATTGTGCTGGACTTCACGCATCCTTTGAATATGTTCCTGCGAGTGGCGGCCATCCTGATTCTCACTGTGGTGTCATGTTCTGGAAATCCTGTGACGGAGTTCGAGGACTGCGGTTAGTGACGTAAACACCCGAGATGGTCGGAGTAACACCACGAGGGAGCCACGATCGAGTTACATGACTACGATTTCGCAAAAACACTTTAAAAACAACCCAAAACACGTAATGTGATTGATGTATTTATGTATGAACATGTACTGTGATTACCTATTACCAACAAGCCAGTAAACTAAGCCGTAAACTACCTCATGCTTTATATATAAACATTTAAAGGATGTGTATCAATGTATGTACAACTGTGATGTTTACCCTGATTGCACTAACTGTTCTTTCCTCTTGCAGGTTCTACTGTTGGTGAAATCAACCACATAGACATAACGCCCTGTGAGTACAGCTCCCGGTGTTCAATTCCCCGGGGCAGCAGCGTCACTCTCGCCCTCAACTTCACCGCAAGTACGTCATGCAGGCTTCCCAGAATGAGTGAGCGAGTGAGTGAGTGAGAGTGAGTGAGTGAGCTCAAGTTTTACGATGCATCGGCATTATTCCAGCCTGATAGCGGCAGGTACTGAATGCATGCACAAGTCCATTTCACAATTTTTTTTTTTCATTAAAGTATTATTTACAAATAGGAACGTCACAACACTGTATTTTACAAAATCGACTTGATAACATTTGCCATATACCATATACACTTCCTCTTAACATTCTCTGTTGCAGATGCCGAGATCACTTCAGCTAAAACCTCCATAGCCGGAATAATTAACGACAACTTGTACCCATTTCCGGTTCCGCTTGATGCGTGTCAGCACATGGAGTGTCCGTTACAGAAGGGAAGCCAGGCTTTCTACAAGAACTCATTCTTCCTATCAGCAGTACTACCACCGGTACGACCTACCAATAATCCTTTTCACCGGATCTGATTCTAATGACACTATACTGGTGGTTGCTTTATTTTTGCTGACACAAAGGTAGCTCGTATTTGTGTAACACATCCAGTTTGAGACTGAGCTCATGCTAGTTACTGGCTCTTATGCCTTCTACAAAGGTTAGCTCTTAAAGATGTGTATCAGTGTAGCTAGTCTTATCTAAGTGAGACTGATTAGAATGGTGAGTGAGTATAGTTTTACGCCGCACTCAGCAATATTCAAGCTATATGGCGGCGGTCTGTAAATAATCGAGTCTGGATCAGACAGTCCAGTGACCAACAGCATGAGCATCGATCTAAGCAACTGGGATACGATGACATGTGTCAAGCAAGTCAGTGAGCTAGACCACCCGATCCCGTTAGTCGTCTTTTACGACAAGCATGGGTTGCTGAAGATCACGGATCTTCATTGACGGATCTATGGTAGTGGGTGACTGTTACACCATCCACAAAGATGGGTCTTCGGGAATGTGTCACATCAGTGTAACACATCTATCTTTATTGTTACTGAGCTTAAACCAGTGGTTAATGTCACTTGTATACCTTCTGTAAAGAATGTTGCGGCTGGGTAGCCTAGTGGTTAAAGCGTTCGTGCGTCACGTCGTAGGTTCGATTCCCCACATGGGTACAATGTGTGAAGCCCATGTCTGGTGTCCCCGTCGTGATATTGCTGGAATATTGCTAAAATTGAGTAAAACTAAACTCACTCACTCTACAAATGTGATGTGAGATCTTTTATATCGGTGTCACACGTCTGATTTTAATGATGCTGGGTCTATACCAGTGATTGCTAAACATGCGTACTACAATGTAATCATTGACATGTAACATCATAATGGCATTCTAAACCATGTTCCCGTGTTTCAGATAAATGCCACGGCCAAGTTCGAGCTGCTTGATCAACTCGAGAGACGCATCGTTTGTTTCACTGTTAATGTAAAGCTGGCTTGGTGATGTCAGCTGTCCATATCTATAGTGAATAAACATCTTTTCGAACCAAACGCATTATGATTTAACGAGTTTTACAGAAATCATATGGAATCCTACACGGGACAAGCAAAAACAAACAAAAAGCGTCAAAATTGAGCAAAGCGCGACACGCACGCACGCACGCACACACACACACACACACACACACAAAACAAACAAAAAAACTGTACAATATAAGCAATCATGGCTAGCGTCATGGAGTCACGGAACAAATATTTCAGGACACAACACTTGATATATCATGGGTCAAGGGAAAAGATATACTGACTGTACTGTCCATGCACCAGCGTGAACGAAGGCTATGCCTGTCTCTAAGGGTAATAGTGTATATAGTTCGGTTTTCGATCGTCAGGATAAAGCGTCAACAACTTGGACCAGCAACAGAACGCGACCGCACTCGTTTGGACAGGTATGTGAGCATGGCGATAGCCCCACATCTGCTGTCATCTTTCATACTTCTGAATCAAACATGAAAACTTCAAACTAACCTGTCTCGTCCCGTGCCTTCGTTCACGCATCGTGTACTGTATTTCCCGCGAATCACAAAGTGTTCGAGCCCACTCAACTCCCCCTTTGAAAGTTCCTGGATCCGCCCATACATGTAGGGTAACAATATGGTGCAGGAATCCTGATGTAGATCATTTAAAGAGGTTACAACCAGGCTTGTTAACATCGACCCATCTGGTTTGTCCCGTTATGTGGAGTAGATTCAATACAAATGGACAAAAAAACGCGCATAAAATCTCCAAATCATCATTATCTTCGCCGAAAAAAGCCTTCATGAGAATATCCAGTTGTTGTATACTCGGCGTCAGTAATGAAGGGTCAAGCTTTTGGTAACACTATTTCCAAAATTTGTAAAATTTGTTGGAAATATGTACAAATGAATGTTTTACCAACTTTCTCAACAGTATGGAAAAACACATCGGGCCACTGAAATGTCATTATTACGTTCTTTAACGTCCGCAGTCTGTTACAAATGGCGCATCGTTTTATTCAAATTGTCAATATGGAAATCCACCTGTCACTCAATGTCAATGATTTGCACGTGCAAGTCGCTCTATCCATGGAAAGTGGAGGACAATACACATGCATTTATGCTTTTTCAATGCCGTTCATTGTTCAGGTTCCTCTTTGAAATCGCAGCCTAAAATGAGACGTTTCGTTGACACTTGCTGAAAGGGGTCAGGCAATAGGCCTTTTGGAATCTGTCCGCTTTAATGTGAGTCAGAGTGCTATTGGTAGACTGGGAATGGGTCCGTGGAATACGTCGACCAGGTCGCCCCAGAGTCACAACAGTCCGAGATGATAGGCACATGATTAACACTGCGATTCGTAACACATTCCTTAACGCAGCAGATCTTCAGACAGAACACTTCAATGTTAACAATGTAAGGATATCCAGGAGCACCGTTCTTCGACGTTAAGGGGCTGCCGGACTCCGCTGTAGGCGATCTGCAGTTCGTCCACCACGTCAAAGGCAGGCGCGTTTGAGATGGACTAGACATCATGGCCGCTGGAATCAACGCCAATGGTCTCGTGTGCTCTTCACAGATGAAAGCAGATTCAATTTGTCCTTCCATGATGATCGCCAGAGGATTTATCGTCGCAATCGAATCACAGATGCAACTGCGGCCACGCATAACCGATTTGGCGGGGTTCGGTCATGGTTTGGGCATGGATAAATCCTACTGGACGTACTCCACTGCACGTGGTCGATTCCTGCAAGTTATGCATGACTTTTATGGTCGATCCTCTTTGCTGCAAGACGACAACGCTAGGCCTCATAGGGCCAGGATTGTCACGGAATTCCTTAGGCAGCAGGGTGTAGAGCGGATGGAGTGTCCAGCATGCTCGCCAGACCTCAACCCAATTGAGCATGCCTGTGATGAACTCGGTCGACGTGCGTACACACGTAACCCAGCACCAGTGGATCTCCCAAGACTCCGCAGAGCTCTAGTAGAGGAATGGAATGCGATTCTGCAAGCTTTCTTTATGAACTTGATCTTGGAGGCGCGAGGGGGTTACACAAGATATTGAATGACCGTGTGCTTCATGTTTGTCATTTTTATTTTGGGGTGTTGGTCTATACAACTTATGTTTGCTTGTGCTGTTTGAACTTTTTGTCTGTAGGTCACGATGTGTCACGTTTGTCAACACATGAAACATTATTATGATACTCTTAGTTCTATTATTTCTGAGAAACCTTTCTTTACATGCGATATATGTCATTTGACCCTTTATGTTAGCAATATTCCAGCAATATCACCTCTGGGGACACCAGAAATGGGCTTCACACATCGAACCCGGGTCTTTGGCGTGACGCGCGAACATTTTAACAATTAGTTTACCCCACCGCACCCGAGTTCTATGAGGTTCTCATCTGACCAACTCACTGGACAAATGGGATGACGTAATTTGGTCTACATGACGTTGGCCGGTCATATTCCTTCCTACGATCATCAGATCGTTTCTGTTGTAATCCCAGCCCTTGACGCTGTCACCGCCGTAGCTGCCATGCTCCTGGAACACTGCCGGATAGTACTACTCTTCCCGCCGTCTCAAACACATTTCTACTATCTGTAAAGTGTAAACAAAACCTTGCTTCACCAGAAAACATACTGTGCTTGGAGACGTGGGTAGAGCTACTATCCGGAAGCGTTCCAAGAGCACCATAGGTTCAATGGTGACAGCATCAGGCTGGCGAGTTACTTGTCACATTTACTTGCGTCTTAGTTGAAACGATATGGTTTTAGAGTATCGACAAGCGTTCTTAGATCTTATTTAGTTATCAATATTATCTTCGCCTTGATAATCCACCTGTGTGATTGGCAAAACGTTGACACTGGCGGTGTAGGCAGGGTGACGTCACAAATGTCCGTTGTGTCATGTATGTATCCCTGCGCCTAGACATGTTTTGAAACAACTCGTAGTATGATAAATGGCATCTGCCACTCGTGTAGTAATCTTTATGTTTCAAACAATGAGATATATAAGACGTTATCACTAATCTCTTGTGACATGTGATCGTGATGGGTGTATTACCTCATCAATGTTGTAGGACTAGACCGCCTCCGTGGTGTAGTTAGAGCGTCCGCCCAAAGAGAGCGGAAGGTCGCGGGTTCGATCCCCGGACTCCACGTCATACCAAAAGACGTTAAAATATGGTACTTGTTGGTCCCTGCCTGGCGCTCGGCATTAATGGGTACAAGGACTGGTCGGCTCGGAATCAGTATAATGTGTCTGAGTGGGGTATTCATGTTTCACTGCGGCATGGTATCTCAGTGGGCTAGCACTATAAAACCAGCTTAAGTCTGGGCTAGTACAAGCAGCCGCACATACACATACACGCACATGCACGTCGTCATATGAGCGAAATATTCTCAAGCACGACGTTAAACCCAATTTCGCCTCACCTCACCTGTACATCATTATAACACGTTTGCTTCGTAAGGAGTTTTATTAAGTATAAATAGATGTGACCATCACCACAGGACCTGGATGGGTACAGTGAAGCAGATGATACGTCTGTCGAGTTGATCCACCAACTGGAACTTGGCCGTCACATTTATCTGAAAGGAAACAACAGGCACTTGCTGAGTGTATTAAATTATTAACAGATTATATATCATTTTAATAGGTACACAAATGCATCCACCTTTGCAATAGATATAAAAATCGACGATCTGTATCGGGTCGATCTCTTGAACCTGTGATACACTTACTTTTTACACTGCATACTTCGTAAAGGAATCTATTTAGATTGTTAGGATTTGTGTAAAGGCAGCGTTTAAATTTCCCGCCTGCCCGACCGTCCGGAACGGTCTGTTTTCATCTCGGACGGTCAAATTTCAAAAGTAGCCTGTCCGGTGGTCTGGTCGATGGTTTTACCCCAAAGAGTATATATTTCATAATATCAGACAGGTTCTCTTGTCCTCAGTTTGAGGTGTTTAAGGTATTATAAAAATTATGTTAAACTACTTACGATTGGACAGTTCATGTTACGGTGCATTGCCTGTTGAGGCTATGTAGTTCATTGCGATGCTTACAAACAGTGATTGGAGCTTGCGCGAGTTGGAAATGGCAGTCACAGTTTTTTATTGTTGAAAACCGGACAGGCAAGTTTGTATCCTGACTGGTTATTTTTTAAAGTTACCAGTCCGGCTGCCTGGCTTGGAATTTTGGGAGTTTTAAACACTGGTAAAGGTCATACCTTTGGAAATGCTTCCGAAACGAAGAATGTGTTATTGTAGGCAGCCGAGTCTCCGTTCTGTAAAGGACACTTCATGTACTGACACGCATCCGGCGGAACCGGAAATGGGAACAAAGTGTTGTCAATAATTCCCCAGATGAAGGTTTTAGCTGAGGTGATCTGCCCTTCTTCAAAAGAGAATAAATGCGTTCCGTCAAATCGCAATTTCTTTCAAGATAGCATTCAGACGTTCGGTCAAATCACAATTTCTTTCGAGAAACGAAAACAGTCGAGTATGAAATAATATTACTGTATATTATATGGTGGTTCAGGAAAGTAAGTATCATGTTGAATGTTTAGACACTAGGTTGTACATTCGAGGACCTGCATGACGTACTTGCAGTGTAGGTGACGGAGAGACTGGCATTGATGCCCCGGGGAATGGCACACCGGACGTCGCTGTTACAAGGAGTTATGTCGATGTAGTTGATCGCACCAACAGTCGAGCCTGTAAAGAGGAAAGTGCGTGTAATTGGTCAAAGAATAATCGTAATACATATACGAGGTATATCGTCAGCTGTTACAAACTTGTCCTGAATGTTGGGGAAAGGGCGTGGTCGCCTTGGTTTGTTGGTTAGTTGGCTGATTTGTTTTTTAACGCAACACTCAGAAATACTCCAGCTATATGGCGGCGGTCTGTAAATAATCAAGTCTGGACCAGACAGTCCAGTGATCAACAGCATGAGTCTCGACCTACGCAATTGGGATACGACTTTGACGGCATACACCGTCAATCGTATAGGGAACACAGGGATGCGGGGTACCGTTAGAATGCTTCATGAACATTCTATACTGGTTGTAAGGGGCGAATTGGTGAATTGGTTGGTCCGAATTGGTGGTTTTATTGAACAAGTGTCATCGTACCCCAAGGGCGTGGATTGGTGCTCATAATGTCAATCACGGGTTTGTATGATCCAGGCTCTGTGCAGACCGCCGTCATTTACATGGAATGTTGCCGAAACAAGATATACACGAGGAAATGGTGTGTGCCAATATTTATATAATTACTGTGTTGAATGAAAGGTTCCAGATAATTTTTGTCGGTTGTCCATTTGCACTGAACGTCTGGGTGTTGTAAAATTGCTGCCTTATGTGAAACCGAGATATCCTCTTTGTATAACAGAGTTAATTATAACTGTAATATAGACTTATGTATGGCGTTACCTGTATATTTGAAATTGCATATATAGAACATTTAAGGTATAGTACCGTTTACTCACTCAGCTCAAGATTTTTTTAGTTTGTGAAGGGTTATATGTTTACATCATTTCATAAAATCCATAACCATGTCCTGATTAGAGTCACGTTGCCCGATCGTGACTCCCTCGTGGTGTTACTCCGACCATCTCGAGTGTTTACGTCACTAACCGCAGTCCTCGAACTCCGGCACGGAATCTCCCGAAGATGACACCACAGTGAGAAGCAGGATGGCCGCCGCTCGCAGAAACATATTCAGAGGATGCGTCAAGTCCAGCACAACTTTACCTCGTCCACGAGGTTAATGTCAGTGAACTTACTTAACCACGGTATCTTATCGTAATGGCGACCTTCACATGTATTTGTCAATGTGCTCACGCTGTTTCAGATAAATATATCACACGATACACTCACACATACTAGGAGACGATGAGGGTAGTGTTTCGGGATGGTCATGATCTTTGGTGCAACTATTGTCCGTCAACCTTAGTTCTGGCAACCAGTTTTTATCGATTTATTTTGCTTGAGTATGTTTTATAAAATGAAAATTAGACATGTGGTATTTGTATCCTTTGACTTAACTCAGTCATATAGTTGCCATTCCAAATTCGGGGTCGGGTGGTCAGGCTCGTTGTCATCGTATCCCAGTTTCGTAGATCGATGACTTGGTTGACACATGTCGTCGTGTCTCAGTTTCGTATCACTGTTAATGACTGGATTGTCTGGTCTAGACTTGATTATTTACAGACCGCCCCCATACAGCTGGACTATTGCTGAGTGTGGCGTAAAACAACACAAAACAAACAACAAATCGTACAAGGTTAAAGAGTTGTTTTGTTATCGTGTACTTTCATGATTGGGATCTCATCCCGTCACGTGGGATAACAGCAGATGATTGAATGTCTGTCAACACTGACAGTACGTGTGTCAAACATGCTACCTGCGACCTTGGGTCACGCCTACAGTACTGACTGACTGACTGAGTTTTGGTTTTACGCCGCTTTTAGCAATATTCCAGCAACATCACGGCGGAGGACACCAGGAATGGGCTTCACACATTGTACCCATGTGAGGATTCGAACCCGGGTCTTCGGCGTGACGAGCCAACGCTTTAACCACTAAGCTACCCCACCGCCCCTCCTACATTACTGATCAGTGAGGTGAGGTGAGGTAAGATGAGGTGAATTTGGGTTTAACGTCGTGCTTGAGAATATTTCGCTCATATGACGACGTGCAAGCGTATGTATGTGTATGTGCGGCTGCTTGTACTAGCCCAGACTGAAGGTGGTTTTTTCAATGCTAGCCCACTGAGATACCATGCCGCAGTGAAGTATGAATACCCCACTCAGACACATTTATACTGACTCCGAGCCGACCAGTCCTTGTTGTACCCATTAATGCCGAGCGCCAGGCAGGGACCAACAAGTACCATATTTTAACGTCTTTTGGTATGAAGAGGTCGGGGATCGAACCCGCGACCTTCCGCTCTTTGGGCGGACGCTCTAACCACTACACCACGGAGGCGGTCGATCAGTGTCAGTGCATGTGAGTGTGAGTGAGGTTATTCTCAAATATCCTGTCATGGGATGTTTGAGAGATCATGCGAAATGTACTTACTTTTTTAAACGAGAATCGAACAACCCTTTGATGGATCTTAATTTGTTAACCAAAAGAGCACTACTTTAAGAACATTGTTTCGATTGTCTCTCTTGATAAGGATGATCTGGATGACTTTGACAAACGTGTCCTTGAAGACGTTATTCGTCGATTGCACATATCAAATGAACGTATTTCATCCACAAAGATTAAAACAAATACTTAAAGATTAATATGATATCGATTTTTCAAGGTTCACGATCTGTAAACTCTTATTGAACTTTTAGTTGCAATAACAGACGCCTGAATACCAGATGTTAACACTTTGTCAGCCTGGGATATCATTCCTGAGATACCTGGCTGTCTTAGCTCTGTAAGAGTTTACAGATAGTGTCAGGGGTGGAAATAACTTTAAAATTGCCAGTGGCACATGTAAAATCACTTGCCTGATAATTTTTCCACTATACCGGCCGTTTTCTTGTTGATTTTTTAAATAAACAACATAATTAACGTTGGAAAGTCAACTGGACACCGGTACAGTGTGATATACAAATTTGCTTGCCCAACAGAAAAACACTGGACTCGGACGTCGGGCAATGGGTTATTTCCACCCTTGCAGTGTACCTTGAAAAATTAGTATCTTTGAGTATTTCCCATGTGGGGAATCGAACCCGGGTCTTCGGCATGACGAGTGAACGCTTAAACCACTAGTCTACCTCACCGTCCCTCTAGTATCGATGACTGATGATTTCTTGATACGTAAGAGACAATACGTCTTTACTCCAAGAATCAGGAGTTCATGCAAAGAGGTGAGGTGAGGTGAAATTGGGTTTAACGTCATACTTGAGAATATTTCTCTCATATGACTACGTGCATGCGTGTGTATGTGTATGTGCGGCTGCTTGTACTAGCCCAGACTTAAGTTGGTTTTATAGTGCTAGCCCACTGAGATACCATGCCGCAGTGAAACATGAATACCCCACTCAGACACATTATACTGACTCCGAGCCGACCAGTCCTTGTTGTACCCATTAATGCCGAGCGCCAGGCAGGGACCAACAAGTACCATATTTTAACGTCTTTTGGTATGACGCGGTCGGGGATCGAACCCGCGACCTTCTGCTCTTTGGGCGGACGCTCTAACCACTACACCACGGAGGCGGTTTCATGCAAAGAGGGTATCAGTAGAAGCTATATGTGATACCAATTTTATGTAACTCGCGTTCAACGTGACATATTGGAATTCATTTATACACCCGCGTGCTGCATTTGACCACGAATGTGTCCCTGGGAGATCTAGACACCTCGTTCAACGTGACATTGGTTAAAGCGTTCGCTCGTCTCGCCGAAGACCAGGGTTCGATTCCCCACATGGGTGCAATGTGTGAAGCCCATTTCTGGTGTCCCGCACCGTGATATTGCTGGAATATTGCTAAAAGCGATGTAAAACTTCACTCATTCACTCTCACTCACTCCTCACTCACTCACTCACTCAACATACCTATTCTGAATAGTGACTGAGTGATTATCGTAAGTGTGCACGTACCTATCCGTGCATATTGCCGGAATATTGCTTAAACTCACTCACTCAAAGTGACATTAAGAAAATGACATTTGGTTCGTAAAAATGATATGGCACAGATTCGTGATCTGAATTGTTATCTATAGATCGTATGACCGCTGCACTTGTGATGTAAATAAATAAGACCGTCACGAAGTCGTATAGAACTTTATCATGTACATTTCAGATGTTATTTATAGCTCATGGGCCTGAGATATATGCAGTAGGATTGAACTAGATTAACTTATCTTCCAGGGGCGGATACAGCTTTTTGAGAAAGGGGTGGAGGGTGGGGGTTTGCACACTTCATTTTCACCCGTTTTAACAAGAGTTTCAATGGTCATTTAATAAACTTTCAGGACAAAAAGGGGTGCACCTCTGGGTCCGCCTATGTCTTTGGTGCATTTTCAGACACATGATGTATGTAAATATAAATAAATATTCCTGAAGGATTCTTTGAACGAAGTACTTCAACCCATACGCTCATTCCGTTCAGTTTATCGAATTTTCACACATCCCTTTCATCGAGGGGGGGAGTCTTCTTGCTGGTTACGGAAAGGGGCGAGTGGTGACGAAGGAGGATCACAATGGATCCGTCAGATTAATGCTACATATTGCGGCAGTTTGTAAGTGACCACACTTAACCAGACACACTGGTCAGTATCGATAACACCACCACCACACTCAATCAACCATATCACTCATTGTAACCAACTACTACTCATTTTCAGTAGGGTGCGGTGGGGTAGCCTAGTGGTTAAAGCGTTGGCTCGTCACGCCGAAGATCCGGGTTCGATTCCCCACATGGACACAATGTGTGAAGCCCATTTCTGGTGTCCCCCGCCGTGATATTGCTGGAATATTGCTAAAAGCGGCGTAATACTAAACTCAGTCAGTCAGTCATTTTCAGTAGATTTACAGTAGATTTACGACGATCGAAGCGCTACGAAAGCTTTGTAAAACGAGGTCAAGGTAATGACTGCAATGAAATCAAGTTACAAAACACACTGGTGTTATATAGAAGCACACGTTGATCAGGGCCGGTGAGGTAGTCCTGTGGATGAAGTTATCGCTCGTCACGCCGAAGACCGGGATTCGATTCCTCAGTGAGGTGAGGTGAAATCGGGTTTAACGTCGTACTTGAGAATATTTCGCTCATATGACGACGTGCAAGCGTGTGTATGTGTATGTGCGGCTGCTTGTACTAGCCCAGACTTAAGCTGGTTTTATAGTTCTAGCCCACTGAGATACCATGCCGCAGTGAAGTATGAATACCCCACTCAGACACATTATACTGACTCCGAGCCGACCAGTCCTTGTTGTACCCATTAATGCCGAGCGCCAGGCATGCAGGGTACCATATTTTAACGTCTTTTGGTATGACGCGGTCGGGGATCGAACCCGCGACCTTCCACTCTCCGGGCGGACGCTCTAACCACTACACCACGGAGGCGGTCCGATTCTTCAGTAATTATGTAGGCTGGATGAACCAATTTCCATGAACATAATGATGGTATTTCCTCTTAGCAGCAACATCTTTCCCCTCATCTTACAATATATATATGGAACAAGCGACAACGCAATACTACTATATTCATGAACGTTCATTAAGCATAACCTGAATCCAAGCTACGTGTTAAGATCCGGCCAAGTATTGATCTTCAACAACCCATTCCTGTCGTATGAGGTGGCAAACGGGATCGGGGGGTCAGTCCCGCTGACTTGGCTGACACATCTCATCGTATCCCAGCTGCGTAGATCGATGCTCATGATGTTGATCACTGAATTGTCTGGTCCAGACTCGATTATTTACCGACTGCCGTCATATAACTGGAATATTGCTGAGTGCGGCGTTAAACAATTATAACCCATGGTCCAAACAGGCCGAAATACTCTAACGAAATAGACTAACATACTGGAATGCACTTGCAAAAACACGTTTTTCAAACAATATCTCAAAAGCTATGGATCGCATGTTCACGTGCTGAGATTGTAAGTTAATTGTTACTCTTTTAATACGGGGAATTTGGTTTTAAAAGCATATACAAGAGCATGTTATGTGTTCATAGTGATCATTCCAAAAAGTGGATGGTGCGTGATTGATGCTCATGTTATAGTATATTTTGTCCTTTTTAAGGTTGTTTAACAGCGTACCCAGCGGTATTCCCGCTGTGTGGACCAGACAAGCCAGAGATTTCCAGGGGCGGATACTGCTTTTGAGGTGGGGTGGGTGCACAGGCCCTTGTGTCTTTGCGAGGATAAAAGTTTTAAATAAATGCATAAAATTGAGATGACCCCCGACTCGAAATGCTTCACAGTACAATACACGATGATGCATTGTACTGTGAACCATTACGAGTCGGGGGTCATCTCAAAAACAATATTTTTAAATCATCAATCCTCGCAAAGACACGAGGGCCTGTGGTTTTCACGAGAGTTTCAGTGGTCATTTTATAAACTTTCAGGACAAAAGGGTGGGGGTGGGGGTGTTGCGCATCCTTGCACCTCTCTGGATCCGCCTAAGATTTCATCATGAGCATCAACCTACGGACACGCATCAACAAGGTCTACGGGTCTTACCATCCGATCGCCTCTCGTGACAAGGTGCACGTGTTATCGTTAGGTAAGACTGTTTACTCGCGTGTTAACAGTAGATAAATTCATTGCCACGTGTAGAAGATCGTCCCAACCAGTGGACCAATACACAAACTACAACCCGCTACGTAATATACGTAGTTTATCAGCGGGACGAGGATCAGATAGACTGACAGTGGTGTCGCGTCAGTGCTGAATCAATGGCTTCCTGACCGTGGACGATAAGAATCCGTATCACCGTCGCTGAATACCGGACCTCCGATCTTGTCAGTCTCGGTCTACTACAAACACACACCGTCATGAACGTTCTCCTCTGCATCGCTGTCTGTGCGACTTTGCTATTTGTGGCCCAAGCGGAGTCCATCAATTTCAAGAACTGCGGTGAGAGCATGTTTTATTCTAAGCCACAAGGTTCTCCTTCCAATACGAAATGAGGTGGATGTGTAATTTAACAGAGCGTGACAACGCTAAATAGCTATGCGAATATTTCAAGGGTGAGGTTATAATGTACTTGCACAAAGGGATTTCAACGCATCAGCTATCATAGCTCTCAAGACATAGATTTCGCTTGCTAAGAAATCGTAGCAATGTGTTGCTCAACTTTCACTATCAGACGACCCGTGAAAATCCGGGTTAGAATTGATCTTCAGTAAACCATGCTTGTCGTAAGAGACGACTAACGGGATCGGGTGGCCAGGCTCGCTGACTTGTTTGACACATGTCATCGTATCCCAGTTGCGTAGATCGATGCTGTTGCTGTTGATCACTGGATTGTCTGGTCCAGACTCGATTATTTACAGACCTCCAGCATATAGCAGTGTATGAAATAAGGCCTGTCCGACCGCCCGAGACGGTCTAGATTTCTGACGGACGGTCTAAATTTACACCTAGCCAGCCCGATGGTCTGGCAATTTTTTTATATGTTCCACATATCTGAGTAAATTCACCATATTTGGTCTGGTTAAATCCATTTTGGGCTGGTAACATTTTGAAGTTACCAGCCCTGATGTCTGGCTGGAATTTTGGCTTATTTCATACACTGCATATAGCTGGACTATTGCTGAGTGTGGCGTTAAACACCAAACAAACAACTCACTATCAGGGCTCCTTCCTCAAAGTGATCGCAAACTTAAGACGATCGTAACCCCCATACGTTAACATAGGTTTACGACAGTCGTAGCACTACGATCGCTTTGAGGAACGGTGCCCAGGCATCTACTGGTCGCTAAAAATAGTCATTATTAGCAAACAAGTTAGACTTCGTTCCACATGATCATCACGATCGTAGCGACGACAGACGTAAGTCTGTGATAAAGTTTTTGAGTTACGACCACAGTAGAGTAGAATCGCTAGTGGAACGGTCCATTCAACAAAGTGGTCGTAGAGATGATACTGAGGCCTATGCTTTATAACTCGATTAACGTAACGCTACGTTCGCTTTGTCGATCGTAGCGCCATGACGATCAATGCGGAGCAGTACAAAGCTAAAATTTCGCAGATGTCAGAACAATCGAATACCTAGTGTCTAATGCTGCGGTCCCAGTGGCGACCTCGGGAGCTCGACCGACTCGACCTCGCAAACTACTCGACCGGTCTCGACCTGGGGGGGTATATCGACCTCACAACGACTGACTGACTGACAGAGTTTGGTTTTACGCCGCTTTTAGCAATATTCCAGCAACATCACGGCGGGGGACACCAGAAATGGGCTTCACACATTGTGCCCATGTGGGGATTCGAACCCGGGTCTTCGGTGTGACGAACAACACAACGACTTCATAACGACCTCATAACGACCTCGTAAGGACCTTTACGACCTTAGTTCGATTTTAGTTCGACTTCAGTCGACCTATCTCGACTAAGGTCGGCTTAGTTGAGAAGACCTATACTCGACCAGCTAGACCTGTATATCGACCTCATTTCGAATGAATTTCGTCCTAAGTCGACCGGCCCGACCTCACCGCGACCTGTGTTCAACCGGAGCGACTGGACCCGACGGAAATTCTATGTTTCTGCCGAGTAGACCCTTGGTTCCCATATTGTATAAATTACAGGGTGCATTTTCACCAGGTACCCATTCAATTAGAGGACTGCAAAGTAGTAACATCACCATCAGGAACCTTGACGTAAACCATGTGAGCCCCGAGAAGCGAAGACTGCTTACCCTTTGGGTGCAGATAGCCTGGCACCTGCTTGAACGGGTGGATGACCTGGAGAATGCCAACCCTCCTCCAAAGCCAAAGCCTCAGCCGTAAGCACATCAATCCTATCCTTGACGCCTTCAAAGCTGAGTATCGGTCAGATGTATCGGATCAGAGTAGATGGAATACTGTAGACCGTGCTTTCAAGGAAACGTGGCAATTTCCATATTGCCTCGGTGCGTTTGATGGCAAGCACAAACGCATCAAGAAGCCTCCAAAAAGCGGGTCCCTCTTCTACCACTACAAGAACTTCTTCTCTATCGTCTTGCTGGCACTCGCGGATGCTGACTACAAGTTCCCGTGGGTTAACGTCGGGGCCAAGGGATCAGCATCAGACGCTGATGGTCTTCAACCATTCACGAGATCGGATGGAGGGCGATGACCTTGTATTCCCCGCATGGTGTGCCATACTTCATCATCGGAGACGATGCCTTTCCACTCCGCCCCTGGATGATGAAGTCCTTTTCCATGCGTCAGATGGAACTCGATCAGCAGATCTTCAACTGCAGGTAATCATTCTTTTCCATAAATACCTAAATCAAATTATAACTTAGTATCTTTGGGTGTATGCAATATTATATCAAAGGTTTTGAAATTTGAATGCATTTGACTTAAAAATGTTTAATTTGTGACTTTTGCAGACTGTCTCGGGCCAGACGAGTGGTGGAGAATACTTTCGGGATTCTGGCTATGAGGTTCCAGATATTCCTCGGCTCCCTAAATAGCACTGCAGTCAGAGCTGAACAGATAACCCAGGCCTGCGTCACTTTACACAACATGCTGAGAACGAGGAACCGAAACAGTCAGATGAACCTCATAGACCGGGCAATGGGAACTGTTCACTCACCCAAGGCGAGTGGCGCTCCTGCACACAGCTGCTTGATAGGGGTAACCGGGGTGCGAAGAACGTTACCCCACTAGATGGCGCCAACCAAAGAAACTATTTGAAGGACTATTTCATGGGCCCAGGAGCTGTTCATAGGCAAGAGAAAATGATATCCAAATGACTTTAAAGTGTACTCTATTATTTAGGACTACTTCATTTACAAAGGAACTCTTGTTTGTCTTTTATTTACACTATTTACAATTGGTAAATGCGAAAAAAAAAACCAATGAAAACTAACTATATACATGATGAACAAAACAAACTTTATTACAATCGTACAAGATGTATTTACATTTACACTTAGCAATTGATGGAAAATACAAAAAAAAATATCAGATCAAAAAGCTTTTAAATCTTGTATTGGAAACTCATGTAAATAATCTGAAGGTAACATTTCACATCAGTATAAAGTGCTCATGACAATATATGAGTATCAAGTTCCACTTCTCAGTTTCACTGTCCTTGCTGAGAGTCCTGAACATGTGACTGATCCTCTGAGGTGTGTGTAGGGTCCAAGAGACCGCTTGGCAGGTACAGAGATATACCTGCTGCAGCACTGGAGTCAAAGTTAGGGAAGATACCAGCCTGGTTCGCTGCTTTGCGGCGTGTTGCAGAGGGTGGTGTGCTCAGGGTGGACCTCTGGATGGCAGCAGGTTGGTGTGGAGATGATGTGCTACCACTGGCTGCCGTTTGGCTTTTATGAAGCATCTGGGAAGATGGCGACCATTTATGCGGTCGGCGAGGACTCGATTAGGTCGAGTTGAGTCGAGATAGGTTGACTTCAGGTCGAGTCGGTCGACTTAGGTTGAGTCCAAGTCGAGTCCAGTTCGAGTTGGTCGACTCAAGGTCGAGTCGAGGTCCAGTCGAGGCCGAGTACAGATCGACTCTAAGACGAACACAGATCGGCATGTCAGGCCACCTCGACCTTCAACTCGACCAACTCGACCTAATGTCGACCTAAACTCGACCTTTTTTTCGACCTATTCTCGACCTGGTCTCGACCCCATCTCGGACCGAAGGTCGAGGAGGAAGTCTAACAATGTGCTTATATTTATTTAGTTACCGTAGACTGAACATGTATAGAAAATGAGTACATTGTGTCATATTCACGTGGGCAATAACAACGATATTGTCCCATAGCGACCTTTCTGTACTCGCACTTGGGTACAGCACGTACTTTTTACCTCGACCTTTGTGTACTCCGCAACTGGGTACACCACGTACTGATACAAGACGGTCGAGGGGACCTAACCTTTGATCCTGAGGTAGATACAGCTGATATCACTAAACGTTATCATATTGTTTATGTAGATCACAAAAAATATGTATGTCATGGCTGCGCTTAATGTTATTATCAGGTGTTTTTGTTCCTAAGTGTCCTACCGTTTGTAATGATATACCCCGCCAAGCTTCAAGTTAAAGCTGGCGTTCACCAACCTATGCTTGTCATTGGGGCGACCAACTAAATTGGGTGATCAGGCTCGCTGACTCACTTAACGCTTGTCATCGTATCCCAACTACACTTCGATGCTCATATTGTCGATCACTGGATTGTCTGGTACAGTCTTGATTATTTACAAACCGCAAAAATAAAAGTTTAATTACTAATTTGATCAATCTAGAATTCGTATTTGAGAGTTTGTCCGATCCTTACTTGCCTCTTATATTCGTTTGATTTCTTAAAGCCTATTGGATATTTCCACAGTCACCCCAAACCATGCGCCATCAGTACAAGCGATGACGTCGACCTAAAGCGTCATCTAAACGACATTGGGACATTTAACATGCAAGATATGACTCTATCACATCATTTATGAATAAATATGAATATGATCCATGGTAAAGGAACGATTCATGGGTGTAAAATGTAAAATATTCACATCATGTTTACAGTGCCAAGTGTTTCTGGTTCCAGACGCCAATGGCACCGTGACGTCAATGGACGTCGCGCCCTGCCCCGTGCAGCCATGCGTGTTCCATAAGGGCGACAACGCCACTGTCAAAATCTGTTTCACGGCACGTGAGTACTTTTCTCCAGTTACCATTAAACATTCTTAATATATGGTTTTATTAATATCTAAAATTGTTTGGTGGTAACTAAGTTTCTTATATACCTTTGTTTAATTATACACAAGCAGTGGTTCGCCTGTATGATTAGAGGATATATAGTACCCTGTTTCAGAAGGAATACATGTATTTCATTTTTTTAAACTTTTAGCATATACCTCTCCATGGGTATCTCTGACATGTTATCTTTGAAAATCAATAAATTTCCCCATTTCGGTTCAAATGTACAACAATTCGAATATGGTAAAAAATGTTATACTTTCTTTTGCCCTTCGGGAAATTTTTCTTTTTTCACACGGCAGCAGCGGTGAACCTATCTCGATTTGAATGTTCATGCTAATTAAAAACATTTTCAATTTGTGTTCATTTGTTCACAAAATACCGGTTTCAGCTGCGTCGTCCAATAACTTGACAGCTGAGATTGATGGGGTCGTGGCGGGGATCCCAGTCAAGTTCCCCATGCCGAACCCAAACGGCTGTTACCAGTCCGGCATCGGGTGCCCCATCTCCAAGGGCCAGACCTATTGCTACACCAACAACCTGGCAGTGCTGCCGTCATACCCCTCGGTAACTGATGATACTCCTCTCGTTAGCTTTAGTACCGTTATTTACACAGTTATAGAGAACGTGTACATATACCCTCCTGCCGCCCAATCTACATCATATTATGTACAATCACCACATGTTGTTCCAGATCCGGCTCGTGGTCAAATGGTCACTCTTTGGGGACGACAAGGTCCCTGAGTTCTGCGTCCTGTTCCCCGTGGAGATAGATGGTGCTGGGAGGGACACTCCCACGGGGAGAGGGGTAGACACGCCCAGGGAGAGGGAGGTAGACACGCCCACGGGGAGGGAGGTAGACACGCCCACGGAGAGGGAGGTAGACACGCCCACGGAGAGGGAGGTAGACACGCCAACGGAGAGGGAGGTAGACACGCCCAGTCGTAAAGACGGGAATATTGAATGACTACTCCATGTGCAGTTTCAGTCCTGGGTCTTCCGCATTACCATGGAGACCAAGAGCAACATCCCCTGACCCCGTGGTTCTCACTGTCTCCACAGCCCCAGAGAATAAATTAATTAAGGAGTCAAAGTCGAGAATGATTGGGCAAGTGTAGACTGCCTCCGTTCAAGGCATGAAATAAAGAATTCCTTTTGGATAACCGCCATATAGCTGGAATATTGCTGAGTGCGGCGTAAAACAACAAGCTTCTGGATTATGTTTGTTTTTCATCTGGTAGAGATATGTTTTAACTAGAACAACTATGTAAGACTAAATGCCTACCTTTTTGTCAGCTTCCATAACTACTGTGATTGTGAGGTTGGACATCGTGTCAGTGTCATAGGTCTTGTTGCACTTCCATTTCAATACAATTTTGCATTAGTCTGACACATTTGAACGATTTAGTGTATATATGATGTTTTATTAATGGATTTGTATGTTTTGTGCTTCTGTAAAAACCTGTTCTCCTGCTCGTGTGCTGTACATGCGTTATAGGTATAAACCTACAATGTATATGTTTTAAATGGATTTGTATGTTTTGGCTTCTGTAACAACCTGTTCTCCTGCTCGTGTGTTGTACATGTGACTGGGCGAAACGTTCGTTATAGGTATAAACCTACATTGTATATGTTTTAAATGGATTTGTATGTTTTGAGCTTCTGTAAAAACCTATTCCCCTCCTCGTGCGCTGTACATGCGACTGGGTGAAACGTATACATTGTAAACCTTATCTTCATATTAAAAATGATAGCGACCAAAATGCGATAAATTATCTGAATTCCACACAAATAGCAGAAGATGAGAGCAAAGTCAGAATTCTAGTCACGAGGCGAGTATTGTAACTCCAGGTCAAACTAATCGTGGCTAGTTAGTTTCTCCAGTCACGTGTACACCATATTTGGTTCATGCCCTGAACCAGTAATAATATAGACACAAAGCTTGGTTGGTTACAAATTGCCTTTTTAATATAAGTCTCCATGTTTGTTTTGTGTATATATTTGAAATAAACAATATTACAGTTTTCTAAAATGTGAGAAGGCTCATTGTTTTTGAATAACCGTGAACCCAATTAAAATATTCTATGATCACGTGGCTTACAGGCTTTGAACTTAGTCAAACCCAGTCTAAGTAAACTTAAGCTCAGTATTATTCGTTACACTGCTTATAGCGAGACTGAGTCATACCATATTCTTTAGTGAGTGAGTATGCCATCAACATCATGGCGGGAGACACCAGAAAATGGGTTTCACACATTGTATCCACGTGAAGGATCGAACCAGGGTCTACGGCGTGACGAGCGAACGCTTTAACCATTAGGCTACCCTACCCCCACATTGGTCCTGTGACTGAGCCAAGTCGAGACCATCTGATGAGTGAGTATGGTTTTAAGCCGCTTTTAGCAATATTCCAGCAATATCACGGCGGAGACACCAGAAATGGGCTTCACACATTGTACCCATGTGGGGAATCGAACCCGGGTCTTCGGCCTGATGAAGAATAACGTTGTTAATTAATGGCATGTCATACACAACATTGTTGATCTCAGACATGGACGTTCAATTCCACTAATCCATGCTTGGGGGCATATATGGGCATGGGCTCAGGCCCAAATGACAATACATTCGTCGCGAATTAACGATTGAGGGGAGGTAACTGCTGCTCCGGCGTGAACAGACGCTCGGAGTATAGAGAAAAGTGTGTCATATGTACAGCCTGTACGTTTCAAGTTTGCGAGTTACATGATCGTAACAGAAAGGATATCATCCGATACACTTCCTGCAGACTTTCACCGGAGTATCGACCCACGACTTCAGCACCATGTCGACGGCTGGCAGCAAAAAGTTAATCAATGACGTTGATGCATGCGTGGACGAATGTCTGGATGGTTTGGTAGCGGTCAATCCCGGCCTGAAGAAGTTAGCCGGACACAGAGTGATAGTGAGATCCGATATCGACTCGGTCATCCGAAAGGGGCAGGTCGGGCTGTTGTCAGGGGGAGGGTCCGGCCATGAACCCGCCCATGCCGGTAGATATAGCATTTTTACGTATCAATTGTTCTGTGCTATAATGGATTCTAATATTATTTTTCCATCAACCAGATGGCCTATAAAAATCATGCGTATCCCTGTACGTATTTATGACTGTTAAACAAGGGTATGGAATAAATTAATTAATTGTTGTTTAACGCTCTACTCAGCAATATTCCAGCTATACGGCGGCGGTTTGTAAATAATCGACTCTGAACCAGACAATCCAGTGATCAATAGCATGACTATCGATCTACGCAGTTGGGATACGACATGTGTCAACCCAGTCAGCGAGCCTAACCACCAGATTCCTAGTCGCCTCCACAAGCATGGGTTGGTGAAGACAATTCTAATAGGGTTCTTTAGGGAAGGTATGGACATGCTTAAGGTTGTATACTCACCCAGTGTACACATGTAAAACATTCCAACACTTAAGGAATTTCAGGTACAAATTTAAAATCTCCTGCAACATATAAGCGTATTTCTAGATGGGCCAGGTTAGATGACCTGGTAACGGCTGGTTGATTACACTATCCAGATTGAGTGAAGGGTGTTCATTGCATCAGTCACTGGATTGTCCAATTCTGTCTTAAATCTTTTCAGACTGCCCTCTTTTAGCTGGATGTTTAGTCTGTCTCACAGTCCCTGAACCACATTATTTTCCCTACTGCCTTGCCCGCCCTGAAATACCTAGCCCTAAATGAAGTAAGTCCAGACTTCCTCGATCAGGTTCAGGATTTCCCATCTCACTGTAGTCTGATCTTACAGTCCCTGAACCACATTATTTTCCCTACTGCCTAGCCCGCCCTGCAATACTAAAGCCCTAAATGAATCAACTCTAGATTTCCCCAGGTTCCTCAATGTTCTGAAACTCCCAACTCACTGGGAACTCCTTTCCAATTTATGGGTCTATTTGTTACAATCGAAATTATATTCATTCCGGGACTAAGCGTTAGTCCACTGGAAGTTTTATGAAAGTTGTATTAAACAAACAAAACAAAAACCAAAGGTCTGTCAGTGTAATAAATGTCAACACGTGAAAGTTATGGAGGATGCCTTAGGTTATGCCTTAGATTGTGTATCAGTTATTTTCTACTTGGAATCTGGTTTGGTAAATGATTACTGCAACTAAGTGCATCAGTCCTAGTAATGCACATGATTAACACGACAGTACACACGTACATCAGAGGTGTTGTTTACCAGGTAGCATCCATTTCATGACTTCTGTCAATCATAATTAATAATCATCTAACAACATAGGTGGATCCAGAGAGGGTTGAGTGGGGAACAGGGCTGTGCAAACCCCACCACCACCACCCACCACCCCTTTTGTCCGGAAAGTTTATTTTAAATGACTATTAAAACTCTTGTGTAAATGGGTGAAAATGAAGTGTGCAACCCCCTTTCTCAAAAAGCTGTATCCGCCCCTGTAACAACTTTGGTGTAATGCAACATTCTGCATAGTATCAGGCCAAATAAAAAAAATATTCTGAAATGCTAAACATACAAGTTATTATATAGGATTCAGTAGTAATATATGCTTCAGTAAAGTCTGTACTGATGTCCCTGTTTCAGGATACATTGGTGAAGGGATGCTGAGTACGGCTGTTGCTGGCGCTGTGTTTACGTCCCCACCCCCCAACAGCATTCAAGCCGCAGTGAGAGCTGTTGGCAAAAACAACCCAGGTAAGACAACAGGTGTAATGTATTGAAACCAAACCATTTAACTCATACCTTGATTATTTTAAGAAATAACAGTTAAACCAGTAAGTATTGACAAAATTCTTAAATTAAAAGTCAAATAAGGAAAAACGGCATTAGCAATCACACAGACAAAATTCCTTTGTAATGACTAGTTGCTTAATGCTTAAAGCACAAATATATGAGAATGTAATGCTCACAGTCTCTCCACATCTCATCACAAGTTTAGAAAAGTGATTGTAGTGCAAGGATTTCTGTAACACCTTTTTGTCTACCTCAGTGTTCGAAATTAACATTTCGAGATAGCAAATTTGCTATTCAAAATCCTATTTTGCTACCTGAAAAAAAACACAGTAGCAAAAAACTTGCTACCTGGTATATTTAAGTGAACTGCAAGTTTTGCTGAGACATTTTCATCAGATCCTTTTCTAGACTTAACCACTTAAATCATGACAACCATGTCCAGAACCAGTGGGCTGAATTGAAGGTTCTTGTGAACAGCAGCAATGTGTTGAAAAACCTACACCCAAATGCTCTACGACAAAGAATATTTTACACAGACCAGGACAGGAATGACTATGATGCCATCATCAAGGTGATATTTCTTGTTGAACTTTATCCACTTTCAACTGCTTGCTGTGAAAGGGGGTTTTCTGTTATGAAGAAAATCAAAACAGACAGGAGATGTAGATTGCAGACAGACACCCTTGATGACTTGATGAGAATCAAACTTTCAGGCCCACAGACTTTCAGGGAATTTGATCCTAGACCACTAGTGAACAGGTGGTGGTTGAGTGGTGAGAGGGCCTGGCCCCGATTCCTCGAAACAAACTTAAGTTTAATACAGTTCCATATGGCCAAATACAGTAATGGGACTGGGAGGGGACTGGGAGGGAGGGATTAATAGCAATACGGAAGAATGCTGCTACCAGGTAAGGGATTTTGCTACCTACTTTTAAACCAGGTAGCAAGTACTTGCTACTTTCTAAGAAAGTTAATTTCGAACACTGTACCTTTAACTATGAGAGAAGGTAGAGAAAATATGAAGGTTACTATCAGAGAGTGAAATTAATTGTACATCACTCAAAATGTAGCAACTGCAGTAGCCTGAATTGTACTCCAATGGTATCAGGTTGGGACCAGTAACTATTCCAAGGTTTTAGTTGTCTATAGTTGCTCCTATACCTCATGTGACAGGGGGAGTGTTGATGATTGTGAAGAACTACACTGGGGACCGACTCAACTTCGGCCTGGCTGCCGAGAGGGCCAAGGCAGAGGGCATCAGTGTTGATATGGTGGTGGTGGCGGAGGATTGCGCCCTCACATCCACGGACAAGACAGCCGGCAGGAGGGGGTCTTTGTGGGACGGTCCTCATACACAAGGTAGGAAGCTTCTTGTCAGCCACTGTTAGGCTGACTGTTAGGCAATCACTGACAGGAAGAATATGTGAAACTGAACACAGACCTGAAGGTGTGATAAGTGAACGCTGTGACCACCACACTGGAATCACACTGCAAGTTATATGCGGAGTAATCTCCCTTGATAGTTTTCCTGGGTGATTCTCAATTACTGGTGCAGCCATCTCATCTACCTGGTCTGTCTCACAGTCCCTGAACCACTTTATTTTATCTTCCTCTGAACCCTTTCTGCAATGCTAAAGACCCAAATAAAATTTTCCACAGGTTCTGAATCTCCCATCTATGATCTCACTGCGTCACCTTTTCAATTTAAACAGAATTATTTGTTTCTATCAAAAATATATATATTCAAAAAACTATGTGTCGGTCTACCATCTACCCTGTAAATGGTTTCATCTGAACGAAATATATTGATCAGATATCTTGTTTTGAGTAGAATCGTGCATTCCCTGTTTTAGATAGCGGGTGCCCTGGCTGAAGAGGGGAAGACTTTGTCTGAAATTGTGACCATTGCCAGAGATGCTGCAACAAAAAATGGGTGTGATAATTAACTCCTTTTTACTTATCTGCATCATTAAACTATTACTTTCCAGGCGAAGGTTTGTGTACATGTGGAACAGAGCTACAGATAACTTTTTGGGTCATTGAGTTATGTACTCGCTTGTGTTCATCTCAATTGGGTATCCTAATTTTCCTTTGAGTAACATAATAAATTGTACTCACCTCACTCAAACTCAAATGGGTATTTTGCCAGTTTCCATTAATTTTAAAAATACAGAAAAGTTTAAATGTTAGTGTTTGTTATTTATAGTTGATCTGTAATATGAGAAATGATAAGAAAGACTGCAAGTTGATAAGTTCATGTCCTGAAATTGAACCTCTCAATATACCTCAGTTATTTTATCTATCCATCAGTACGCTAGCTAAGGTTTGACTTTTTTATGTGTACGCATGTAAGATCATATTTATTGAGAATTTACAAACTTTCAAGCGTACTTGTATGCAATAGATTTAATAGAAATAGAGTTTTCATATAAATATTTGCGTAATTTACGCAGATACGCAGCTTATCTGTACCTCTGGTGGAAGATTTCATATTCAATATTCATATATTGTATTTGATATTTATGCATTGAGCCACTCCAATTTAACTGAAAAATGTTTGAGAAAAAATATATAAGGGAAAAAAAATAAGTTTTAAGAATAAATTAATAAATTGATAAATTGTTAATGTCATATGTATTTTGAGTTAAATGATTGAAAGACACATGCACTCACCCCCACATACTATTGTTTGGTGGGAGGGGCTAAAAATGGCATTTAGTCAGATGTGACCGACATGTAAGTACATTGGGCCATGAGTGGTGACTTGATACTCCTTTGTGCCTGTCATATGTCACTGTCACATGTCACATGTCACTTGTGTTTCTGTAGGGACTATTGGGCTGTGTCTGTCCCCCTGCAGTGTACCTGGCTCCCGGACCTTCCTTCCACATCCAGGATGATGAGATGGAACTCGGCCTGGGTAAGTAGTGTCCTGTCATTTCCTTGTGCCTAGGTAGTCCAGTGGTCTGACTTTTTCACATATTTGTTTTTATTCTATCAATGAAGATATTTTGTATCAAATTTCAGTATATACACACTAGTAGTTATTATCCCCCCGGCATGTAACACGGGGGGATATAGCCAATGCCTCGTCCGTCCATAATCGGAAGATTGGTAGATATATCAAACAGAACCTAAGGTGGTGCCTTTTGCTATTTACAGATGTTTGTCATTTTTTTTTTTCTTGGTTTCCATGGAAACATTTTGGACTTAGTCTTAAAGGAAGGGAGCATAACTCAAAAACTGTTAAATATTTTTCTGCAAACATTGGTAGATATATCAAACAGAACCTAAAGTGGTGCCTTTTGCTATTTACAGATTTTTGGCATTTTTATTTTTCTTGGTTTCCATGGAAGCAGTTTAGACTTAGTCTCAAACGGGAGGGGTGAGCTTTGTTTCTGAAGCACAACTCAAAGACCGTTCAATATCTTTCAACAAAAGTTGGAGGATATATCAAACAGATCTTGAAGTGGTGCCTTTTGCTCTTTGCAGATTATTGGCATTTACACTTTTCCTGATTTCCATGGAAACAATTTTGACTTAGTCCAAAAAATCAAGTTGGGCTTTAAGTAACTGTCAGATGATTTGTTCTTTCAAATTTTTGGGGGCCGGGGGGATTTGTTATCTTCTGATGACTCTTGTTTCAATAGGTTGTTGTTACATTGCTTGAATATTCTTGTGGTGTAGAACTACAGACACTCAAGTTAGTCCCTGTATGTTTTATGTGGGTGTTTTCTCCAGGTATCCATGGGGAGGCTGGAGTCAAGAGGACCAAGGTAGGGATCCGTTCATTCATATTGTTAAATAACCTTTGTTGCTGATGTTGCTGTTTAGTGACATATGGTGTGATGTACAAAGTATGCACAACTAAATAGACTTACGCTGCATATCCCGTTGGGCCAGATTACAAGAATTTATCTTTCAGGCGTAATTCCAGCATAATATAAAATGTCATGATCAGTATGGCTGTCCATTTTCATGGACAGCTTTCAGATACTACAATGAAACAACTTTTGTTTCATTATTAGTACAAAAGTACTTATAATCATTCTCCCATGGGCTTGTAGATATCTTAAATGCTTTGGACTGGAACCTGTAATTCTGACATTGCTAAGGGAGATAACTCCTCACAACAATACCGCTGGGCCACCTCAGTACGTTGACTGATGTTCATGTAAGTTTCATTAACCTGCTACATTTCATTATGCTTGCTACAGCTGGTGAGTGCTAAGGAGGCGGTCAAGATGATGCTGGACCACATGACCAACCCGAAGACCACCACACATCTCAGCCTGTCTGCAGGTAAACCACCATTAGGAACCATAGGGCTGAGCTTTTGTTTGTTTGTTGTTTAACGCCGCACTCAGCAATATTAAGGTTATATATGGTGGCGGTCTGTAAGTAATCGAGTCTGGACCAAGCAACCCAGTGATCAACAGCATGAGCATCTATGTACACATTTGGGATACTATGACACGTGTCAACCAAGTCAGAGGACCTGACCACCTGATCCCGTTAGTCGCCTCTTACGACAAGCATGGGTCCTAGTGCTAAGCCCTGTGCTAACTTCAGTGCTAAACGTAGTGCTGTGATACTGCTTGACTGAAAATTAAATTTCGTTCTGCCTTCAACCTTCTGTTTTCCTGGGCGCAGCGCAATATAACCAGTTTACCGGTATTTACCGGGTCAGACATGAAAATGATAGTATTGTAGTACACTGATTGAAAACCGGTATTTTGACATGCATTCGGAAAACTTCGTAACACTCGGAAGCCTTTGGATATTTCCTTGTTTCATTTGTGCCAGATATTATACACAGTTTTATTTTGTCATGATTAAAAGTTCTATTAAAGCTTAATCAAGCATAGTGATTTTGTTGTGTTCATGCTTTATAAATCAAGCATTAACTTGATGATAAGTTGTTTTTTGTTTAAAAATACTTCTTGCAATATATTGCAATACATATCGCAATATATGCTTTCGCATTGCAATATATCGCAATATGAAAATTCTCTACAATACCCACCCCTACTGTTTTCTCAAACTGTGAGTGAGGGAGAGAATAAGAGTGAATGAGTAAGTGTAAGACAGTGAATGACTTGCTGTCTCTGCAGCAGTTAAATATTACTGTTTTTTAAACGTTTATGGTATTTAAAATTATTTGAAAATTAATTGAAAATTCCTCCAGCTGTCCCACCATTGACCATTGCTTGACTAAGGCCCACCTTTCACCTGCCTGTCCTCTGCATGTATTTTCCAGGTGACCGTGTGGCGTGTATGGTGAACAACTTGGGAGGAACATCCGTCCTGGAGCTCAACATTGTGGCACGAGAGGCAGTCTGCTACCTAGGTAGGGTTGGTGAAGAGAATCTCACCTGACTGTCTTCTGACATCAAATATACCTTAAAATAGATTTGAATCTTATAATATGTGTGCATATATATATATATATAATATATAACGTTTCACATCAGATGCTTGTTGTTTTAGATCAGCATCTCTCATTGTGCCATTGTGTTTGTGTTGCAGAGGGTCGAGGACTGAAAGTCGATCGCATGTACTGTGGGACGTTCATGACGTCGCTCCAGATGGCGGGCGTGTCCATCACCCTGCTTAAGCTGGATGACACATTGTGTCGCTGTCTAGGTAGGTGCCAGAGTGTCACTATGTGCAGTGTCAGATTGTGTCACTGTCAACTCGGACTGAAAGTCAAGGGAGCATGTATATGTAAATCTCACTCCAAATTTCAATGTGGCAGTCATACTGAAGAAGCTATTTATGTAACATAATGTATGATTGGTGGGTCTAAGAAAAATAAGTTGATACACAGATTCTCAAATCCACAGACCATAGGCGGATCCAGAAATTTAATTTTCAAGGTGTTTGTGTGTGTGTGTGTGTGTGTGTGAACAACCCCACCTTGGCTCTGCCATTGCAAAACATTAAGTTCAATGTGGTCTTTAGTCATTTTAGTCATTTTCAGGGGGTTGGGGGTGTTTGTCTGAACCCCCCCTTTGGATCCGCCACTGCAGACACAGATTACGATTTCTCTGAGTCTGAAATCAGTCTATTGTGAGTGCCCATCAAAGATGTACGTAGATTACACTTAGATGTGACCTGTTGGACTGAATGTGTTCGCCAGATGCTCCAACATCAGCACCTGGGTGGTCGAAGCCGTACCTGCCTCGTGGAGTGACGGACAGACAGACACCAGGACAGATGACCATTGATGATTCAAGCACGGATACAGTGGTCAGTGGAGACGAGTCAGTCAGCTTGTCACAAGGTACATACACCATGGGAGAAATGATGTCAAGCTATCCACTGTGAACACGTTTTTATTAATCATCAAATGTGCCATTGTGTGATATATACTAGAAATAATTGGATGAAATGTCTTCAGCCCATTTTGGTCAACTAGATTTACCACACTTGATTGTGAGAGAATGAATAAATGAACAGAAGAATAAATGAACAGAAGAATAAATCATTATTGCTTTATGCTGCCTAAGCAATATTAAAGCTGTTCACAGTTTGTTGATAATGGCTCCAACATGTGGATGATAATGGCTCCAACATGTGGATGATAATGGCTCCAACATGTGGATGATAATGGCTCCAACATGTGGATGATAATGGCTCCAACATGTGGATGATAATGGCTCCAACATGTGGATGATAATGGCTCCAACATGTGGATAGAAAGAAGAATAAAGCATCAGAGCAAAGCTTACTTGCAATAAAATCTATATCGTGTCATAAACCTGTTTTCTTTCAAGAATGCTATTATCTTTTGATCATTTTATAATATCTTACTGTATGTGGAAGTCTATGAATGATTGTAGTTAGGGTTATATATTCCTTTAACAGGTGAGGTCAGGTGAAATTGGGTTTTACGCCGTGCTTGAGAATATTTCGCTCATATGACGACGTGCATGCGTGTGTATGTGTATGTGCGGCTGCTTGTACTAGCCCAGACTGAAGCTGGTTTTATAGTGCTAGCCCACTGAGATACCATGCCGCAGTGAAGCATGAATACCCCACTCAGACACATTATACTGACTCCGAGCCGACCAGTCCTTGTTGTACCCATTAATGCCGAGCGCCAGGCAGGGACCAACAAGTACCATATTTTAACGTCTTTTGGTATGATGCGGTCGGGGATCGAACCCGTGACCTTCCGCTCTTTGGGCGGACGCTCTAACCACTACACTACGGCAGCTGTTTCCTTTAACAGGAATGTGGTATCCTGATGATTGTTGCATCCGTACATCCAGCCAAAGACCATTCTTCAGATCCCCCTGTATGTGAAGCCAGGTCCAGGGGTCCCTACAGTGATGTAGTGGAGCTAACCCTTCTGGCTTGTTGGTTTCAGAGGATGGTGCCCGGCTGTATAATGTACTGTCTGCAGTGAGTCTGTCTCTGGTGGCTGCGGAGGGTCGGCTCAACTCTCTGGACCGCGAGGCAGGGGATGGAGACTGTGGGACAACAGTCAGTCGGGGGGCTAAAGGTGAGTCTTGGGGGGGATTTAGATTATGGGACCATGGTCAGTCAGGAGATGAAGGAGAATCTAGGAGGGCATGGAGACTGTGTGATGCCAGTTAATTTTGGAGCTAAAGATGAGTCCTGGAGATGGAAATTATTAGACAGGGTTTGTCTAGCATCTTTAGGTGAATCTTGGAGGGGTACAGAGGGTATTGGCCATGGTTAGTCAGGGGCTGTTGGTGATTTCCAGAGGGGACCAAGATTATGGGACTGGGATTCTTGGAGAGGACTCAGAAGTCTATAGGTGAGTTGTGGAGTGTGGTGGAGATTTTTGGACAGGAGTGATAGGTGAGTATTGAAGGGGATGGAGACATTTGTAGGGGTCTGCCATTGTTTATAAGGGTCTGCTGTCATTTGTAAGGGTCTGCAGACTGGGGGCTAAAGGTAAAGGACCTGATTCCACATCAATACATGTGAAGGTATTAAGACATCATGATATGTATATTTCCAGCCATCCTTTCCAAACTTGGTACGAAGGACAACCCAGGCTTGCCAGTGAGGAACCCATCTTCCCTGGCCCTGTCTCTGGCCAACATAGTAGAGACAGACATGGGGGGCTCGTCGGGAGCTGTAAGTGAAGCCAGTTCCCAGAAAATTGTTTGATCGGCATTCTAGTATTCCATTAATTCCATCAATATCTTTATTTTACTCAATTTGGTAAGTGAAATACAAGTCACCTCCACAAAGTTGTAGCATTATTTATTTCTGTATGAAAAGGGAATTTTTTAATTCCATTGGGGAATTTTACAGACATTTGCTGCAGACTTGGGGCCAAATGACCTCCTCACAGCAGGCCTTGATAAGCCCCTATATGCCTTTTGAGCTGTTTTTATGTTGTATTTTATGTTGGAATAATGCACATAAACCTGGTCAGTCTCAGTCTCTTAAAATCTTTATCAATTTGGAAAATGGTTTTGCTTCACTAAAATAACAGAAGGATATTAGATATAAACACCTTGATGCATCTATCTGATAATGCCGTTCAGAAAGTGATACTGAGATTTGAAACCTGATGGGCCCGTCATGAGTCATTTTGTTGAATGTGACTTCACCTGCCACCATCTGGCAAACGCTGAATGTATGACACGGTATTCTGTTGCAGCTGTACAGCTTGTTCTTGACTGCAGCAGCGAAGTGCCTGAAGACATCAGCAGGAGCTGCAGCATGGAGCACGGCCCTGCACCAGGGCATTCAGGCTGTCACCAGGTCAGTTTACCTGGTTCATTTGGTGGAAGGATCAGAATAATCCTACTACAGTCTCATACTAGCACGTTGTTTGGACGTTGCATGAATATTGCTAACAATGGTGAAATGTCTTACTGTAAATTGCTGACACATCAACGAACAAGTGTCATGGTTGCTTTTGGAGGTTGGCAAAGAAACATATAAGTTTAGTCAGTGAATTTGCAGATACTGAACCATTGACAAAATGTAGTTTCAGGATTGTGTATACTTCTGGTATGTTAGCCTTCACTAGAAGAAGTATATTTCTAGAAATCTGCATATGTATATTTTCTGTTGTCCTCTGTTGCAGATATGGAGGAGCAGAACCGGGGGACAGAACCATGGTAGGTCCAGGCATTCACCTTGGTACTGATTGTAAAAAGCTTTCATATGCGTGTCTGTCTGTCTGTCTGTCTGTCTGTCTGTCTGTGTTTATGCATGTCTGTGTTGCAAAATGGTTAAACTTCCTATGATGGGAATGATGCAGTAACAATTATTGTATAGGTAGTGTTTCTGTGTAAAAATATGATAAGTTGGTTTGGTTACTCTTTGATCATGAAAAGAAGAGAGACTTTGTTACCAGGTCCTGAGTTCTGGTCTAGATATTGCCCTGTAATGCCAAATGTGCTGTGATATCATATACACATGCTAAATGTCAAGTTAGAGTGGATCTTTACTGACTTGAAGAGACATGATAGGATTGCCAGCTGACCTAGTCCTATTGCTCCCCTTAAAGCATAAACATGATAAAATTTTATAACAGGTGACTTTGTTTTGACACAGCTTGACGCCCTCTATCCTGCCAGTTCTACGTTGGAGAAACAGCTGCCTCAGTTACCTCCCCTGGAAGCATTTGCTAAGGCTGTGGAGGTAATGGTTTTTTTGTTTGTTCGTTTGTTGTTTAACATCGCACGTCAGAAACATTGCTTTAAGACGGAGGTCTCTAAAAAATCTGGACCAGGGCCCCGTTCCACAAAACGATCGTAGAGCTAAGATGATCGTAACTCCCATACTTTAACATAGACTTACGACAGTCATAGAGCTAAGATGATCGTAACTCCCATACTTTAACATAGACTTACGACAGTCGTAGTGCTAAGATGATCGTAACTCCCATACTTTAACATAGACTTACGGCAGTCGTAGCGCTATGATCGCTTTGAGGATAGGGGCCCTTAGTGATTTACATCAGCAGCATCGATCAACGCAACTGGGATACGATGACATGTGTGGTGCAAGTTAGTGAGCCTCACCACTTGATTCTGTCAGGTACCTAGTACGACAAGCATGGGTTTGCTGAAGACCTACGAACCTGGATCTTCATGGGTCAACAAGGAATAGGTCACATTTGTGCTGTTATTGTACATCCTGTTGTCGTAGTGTTGTGTTGCATACATTCTTTGTAAACATTTACATTTTGGACAACTCCCCTGACATTCCAAATCATGATCCAAGGGTATATACAGTGTTTAAAACTCCCAAATTCCAAGCCAGACAGCCGGACTGGTAACTTAAAAAAATTACCAGTCCAGATACAGACTTGCCTGTCCGGTTTTCAACATTAAAAAAATGTGACTGCCATTTCCAACTCGCGCAAGCTCCATTCACTGTTTCTAGCCATCGAACTACATAGCACTAACAGGCAATGCACCAAGTTTAGGTAAACTGAAAGTACATGTGTTATGATTGGTTATCGTAACATGAACTGTACAATCGTATGTAGTTTAACATAATTTTCATAATACCTTAAAAGCCTCAAACTGACGACACAAGAACCTGTCTGATATTATGAAATATTTACTCTTAGGGGTAAAAATATCTACCAGACCACTGGACAGGCTACTTTTGAAATTTGACCATCCGAGATGAAAATAGACCGTTCCAGATGGTCGGACAGGCGGGAATTTTAAACGCTGGTATATAAAAAAATAGCTCACAGACCTACACTTCTATTCTGCCAATGAACAGACATTTTTGCTTATACATGTAATATAAAACATCTATTATGCATCAAGCAAATTGTGTATTTATTTCAAAATTTGGCAATGATTTTTCTCCAATTAATAAATATTACTCATGTAAATGAAATATGTAGATGAGTTACAGGCCCTATGTGTCTTGTGTTTAGTGTTTCCATACCCTACTGTTGACACTCAGCATGATGTTGTTACAGGCGGCGCAGCAAGGGGCAGATGCTACAGCTGGTATGAAGGCAGGAGCAGGGAGGGCCAGCTATGTGGGGGCGGTGAAGCTCAACCAGCCTGACCCTGGGGCTGTCGCTGTCACAATCTGGATGAAGGCAGCACTTGCCTCACTCACATCATAATCACAGAAACATATCCTTGACTGAAGACTTGTGATATCAGATCCAGTATGTTTTTATCCAGCAGTTAAAAAGTGGCCCAGTGCTTATTATATCAATATTTTGGGGCCCTTGTATTTCTGGGAGACATTTCAAGGAGAAATCTGTACCAGGGTGTAATAAACCCAGAGCTTATATGAGATTTGAGAAGAAGCGCCAGTTAGTGATCAGGCATTCATTTGCGTCAAACTGGCATTTATTGAAGGAAATATGGTATGTTGCTTCTGTTACAAGTGTCATGATGTGATCAGTTATTTGCTTCAAACTGGCATTTATTGAAGGAAATATGGTATGTTGCTTCTGTTACAAGTGTCATAGTGTGATCAGTTATTTGCTTCAGACCGGCATTTATTGAAGGAAATATGGTATGTTGCTTCTGATGCGGATATCTATTTAATCAGTGGCATATTTTATCCAGCAGATCAATAATGGCCCAGTGCTTATTATTTAAATATTTTGTGACCCCTTGAATTTTTCTGTTTTTCATACCAAGGAGAAATCTGTACCATTGTGTAATATACACAGTACTTCTTTGAGATTTGAGAATTAGTCCCAACTAGTGGTCAGGCAGTTATTTGCATGGACTGTCATTTACTGGCGGGAATATGGTATGTTGCTTCTGATGTAGGTGTCTCTATGTAATCAGTGGTACTGGCCATGAAATACATATGCAGGATGATTTTTATTTCTGAATTTCACAGATACACAGATACCGATTTTCAGAAAGTTTACATTATCAAATGTATTTTGAATATCAGTGACCTTAATCTACAATTTGTTTGTTTGTTTGTTGGTTGGTTAACGCCGCATTGAGCAATATCCCAGCGTGGTATGTATATAATCGAGTCTGGAAAAGACAACCCAGTGATCAACAACATGAGCATCGATCTATGCAATTGGATACGATGACATATGTCAACCAAGTCAGCGAGTCTGACCACCCGATCCCGTTCGAATTAGTCGCCTCTTACGACAAGCATGGGAAACTGAAGACCAAATCTAACCCAGATCTTCACAGGTGCCTTAATCTAGTGAATATTTTCACTGAATAAAAAGGATGAATGAATCAATGCTCTGATTCAGTGTGAGAGGAGGAATTGTTTCAACCTAAGTTTCATTCAATGTACTGTAATGATGAATGTGTAAGTCATATATTCAATATATGAGAAGGATGGACGCATCCGTTTTCTTTGGATTCATTGTATAGGAAGGTTGATCATCTGATTCAAAATATGAAAACAGTGTCAAATTCTGTTAATTGTTTTGTAAGAAGGATGAATGTGTCAATCGTCCTCTGATTCAATATATGAGAAGGATGCATGTACTTCCTTTGATTTTATACAAAAGAATACATGCATGAGTGATTTCATTCAATGAAAAAGGATGTATATGTTGAGGTGCTCTTCTTTCAGTAACTAAGAAACATGCCTGTGTTGAGCTTCATATCATTCCTGTATATGAAACTGCTGACTCAACCTTCTGATTCCGTATATAAAGATGGATGTGTCCCATTGTGCACTGATTCAATGTTTTGTTTGTTTGTTTGTTTATTGTTTGAAGCTGTTGTTGGCAGTATTCCAGCTGTGTCACAGTAGTCTGTAAATACTGGACCAGACAATACAATGATTGACTTCATGTGCATCGATCAGTGGATATAAGGATCCATGTCCCAAATTGTTAGTGATTTTTTTAGGACAAATGTATTAATCTTGGGGTAATTCAGTATTGAAAATGGCAAAGGGATGTTCAGTGGTCAGGAATGGTAGTGATGTTCAGTGGTCAGGAATGTAGTGTGTATAAATGATGGGAGTAATTCCGTATTAAAATGGCAAAGGGATGTTCAGTGGTTATTAAAATGGCAAAAGGATGTTCAGTGGTCAGGAATGTAGTGTGTATAAATGATGGGGTAATTCCATTATTAAAATGGCAAAGGGATGTTCAGTGGTCAGGAATGTAGTGTGTATAAATGATGGGGTAATTCCGTATTAAAATGGCAAAGGATGTTCAGTGGTCAGGAATGTAGTGTGTATAAATGATGGGGTAATTCCGTATTAAAATGGCAAAGGGATGTTCAGTGGTCAGGAATGTAGTGTGTATAAATGATGGGGTAATTCCAGTATTAAAATGGCAAAGGGATGTTCAGTGGTCAGGAATGTAGTGTGTATAAATGATGGGGTAATTCCGTATTAAAATGGCAAAGGGATGTTCAGTGGTCAGGAATGTAGTGTGTATAAATGATGGGGTAATTCCGTATTAAAATGGCAAAGGGATGTTCAGTGGTCAGGAATGTAGTGTGTATAAATGATGGGGTAATTCCGTATTAAAATGGCAAAGGGATGTTCAGTGGTCAGGAATGTAGTGTGTATAAATGATGGGGTAATTCCGTATTAAAATGGCAAAGGGATGTTCAGTGGTCAGGAATGTAGTGTGTATAAATGATGGGGGTATTAAAATGGCAAAGGGATGTTCAGTGGTCAGGAATGTAGTGTGTATAAATGATGGGGTAATTCAGTATTAAAATGGCAAAGGGATGTTCAGTGGTCAGGAATGTAGTGTGTATAAATGATGGGGTAATTCCATTATTAAAATGGCAAAGGGATGTTCAGTGGTCAGGAATGTAGTGTGTATAAATGATGGGGTAATTCCGTATTAAAATGGCAAAGGGATGTTCAGTGGTCAGGAATGCAGTGTGTATAAATGATGGGGTAATTCCGTATTAAAATGGCAAAGGGATGTTCAGTGGTCAGGAATGTAGTGTGTATAAATAATGGGGTAATTCCGTATTAAAATGGCAAAGGGATGTTCAGTGGTCAGGAATGTAGTGTGTATAAATGATGGGGTAATTCCGTATTAAAATGGCAAAGGGATGTTCAGTGGTTAGGAATGTAGTGTGTATAAATGATTGGGTAATACCGTATTAAAATGGCAAAGGGATGTTCAGTGGTCAGGAACGTAGTGTGTATAAATGATGGGGTAATTCAGTATTAAAATGGCAGAGGGATGTTCAGTGGTCAGGAATGTAGTGTGTATAAATGATGGGATAATTCAGTATTAGAAATGGCAAAAATATGTTCAGTGGTCAGGAATGTAGTTTGTATGAATAATGCGTATGCTATTTTCACTGGGACAGACATGGACGTTCCAGGTAACAGAGATAGGTTTTGGGACTCTCTTTGTGGGTTTTTAATTAAACCTGTGGTATTTTTTGTAATTCTTTGAGATGAAGGTTATTGGTATGATATGGTGCCTATATTTGGATGCTTTGTTCGTTGTGAAATGCTGCAGTCAGCAATATTCCAGGTGCTACCGGGGGATGAAAACAATGGAGTTTGTATCTGACAATCCTGTGATTTGCATCTTGAGCACAGTCTATACAGTTGGGATACAGGGACATGCATCAACCAAGTCAGCGAGCCTGGCCTCTCACTGGACCCGTTTTACAAGCATAGTTCTCCTTTAGGGCAGACCAATTTTATTTCTTGTTTTACGGATCCGCCTGTCATATTTTTTCAAGAATAAGAAAGAAAAAAAAGAAGTTATTTTCCCCGCTCAAAAAATAAAATCCTGATGTTTTTATTGGCCAAAAATGTAAACTTACAAGAAAAATGTTTTTTAGATGTTTTTAGCCCCATATACACTTCATAAATTGCCAAAAGTAAAATACTTTGAGTATTTTGAAGGAATATTACTTTGACTGGTGATTTTATTTTTAAAAATTTTTTCCCTCCTGCCTTTAGGTTTTCTGAGGACAAAATCCATAAAACAAGAAATAAAATTGGTCTGGCCTTATGGTAATATAGCTTCAATGAAGTATTTCGCCACTTTTGCAAGCTGAAATAGATATGGGCATTCCATAATAATGGGCTAGGTGTGAATTTTGAAACTGTAAGTTGTTATCGGTATTCCAGCTGCATCACACAGCTACCCATAAATAATCAGGTGTAGGTCAGACCAACTGTAGATCATAGCGTGACCAGTTTACCTTGTGTCTGAGTTACCATGACAATCAGCTATGTCATGTCATGGGTGTGTTTGTTGTTTATCCCTTCTGTATTCCAGCCATATGATGGCAACCCCCAAACAATTGAGACCAGACAATCCAGTGATTGATATTATGAATGCAGATCCAAGGTATCAGGGTAAGACTGAATGCAACGCACAACTCTCCAGCCTGTCCACCAAGGCAGTTAAGTCACATCAAATGATCGATTCTAACGCCAAGTGTTCCAACATAGTAGTAGTATATTATAACAAACATGACGTAATAGGGTCTTGTTGGACCTAAAACTTGTAATTCTATTTACTTCCCGTATTGAGGAATACTAATTTCTCACATCCCACTAACTTGAATATCATACCACAGAGAAACTAGCTGGCAAACATGATGTATGTTGCAATATTACAACCAGACAGAATACTTGACAATGTTATATAAATAATATGCTTTGTATATACTTGTGTCTTTGTTTTCTTTGTTGAGCCTCACACTCTGCAATACAGTAGTCTTGCTATATGACATTGGCTTGTATATATTCCCATCTGGAGTAGACAGTCTGGTGATTGGCATCTTGAGCATCGATCTTTGCATATCGCATATGAAGTCATGACACACATCAACTAAGTCAGGCTGTCTCTCTAGTTCTAACCAGGATCTTCAACTGCAACACATCAACCTGTTTCTACAAACGTCCAATTGTGTTTTACACACTTCTTGGGGTGTTGAATTTGTTGTCCAATACGCCAATAACACTGACTACACCCAGTAAATAACCGAGTCTGGACAATCCAGTGATTGATAATATGAGCAACGACCCACCCCCTTTGCTACGATGACACATGACATCACCCTCCTGGAGTGGGTGAGTATAGTTTTACGCAGCTTTAGCAATATTCCACCAATATGGCGGGGGACACCAGAAATGAGCTTCACACATTGTACGTACCCATGTGGGGAATCAAACCCAGGTCTTCCACGTGATGAGCGAATGTTTTAACCACAAGGCTACCCAACTGCCCCACGACTAGATCCCACAAAGCCCCTAGTACTGCAATCACAGGTTGCTGGGGACACATTCCAACCTGGAACCCCTTTAGCGGTGGCGTCTTGTAAACTGATCTAGTGAGCCCAAGGCGGCTGAATCTTACTCTGCAGTAAACCAAGGCCCACAACGTTACGGCGGTTGTTAAGGACCTGTCCTGGCCAGAAAGTAGTGCCCATGGAACCTTATGGGACGTTATGGAGGCGGCTTTGTTCTCCTAATGCTTTACAGCTTGTGTTCAGTTGTATGTCGAACATCACTTGATTGACACAGCTTGAAAGATATGACATGTGTAAGAGGAAAACAAACTTTTTCATCTTCATTCGTTAGTTAAAGTCTCTTTGAAAAAAACCCTAACATTTCAAGTACTTTCTCGTTATTTTAACTATTTTCTGGAAATTTCGAGTATATTCTCGTTATATTAATTTTCTTTAAAATAACTGGAAGCTGCGGGAAAAAATACTCAAAATCAAGAAAATAATCGAAGCAACGCGGATAATGTATGCCATAAAAGTGGCAAAATCAGGTTTCCGCACAATATGGTCATGTCCACAAATCTGTACAGGTTGGGATGGTGATGTAGAAGACTGCGGGAACTGCCTGGTGATGATTCCAAAAGGGTGAGTCGGAAATGTGCCTCGTGGTCAACCCATGTCGTCACCACCTGTGGTGTGGCGTCTACAGCCTTCAGCCAGGGTTCTTGCACCTCAGGAACAGGAAGAAGGGAAAGTCCGGGCCAGTGTTTGCCCTTAACCCCGAAAAGCTGCAGGCCCTAAGGACCCAGAACCATAAGGAATGTGGTCCTGATCAGAATGTGTAGGCCCTATATTTTAATATGGAAATAATACTCTTAGTTATTGTGGATGAAAAAGCTGTCGGCCTGCAGAAATCAAAAGCTGTGGATCCGAGTGGTTTTCAGTCGGCTTCGGGCCTAAGGACCGACGTCATTTTCAAAAGCTGGTCCATGCGCACTTCCTAGCCAGCTCTGCAGCTAGATGTCTTGCTTCTACCGGTCAGCTAAGCCAAGATCTTAAATCTTCCTCTATATAGTTCTGGTGTAGTGGAAGAAACATCCCTTGATGTCTGCTTCAGGGATTCACGTTCAATCTCTCGAATGACCGCCATTTCAAAGTTAGTCTGTACAGTAACTGGTGAGAAGGGTAGGTTGGGAGGCTTCTGGTACATCTGTTTTCAACAAAGTGAAGAGTCTGCTGTCTGTTTAACAGCAGGGCCAAGAAAAGGGAGTCTATGGTGTACCCACTGAGGTCATGTACAGTGTACAACTGGTTCCACGTGAGGATAGCAGGTAGTCATTGCTAGCTTCAGCACGACATCTGTGCTGCTCATCAGAGGAAACGTTCAGGATCTTGTCTCGTTCGCCGTCTGCACAGAGATATAAACTTTTGCCATCCCATGTCGTGGTCCACTGCACATAAAGGTAAACATCAGCCCTGATCTGTGACAGGACAGGGAATTCCAATGTGTTCGCGAAAAAGGGTAAGGATGTCCTGCTAGACCGGAACCACCCGTCACTAATACAATTTGTATAAAACATATGTTTCCCAACACCTCATCCAGGAAAGCATTTCGAGTGTGGTCTGTAAATACTCCTTAATTTATGTATACGGAGAAACTTGCACTTCATCCAAGGGCTTGGCAGCAAAGCAGTTTCATCAGGAAGTATCCGTGACTCCCACGGTTGTAGACGCCAGGATGTCTACAGCCGTGGTGACAGAGCAGCAGATGAATAACAGTAGCCATGGCGGTTGTCTTGGACATAAAGTTTATAGCGGTGTAGTCTGTGAAAACAGATACAAGTGGTCGTTTCGTTGAAGGTTGTGGTCTTATGCAAACGTTTGTTTTTGCGTCTGCCATTTGTTCATTTTGAAATGTGAGGGAAATACGTTTTAATAATACCTTTCTGTGGACAGGCTTGGTTATATTTGCCAACAGAAAGCTATACTGGCCGAAAAGTGCGACTAAATGAATCGATTGATTGGGCTTAGTGTCTTGGCTGATAGCGTGTCATCGTAACCCCGATGTTGTGGACTTTTGCTCATGATATCACTCACTGGTCCTGACTCGATTCTTTCCACGTCTCCCTATATTGTCAGAATGGAAAAAAGACTTGCACACACGCACATACTTCTAAGCAATGGACCTAAAAGAACTCTTTGAAACACTTTTCCTCAACACCGCATCGTGTCTACCTTTACGTTATGTATACTAAGGGGTGACACTGTCTAGGGCATGACAACGAATGTCTACGTTATCATACACAACCTTTAAGATACACAACAAACTAGGCCAGGCGACTAATATGGCCTCGTTTCTCTCGCTGACCTTGACCCTGACACGAACTGAGACTGGGCGGTACAGGGGGCAGATACTAGGCTGCTAGGGTACAGTGCAGTGTGACAGGGTACAGACATCTGATGACAGAGTGAGTTGCCATTATCGATATTATGCTGTATGACATTCTTTTTTACAATCTGAGCTCCAATGCATGTGGCAGTATAACCCAACGTTTGCCTGTTTGCTGTTAAGACTGGAGCTAATGTAATCTGATAGAGATGACGCACTGAACAATGGCTTAGTCTGTAATTTAATCTGTGTAGAACTTACAGAGACAACTCACTACATTTATCTAGTCCTGTCATCTATCGTGCACGTGTTTGATCGGTGACACACAAATATCGATGTCAATTCATATAAAGTTCGTTTACGCGTCATTATCGCACTTGGGCCCCGTTTCACAAAGCTATCGTAGCGCATGTTACAGTATAGGAGGTACGACAGTCGTAGAGCTACGATAGCTTTGTGAAACGGGGTCCTGTTCGCTTTTATATGCCACTGTTCTGTATAATCGTATCTTTTTATAATAACAAGGTGGTAGTAAATACAAATCTGTAATAAATCCATATTTGCCCGAATTGCGCCCCACATACTCTCTCTCTCTCTCTCTCTCTCTCTCTCTCTCTCTCTCTCTCTCTCTCTCTCTCTCTCTCTCTCTCTCTCTCTCTCTCTCTCTCTCTCTCTCTCTCTCTCTCTCTCTCTCTCTCTCTCTCTCTCTCTCTCTCTCTCTCTCTCTCTCTCTCTCTCTCTCCATATTCAAAACCCCATATTCGTTCCGATTATGTTTTCAGCACCAGTGGTCAACTGTTCAAAAAGCGACGTTACAATTATAACAAACTCAAACTCACTCACTCATCCAGCCAGGACTAACGCAAACAACAAACTACAGAATGAGCGGACAGGGCAGCAAGAAGCTGATCAACTCCGTGGAGCGATGCGTGGACGACATGCTAGAGGGCTACGTGGCCCTCAACCCGGGGGTGCGTCTATTACACGGTCATCGTATCGTAATCCGGGCCGACGTCGAAGACTACGTGAAGTCCGGCAAGGTGGCTGTGTTGTGTGGGGGAGGGTCTGGGCACGAGCCAGCACAGGCAGGTAAAAACAAACGGAAGTATGCTACTCAAATCAAGTTAAGGAACACCAGCAATTGAAAGGCTGTATCTTGCAATATGTTTGTTTGTTTCTTGTTGAACAACGCACTCAGCAATATTCCAACTATATGGCGGAGGGCTGTAAAAAATCGACTCTGGACCAGACAATCCAGTGATTACCACCATGAACATCGATCTACGCAATTGAGATATGATGTCATGTGTCAACCTAGTCAGCGAGCCTGACTACCCGATCCCGTTAGTTGCCTCTTACGACAAGCATGGATTTGAAGAGGCCAATTCTAAGTCATATGAAACAATGTGTGTTAACTTTTTAAGTTCATTATACATCATATACATTTTGCTATAACATTTTTGAAAGAAACATGACAAGAAATAACACATAATGCAGTTATCGTACGGTGCCCTGGACCAGGTAATAATGTAACTTACGCGTCTTAATCATTCCAAATGAAGATGATACAATTATTTTGATTGTTTTCTGTGTACAAGGGTATGTTGGGCGGGGTTACCTGACGGCGTGTGTGGCAGGGTCGGTGTTCGCCTCTCCCCCACCCCAGGAAATCCTTCCGGCAATCAGAGCTGTGGCCAAACGGAACAAGGGTAGGTGTGGCGCTCTATGTTTGACCTTTATAATTACTCGAGAGTCGTTGTTGTAAGAGTTAATTCTTTAGAAAACAAAACTACCCAAAGAGGAAAATTGAATATTTACCTAGGCCTTGTCTCTTTACTGTGTTTGTTTCCACCTCTGAAAATTCATGGAAGACAGACTATAGTCATCACTTACAGTCGTGTTTGGAGATCGGGATCAAACGCCTTTCTCTCAGGGACGGTAATATAAGATTGATTTGTGCAAGTTGGGCCCTGGCTGACCGCGTGTCTTAGTAGTAACGTGGATCTTTGTTCCAACAGTCAACAACTAATTCGCCTTGTCCTGACAATTATACAGAAGAATCAGTGGTTTTAGCAGGAAATAAGGACTGGTGTAAGTATTAAAGAATTTCCTACCACAAGATAACTCACATTCCCCGTGTGTTGTGACTGTGTCTGTACAGGCGGGTGTCTGTTGTCCGTCGCCAACTACACTGGAGACCGGCTCAACTTCGGACTGGCCTACGAGAAGGCTCGACAAGAAGGGATCAAAATCGCTATGATAGTTGTGGGCGAGGACTGCGCCGTGACGACAAACGACCGTACCGCGGGCAGGAGAGGACTTGTCGGATACATCGTTACAAATAAAGTAATGTAACGTTTTGATTTTAACATTCTGACCAACGTCAAAATATTCGAGGTCACTATACATGGCATTTGCTTACATAAGAAAACTGTTTTGAATGGAAATAAAGAGTTTTTGTTTCTACAGTTAATGTTCTCAGGAAAACGAAGTCTCTATGTTGAGATGGGGCCTAGAGGTTAAAGCATTCGCTCATCACGCCGAATACCCGGGTTCGATTCCCCACATGGGTACAATGTTTGAAGTCCATTTCTGGTGTCCCCCGTCGTGATATTGCTGGGACATTGCTAAAAGCGGCGTAAAACTAAACTCAATCACTATAACGAGGTCAGTGGTCTAAGTATCCGCGTTAAAACCCAGCCACCAACTGCTGGTTCCTGTACATAATTCGTTCACCGTTTGCTAGATTGCTGGAGCTTTGGCCGAGATGGGTCGGAGTCTGGAGGATATAGTTGAGATTACCACTGCTGCCACCAAACAGATGGGTAGGTGGAGAGGGGTGGCATCCCTGTGTTGACCATTTCAGAATAGGGTTTCACAGCGGAATAAACTACCGGGCGAAAGAAAGAAACTTGGATGTGACCTAAAGCTGACAAATATTATTAAGCTGACCTTTTATGACATACACAGTGATATAATGTTTGTCAAGATAACCGTATCAATGTATCAACATTGAATCACCATCTGCTGTTTGCTTCATCTAAACATGGACGGATAACTTTTGCCCGGTATTTTATGCCCAACATTTCGGTAACGTGCAAAGTTGTCACCGCGGCCTATAAGTGATCTCAGAGTTACGACTGACGCTACGGCCGTCCTAAAGTAAGGGAGGTACAACCGTTTTGGCTCTAAGATCGCTGGTTCAAGTCCAAGATTTCTGGTGATTATGGAGTTTGGCCTCCCAGAAAGGAATAAACTTAAGAGATATGCGAATCCTTGGGCATCCCCCCTACATTAATCTGGTTTTCCGTGATATGATGAAAATAACTTCAGGGACTATCGGCTTGAGCTGGAGTGCGTGTTCCGCGCCAGGATCTGGACCCACGTTCAGCCTCGGGGATGATGAGATGGAGTTGGGTCTGGGGGCACACGGGGAGGCGGGCGTCAAGCGCATGAAGGTCTGTGGGCTTTTGCTACACTTGGCAACTGTATATATATACACAGTTTGGCAACATGAGAATCCATCAAACTTTATACTCTCAACAATCTGATGTCAAACTAAGATGTCTGTGCAATTATCATAATCATCAACTGCCAACTTGATATGCCAACTCCTTGGCATAGTGGATACAGCGCCTGCTCAGAGAGCAAAGGTCGTTGTTCGATCCCCGGCAGAGTCATAACGATACCTTTAAAATATGGTACTTATTGTTACCCCGCGCTTGGCGTTTAGATGGTAAAACAAGAACTGGTCGGCTCGGAGGTAGCATGCTGTGTCTGAGTAGGCTATCAATGTTAAACTGCGGAATGTTATCGCAGTAGGCCAGCACTATAGAACCGTCGTGAAAACCTGTACAATCTGCAACACACTTACTCACGCACGACCATCATACGCCAATTTGCCTTACTGGGACATTGCTGTGTGTGCCGTAAAACATCATTCACTCACTGTGACTAAATGAGGTTCCTGTTGGTAGATGACCAGTGCTAGGGAAGCAGTGACGATCATGATAGACCACATCACAAACCCGGACAACCCCACACACCTCAAGGTCACCAAAGGTGAGGGTCACGCCGACCTATTTCCCATCCGGTACAGGATGACATCAATACTTCTTCAATTACCACAATTAAAACTCGTACATTACTGTAATTAGAATACAACGCTTTGCAGCTTCTACACATGAGGGCAAAGAAATGCGGACCATTCATCTTAGAACGTCTGAATATATCATTATCTTTGTAGATAAAACATACCATGATGCTAATGAGAATCCTCAACAAGATAGCCGTTCACGTCTTTTAGGTATACAGTGTAAATAAATAATTATTGTATCCTGCTCACAGGTGACCATGTTGCTGTCTTCGTCAACAACCTCGGCGCCACCACCGTCATGGAAATGAACATAGTCGTAGGAGAAGCAATTTTGTACCTTGGTGAGGCACATTATTTGTACATACTACTGAAAAAAACTTTAGTAATATGAAAGAAGTGGATGGTCCTTAACTTGTTTTGAGGAGGATGAACTCAGGTGTTGATTTTCAGTTTAACCGATATGTATGTGACGTAGCAGAAGACGTCCACCACAATGCAGTGATTGGCTTAGTCATGTATAAGATATGGGACATTAAAACAATATTTTTATGAATGAACATCTACCTGATAGACATATTGCAGAACACATCGGTGTGTTGGTTGAACGATGTTACTGCCAGCGTTTCATGACGTCCATGGAGATGGCGGGATTTTCCATCATGCTGCTGCTGCTTCTGAGTGACACTCTCACTCAGTGTCTGGGTGAGCTCGATCGCATGACACCAGCATGACACCAGCATGTCACCTACACAATACAGTATTCCTGTATTCCAGGCAACCACTATTGCCTTAAACCCGCCTTTCTCGGTCAGTGAATGTATTATGCAACTTTTAGCAATATGGCGGCGGTATCCTTTTTCGGGAATGGACTATATTGCTGGCTGCGGCATGAAACACACTGCAGTGAGTAAAATAACACCAGTTCCACCCCTCTTCACTCCGCCATGTCAGAACAGAAGCAGCCTCGGTTTCGTATAAGGTGTTTTTGTGTGGCGAGAGCACAACAAAGATATGACCGACAACTGGTCTATGTTAGAGCACAGGCAAACTGCAGCGCAAATAGGGTTGCGCAACAAAGAGAAAATGACCAGTTTTGCGAGTGTTGCGCAACCCTATTTGCGCTACAGTTTGTGAGTTACGATCATTTTAGCGCAAAGGTCGCTTTGTGAAACTGCTTTCTGTACGAAACAGAGGCTTATGTTCTCTGGGCATGATAGGTGCGTGCATGCAAGAAGACACTAGTGCATGTCTGGTGTTGTAGATAGCCTGGGTATGCACGTGGATCGCGCGTACAACAGCCCCTTTAAAACCTCCCTGGAGATGGCTGGGATCTCCATCACCCTGCTTCGCTTGGACATAACACTAACCCAGGCTCTCGGTAAGCTAATGCAGCGTATTATTATGCTTTATATAACCAATCTATTATGATAAACGTCTTCGTCCCAATCACCTCAACAACTTCGTGTTGAACACTGTTTAAATTGCAATGAGCGAAAATAAGGAAGGGTTGAATTAGAGTAGAAATTTCACGACGTGTCGCTTCCGACAAGCAGCATTGGTGGTGAGGTTCAAATAATATATCAAAATAGTGCAAAAATATATTACACGGGGTAACTGTGAATGAAATGCATCATGATGGCATGGCAACTGTTAGGTTTCATTTCAAGCATTTGTAGCAGCACGATATATAATCTTTGTAAAACTACCTGCACTGTTCACTTAATGACATACATGTATGTTAAAAAGAAACCTTGTATACTAGTACTTTGAAGTGAGGTGAGGTGAAATTGGTTTTAACGTCGTGCTTGAGAATATTTCGCTCATATGACGACGTGACTAGTACTTTGAAATCGGAATTGGAACGCTTTTAGTGTTTTGTGAGTTTTGTGTTTTAATTATGAGTTCCTGGTTAGTTACCAGTATCCCTGATGAACTATATATATGTGAACTGTATGTTGCATTATTGTATTACTCATGTATCTGATTGTAACCTTACCAATGGTATCACATTTTCTGGTGCAGATTTTCCAACAGACTCCCCACATTGGCCACGCCCACTTCTACCACGTGGGGTGACTGACAGACAGACCCCGCCCCGTTTAGTGCTGGATTATATTGAGGACACGCCCAGTACGACCTTAGTGGGCGGGGCGGAGGTGGGATCAGGTACGCCATAGTATGATAATCGAAGAATTGTAAATATTATGTTGGTACCGACTTTTCATAAATCTTAAATGTGATGCTGAAATAAGTGAAGAGTTGGGTCCCTTTACAAGTGCTCGTGAAACATTACAGTTCAGTCATTTGTGGACATAATTGTGTCCTTTTTCCCTAAAATTTCGTCGTCATTGTAAACCAGGATATAGATTTTCGAAGCTCTCTTAGCGCTAAGATAGTCGTAAGTGCCATACATTAACATTAACTTGCGACTATCTTAGCGCTAAGAGAGCTTCGAAAATCTAGGCCTAACATATATAGGTCCTAACACTATAACCAGTGAAGATCTGGGTTAGAATTGGTCTTCAGCAATGCTTGTTGTACGTAAGAGGCGACTAACGGGATCGGGTGGTCAGGCTCGCTGACTTGGTTGACACATGTCATCGTATCCCAATTTGCCTAGATCGATGCTCATGATGTTGATCACTTGATCGTCCGGTCCAATATTTGTCAATAATTGCTGACATCTGCAGGGATGATAAAGTCCATGCAGGTAGCAAAAGCACATAAGTCCCAATGGTCTCCAGTGTGGTGATGTGCCCTCAGTTTCTAGCAATATGTGGCCTGTTTTATGTTGTATTGCTGTGTATAGTAATACCTGTTTATGGTTTCACTGTAAATTTAAGTGTAAAGCTGTGCGAGTCTAGTTGTTTTAAAATAGTCTAAGTTAACTTTTATGAATAAATAGTTTTCAGAAATACTGCCGATATGACTTCACTCGCTCACTCACGCATTGTTTTGTATTCACGTGTGTTCAACCCTTGTCACTTTCACCCATTTCAGATTATGCAGACAAACTGTACGAGATCATCGCGCACGTGTCCGAGAAACTTATGCAGAACGAGGCTCGACTGAACCAACTGGACACAACGGGGGGAGATGGGGACACGGGCAGTACATTGGCACGAGGAGCTAGGGGTGAGTGTCTGGAAAACCACAAAATATTTAAAATAATGAATAAAAAGGAATATTAGCTAAGTTATTTTGGTCGCCTGAATTTACGACAAGGATAAACCTGTGTCGTTTTAGACAGGGTAAGGACCGTTCCGCAGCTGCTGATATATACTACTCACACTTTGCTTAGGATCACAAAAATTCCCAACTTTACTTAAACGTAGATTAATAATTTGAAATTGTATAATTTCATTTAAACTGGATAAATAATAATATGGTAACCCTTCTTTAGGCAAACAGCCACTTTAATCTAACCTTATGAACTTGATACATGAGTAACCATAAAAAATGGTTTTCATGCCACCAATAAACCATTTTGCAAATCATGGAACAAGTCCTTGACAAGTACACAACACCTGTCAATAGTAGGTATTTGGATCCACAAGATGCAGTGGCATACTGAAACCTAGGACCCATGCTTACAATAGCTTAGATATTTAAACCAAATTAGACCCCACATCATAGGTTTCTGTTGAATCAATGACTTGATCCTTAGCAAAGTGTGAATAGTATAGTAGCCCTGAAGTATTTATCCCTTAAAGGAGGACTTAGCCAAGCCATGTTGGCAGTCCAGGCATCATTCAAATTCTTTTGTATGTAGGTAAGTTGTCATGCATTAAAAAACATTCAACAGGCTAATGTTTCCACGCTGATTTTTTCCACCTATTGTGTAACGTAGGTATTTAGGCAAAGTATGAGCTTTTTCAATTTGTACTGTTTCTTTTATTTTAGCCATTTTAAAGCAGCTTGGTAACAAAGACAAGCCCGGTTTGCCTGTTGATCAGCCATGTTCCCTGGTGCAAGCCCTGGCCTCCACGGCTGAAAACCAGATGGGGGGCGCGTCCGGAGCAGTGAGTTCTTTACTATTGATGATTACAAATGCACCATTCTAATCGAAAATGTAGCGACAAAACCCTTTCCATACCAAACTGATTCCTATAATTGCCATGAAATGGGAAGAGTGACGAAGCCAGGTGCTCGCAAAGATGAGAGCCTACCTTGCTCAATACGTGCTTCCCGTGGCACAGCCTACAGTTCACCTGAAAAAAACCCACTGGAATATATGATACACGCGAAATGGGGAATTGCATCGGACATCATTTTGGCCATCGCCATAATGGGTGCAGGACGTACAGATCACAGTAGCCTATACCGGCCTTGAGCCAGGTTTCACTGCTGTTGGTTGTGCGTCGTCGTGACGCGGATCGTTGCTTATGCTATCAACCACTTGTTTTCTAACCAAGACGTGCATAGTTACAGCTTAAATATTTCTGACACAAATGAACCTCAATTGTCATTGCAAATACTGCACGACGTGATTCATACCTTTAACACTGACTGACTGAGTTTGGTTTTAGCAATATTCCAGCAATATCACGGCGGGGGACACCAGAAATGGGCTTCACACATTGTACCCATGTGGGGATTCGAACCCGGGTCTTCGGCGTGACGAGCCAACACTTTAACCACTAGGCTACCCCACCGCCCCTCATACCTTTAACAGCACGGGACGTCTGTACAGACGATCCTTCACTATACGAAGATCTGGCAGAGCCTAATGAACGTCTTTATGGAATCTATTCGTATTTTCAAGGTCGAAGTGCACTTGCAGTACTTTACTGGAAGGTCGAAGTGCTCTTGCAATACTTTACTGGAAGGTCGAAGTGCTCTTGCAATACTTTACTGGAAGGTCGAAGTGCACTTGCAGCACTTTACTGGAAGGTCGAAGTGCACTTGCAGCACTTGCAGTACTTTACTGGAAGGAAAACGTTATAGAATAATATATTTCAAACTAGACTAAGAGATCGCACGAATGACAGACTGACATGTTCATGATGTACGTGATATGGATGGCATATTGTCTGAGGCTCCACTGTCATACTCTCGTAATCGTGGGTTCGAATCCTGAATCCTGATTAAAGATTTGGTTTGTCAGTCCTTACTGTTCAAATGTGGTTAACCAAAGTGTAATAGTTCTCATACCTCCATCCCTTACTGTTCTCATTCAACTTTAACCAGACACGTGACGTAAGCAGAGTAATGCTCATAGGGGTGTTCGGGTAGCCTCGTGGTTAAAGCGCTCGCTCGTCACGCCGAAAACCCGGTTTCGATTACCCACATGGGTACGATAGGTGAAGCCCATTTCTGGTGTCCCCCGCTGTGATATAGCAGGAATATTGCTAAATGCGGCGTAAAACTAAACTCACTCACTCACAGCGTTAAAGCCAACCACCTCACTCGTCCAATGATACACTCTGTGACACTCTTCCCCAGCTGCACAGCCTACTGCTGACGTCAGCATCCAGCTGTCTGAAGGACTCCGTGACGGTAACGGCATGGCGCGACGCCCTGTCACAGGGGATAGACGCCGTCAGAAGGTGAGCCCATTGGTTTGACATTCGATCATAACCTCTGTACTTTTTTTATCTTCTTACCAAAGTCTTGTTGCTTCTTACATAACGTCTCTGTCTGCTGATATAGTGTATATAACTATATGCTAAATGATGTACTTTGCAGATATAGTGTATATAGCTAAATGCTAAAAGATGTACAATATAGCAATGGGGTATGTAACTGAATGCTAAATGGCGTATATTGTAGATATGGAGGCGCTGAGCCCGGAGACAGGACGATGGTGAGTAGTGACACAGACTTCTTAAGCGAAACTCTGCTATACATCTTCGATCGTTCACAGTGTTCCATATTTGTTAAGGATATCACTATTCCTTGGAGTAGGAACCACTTAGAGCCAAACTGTATGAACATCAGAGCATATCATAATAAATTCAAACAAAGTATATATCAATTCCAAATTTCTTATACCACCATTTCATACCTCGAAGGATGAAATTCATTTAGTATGCGAGACTTCTTGTGTATTCTGACAGTGATACAACCACCATCTGTATCGCAGAATAAAATAGTTTATCAAAACGAGAGGGGACGTAAGCCTATCTGTGCTCAACCCAACAGCCTCAAGTCAAATAACTTGTGATGACATGTAGAAGTGATGACCGTGACTCGTCTCTCCACAGCTGGACCCCCTGTGTGCTGCGAGGGATGTGCTGTTATCTAGACTGTCAGAAACAACGCCCATCCAAGCCTTCACGGAGGCGGTTCAGGTACGTCACAGGGTAGCATGTATCTACATGGGGAAATGTAGCATTCTTGACAATGTCATGTCTTTTTACACTTTTCAAGGTTCAGTTTCAGTCAAATAAGACTGAAGGCTCCAGATACGGTTGTGTGGAACGTACGACTGTCCCCAAATAACAACTATAAACAACTATAGGTCCCTACATATTCCTTCCTCATTCGTAATTTTTCGGTTGAGTCTCTGTTAACTCGAAGTATTTACGTCGGGCCCTTCAACTTCGACACAACGGTGTTTGTATATTGATTCTAACAATGTAACGTTATATTTCATAGATACCAGGAGTCCCTAGCATAAGGAACTACATAGATGTAAGCACTAGTTACAACTATCTAGAAATACATATTATACATTTCTGAATCAATACTCCATTCATTCTACTACTACAGCTACAGCTCCAACTACAACTACTGCTGTTGATACTACTACTTATACTACTGATTATAACGATATAACAAACAACAAACACAATACATTTATCATATAGCGCCTATTATCCACCATTAACACATAAACAATATCTAACAGCATGCACACTGAAGATATGATGTACAGAACAGGTTTGCTGTTAGTTGGTGACCATGGATCGCTGTGATCTCGCATATCAGACATCAGGGTTCCGATCCACAAAACGTGCGTAACGTTACGACCTGTCGTAACTCTATAGTTGATCATAGGCTTACGAATGTCGTAGCGCTACGAACGCTTTGTGGATCGGGCCCCAGACTTGTAGTATACCGTAACCAATATTACTCTGGAATAAGATAGTTTTGAAAGATGAGGTTTTATTGCTGAGTTGAAAGCTGTCTGTGAGGGGATTGCCCTGAACCACAGAGTTGGAACTGTTGGAGCGAAAACTTTGTCTACAGCGGCTCCCGTTCTCGGCTGCGTCAGAAGAACATCCACAGATCGAGATGTGTCGATTTTTTAGATATATACTCACGAGATCCACAAAGCCATTTATATGTAGGATAACTAATTTGGTGGTTTGTTAGTTGTTAAACGCCGCACTCAGCAATATTCCAGCTATGTGGCGGCGGTCTGTAAATAAGTGAGTCTGGACAGGCAATCCAGTGATCAACAGCATGAGCATCATTGTACACAATTGGGATACGATGACATGTGTCAACCAAGTAAGCGAGCCTGGCCACCCAATCCCGTTAGTCGCCTCTTAAAACAAGCATGGGTTACTGAAAACCAATTCTAACCCGGATCTTCACGGGTAGATTACGAATATGTTTTCGTGCATTTTTATGCTGTCCTGTCTTATGATTCTGTTCCTTAGATTACTGTAGAAGATATTTATCAATGGTCTGTTGCAGGCAGCAGAGAAGACAGCAGAGGCGACAGCGACAATGAGGGCATACGCTGGACGGGCCAGCTACGTTAACCCTGACCGTCTTACCCAGCCGGACCCCGGGGCTACGGGGGTGGCAATTTGGCTCAGGGCCATACTGGAGAAATTGTAAGGAGCAGCCATGAATATATGGCTTAACTATAACAGATTCACAAAAGAATGTTAGTGTCGCCACTGTACATTTCCTCTCATGGAGTCCAGAGTTCTCCAATACAGAAGATCGTTTCGATGGACATCTTGACATTGGACGCAGCGAAGTCTTGCAGTGTGACCTGTCTGTGATAATTATTCCGTGTTACTGGGTAAATTATGATTGTGACGCGTTCATTTTGGTTACTTATTTACTCATATACTGTCCAATGCATTTATCTGTACAATGAGACACCGCTAGTCACTAGCCCAAGGTAAATCGTCTGAAATAACAATTTTCAGGGTAATCGTTCCCAGCAGAAATCCACTGAAAAGAGTGTTTTCAACAAGTCTCAACTTGTTTCTTATTAATTCTTTGCCAAACGTAAATGATCAAGAGATGATCATCTAGAGAACACGTCGTTGCAATCCACAAACATACGCAATATTATGGTTGGCGGGTGTGCAACGGTTTATCTTCCATAACAACACCGGGATAGTCCTCACGACACATGCTACATGGGATACACCAGGAATAATGGTCGATAAAGTATTAGTAATGGTTGGGTATTAAAACCTGTATAACTGTTCAATCATATTTACATTCTACTGTCCGTGGTTGAGTGTCGTTGTTGTTGCTGCTGCTGCCTTTGGTGTTGTTTGATGAAGTGTTCAATACCCCAGCAGTTTCACAGCTCAATATTCAGGAATCCAGAATTATTTTGTTTTGATCTGGATCTCAAACACTTAACGCAACCTGCGGACATCTCTCCAAACCTTGTGACTTCAGCGCTAAACTGCATTTCTTGTCTTCACGCCGAGATACCAAGACGGTGTACGTCTGGACTAGTTTGTGTAGTCGGAGAGAGGATGTGAATAGTTCGAGCTCCAATCGCGGAGGAATACATTCTCTAGCTGTTGACGTAAGGACAACGTCTCGTTATCAGACTGCGGCTGTTCCATAACGAAACCTATCCCCGCCGTGTACAAAAAGTAGTTCCCTGACCAGTTAGAGGTTCCTGCAAGGAAATATGATTTGAAGAGTACGGAAATGTTAGCAGAAATCGAAATACAGTTTAATGTACTTTTACTGATATCAGAACCCATGGTGATATGAGTTGATTTACTATCATGGATAATATTTTCAAACGAAATCTATCTGTGCCGACATCGAAGAGTCAATAAGCTTGTTCCAATTTAAGTCTACATCTAGACTTTGTATTTACTATTTAACGCGTCCCCTACCCCTGTACTGAATGATAAGTCCCGATCCACAAAGCGTTCGTAACTTTACGACCTGACGTAACTCTATAGTGTATCATAGGCATACGAATGTCGTAGAACTACGAAGGCTTTGTGGATCGGGACCCAGGCCTGGATGTATAGTAATTCTTTCCTCATAATAGCCAGGTTTAATTATGTTCTTCTTAATTATATAATCTACGAATTATTTCCTTAGTGACTTGTCTTCAAGTCCCCCTTTAAGAGTGTATATGCCTGGTGTTCTCACCGATATATGCGTGTTTGTCTGTGACCATATACTTGTTGTGGTTCACCCGTGTGTATGGACCCGGTTCCTGATCATGGCTGACTGGAAACTCGAATACTCTCTGCAGGAAGGAAGCAGGTTGGAAACATGTATTAAACACTGTGTACGTATGGCAGTACTGGGCCTTGTATAATTTCTTCGACTACTTTTAGGTTTGATATATGTGAAAAAGATATAGGTATAATCTGGAAAAATGAAAACTTTTACATTATAATTAAATTATTTTGCAAACATCTTACACAGAACCAAACCCTACAACTACTAGAATATATGTACTTTACTGAGGAAGTGTTATCCCAAATATAACATGTTACATTTGATCAATTCATAAAGGGCATTGTGTATTCATATATAATACAAAAAACAAACAAACAAACAAAAAATCTGAAAGAAGCTAACACACACTCTCGCACAAATATTAAATAACAAAATACGTAAAATTAAATGAACTTGCAATATTTTGCACTAAGTAGCATAACTCGCACAAGTTTACGCCAATTAGAATAATATTGAGATACACCATTGTTTCTCGAGCAAGCTGGGTATTTTTGGTTATCATTCGATGTGAAAATGAGACCTTATGTCCACCATTCACTAAGAAGAGCTGATCAGGGCATCGGCTTAAAACATCCAGTGTTTTTGACAGTAACCAACCCATGGAAACGTATGAATGTCACATTCAACCTGCGTAGACGATGCTTACATCTTCATAGAAATCAGATTACGCAGACCGTTATTTTGAGTCACTAATAGGCTTCCTTACCAGCCAGTTTAACTGAAAAGGTGATCACTCATAATTGCCTCAATGTCGTGCCGGACATACAGGTGTGAACTGACATCATGGTGGTGATAAAGCTAGACATATATATACTGCTCACCACTTCCAAGTCCACGTGTGTTAACACCGACTTGCCAAACATCTCTAGGGAGCGTAGGTACAGCAACATGTCGGGGTGGGAATGGTTCCAGCGGCTGACCAGGAGGTTGACGGTGACGTTGTGGTCGTAGGCTGCAGTCTTCAGCGCGTCATCCAGGACCGGCCAGTACCTACAAAGGGCAATGAACCAAGTAAAGGAGTTCGAATCCCGGTGGAGACACCAAAATTTGTGACCTGGGTCTCATATTGGGTAGTGTCCCTGGGCAAGGCCCTTCGTCCACATTGCACTCCGTCCACCCAGTTGTTCAAAATGGGTACCTGAGAAGCGGATGTACGGACCTATACGGTCGCACGAAGCGCTTATTAGCGGCTTTGAAAGTACAATTCCGTCAGGGTAATAATGTAACGCCAGAGAGCAATATCGTGTTGGATCCTAGGCGCAAAACTTAGCATTATTAATATTATTTATCAAGTCGTCTCTTACGACAAGCATTGGTTTGCGGGACCAGTCCTGACAGGAACTTTGGGGTCCCGTATGTCATGCATCATGACATTTTGACGATTAATCTAGTTTCGACATCAGCCTGAGCGATTGAGGGTGACAGTATTTCCTAAAGGCGAATCTATTCTTGAAAACCCTTGCGGTTTCCGTATGGCAATCGCTCATTGTGCCGTTGTACAAAACAACCTTAGCGCTAAGATGACCGTAACTCCCATACCTTAACATAGACTTAAGGTAGTCTTAGCGTTAAGGTTGTTTTGTACAACGGCACCCTGATAATGAATTACATGTGCGAGCCAGAAGCATGTAATCCCTTGTGGAGATGCGGCTGACAATTCTGGGTATTCTCAAACCCATGCTTGTCGTACGAGGTAACTAAAGGGATCGGATGGTCAGGCTCACTGACTTGATTGGTGTATATCATCCTATCATTCAGCATTAAACATGACACAACCATGAAACATTAGCCAGACCACAAGCAACTGTTCACGTTTAATACCCATTGTGGGCACCATGATCGCGATCTCCTCCGCTTATCTTGGCTCGTCACGCCGAAGACCCGGGTTCGAATCCCCACATGGGTACAATGAGTGAAGCCCATTTCTGGTGTCCCCCGCCGTGATATTGCTGGAATATTGCTAAAAGCGGCGTAAAACCAAACTCAGTCAGTCAGTCCTCCGCTTATCATATGTTCTTGCCCATTCACCTGCTGTATGAATCCAGTTGTATGAAGGGCATATAATTCATGACGGCGATGTAAATGAAGTCCCTGGCCTTGCTGATGACGTCCAGGATGGCGTCAAGGTCAGCTGTTCGACCTTCAGGGCAAAATGAAGGTGGCGAGCTCTGGAGGAGACAAATTGTGTGTGATAAATAATTTGTTCAAAATATATCTTGTTACTGACATATATTTGCTATTTCAGGTCTACATTTGATCAAACTTGATTACACTATTATATCAATATTCTGTTCTATTATAGTTTATTCGATATGCAACTTCTCTTGTTACCATAGTGAATTACATTAGCCGGCCAGAGCCATGTAGTACCTTGTGAAGATTTTTTGAGGCTCGTATACATGGTTGGTGCATGTCATCGTAACGTATCGTATCGTACATGGATGTTCATTATGTCAGTCACTGGATTGACTGGCCCGGTCTCGATTATTTACAGACCCCTATTATACGGTTGGAATATAGCCGAGTTCGGTGTCAAAGACACTAACAGTCACTCCAACAACACTACGCTCTGTGCAACAGACGGCGGAATGTTACTGATACGAAACATGGAGATAGTGAGCTCCCTCCTTGACTGAACAAAGTTAGAGAATGGGTTAAGGCCAAATATCTTAAAGCAACACACGTCTATTGACCGAGGGGCGTTTTGGAGAGGCGCACTGGTTAAAGCGTTAGCCCGTCACACAGAAGAACCGTTTCGATTCCCCACGTGGTTGCAAATTCTGATTCCAGTTTCTTCAGTCTCCATATCGCTGGAATAGAGCTAAAAGCGGCATAAACCTCATTCTAACCACTGACCGAGAGATACACCGTCCCCGTGTCGGCAACATATGGCGTGTCCTTGTTGAAGGCAGGTGAGAAGTCATGTGACCATGAGGCGGGGACGCTGGCATCCTCTGAGGCCAGCTGCCAATACACCTGGAAGATCTTTTCTATGTCGTCTGCCAGACAGCTGCAGTTTTGCACCAACACTCCCAACTCTTTCACCTACAACACACAATTAATGCCAGATCATTTTACACTAAGCTTGTTAAAACAGTTGCTGCACTAATAATGTTTCATCATCGTCAAAGGTCAATTTTAAGAAAAATTAATTAATGTTTTCAGGAATAAAAATAATTATCTATCTTTACACAAAAATGACTCATCAACACTGGAGATCTTCGTGAATATACCTGGGTGTAGGATCTCCAGTCGATGTTGGCGCTGCCGACGTAGAAATGTTGTCCGTCCACTAGCCACATCTTGGTGTGAAGTACACCGCCCCCAACCAGCCGCGTGAAGTTCATGCTCCGCACATCAGCACCTTCAACACACACACCACCCCATGTACAACAAACAGCTCAAGAATGTGCTCGTACTCCACAACAAGGACAGACGGTTCCCTCTTTGTCCAATAAGGATGACAGCCTTGGGTCTGTAAGTTCTTCACAACAAGAGTGAGTGAAGGTTTACAGGTGATGATATGAAGGGGAAATGTGTTGTCTTCTAGCGTTTTCTCAGAACATTGACTACTTCGCTGGTACAGTGTTTCAAGAGAGTTTATGATGCCCTTTTTTGGTGTGGCTAGAATAATGGCTTAAAACACTCTCAATCACTCAATCATAAACTCACAAACTGACTTACCGAATTTTACGCAGAGTTTTGTTTCTCTCCTTGACGAAAGACAACGTTTGGTAACTACGCTTGTACTAACCTGCCGCAGCAAGTTTCACTGTGTCGACATCTGGAAACACCGCTGATGGCTGATTCTGTACAATTTGAATTTTCACTTGACCTTGACTTCCAATGTCATACAGGGCGTCAAACACATCTTGTCCCTGTAATGATGAAGACAATGGGTTCAGACAGTCCCAACACCCGAGTGTGTCGAGCAGTACAAGTCATTCCCACAATAGGGGAATCAGGGAGAGACCCCAAGCAGCCGATGCTAGGAGGCACCCGAATGAATCTTGTGGCCAGACGTTATAATACTATCCGGACAGCACGGGATTTTAGTCATTGATTGATTACAATCAGAGATGATAAGGTTGGAAAATAGCTGAATATGGCGGTGAGATATAATATGAAACCAGTCTTTATGCAAATGCATGGGTAGGTCGTGTTCATGATATACTTGTCGAGATCAACAACCAGGGTTGTGGTTGACAAGGCGGTCCTGTATCGTAACTCGTACAGCTTAACGTAGACTTGCGACAATCGGAGTGCTAAGATGAACCAGAGAATCGTGACCCTGATTTGAGAATTCACAATGATGGACTAGCGAAAACGGAAAAATGTATCTCTAAGACTGAACCTCAGGGCGCATGGTACATTTTGCTTTTTGGGATATATCTGTCCTTGTTCCTTCACCTGTTGGGAGCTTGAGTCGGTTGGTGTGGTGTCATTCATCTGCAACGTCCAATAAAAAGACGCCACAGATATCGTCTGCTCTGCGTTCCGTATCAGATCTAAGATGGCCGGACCCGTGCTTGGGTGTGGCGGTTCATCGTCTTGGTAGTGGAGACTCTCGGGAATGGACTCTACCAACGTAAATCTGTAATGTTTCCATTTGTTTTCTTAACGTCATGCCTTATTACACTCTTTTACGATTATAGTTTATAGGAGGATTTGCTTTCCTGTCAAATGTCATCATCTTGAACGAACTTCTTTTGTAATAAAACTGTTAGCTAGTCACAGACATTCTATAGTTCCTCGCTTCACACAAGGCATTATTATATAACTTAAAAGAAGCAATCATGGTGCCTACCCAGTTTAAGCGTTTGTATCACAAACAGATTATAATCCCTTGTTAGTTATGACATCACAAGCATAGCCATCGAGTTCATGTTCGTTTCGTTTACAGTACGATCAAACATGGGGGTCTACTTTAATTTGCCTGGCGGTATATTTGAATGTTTTGTCTCGACATGTTGAGACTGAGATGGGTGAATGAAGTACTTGCACACATCTGTCGCTGCATCCCGTGTCTGGATGTGTAGTAGTGACCACCTCCGCCGTCGGGCTACTTCCGTTGTGGAGATCCTGCACAGACTCGGGATGATCCTACACAGACAGAACTATCCATTTGGTCGCCGTGAAGATTCCGGTTGGAAGAACATGTGTTAGTGAAACGCACGCACATACGCAATCACGCCAGCGCGCACACACACAAACGTGTATGTATACTTTAATTCACATACCCCACTAAATGTACCTAATTCGTAAAAACACAAATACCAAAGAGATTTAGAAACATCACGGATGACTTATTGGACCAGAGAACATTAACACCTGTACAGCGGTATATGGATTCTGTAGGATCTACCCAGGTTGCCCTGGTGGGGTGGCACGAGGAAGTGGACAAGGATTCTGTGGGACCTACTCACCGTTGCCCTGGTGGGGTGGCACGAGGAAGTGGACAAGGATTCTGTGGGACCTACTCACCTTGCCCTGGTGGGGTGGCACGAGGAAGTGGACAAGGATTCTGTGGGACATACTCATGTTACCCTGGTGGGGTGGCGCGAGGGAAGTGGTTAAGGAATCTGTGGGACCTACTCACGTTGCCCTGGTGGGGTGGCACGAGGAAGTGGACAAGGATTCTGTGGGACCTACTCACGTTGTCCTGGTGGGGTGGCACGAGGAAGTGGACAAGGATTCTGTGAGACCTACTCACCTTGCCCTGGTGGGGTGGCACGAGGAAGTGGACAAGGATTCTGTGAGACCTACTCACCTTGCCCTGGTGGGGTGGCACGAGGAAGGGGACAAGGATTCTGTGGGACCTACTCACCTTGCCCTGGTGGGGTGGCACGAGGAAGGGGACAAGGATTCTGTGGGACCTATTCACCTTGCCCTGGTGGGGTGGCACGAGGAAGTGGACAAGGATTCTGTGGAACCTATTCACCTTGCCCTGGTGGGGTGGCACGAGGAAGTGGACAAGGATTCTGTGGGACCTACTCACGTTGTCCTGGTAAGGTGGCACGAGGAAGTGGATAAGGATTCTGGCGGGACCTACCCACGTTGCCCTGGTGGGGTGGCACGAGGAAGTGGACAAGGATTATGTGGACCTACTCACGTTGTCCTGGTGGGGTGGCACGAGGAAGTGAACAAGAAGACCAGCAGTTAAAGCAATACACAGGATGATGGCCAGTGTCAGGAACAGCCCGACTTTCTGTGACCGTGTCATGGACTTCACCAGGCCGTCCCGCTCCTTCTGATGTCTCGACTTTGTGGTGGGCGTCTCACCGTTGGCGCGTTCCTCCATGCTGTAGCTCTCCTCTCGACCCATGGCTCAGTAATGGACCTGTTGACCATTGTGAATAAGTGAATGTTGGTTTATGCCACAGATAGCTAAAATTATACGCGACCCGTAAACAATCAAGTATGGACGCGAGATTGGGTCAACCGGAAATGCTCGCTAAACATCAAGATCATCATTAGGATGATCAGCCAACATCATCAACGGTCACCGCTAGTGGTCCAGGCTCAACCCTGTAATGAATGAGTGAGTGAGTTGAGTTTTACGCCTCACTCTAGCTACATGGCGGCGGTCTGTAAATAATCGAGTCTGGACCAGACAATCCAGGAATCAATAGCATGAGCATCGATCTACCCAATTGGGATACAATGTAACGTGTCAACCAAGTCAGAGAGTCTCACCACCCGATCCCGTTAGTCGCCTCTTACTCCAAACATGGGTTACTGAAGACCAATTCTAACCCGGATCTTCCCGGGTCAATCGTATAAAGAAATGTGACAGGAATGTTGCGGATTGCTGCGTTTGACATCAAACACACGCAGTCATAAACCCATATCTACTCAATCTCATCACATGTTATGTTTTCGTCTGTTTGTTTTTTTGCTTAACGCCGACATATTTCATCTATATGACGGTTGTCTGTAAATAATCGAGTCTGGACCAGACAATCCAGTGATCAACATCATGAGTATTGATACGCAGATGGGACACGATGACATGTGTCAACCAAGTCAGTGAGCCTGACCACCCGATCCCGTTAGTTAATGTACGAAGCACCTAGCCCCCCATTCCACAAAGCGATAAGGTGACCCCAAACTTTAACATACTCCTTACAGCAGTCGTAGCGCTATGATCGCTTTGAGGAACGGGGCCCTAGTATTCCACTGACAGCATGATCGTAGCTCCCACACTTTAACATGCTACTTACGCCAGTCGTAGCGCTACGTTCGCTTTGTGGAACAGTCCCTTGTCTTATACTGATAGCGTAAAGCCACTTGTGTGGACCACTTATGTTGACAACGAAGACACACCGATTGACACCACGTTAATCTTTAGAATTGCCGAAGAGTTTGACCAGGTGTGCTACATCTTGCATCGTTGCATGTGACGTGTGTAAAGCGTATCACAGATACACTGTCGCTTTAAAAGACTGCTGTATGTGTTATAGTGGTACGTACCTTCAATGCTGTCTAGATCAGTTCAACATCCATGCCACTGCTCAAGACACTGTTAAAACACTTGACACTGATAAAATCTCTGTGATGTTATCTTAGTGGTTCAGATACTAAACAACACAGGTATACAGAAGCTGATAACACGATAACTATCACACGTGGTATGACAGAGCTTAAACAAGGATAAACAACTGAAGTATGTACAAGTGTTTTGTACTCGCTGGGCATTGATATTCATTACAAATTATGTATATAAAGGACTGACTGACTGAGTTTGGTTTTACGCCGCTTTTAGCAATATTCCAGCAATATCATGGCGGGGGACACCAGAAATGGGCTTCACTCAATGTACCCATGTGGGGATTCAAACCCGGGTCTGCGGCGTGACGAGCCAACGCTTTAACCACTAGACTACCCACCGCCCCGTATATATAAAGGAAGTGAGCGAGATGAATTGTGTTTTGCGCCACCTTCAAGATTATGTATTTCACTTATAGGTCTTCGTGCATGCAGGTGTGCGTGCGCCTTTGAGTGTCTGCTTGTATTGAATTAGCCTAATTTATTACGTTAGTCGACTAAGATACGGGGATAAACATGGATACCCACCCAGAGTCAGTATGCTGACTGGGAGCCGACAAGACCTCATTTCAAGCCCCTTTTGCCCAGTTCTAAGCAGGTGTATTACTCTAAGAATGGAAAGAGGCGAATGGACAGTTTTGTGCAGCATTCACTCATTCACAGTTATAGCTGTGGTCTTGGAATAGCCGAGGCTGTGCCAGGCAAACCTGGGCCCCGTTTCACAAAGCTATCGTAGCGCTCCGACTGTCATACCTCGTATACTGTAACATAGATTTAGACAGTCGTAGCGCTACGATAGCTTTGTGAAACGGGGCCCTGGACCTGTCCACTAAGCGATAGTACCATCAAGGTGGCCGTAACTCCCATACTTTAACGAAGGCTTACAATTATCCTAGCTCCAAGATCGCTTTGTAGACCGGGGCCCAGGGAGCAAAAGCATGAGCAACGATCCCGTTTTAGGACACAATCACACACAATCACACAGAACCCTTTTTCACTAACCGAACTCAGTGCTAAGACAAACTCCAATACACAGACTTGCGACAATCGTAACACTAAGGTCACTTTGTGGACCGAGCTCCTGGTCACAGGGCCGGGCCATCTGCTCCCTATATTATTGGTTCAATAGCTGCCAGGGTGAGTTTAGTTGTAACCGCTTTTAGCAATATTACAGCAATGAGGGACTTCACACACTGTACCCAAGTGGGGAATGGAACCCGGGTCTTCAATGAGTCCATTAGAGACAGGGTGGCTATTTTATAGGCCATAAAGAGTGAGTGAGTTTAGTTTTATGCCACACTCAGCAATATTCCAGCTATATGGCGGCGGTCTGTAAATAATCCAGTCTGGAAAAGACGAGCCAGTGATCAACAACATGAGCATCAATCTTTGCAATTGGATATGATGACATGTGTCAACAAAGTCAGAGAGCCTGACCACCCGATCCCGTTAGTCGCCTCTTACGACAAGCACGGGTTACTGAAGATCAATATTCTAACCCGGATCTTCACGGGTCTAGGCCATGAAGATTTTTGTGTGACTGTATACGAAAGTTTACAACGGAATTGAATGGTTAATTCGTTGTTCCAGAAACGAAATGTTATCAATGTACAATCTCAATCGCAACTTCAAATTAGCGGATAATAACTGACTCAGACTAAAATACTTGTTGATACTATGAGTGACATCCCAAAAGGTCGAGATGACCTAATAAATCAAATCACCATTTACAACCCGGTCACTTCGACTCAATCATCATTGAATCACCAGAGGTTGTAACCAAGATAATCATATTGTTGGTCATGTTGGTTGGAAACGCCTCAATAAAACAAAACAATAACCCACTTTTGAGAAAAACTGGAAAAATTTATTGAAAATATACTTTTCTATATACATGGTATTTCACAGATATATAACCTCCTGTGACATTCCTCTGTGCAACATGATGTTTGGGCCATGACAAGAGGGTAGTCTTCACATCACGAATGACCCATTGCCTTATACTGATCTACACTGACCAGTTGAGACAAGCATACTAACAAAAGTAAAAGTAAACTGACAAAAACATAAGTAGTGAGATAATACAAGCAATGGCATATAAATGACAAACACACAAAAATAACATCAAAACACCTGTTCCGGTGTAGCTCCTAAAGATACTACAAAACCTAAACCAACATAAACATGTACACAACAGCACCTGTACACACAGGTAGGAAGCAGACAATATGTGATGTGAGGAGCTACAATAACATCCAACAAACAACATACCTCCTGGAGCTATCAGCCATGCTGGGAAGATATGCTGTGGACAGACACAATGTATTCTTTCATTTTGGCACTCTGAGTTAAGAGTTATCATAAGGCAAACATTAGCAAATGGAGATTCCTTTAAATTACATGATGGTGGTCGGTAAATAAAAAATCCGGACCAGACAATCCAGTGATTGATATTGTGAGAATTGATCCATGCATATGGGTACGATGACACGTCATCAACCATGTTACAGAGTCTGACCACCTGATTCCATTTGGCCAACTTTTATGAGCATGCTTGTTTACTTGGGACCACTTGAAACCCAGAATCCATATAGGGTGGTGAGCAATGGTGTTGTATTAAATAGTGTCCTCATTTCCAACATTTATATCAATCACAAAACCAAACAATTACAATATTCTGCATATGTTATGTTTACTTTTACTCAGTACTTGAGTATTGCACACAAAATTTCAAACTAACCATTAACCATAGCATGACCATTGTTTTCTCATTTTACAGATATGTCTACCCAAAATTTTGCAAATGTAAGTACTATGCCGATAAACATGAAAACAGCTGTCAAAACAATATACTGCATTTTATTTTCTGATAAATTTCTGTTGCCTTCTGAAAGACAAAAACAAAAACACATTGTGAATACAGAAACAGCTGTCAGATACCCTTCTCCACTGCCTCAGAATGTACTGAAGCAAACAGACGAATAAACATTAGCATACTTCAATACAGATCACATTCAATAACTAACATAAACACTGGCATGTTCACTGACTATCAAAGATACATTTGGCTCACACCTGCAAATAAATCAGCATCTTATCAATACTTGCAATATGGAACAAACTTTATGGATAACAACTTCTTTTTATTCGTGAGTGTGACGTTTCGATACAGATTCTTGTACCGTTGTCAAGCATAATGGAACATGAAGAAGGGGGAAGTGTATATATACTGGATGTTACAATGTAACAAAGAAAACAACATAATTAACATAATTGGCTAGGCAGAAAGCTGATGAAGCCAGAGGACAGGCGTGGAAGCCAATGATGTACAAATGATAATGAGATGTTTATACAGCAGAGTTTATACAGTAGATTGGGCTTGGTGGATGAGTGCATCATAAGCGGATGGAATGAAGTATCCTTGGTCTCGGTTGATGGTGGGCTTTTGGTGGCTGATTTGCTGTCGGAATTGGTAACAAAGGTCTGATGTTCTTTCACTCAGGTGTTGATGGGTCGGGAAGTTTTGCCTATGTAGCTCTGCCCACAATCACAGTTTATTTTGTAGATGACACATTTTGGGTTGTTGTTCTTTACGGTGGCGGGTTTTCGGGGTGGCAAATCAGCCATTCCCGACTACATCAAAGCAAGCCCCAATCATCAAATAGAGTGGTCTGACATCACCATTCTCTCTAACAAACAGACTTCACTAAACGCAAGCTCACCGAAGCCATCCACATCAAACGCCAAAAGCCCACCATCAACCGAGACCAAGGATACCTCATTCCATCCGCTTATGATGCACTCTTCCACCAAGCCCAATCTACTGTATAAACTCTGCTGTATAAACATCTCATTATTAGTTGTACATCATTGGCTTCCACGCCTGTCCTTTGTCTACTCTCTGGCTTCATCAGCTTTCTGCCTAGCCAATTATGTTAATTATGTTGTTTTCTTTGTTACATTGTTACATCCAGTATATATACACTTCCCCCCTTCTTCATGTTCCATTATGCTTGACAACGGTACAAGAATCTGTATTGAAACGTCTCACTCACGAATAAAAAGAAGTTGTTATCCATAAAGTTTGTTCTATATTGTACTTCCCAACTTCTAAAATGCCACTCAAAGAAGTTATCAATACTTGAATGATTTCTTTAAAAAATATTGGAATGCCATTGTGATAGTCAGACAAGTGCAGTAAACAATAGCCGTAACCCAGCTATAACTATAGGGTATACTTAACAGGTATATCTCCAATACAAGAGAAGGCACTTCATGAAACGTTAAGTACTATATGAGGTAGAATCTAGTCCACTATATTTACAAATGTATAACATCTTTCCATATTTTCTTCGGGAATGTTACAAATGAGAGTCTCTTGAGAAATACTAGCAATTTGAGATGTATTTCCCCTTTGAGCTCAATATATATACTATAACCAATGCGCCATGAGCATGCATGAGTGGGTGGACAATGGCGCTTTACAAATATCCACTATTAATATTATTATTATTAATTTCAATGGCAAGTCACAAAAAACCCTTTTCATATGTGTAAATTTGGGTGTTGTCATTTTGAAACAGCATTAAGGACTGGTTATTTATTATAGAGGAGGGGGTGTCACACAGCGAATGGGGAGGCATGCCAAAATAATATTACCACAAGTATAGTTATGGGGAAGGGAAAAATTCAGGTGGTGTTTGCAAAAAATGACACATACTCAAGACCAATTTCACTGTCCTTTCCCCTCCCTTCATAATAAATATGTGTTTGATTCGACTCAAATGAAATTGTATTAGCACATACAACTCTTGTTGGGTGTTAAAGGTTTTGAATTTGAATTATTTTTTCATTCAATATGAATATATGTACCAGCGTTTGAAATACCTGCCTGCCTGCCCGACCGACCACCCAGGACGGGTAATTTTCAACACAGACTGCCAAATTCTCAAATTCACCTGCCCGACGGTCGGGTTAACATTTAGCCATGTATATGAAGATATTTTGTGGGCAGGTAAGATTTTGTCAGGGCTGGGAAGTTTTACATCTAACAAGCTCTGTGGTCTGGCTGAAATTTTGGGGAGTTTCATATGCTGACATGTACATCATCTGTTCCGTGATTCCACAAATTAGTCTGGTTTCTCTGAGTACATGTAGTTTTATCAAATTTTGAAAATTAGTTTCGTTAAACTTCAACCAAACTGAGACATGCAAAACCTAATGGTCCATCAAGTTTAATCTGGCTGCTTCATATTTCACAAGTGAGGTGAGATGAAATCGGGTTTAATGCCACATTCTCAGTTATTGCACATAAGTCTTTGAGTGCTTATACAAGTGCAAACTAATTTTGCATCAACAGTGCTAGTCCAACACGACGCCACTAGGGGTGGGCAATAATACCTGTTAACCGATATAGCGTAATTCAAACTTCACAATATGATACATTGCTGTACACTTTTTGCAAACCGGTTCACCCTATAAGTTCGGCAATTTCCATGACCATGATTGGTAATTTTCATGATGTAGTAAAAAATACTATTAACATTTATATATCCTTTATATTATTATACATTAATAGTTTTGAGAATTTGAGAATAGTTTATAGGTCATATAATTGCATTTGCATTAGTTTTAAGCCATATAAATAAAAAAAAATAGCTTGGTACCGGCACTCGTAGGGATAAACAATTTGGAAATATTTTCAGTTGATCTCTTGTACAATCACATCTGAGTCCTGACAGTGGCCAGTGGCATTGTTTCCAAAGAAAGGAAACAGTATAATCATTACCTTAAACCATGTGTTACACTTTCAAAATATATTGCAATACATATTGCAATACACCAACACATATCACGATATATCACAACACAAACATTTTGGCAATACCCAACCCTAGATGCCATGCTGCAGTTTACCGACTCTTTCACATTATACCTACTCCAAGCGAACCAGTTCCCATCTTGTACCTTACTATGGCAAACACCAAGCAGAATGACAAGTACTTTATGTTGCTGATGTACTGTAACATATGAGTGTTTCATACCTTCACAGAGAAGCAAGGCCCCGATTTCTTAAGCTCATGTCAATTCCTCGGTACCTTTCTTACTGTAGCATTCATACCTCCTATGTTACAGTAGAGGATACGAATGTGAAACGAAAAAGCTTCTCTAATGGCATCTGTACACTTATAAGAGCTTTGTGAAGTTAAGCAGAGGATGCTTCTTGTCATTAGGGCAACCTTGTGATTCTACAATAAGTTGTCAGACTATTTTATATAACTACCTTAACACATAACCCTTTGTCTTCATATAGGTTTAGAGATATAACTTTATGGCACCAGTAGAATCCTGAAAGAAACAAGGAAGCATACTACAAAGGAAGGTCTCCAACCACAGGAAACATTTCATCTCTATAATGTTGTTGTTAAGTTGTCATTAAATATATCATACAAACGATCCCAATAAGAGCTTATTTTCAAAACCTGAACAAAAATTGAATGTAGACTTGCCATTCTATTAAAGACTTAATATTTTGTGAAAGAAGTTAGAGAAATGAAATATTAGTATCATGTGTCCCTAAATTGTCAGACAATCTCAGGTTTTGCAGGATGTCATGTATGCTTCTATTTGTTCTTTTTCATTTTCATCAGTCTAAATGAAGAAGTAGCACTTGTGTGAAGATCTATGAGATTCAGTTACAATGTCCGCCTGTGTCCATCAGCATCGAGGGTCAGAGCAGTTCTTCGGGGCAACACCCTCCAATGGTTGAGAGTACTGGGAGTTCCAGTCTCGGAGGAAGACGTCTTCAAGTTGCTGGCGGATGTAGTCATTGCTGCTGGTGTTGCTAGGAGCTAGGACAAAACCTATACCAGCTGTATACTTGAAGTAGTCACCATACCAGTTGGATGTACCTGGGGAAAAACAACCATCTGATTATGGACAGAACTCAGCTGCAGAGGAACATTGCTTAGGGTGCAATGGTCAACTGAACTGGGATACAATGACATCCTCCATGGCATAAACAGGGGACCCGTGAAGATCCCGATTAAAATTGATCTTCAGTAATCCATGCTTGTGGTGACTAATGGGATCGGGTGGTCAGGCTAGCTGACTTGGTTGACACATGCCCTCGTATCCCAATTGTGTAGATCGATGTTCATGATATTGATCACTGGATTGTCTGGTTCTGGCTCAGTTATTTACAGACTGTCTCCATATAGCTGGAATATTGCTGAGTGCAGCATTAGACAACAAACAACCTCATAAACAGGGACCCTGAAGCTCATCAGATGACTCTTATGTATGCTGATCTGGCCCTGTGGGGTACACTGACTCGTATCAAACTGTGGTTTACGTACCTATATAGGCATGCTGGTCTGTCACCATGTATTTGTTGTGGTTGACTCGAGCAAACGGTATCTCAGCCTGGGCGGGTGTAAACGCTGGGACCTCAAACATTTTCTGAAACATTCACTTAAATCATCCATTCATCATCATCATCATCATCATCATCATCATATCATACTCATCATCATCTCATCATCATCATCATCATCATCATCATCATCACAGAATGCAAACAGTAACTGCCACCTAGCCAGAGATATTCTAAAGGAATAATGAGCAAGACAAGAAGATATCCATCATTTTATGAGGAGTCCTTCTGTATCTCATCACTATTCATGCTATCTTTCCTTCTCCTCAGCAATACCCCTGCCTACCACTTCCAGCTTGATGTCTGGGCAACACACGTCGCTGACAGTCAGCAGAGACCTGAGGAAGGTGGGCATGTCCTCATCAGTGTGGGGCCACTTACTCCCCAGCATCCGGACTGTCACATTACGGTTAATGGCTGCATAACGGAGCGCATCATCAATTATCGGCCAAAATCTGCAGAACAAAACAAAAACAGTTCTGTCAATGGTACAGTAGTATATATGAGACATATTGGAATCAGTAACCATAGTAACAAGATCAACGTACAATAATGTTGCAAGATTGATGTAAGAATCTCAAAAATCTCAGATTTAAATTTGCAGAGTAGCACTGACTGCCACAAAGAAGCTCAATCCTATGAAATCATACATGTTAAATTCAACACAAACACATAAATAACGTTCTGTGTAATGGAATACATTTTTCAACAGAGTCACACAGCTCATAATTGTGTCATAATTATGAAACATATAATGTCAACGCCAGATAATGATCTGTCTCAGATATCTGCTGAAGCAGTTTCAATTGGCCATAAAAGTAAAAATAGTGACTAAAATTATATGTATCGATCCAGACCATTCTGATGGCACTCTTTATGTGTTCAAGAAAGCAGTAGCAATCAAATATGTTTCCTTACTTTCTCGGTTCACTGTATGCAATCATGGGGAGATAATCCATGACAGCAACATACACAAATCGTTTTGCTGCTCTGATGACTGCTAGAATGGCATCGATGTCCCCAGTGCGGCCAGCGGGACAGAACTGTGGTGGTGAACTCTATACAAGTAGAGTCAGAATGAGAGACCCTACCTAAAACACATCTCACAGCATACTAATGTGGGTAAATGAAAGTTTCTGTTTTTCACTTTGCAAAACAAGATAAAGAACACCAACATCTTTCATCTCTTGACAGGATTAAATCTCAACTAAAGACATTCCTCTTTAGGAAATTCTGTGAACTGTAAACACACCCAGGGAATGAAATAGAGCTTAATTTGCACACCATGGCATGGTAAATATTGAATGGCTCAGATGAAATATTTTCAATGTGCCCTGGTGAAAGGACTAAAGTTATGAAAGTAACACCCACCAAGATTCATTTAAAGGAAAATGTGATACATTTTTGACCAACTCAAATGATTCAAAACCTGTTTTTGCACCACATCAAATTTTTCATCGGTGGCGATCTCAATCTCACAACTAAACATGGATGCTAACAGAGTATGGGAGTTAGTTTATTGGTCCAGGACAAATAAAGCTGAACTATTCTTGCGGTCATGAAAATGTTCAGGAAATCCAGATCTCATGTTTACAGGTTTACATTACGCTTTCATTATGATGTTTTAAACAATAAATTAAAATGACAATTGTTAATTGGACCATTAGAAGGTATGGGCACACTAGTTTTCACAAAGGCACACCTAAATTGTCTGGCTGGTGCAAATTGGCACCCTTCGAAAACATTGCATTTCAACCACTGACACCTTTTCATTGAATTACTTCTGTAACCATCATCAAAAATTACTTTTCTTGTAATGCATAGAGCATCTGCCATGTGTATGGAATTGTGCTATGTAAGTAAACATGTTGTTGTTGTTGTTGTTGTTCAGTTTACTTTGTAACAGGAGGCTGTCAAGCTGACGGACAACTCTCTAATGTATTCCAACCCTCAATAGGTTCTACTCACAGACATATACACAAGTGCTTTGGTATCATTGCCACCATTGTAGGAGACCACTTCTGGCGTTCCGTCATTGATGACAGTGTTGTAAGACTTGGGCCAGGTACCGGGTATCGTCACATCGTCCTGTGCAAGGTACCAGTAGGCATCAAATATCTTCCCGATGTCCGTCGCCAGACAGCTGCAGTTCTCTACCAGAACACCCATCTCTTTCACCTGTAACATAGGATTGAGTGAATGAGTAATTGAGAGGATTGAGGAATGAGGAATGGATTGAGGGAATGAATAAGTGGTGGAATGAGGGAGGGGATGACTGATAAAAGGAGCAGAGAATGAGTGATGATTCCATGAAGGAATGAGTGAATGGGTGGTGGACTGAGTGAGAGAAAGAGTGATAGGTTTAAGGAGGGAATAAAGATTGTGTGAGGGTATAAGTGATGGTTTGAGGGAGGAAGTGAGTGATCAATAGACTGACTGACTGACTGAGTTTGGTTTTACGCCGCTTTAAGCAATATTCCAGCAACATCACGGCGGGGGACACCAGAAATGGGCTTCACACATTGTACCCATGTGGGGATTCGAACTCGGGTCTTGGGCGTGACGAGCCAACGCTTTAACCATTAGGCTACCCCACCGCCCCTAGTGATCAATAGAGGGAGTGAGAGTTGTTTGAAGGAGTGAGTGATGGATTGAGGGAGAGTGAGTGAGTGATGGATTGAGTGAGTGATGGATTGAGGGAGAGAGTGAGTGATGGATTGAGGGAGTGAGTGATGGATTGAGGAGTGAGTGGATTGAGTGAGTGAGGGAGTGAGTGATGGATTGAGGGAGAGTGAGTGAGTGATGGATTGAGGGAGAGAGTGAGTGAGTGATGGATTGAGGATGGATTGAGGGAGTGATGGAGTGAGTGAGAGTGATGGATTGAGATTGAGGGAGAGTGAGTGATGGATTGAGGAGTGATGGATTGAGGGAGTGAGTGATGGATTGAGGAGGAGAGTGAGTGATGGATTGAGGGAGAGAGGAGTGATGGATTGAGAGTGAGATTGAGGGAGTGCGTGATGGATTGAGGGAGAGAGTGAGTGATGGATTGAGGGAGAGTGAGTGATGGATTGAGGGAGAGAGTGAGTGTTGGATTGAGGGAGTGAGAGTGATGGTTTGAGGAAGTGAGTGAGCGATGGATTGAGTGTGTGATGCATTGATTGAGTGAGTGGAGGATTGAGTGAGTGAGTGAGTGAGTGATGGATTGAGGGAGTGAGTGAGCAATGGATTGAGGTTAGGAATAAATGATGGACTAAGAGATGGAATGAGTGATGGATTAAGGGGGACTGGACCCCTCAGGGTCCAGCTGCCTAATGAAGTCACCCTACCAATTACACCCCCAGACCAATGGCTGTCACCAGATCTGAGACCAATGCACCCTGCTCAGGGTCATGTCTTAAGGCAGCCATGTGCCACCATATGTTAGGGCAGCAATTCAAGAACACTTATTGTAGATTAATTGGTAACATCTGCAAGTATGCTGATACTATAGCTAGTCCCGCCTACCTGTGTGAGTGACCTCCAGTCACAGTTGGCGCTGCCCACGTAATAACTCTTCCTGTCAATCAGCCACATCTTTGTGTGAAGGATTCCTGCCGACACCAGACGGGCCACGTTGAGGTTGCGCACCTCAGCATGTGCTGGCAAAACAACAATGTAAATCCGTAAACCCAGCCTTCAATTTCCTTCATTATAAAATCATTCTCTTATGAGTACAGGTAAAGTCACCTGTGGAAAACAGATGAGTTTGTTATTTTACAAATGGAACTGAATTATCTCGAGAAGTGAATTGGAACACTAAACAATGTAACAGGGGCCAATATTCATTTCAAATCTACGTTAACATGGCCTCTCCCTCTCCCCCCAAAATTACAAGGCTATCTCTATCCCCAATCTCTCCCTGTTTGCCTGTGTGAATGTGTTTCTTTAGGGCTGAAACTCCATCAACTAGACCAAAGAGGCAGTCTCCCTGTTTGTTAGCTGTTTAATGCCACACTCAGCAATATTCCAGCTATATCGTTATAATTGTAAATAATTGCGTGTAGACCAGACACTCCAGTGATTAACAGCATGAGCATTGATCTACACAACTAGAAATTGATGACATCTATCAACCAAATAAGCAAGCCTGACCACCCGATCCCGTTTGTTGCCCTTACGACAAGCATGGGTTGCTGAGGACAAACTCTAACCCAGATCTTCATGGCATGCCAGTCTCTCTGTATTACTATGGTAACAATGACAACAAGGCAGCTTGCTGTTTATAGAATATTGACTACAAGTCAGTCTCTGCTGAGTACTGACTGTTTGTTATAATATATACTCAACCACAAAAGTTAAGGACCACCCCAATTTTCAATATTAAAGTATTTAATAATTCATATTATGATCCATATTATACTTAAATACTGAATACTGGGGTGGTCCTTAACTTTTTTGGTTGAGTATATATGCATTACATTAACAAACAACGTTGGAGTTTGAATGCCTTGATTTAAACTTCCTAGGACTAACAAACTGGGTTTGTGTCAAGAGATCTCATATGGCTTTTAACGGCCATCCACACTATATATCATCAAAACAGCCAACTCACCATACTTCTTGAGATACTCAGAATCATGCTGAGGGTGGGAATAATCGGGAATATTCTGTACAATCCTTATCTTCACCTTTTTTTCCTTTCCAATTTTCATCAGTGTATTAAACAATAACTGACCCTGAAATAATGACAAAAACAACACTATTATCCAACTCTTCTATTGTAGATATAGACAGACAGAGGTTGAAAGCTTGAAGTAAGCAGACAGGATATCAATTGGACCCTCTGATCAATTCTTTATTATAAGCACCACTAGGTGGCTGAGATATAACTCCAAGCACTTCCCAGCATGCCCCAGTATCTCTCACCACTCTGCTGCTGTTGTCATGATCCGGCAAGTCGTTAGTTCGGAGTGTCCAATAGTAAGCTGCTATTTCAATGGTCTCATTAGCGCTAAGGATCAGCTTCATCAGCGCCTCGTCTGTGGGCATATGGATCGTCTCATTGGCTGCATATGTCAGGTTCTCCGGAATGCTCTCGACCAGCTGGAATCTTGGAATAGAAGAATACAACATTGAATATTATTGTTCTTTATACAGCGACCTCCATGCACATGTGTATTAGGCTGTTTGTACTAGTCAAGTGAGTGAGTGAGTGAGTTTAGTTTTACGCCGCACTCAGCAATATTCCAGCTATATGGCAGCGGTCTGTAAATAATCGAGTCTGGACCAGACAATCCAGTGATCAACAGCATGAGCATCGATCTGCGCAATTGGGAACTGATGACATGTGTCAACCAAGTCAGCGAGCCTGATCACCCGATCCCGTTAGTCGCCTTTTATGACAAGAATGGGTTGCTGAAGACCTATTCTACCCCGGATCTTCATGGGTCTTGTACTAGTCAAGAGTAAAGCTAATTTTTCATGGTAACCAACTGAGATACCATACATTGAAATGGATACCTAACCCAGTACACTCACTCCAGGCGGATCAGTTCTTGTTTTATTCCCTCCCCTTAATGAAGAGTGCAAGGCAAAGAAACAACAAGTACCATCTACTAATGTCTTTTGGCAAGTGAACCAATCACTTTCCTCTCCCTGGGAAGATGCTCTATCTGCTATACCACAGAGGCAGTAAGAGGACATTTACCCATTTCTTGTATTACCCGCCTTGATAATACAGGAATATTGCTGAAACAGGTGTTAAACAAAACTCACCAACTTTAGAAATCCTGATCAGTTTATACATCTTGGATGTATACCAACCAGAATGAGAACCTTACACTATACTGTTTATGTTATCCTACAGGAAAGAAGAGGGAACAGGTATAATGCTGCTTTGATATCAGTCAAATTATCCCGATCACGGCATGTCAGCTTATTGTGGGAGGAAAGCCCGAAGTAATGCAGGTGTCACACATTTGCAATCTCAGACATTTACTAAAAGAAATTTAAGTTCTCACCAGTGGTAAACAAGGATCTCAAAACATCTCATGGCATCTCTTATCTGACCAATCAGAGCATCTCTTACAAAATCAGGAAAGAAACAGTCAAAATGTGTGTTCAAACCATGCAGCCTCGAAAAAAGGAGAATATGGGGTTTTCTGACCAATAGTTGTGAGCTGTTTGTGAAAACTGTTTTCTGACTGGCTAATGTTGAGCTTCCTCTTTGTCTCTTCAACAGTCGATTAAAGTTCACAAAAGGTCATTCTGACAAGACCAGTCATGGAATTTCTTTTAGATCTTTGTTTAGGAGTAGCAACAATGAATATCTCATTTTAATGGGACTGCAGACATTAACTACTTTGGTCAAACCTACAAACTTGGTTATGGTACAGACAAACCAAGAATCATAATCAGCTTGAACCAGGATTCCAACCAACAATCACAAGTCTCTGGTATGCTTAATGGACATGGATAACGTGGAGTAAAAAAAGTACACTCTCTTTTCTACAGTTCCGGCAACCGAAAGCTTGCTCACCTGCACTGGTCATGGCATACATGGTTGACGTGATGTTCGAACCAGGTGTACGTGATGATGAGGCCAACTCCGACTGAGGCACAGAGCAGCAACGCCAAGATGAAAATAAGACAGACCTTGGCAAATCCACATTTGGAATCTTTGCTTGGGTATTCAGCGCTCCTTTTAGGATTGGAAGCAATTAGAGGTGCTGTTTCCTGCTGTACATTCATTGTACCTTTTCTTCGATTCCTGGCAATAATATGAAAATAGATGTAACTTTAATTTACAAATCACTTAAACATTCCCCGAACATAAAATGACACACTGAGGATGTCATAAATACATGATGCAATGTAGAAAGAGGTCAAATGTAACATGTTATATTTTTCTCAGTAAAGTACAGATTTTAATACTTTTCCAGGGGCCTTGAATTCCATCTGGGATTACCCGTGAAGGTCCAGGTTAGAATATTGGCCTTCAGTAACCCATGCTTGTCGTAAGAGGCGACTAACGGGATCATGTGGTCAGGCTCGCTGAATGGGTTGACACATGTCATCGGTTCCCAATTGCACAGATCAATGCTCATGCTGTTGATCACTGGATTGTCTGGTCCAGACTCGATTATTACCAGACTGCCTCCATATAGCTGGAATATTGCTGAGTGCAGCATAAAACTAAACTCACTCCAATTGGGATTAGAACCCACACTCTCACTCTCAGAGTCAGGCACCACATTAGCTGCACAGAAAATCAGCGATCTAACACAATCATATATAGTTTGTGCCCACCTCGGACAAGTTTAAAATGGCACTTCTCCCATAACTGAAAGCCAGAAAGGCTGAATGTCAAACTTTGTTTAAATTTGTGAGTAAACAAAATGTCCACAGATGTGTATGACTTGTCACGTGATCTTTACATATGTACGATTGCTTGACAGGAAAGAGGCACGGATAGTTAATTAGACCTGTGGTAAAGGCAAACTTTGAATGGATGTTACAATGTCAGTATGAACTAATCAAAGCAACAAATGAAGGTATGAATGGATGAATAAACTTCCAGGCTTACATAAAATATCAATGAGAATGTTACTTTTTTTTGTAAGAAAAAAATCAAACAGTAATGGAAGAAATATTAGCATGTTTGTCATGGAATATATCCAAGCTAGTTGGGATAACAGATACTGTTTATATATCTAATTTGACAGCAATATGGTCATCGGTCTTCATCGTGATAAATTAACAGTATCAACAACTTTCACTGCTTACAATGAGAGAGTGAGTATGGTTTTATTCTGCTTTTAGCAATATTCCAGCAATATCACAACGGGGGACACCAGAAATGGGCTTCACACAGTGTACCCATGTGGGGAATCGAACCCGGGTCTTCAGTGTGAGAGTGGACGCTTTAAAAATTAAGCTACCCCACCGCACCTCACTGAATATAATGTATATTTAATGTGCTGACGTTTAATATATTCAACACGCAAAATTTTTACTTTTTACCCACTATTCGTAATATGTATAACATTTACTTCATAGATTCATTGCAGCCCTAAACGATACCTCTGTCTAATCGCCATGACAGCTTTGTCTCTGTTGTCTACTTCAGGCAATGTCGGTTGTTAACAGTACCTCATGAAACAGTTGACCATGAGGACTTGGTGCTGTGTTGTTTCCTCATCACACATTAATGTCGTAACTCTCCACACAACACTCACTATGAAACCAGTCAGTATCGATAATGCTTGATTATATCGATGATGCTTGATTATAGATGATGCTTGATTATATCACACCAACACTATCAGCGTAACACAATGTCAACATTGATCCCGTACTGTACACACCACCGTTATAGTTCCATATCACACATTGTTTATCCTTTGGTGAAATTTGTCAACTGCAATCGGTATTTGACATAATATCATGACAATGATATTAACAAACGGAAATTGGCATTACGTGAAGACGCTTATCGTCCTGACGTGAATGCAGCTACGTCCAGCCCAATAATACTTACTCTAATACAATATGAAAAAAGAATCAGTCGTGACTATTATTAAACCTGATAAAGCTTACCGATAAGACTGCTGAAGTAGCTAGTGCAACAGGTGCACAAACAGGCCTGTCACGAGACACACTGTCATCAGCTAGCGGGGTTTGCCTACAAACGGTCAGCTGGGTCCCGTCTCTTCATGTTACATAGATTGCGCACGCTGACGACGCGCAAAGAGATCTAGGAACCAGCTTTCTGCCAAGGGAAGCCAGCCTGGTTCCCTGGGTCTGTTGCGCCTGCGCTACGCTCAGTGTCGGTGTGTGCGTGAGTCCGTAAGTGCGTGTGTTTGTGTGCAGGTGCAAACTGTATAGACAACTGTAATTTAGGAAAACCGTCAACGGTCGGATAAAAAAAATAGTTTCATTCCTTATATATAATAACAATCTACCAGATAGGTGTTAAATGGTAAAATTATAAATTTGATTCGAGATTGAGATAACTAATGTAAGCGAGTTAGAATAATTATATTACCATCTCTTCTTGTTTTGTTTATTATTACAGCAACCAGTCAAAGATCCGGGTTAGAATTGATCTTCAGCGACCCAGGCTTGGCGTAAGATGCCACTATAACGGGATGGGGTTAGTCGCTGACTTGGTTGACACATGTCGTCGGATCCGTATTCGATAAGGATCGATCGATATTCATTCTGTTGATCATTGGATTGTCTGGTTCATACTCGATTATTTAGAGACCGCAGCTAGAATATTGCTAAGTGAGGTGTTAAACAACAAACAAACAAAACTAGCTATACAGCGAACATAATTTACTCGACGGTTAGTTCCTCACACTTGGTGCAGGCAGAAGATCGTTGGTACTTATTGAAGTCGAGTGAGTTTGGTTTTACGCCGCTTTTAGCATGGCTCTTCATAATATACATACTTCCTAATTAATGCCACCTATACCCCAGATCTGTAATGATACCCTACCAAAGACGTTAACTGTTACTCTCTGACTGTACAACCCGTGAATGTCCGGGTTAGAATATTGATCTTCAGTAACCCATGCTTGTCGTAAGAGGCGACTAACGGGATCGGGTGGTCAGGCTGGCTGACTTGGTTGACACATGTCATCGGTTCCCACTTGCGCAGATCGATGCTCATGCTGCTGATCACTGAATTGTCTGACTCGATTATTTACAGACCGACGCCATATAGCTGGAATATTGCTGAGTGCGGCGTAAAGCTAAACTCACTCACTCACTCTGGCTGTACATACCTCGTGCCACACTAACTTCACATTAACCCATGAATCCTTTGTCTTTGAACCTGCATTAACATTTTGGGGGTTTTTGTTTTATATTGTATAACGCCGCACTCAGCAATTGTCCAGTCTGTAAAGAATCGTGTCTGGGTCGCACAATCCAGTGACTGACAGCAATGAGCTGCATCGATCTACACATGGGATACGACGACATGTATCAACAACCTGACCCAGTCACGTTAGTCACCTCTTATGACAACCATGAGGTGTGAAGGTCAATTCTAACCTAGGAAGTTCACGTGCATTAAACAAAACGAATTTAACACAACTTCTTTATTCCTATTATTTACCTTGGTGACATATAACTATTTCATGAAAAAGGTGTGTTGCGAGTGCGCACAGAAGGCTAACGAATGTAGCCCTTTGCCACGTCGACCTGGTAGAAATGGTATGAATTACAACTAGATATATATAGCGTTACTTATCGATTTCCAAGTTGAAATAACTATGTTGTTAACTAAAAATCCGAATTCGCTGTGAAACCAACCAACAACAAAGCTATAAAAGAACAATTGTTTTATAAATAAACTAGGTCTACAAATCAGTACAAATTTCAGCAAAGGAACTGCAATGGTTCTGTAACATAAGATATATTTATATAACTTCAATTAAATAAATATAAATATATGTACGAAGAACAGCTAAACGTGATACGGGACTGACTGAGTATATAAACTTCAAAAGCCAAAACAAAAGAACTATGTATTTTTTTAAACAACGTTCACTCTGGTAAATTTTCATTCCAAAATCTTTCACTGTCATTTTTCCTGAATCCCTCTTTCACTGTGTCATTTGTCCATGACCCAATAATCTCACCACCTCACACTATGATAAATGAATCGTGAATCGACATAAGGAGAATATCTAAAACATACAAAAAAGTAGGACATATTCCAGTAACTACTGGAACCTGTATATATTATCAAACTAAAGAACGGAATTTTAAGTTTGAACATAGTACAGTCGAGCACCGTTAATTGTCTTGATTTTCATGAGGTTATCTCCCAAAACTTAGACCCGCCATATCTTAGACAGCCATAGCTTAGACACTAAGGAAGGGGATTAATCAAGACAACACCCATGGCTGAAATGGAACAGACGTTGTTTAAAAAGATAACATAGTTCTTTTGTTTTGGCTTTTGGGGTATATATACTCAGTCAGTCCTGTATCACGTTTAGCTGTTCTTCGTACATATATTTATATTTATTTAATTGAAGTTTTATAAATATATCTTATGTTACACAACCACAATCGACATAAGGAGAATATCTAAAACATACAAAAAAGTAGGACATATTCCAGTTACTACTGAAACCTGTATGTATTATCAAACTAAAGAACGGAATTTTAAGTTTGAACATAGTACAGTCGAGCACCGTTGTCTTGATATTCATGAGGTTGTCTCAGAAATGTTGTTGTTTCAAGCTGTCTAAGATATGGCGGTCTAAGTTTTGAGAAGTTACCATTCATGATATATCGTAAACGTTGCCTACCTGAGCGAATATACAGCGAATTCCTTTATCAGTCACTGCTTTGTGACTCTCTTCCGTGTGTATTTATATCTTTTCTATACTCGCCGTGTATCTCTCATTTTTAGGAAGTAACAATAATTTGAAGCACATTATCAAAACTATCTCGACAGAATTGTATGAATCGGTTTGATTCATGCATTGATGATAAACATGTGTATGCGTGAAGTTTAGCATGGAGAATAATCAATATTGCTGTTTGCCGTTTGATAGTCTGTCATAGTGACCCCGAAACAAATATACGCAATACAGCCCATGCAAGTCTAGAATGTGGGGCAAGTCTATGCTACCACAGTGTCAGTTGTGAATATGAAGAAAGTCTCTGGGCTCCTTTGTATTGCATTTATTTTAATTTAAAAACTTTTTCTGTAAAATATGTTCATTTCATAGACTAGATGTTAGCATAGCCGTTTGAGTAATGTTACTGTTATTCGTGGTGACAGTTGTTTGTATATGCTGCACCTTTCTCTGCTATGTGTGATTTCACTGACGTGGAGATCTTCAGTAACCCATGCTTGTCGTAAGAGGCGACTAACGGGATCGGGTGGTCAGGCTCACTGACTTGGTTGACACATGTCATCGGTTCCCACTTGCGCAGATCGATGCTCATGCTGTTGATCACTGGATTGTCTGGTCCAGACTCGATTATTTACAGACCCTGATACTAATCTGTGTAACGTCTCAAGTCTGATAAGGTTTTTTGTTTTCTAATAAACACCGAACTCCGCGCAATATTCCAGTTACATGGCGGTAGTCTGTAAATAATCGAGTACTGACCAGACAATCCAGTGACTGACATCAGCAGCATCAATGTACGTAATTGGTCAACGGTGGCTTGAATCGGTGTCAGCAAGCCTCGCCATTCGATCCCGTTAGTGTCCTCTTTCATGAGTCCAGTGAAACACTGTTATAACACGGATCTTCACCAGTCAACAAGTTAGTAAGCTTATCATTAACTTTCTTTGGTCTGACCATAATAGTGGAACTAGCTCCCTTGCCTCGGAAAGATTAGTGAATTGTTTATGGTCCTAGCGTTAACCTGTACTTCAGAAACCGAACATCACGCCGAAGACCCGGGTTCGATTCCCCACATGGGTACAATGCGTGAAGCCCATTTCTGGTGTCCCCCGCCGTGATGTTGCTGGAATATTGCTAAAAGCGGCGTAAAACCAAACTCAGTCAGTCAGTCAGAAACCGAACAACACTTTCCTAACGTCACGCCGTTCTCTGGGCCCATGTTAAACTACGAAAAACACGATTGCGGTACAATACGTGGCACAAGGCAGTAATACATTGAATAATGCGACACATTAAGCCCGAACCATTGGGGGTGAGGTGATATGAAATGGGGTTGAGATTAACGTCGCACTTAAGAATATTTCGCTCATATAACGACGTGCATGCGTGTGTACATGTGTGGCTGCTTGTACTGGCCCAGACTTAAACTGGTTTTATAGTGCTAGCTCAGTGATATACCATGCCGCAGTTAAGCATGAACAGCATTGATACCCTACTGAGACACATTTTCCCGCCCGAGCCATATTTTAACGTCTTTTGGTATGACGCGGCCGGGGTTCGAACCTGCGACCTTCCACTACACCATGGAGACGTGCGACAATAGAGGACAATTATAAGAAGCGTGTGCCTTCCAATACATCACTGCGCCAGTAGATTTATTTGTTTATTTGTTGTTTAACGCCAGATCGTAAACATGTAACACTTCATATACATGCTTAGTTTGACCATTTTACATATTTGGGAATAGCATGATATGGGACAATATGATCAAGGAAACACTGTACTTGTGTACTATGAGGCTACCTGTACTGTACTGAACTGTACTACTGAGGTAAAATCAGTAAACATGTAACACTTCATATACATGCTTAGTTTGACCATTTTACATATTTGGGAATACAATGTAGCATGATATTTGACAATGCGATCAAAGAAACACTGTACTTGTGTACTATCAGGCTACCTGTGCTGTACTTTACTGAACTGTACTGAACTGTACTACTGAGGTAAAATCCGTAAACATGTAACACTTCATGTACATGCTTAGTTTGACCATTTTACATATTTGGGAATACAATGTAGCATGATATGGGACAATATGATCAAGGAAACACTGTACTTGTGTACTATGAGGCTACCTGTACTGTACTGTACTACTGAGGTAAAATCTGTAAACATGTAACACTTCATATACATGCTTAGTTTGACCATTTTACATATTTATGTACTATGAGACTACCTGTACTGTACTGTACTACTGAGATAAAGTCTGTAAACATGTAACACTTCATGTACATGCTTAGTTTGACCATTTTACATATTTGTGAACAGCATGATGTTAGAATGAGTGACAAAGGAAACACTGTACTTGTGTACAATGAAACTATTTGTACTGTACTGTGTACTACCGAGGTAAAATCTGTAAACATGTAACACTTCATATGCATGCTTAGTGTTTGACCGTTTTTTACATATTTGTGAACAGCAAGTTATTTGACAATGAGATAAAAGAAACACTGTACTTGCATACTAAGAAGCTACCTGTACTGTACTACTGAGGTAAAGTCTGTAAACATAATTCTGGGAATAAAAACATGAAACAAAAAATAAAAAATAACGCCAGACTCAGCAATATTCCATCTATATGGCTGTGGTCTGTAAATAATAGAGTCTGGACCAGACATTCCAGTGATCAACATCATGCGCATTGATCTACGCAGTTCGGATAAATATTTCGCCAATAATGTTACATTCTCCTATGTTTAAAAACACAGGGTAATAACCCCGCCATGTATTGGACTACAACTCAAAATGATAAGGGCAGCGAACAACACACAACCCTTAACAGATATAACATTTACCAAAATAACATACCGGTATATAGAGAATCTCACCCAAGTGTCTACTGATATCATTACATCAACACGAGTTGATAAAGTTACAAATATCCGAGGCTCGCCGAGGATATTTTTACCTTTATCAACGAGTGTTGATATAATTGATATCAGTAGACACGAGGGTGAGATTCTCTTTATCATCAAAAAACATTCTTCAATTCTTCAATCAGTTTTCAATGAAAAATGTACATGTCTCAACACTGTATTACCATTAGACTTGCAGTGCAGTGATGTCATAGCATACTCCCTTGTCAAAGTTGTCAAGGATAGTTTTACATTTTGCTTTTGAGACGGTCCCTGTCTTGTCTGATTTGTTTACAATATTGTAAACTTGTTGGTAAGACATACCAACAGCTCTACAAGTTCTGCATTAAACCATTTCTATACTAATGAAATGTTTACCTCTGTCTTTTTCAAGCACAAAAAACTTATAAACCTTTGCAACAATCGTCTGCAAATAGTTGGCCATAGTGGACGCTGTGATAAAGATGTGCATGCATGACGGGAAACTTATTTATCAAGACTTAACATTTATATTAATATTTCTTCAATAAAGAAATGATAATTAAGTAAAGTAACACAAACATTCAACATTTATTTGTTTAAGAAAAACGTTTATATATATTTTTTAACACCACCTGTATTATTAGCATAAATGTAAAGACAATTTCAGATTTCTGTTGTTGAACTCTGAAAAAATCTTAAGTTGTTTTGGTACCAAATTCTCCCCTGTAAACTGCCCTTTAAATGCATGGGAATGTTAAATCAATTGAAATAAAAATTAGGTACACTATAGGTGAGTTGATGTATTGACAACATAATACATTTATCACCTTTCTAAAGATATTAAGGCTAAAAGGCATTTTTCTAGCATTTCCGACAGTACTTTAGGACTGGTTTAATCAGCAGAACGCCCCGCACCCTTCCCACCACGACACAGCAAATCCCCGTTATTCGTGTTACACCTGTTAATCCGGACTAACGTCATTCACAGTCATATTAACGAATGCAAGTGGATACATAACATAGTTGTTGAAGTCTTGTACATTTAGTAGAAGGGACGCCAGTAGAAGTATACAACGGTAATTATCCAGACCTACTACATGAACGTCTGACGGTTTTATAATGATCATTATTTTCTATTTAAAATAATCTTTATTTCGTTTCCTCGTCACTATCTTCCGGTCACATTTAGTATCAACCGGAAACTACTGGATAGCGTCTTTGGTTTCTGTTTCGGTCTTGACATGCCCACAAGTTGGATAAAACGTGATATGCGGTAATGTTTTACCATGTCTTTCAATTCTGAATGAACAAATGTTTTTTGTCATATCCATAAAGTAGTTGTTACAGTCTAATAGGCATGCTGAATGCTTTTGTTTCAAGGAAGAGTACTTCATTTTCGAAGTCTCATTTTGAGTTGAAATCTCGCGCAGTGTACCTCAAAATCACAGTTATGTGCTTCGATATTTTTCTGGAAAAAGCACATAAGCTCCTGCATATGGGTATTGTAGTTATGTTTTCTAATTAAATTAGTTTCGGGAGATTATCATTCATTAGAATAAGTTCTTCATTACCCCAAAGGTTCAGCTTATCATCATAATCCCTCTTCCATGCTTATCCCAAGTTCGAATAAGTAGAATCATTAACACGCCCACATAAGTTGTAAATACACTTATGGGACCACTGGTGAAACTTATATGGACGTCTTTGTACCTGCCCCAACAATAGTAAAAGCTTAATCTGAAGTTTCACTCCAGCAATCTGTTTAAGTTGTGAAGGGCAATAGAGAAAGTTTGTTTCCAGAGGAATCAGAGCTCCAGATAAGATTTAGCTCATGTGGGTACTGTACCCACTGTATTTTTTTGGAGTGGGTATTACTAATGTTGAGTGGGTATTTCATTTTCCGTTACCCACTGCTTTCAAATATGTGCATATTTAAGTCATTTTACTCACCTACCGGTAAGTATTTTGTCATTGAGTAAGTTTACTAATGTATGTTCTGCTTTATGTCATATCTAATCAAAACCAACTTAAATATAATGGAAATGATTTCATAAGAAATCACTCATCCTATACAGACAGTACAATACTTGTGCTATACTAACTAGTGTTGGGAATTGCTTGAAATCTCACAATTGATGATTGGTTCAATACCAACGACCAATCATTGAAAAAATTGGTTAGCGTCATTTTTTAGATTTTCCTATTCAGGTTGTAGTTGCAGATAAGTATAAAGAAAAAACATTTGGTTCTCTGTTGTTTTTTTGTTTTATTTAGAAACTGCACAAATTACATTTGCAAATTTCACATCCATTGGAAAATGATTCAGTTCCAGTGTAACATAAACTTCCCAGATTCTTCAAGAAATATTCAGTTATGACTTTTCAGAAAGTGAAGTGAGTTTTCTAAGAATTAAACACGTTTTCCGGCCCTGACAATGTCCTAGATATGTTCCATCATCAAGCATTTCAAACTCGATTACGATTCCAAAATCGTTTGTGTTCGATTATGAGAACATGTGATCGATTGCTTGGTCGTTTGGTCACTGCGACCAATCTTCGATTATTTCAATTAATCGGAACACCACTAAAACTAACAGTACAACTTGATAGCAATCGATGTCTTTTTCATTACACAAGCGATTTTTATAAATATATTCCGTACGCATTTGTTTTAAACTTTTTGCGTATCTAACATTTTAAATGCGTAATTGGTATGCAACAATTATTTTTCAATGCGTAATTGGAAATTTTAAATGCGTATTTTACCCGGATACACAGCTTATCTGGGCCTCTGGGAATGTTTTGTTTACGTAGTATTTTTAATATGTGTAATGTGTTGTTGCAAGACTAAACTTTAACTACTATAACAGTTTTATTAATTTCCTTAAAATTAACATGATTAACAAATAACATTCATTGCTTCTGACTTGCTTAAATACCCATGATGATCAGGATTAGAATTGATCTTCAGCAATCCAAGCTAATGGGATCGAGTTGTCATCATATCGTAATTGTTTAGATCTTTGACTGCTGTCATACAGCTGGAATATTGCTCAGTAACCAATGTTTATCATAAGAGGCAAGTAACAGGATCAGGTGGTCAGACTCGCTGACTTGGTTGACACATTCCATTGTATTCCAATTGCTTAGATCAATGCGCATGCTGTTGATCACTGGATAGTCTGGTCCAGACTCGATTATTTACAAAGTACAGTCGGCCACCATATAGCTGGAATATTGCTGAGTGTGGTGTAAAAGTAAACTCACTCACTCACTGGAATATTGGTGAGTGCAGCATTAAACAACAGACAACAAACAAAAGACATGGTCAAACACCTGAAGTATTTATAACATGCAACTTTGTTTTGTTAATTGTTTAATAGCAAGATGAATAATGTAATTATTTTTATATTATATGTTGTTTTCGCTTTCAGTAGTATCAGTGTGGATGTAAGAGCAACAAGAGACGGCTAGGACAATGTCTGAAGATACAGCTGAAGGTGAGGGGCAGCTGTTTGGAGAGAGCTCAGTTGATTCCATGCCTGCCACAGAGTCTGTGGGAGGCTCATATGAAGAGGGAAAACAGATTCAAGGGTCTGTGTCAGAAAACAGGAAGGAGACTACTGTTGGAGAAGACTTTCAAACCGATAGTGTGCAAGGTGATGACGTTGAGTTCCTTAGTCAGAGAGAAACTTCCGAGGGGGTTTCTGATGATGTTGGAAGAGATGAAACTGTGGATGGAGTTCAGTGTGATAGCAGTGATGTGAGAAGCACCATCACAAAGGATGATGCTAATCATGATCAGCTTGATGATGATTTAAGTCAGTCGGTGACGAGCAAGGGAGCTGAGGCGCTGCCGGTTGGGACAGAAAGTGGGGAATGTATGGAAGGAAGTGCAGTGGATCCACCACCACCTGAGGCTGATAAAGATGAAGCTGCTACTTCAGATGCTCATACACAGAAGGAAGGAAAGAAGAAGAAAAAAGATAAACAAGCAGTCATTGACAATGGTATGTTTGTTGCTTTATCAAATTGATGTTATTGTCTACCTTAATCTTGTTTATTTGTGAATTTTTTTGTCACTATAACTATGGTAACAAGGTACTAAAAACATGATCATGATGATGACACTGTTCATGGTTGTCATGTATTTTGTGAATCTGTGAAGAAAATGTTTAGTTTATGTTCCTGATAATATGTAAATCATTTTGTCCAAATCTGAACATCTAATTGATATATTTTTACAATTTCCTTAATCACTGCTCATGTTATTTGAAACCAAGTACAATTATCAGTAACTAATATTGTTTTTTTATGCACTTCTCATGCTTCTTGAGACATTTCTCTGTGATCCGTCCTCAGATGGTCACCTGTCTCACATGTTAGGCCCCCCCCCAAAAAAAAATGTTGTGGTTCCGATTACCCAACCGGCCCTTGAATTCTGGTGCAGACCCTATCTTTTTTAGGCGTTATGAATAAAATAAGCTTACAGATACCATTGTTTTTCCCGTCACCAACGGACATCGGTCACTCTGATAGAGAAAGTCAACATGATGGCTGCAAGCTTGATTGAATGAACAATTGCACATTGACAAATGTGTTATTAGTTTGTACTTTACTTCTATAAAAATGTAATTCAAAAAAATCCTACCTACCTACCCTAAATTACAAAGAGGTGTAATCGGAACCACAACATTTTTTTATTTGGCCTTATGCCCTTTACTGATCAGATGTTCTGCATATTTATCATGTTAAGGATCCTGGGACAGTCCAACATTTTCTACACTGCCGAGTCAATGTTTACTTTTGTTCCTATTAGTATTACAAATGTCTTGGTTTCATATCACAGATGAGGAAGTAAATGTTGGCGATTTATCCCAACTGACAGAAGATTCTCGCAACATTCTGTTTGGCCGTGCCCTAGTGTACGAACGTGACAGCAAGAAGAACTGTGCCCTAAAGTGTTACCTGGCCTGCCTGTCCCACCTCACACCTGAGTCCAACTTCGTTCTCCTGCCTCAGTGTCTCAGAAATGTCAGTATACTTCAGTTGCTACATGTTTTCATTTTGCAGTCGTCATCTCTAAATGTTGTGCAGGGATAGTGTCTTTTGATGAATCAGCACATTAAAAAACTGTACCTTTCACTATTTTGAGCCTGTGAAATATATTGTTCATGTTACTTGTTAGCATGTATACCACAATAGAATTTTACTTCCAGAATTAAAATAGCAATTACATGTACACTAAGTATGTTAAGCAATAAACATGATTAAGAGTACTGGTATGTTTTTACCATCATTAATAACTGTTAGTTAATCGACTACTGCATCATCATATGTTGTTATGTTTACTATACATTTACATACCAAATATGTTTTGATATTGTATCTGCTCAAATGTGGTATTTTTGTTCTTCAGTATAGGGTAGCTATATGCTTACCATTTTCAACTCCCTGAGGAGTATGTAACCAAAACTGCCTGTGGGCGCTGCATTCCCTGTTGGGTGAACAGAGGTATATTTGAACTAAGTCACTTGTGCAATGTGTAAAAACATTTGGCACATGTGTATGGTCATGTGTGTTAATATGACCCTGTGGGCATCCAAAGACATGTATTCACAAGTCCTTGTGTTATGGAAATCCAAATTAGAACATTTCAAGATGTATGCTTAATGAATTACGTATTATTATTAAAATTATTATTGATTTTTGGGTGGATATATAACAATTTTTATGTCTCTTACAGATTGCTGATCTTTACTACAGAAAAGAAGAATGTATCCTTCTGACTAATCTCTATACTATATACTACTTTATACTATATAAATGTATGTGGAGTGTCTAGAATGTTTGAACTTGACATGTACTTAATGTGTGTGGCTTGCTTCCACACCAAATTTGATCAAGTAACTATTCTTGGTAACCATGGCAACTTCATGAGTATAGATCTGGTTATCAACCTTTGCTAACTGACCAAACATATATCCTTAACTACTACACAAGATGAAAAAGCAATTTTGTTTATCCAAGCAGAGAAGCTCTTCTATGAAAATGCCTTGGTTGATACAAATGAAATACAACAAAAAATAGGTGAGTCATGTTTGTATGGTCATTATCATTACTAGGATGTTTCAGTCATGCATGTATTAGATGTTATCTTGCCTCACACATAAGTTATCTTGCCTCACACATACATGTTGTTTTCTGATTGGCTGAGCGCTCTTCTATTATTTTCAATGTACCCAGCTTACAAGCGGGTAACATTTTCTATGTAGTCCGCTGGGAATGCCGAACTCATTTGGTACTTAGTAGTAGTAATTCTTTGTCTTGAATAACAATGAATCATGTATGATTTACGGAAATTACCTATGTTTTGCGAATGCAGATTGATGGAAGGAAGATAACTCTAAATTTGTTTTTTCTTGTTGTCTTGTCTGGTACTCCATACAATGATCCAATACCCATGCTTCAAACAGTTCAAAATTACCATTGAGATGTTTGGCAAGATAAATATGTTGTTCACTGGTCCCTCGGGGCCATGGGTTCATGTACCCTCGATGTTAGGGAACATAAACAAACATCGTGGGTACATCAGCCCTTGTCCCCCTCGAGACCAGCGAACAACTTATAATATAGGTATGATATCATGAGAAGACATCAATAAATATGTTATAGTATCATAATGGTTTTTGACCACTGGGTCATTAGGTTTGCGAGGGATATATATTGGATTAAAAACGAGTGAGTATGGTTTCACAGCATTTTCAGCAATATTCCAGCAATATTATGGCAGGGGACACCATAAATGGGCTTCACACATTGTACCCATGTGGGGAATCAAACCCGGGTCTTCAGCGTGACAAGCGAACACTTTAACCACTAGGCTACCCCACCGCCCCATATTGGATAAAAAAATAAATGCCCTGTGCACAAATTGGAAAGAAATGTTGTTTTGTTCAATACTGCGATTTTGTAAGTACAAGTCATAACATTTGTTGTGACCTTATCAGCATGAATAGGGAAATGTTAAATTCATATTTGGGAATTTTGACAGACATTTTCCCAGAGATTTGAGGTCAAATATCAGTCCCTGAGCGGGTCTATGATATGAGTGAGTGAGTATGGTTTTACGTTGCTTTTAGCAATATTCTAGCAATATCACAGCAGGGGACACCAGAAATGTGGGGAATCAAACTCGGGTCTTCAGCATGACAGTCAGACGCTTTACCCACTAGGTTACCCCACTGCCCTATCTATGATATGAGGGTGAATTGAGACAATAATACCTTTGTGACAAAACTTACTTTGTTTCTAACACTTTACACGCTTACTAACATGAATGTATGTGCTGGAACCTGTTTCCATGTTCATCAAAACTTAAAGAGCTGACCAGCATTTCATCATTGTCCACAGAGTCACTGCGTCAAGGGGCAGGCACCTCGGATTCATCCAGGTCTAATGAGGATGCTAAGATAGCCGCTGACTCACTTCGAGCAGATGAATATGAACATCTGGCCAAACTCGTGCGTTGATAAGGGACAGTGAGTATAGTGTAGTATATAAGCATGTCATGATACATAGGTTTCATGAATCGATACGTATTACGATACCCATGTCACGTTTCGATACGTATCACGTTACCTATTTTCGTGGCATTATTGCGTAAATTTAGTTACATTTGTAACATTAATATTTGATATTTTATAACTGTCCATGAAAAGATCAACATTTTTAATTCTCAGAGATTAAAAAGTTCTAATTTCCCATCTTTGTGCATGAAAATATTCATTTGTAACTCCCATAACATCAAAAAACATGATACAATTGCAAAATGTAAACAATACATAAACATATTTAAACTGATACTTTCAAAACTAAATATCGATACAGTTTGAATGTATTGATAATTGTATCATCTTAGAAAAAGTATTGATGTATCAATGTATCGTGGCATCCCTAGTAGTATACATGGTATAGAGACACACACACACACACACACACACACACACACACACACACACACACACACACACACTCTCTCCCTGTTATAACCTGCTCCTGGTTGTTCTAATTGAACTGGAAATGTCATCTGTCTTCATGATCTCGTAAACTCTGTGATCTAACTTAAGAAACAGCAATTGGATTTTTATAACCTTTATTGTTTGTTTGGAGAGGACAGAAGGAGAATGTGTAAGTGGTGGCAGTGCTGTATTGAAATTTCACTGTACAGAGTTGCTTCCCTTTTATAGCCATAGCTCAAGCTCCTTACAGTGATTACCAACTTTAGCAGAAACCTCTATACTACTGCTACCACCAGGCACAACTCCCCGCTATGTTAGATGGTCTATAGCCTTGGTTGAACTGAACTTTCAACCAACTGATTGGTGTTTTTTCAAACAAGTGTTGACTGTCATTTTGATGTTGAATACTCTACTCCGAGCTAAGTAGTTTTTTGTCAAATCACAGGAATGCAAGAGTAGTTGTGTTTGTCCAATTGTCCACAATTGCAGTTACTCATTCACTTAACATAAATAGAAAGATGGTGAAGAGTAACATTGATGGTGAAGAGTAGGGCTGGGACGGATACTCAGGTACTCGAATCCGGGTCGGGTACAGCTGGAATCGAGTCCTATTTCAAGGAATCGAGTACCCGGAAAGGGAGAGAACTCTGTAATGTCAAGGGCATGTGACTCTAACCTAGAGCAAAAGTGCTAAGTTGAGTGTTTGGGCTCATTTTGAGCTTGATGCAAATGGCAGAACCAATTGGCGACTGTGTGTACCATGCTATTTATTGCAGGAACAGTACAAGTTTAATGCACAAACATCTTGCTCTAAAACACAACGTAAAACACGAAGGTGTTCATTACATTGTGTAACTCTAATTGCTTATTAAGTTAGTTCATAAAAAGCTGTTAAGACTACATTGAATTTTGTCTTTAGTTTATATTTCATTTCAATTTCATGAGACACATAGTTTACTTCTGCGTCAAAGCTGAATACATTCACCATAAAAGAGATTGTAATTAAATGATTGTATGTGTTAGGATTATCAATTAAAACTAATAAATTAACATAATAAAACGAACGTTTATTGAAAGAGCACATTCTGATTTGCAAATTCAATGTTCGGCTGATTATCCTGACAATAAGAAGAAAGATAATCAGAAATATATAGAAGCACAACTTCCAATGAAGAACTCAATGTTCACTTATATACAAATTAAGAATATTTAAATAACAATAGTTTTGTGCTGTTTTTGTTTATCTAAACGTAAAAATATAGCATTTAGATGCATTTCTTTGTCGCTACATTCAAACAAAAGTATTTTAATGCGACTTTTAATAATCTTCTGGAAGGATAAAAATTTAATTACGGTTAATGAGTTATTCACGGCCCTGTATTTGTCTGTACTCTGTAATGTATAATAGACACACTGTAATGCAACTGACTTGAGCAACAGAGCAAAATGACCAGTCTTCTGTCATGCGAGCAAAGCATTTTGCTGTGTTGTTTAACTCAGTTGCATTACAGATTGCCGATCTGTATATCTCGTATAGAATTCTCCAGTCAGTAAATACATCAATCACATTTCATTCTATGTAAGTTTACATAAAGTCCCCATGTAAAACATTACAGGTTCAGTTAGAATATCACATCTGAATGTAGTTCAACAACAGAATAAATTGCCTTTTTTCATTGACGTAACACACATTTAATTACATCTTTGGTATTGTCCGGTTAATGGAGGTTATTATTAACGACTAATTTATCTGCACATGGGCAATGAGTTGTCAAGTCATAGTGGAATGTAAGTTAGTAATGGTTTTGCTCTTTATATCAGTTAAACAGACGTAAATTAAATAGTTTAAGATCAGTTTCAATGTTTTATTGCCATCCTTTCATGTTTTCTATAAAAAATCTCTGTCAAATCGTGATTGAATATTCAGAAAGTTGACAGAAGAGCTTTATTCTTGACCTTTCCGGGTACTCGATTTCGATTCGGGTAAGAACATGCGGGTACTCGATTCCATTTTTTCCTACCCGTCCCAGCCCTAGTGAAGAGTAATAGAATTGGATCATGCATTCAGAGCTTTCTTCAACTGACTTGTTGAAAACAACAGTTTTCCTGTTCATAGCAACAACTTGCATGTTGAAAACAACAAGTTGCATGTTTCAAGTGGATATTAACAAGTTTAGAAATGGAAATCCGAAAGTACAGAGTACAATAGACTTGTCATGAATAGCTATGAGCATTCAGTTTTCCAGGTTTATGTGTGAAACATCAAGTAAGTTAATAATAGGGCTACGCAATATGACCGCTTTACCGGTATTTACCGGTTCACACATGAAAACGATACGAATTGCGATATGCTGATCGAAAACTGGTATTTTGACATGCATTCTGAAAACTTCGTAAAACTCGGAAATCTTGATGATTGTGGAAATTGTGGTAAGGGTGGTGGGAATGATCGTGGTGAAAATTACATTAACTGGATTGTTAAGTTCTTTTCCTTGTTTCATTTGTGCCAAATATTATTTACATTTGTACTTTGTCATCATTAAAAGTTTTTATTAAGGTTAATCAAGCATAGTGATTTTGTTGTGGTTTTGCTTTATAAATCAGGCATTAACTCAATTAGAAGTAGTTTTTTGTTTAAAAAAACATCTTGCAATATATTGCAATACATATTGCAATATATGCTTTTGCATCGCAATATATCGCAATATGAAAATTGTCTGCAATACCCACCCCTAGTTAATAATAAGGCATACAACTTTAAGGATAACAGCTTCTTGTTTGACATCGATGTCACGTTGTATGCTTTATTATTTACTGACCAACTTCTAGAATACAGATCAAACAATCAAGTAAGTTCAGAGGGAGTTACACGTTATTGAGTGAATGAAACAACTTCTATAGTAAAACAGTCTGTGACTATTTTTCTTCTGCTGCAGTTCATAAGAATATGACTTATGTATATAAGTTGTTTTGTCTTCATATATTTTCAGGCCCCAACTGGCCCTTGAGTATGCTGGAAAGGTGAGTAGGAGCGAACAAGCAAATGCACTCACGTATGCATGTGATAAGAAGGGCTTGTACAGCTAAACATTCCAGTGTTGCTTGATAGCATTAATACTTCAGTGATTTATCTAGACCTCCTCAAAGGCCAATATTCGACCCCAAATCTGTGATGGCTGTAACAACATAATGTCAATATTCAACTGATGTTATTGCTTTCTATAAGTGACATGTATTCCATTTTTAAAATAGTCATGGTAATGGTACATTCCTTTTTCTGAATGACAACATGTTTTACTACTACTTTTGAACATTCCTTTTTCTAAGGCCACAAAGCTGAGGCAGAAGATCTATGGAAATGACAATCCCATCACCAAGGAGAGCCTGGACTTCTTTGCCACATTATATGCTGAGGTCGGCAAGCAGCAGTACTCAGGTCAGTGGTATTATGATGTGGTAGAGATGCTCATCAGCTGGCATGGGTACCAATCGGGATGCTGGTTTACATTTGCCCCCCAGAAATCTGTACTGATCATAAAAGTTGACTTAATTGATCTGGTGGTCAGGCTTGATGACTTGGTTGACTGTGTGTCATGTTACCCTGATGGCATGGATTGATGCTCACAATATCGATCACTGGATTATTTTTAGGCCCCTACCATTAAGCAGTAATATTGCTGAGTGTTTAGTTAAACAGCAAACTAAGAAAGATAGTATGGCAAAACAACTTCCTGTTAGAATGATTCAGGACCAGTTAATGTAAATCGAAAATATGGAATATTTACCATATACAGAAGAAGAGGACATTATGAGCATTGTTTGAAATTACTGAGGGTTTTGTGGTCCATGAAGTTTTTCTATTAAAGTATCTAGGAACTACCTAAATCTTTAACTTAAATGGTTAGGCATAGAACACCTTGACTTTTTGTTTAATTTATAGCACACCTGTTTCACAGTTGTTTGCAAAAATGAGATTTATAGTCTTTTGTATGAGACTGTACATGTACAGTGTTTGGTAAACTTATCCAGACTCCATAACACAACTGAATGATGGTGATGGAAGTGATGGGGCTTCTGTAAGTCCAGCTGTCACCCCATCAATGGAGCGCTCTCCATCCTCGATACTACGCCAGAGGAGGGCAGGAGATGGTAAGCAAATCGGATGCACATTAATTCATTCAAACACCATTGAAAGAGAATTTCTGGAAAAATATACAGATAAAATACAGTAATAGATGTCAGTTCTTTTTTCCATTATTGTTGTACACCAAGTTTCCAATTGTTTGCTTAAATTATACATATGTTGAAAAATAGATAGGAATTAAAGTTGGGTGGGTGTTATTGTTAAACAGTGCATTGTATAATCCTAGAAAGTTTCACACATTTAAGAGAGAGACACTTGGTTGTCTTCTTTCAGACAAAGAGAAAAAGCAGGTTCGGTTTCAGGAGCCTGAGGGAGGGTCATCTAGCCCAGGGTCAGACAGCACCAGGGAGCAAGGTATGTAGCATTAACAGACTCAATCTAAACATATACACGTTCACAATAGGAGGTTGATGCAGTGTCCACAGCACTGAGGGCATTCCCCTGTGGGTTGCCAGGTAGCAGGGCGGTAGGGTAGCCTAGTGGTTAAAGCATTCGCCTTCATGCTGAAGACCTGGGTTCGATTCCCTACATGGGTGCAATGTGTGAAGCCCATTTATGGCGTGCCCTGTTGTGATATTGGTGGAATATTGCTAAAAGCGGCATAAAACTAAAACTCACTCACGCCAGGTTAGCAAAGGTCCTTAACAACTGATGACCAAATGGTTCAGATGGGGAGGTGCGCTCACTTGGTTGATTGGCTGTTAGTACACAGATTGCATGGATTGTTACAGAATTGTTGTTCACAATATCGATCACCGGATTGTCTGGCTCAGAATTAAATATTTACTGGCTGGAATCGCATTAGCTATTGCATAACACAAATGGGAAAATACGGAAAAGTCAGCTGACTTCATGTTTGAGCTAACAAGGATGCTGAATTTGGCTACGTCATATACTGCCAAGGTGTACAACAGTATCCTCTATAACAGCAGCAATTGGAGAATTGCGAAATGATGTCAGTCCAGACAGTGTAGACTTGGTCCAAATGATGCACACACCATACAATAGTTTTCATATCACATGTGAAATAAATGTGCTACTTCCAACACCAAAAATCTGAATATGAGTTTGATGTTTTAGTTATACATGAGCATTCGCTTGTCACGCCAAAGGCTGAGTTCGATTCCCCCCATGGGTACAATGTGTAAAGCCCATTTCTGGTGTCCCTTACTGTGATATTACTGGAACATTGTTAAAAGCGGCGTAAAACCAAACTCACTCACTCACTTTCATTATACATGACTCAAACTGACAATTGGTAGCTAACAAGCTTCATGTTGATTCTGTTTGACAGAAGAGTTCATCTCCCATACTCTGCTGTGGGTGCTGTTTGCCATCTGCTTCCTGTTGCTGTGCATCCTGGGACTGTGGCTCCTGTGTTCCATGTCGGACAGCTTGGCCTGTCAGTGGGTGAAGGGAGAGCTGCACTATTTTTACATGCGTGTCAAGTACTACTACTACCAGTATGCCTCAACCAAGAAGGTCAAATACGCTTGACTTCATCATGTTGGGATGATTAGCGATGAGTGGTGAATCAAAATATTTTCAGGTCGGGATACTTCTCACAATTTCTGAACTATCTGAATGGACATATAACATGTCCGAAATGGCTCCTGATCATAATTTTACAACTAATACAACTTGATTAGATGCTATTTTAATAAAACGTGATCGGTGACAATTGTATTGATGACAAAGATGTTTTGCATTTGGTTAGCAGGCCGGCATATATTTCCTCGTGTTCAGTTGGTTGTCAGATTATTAGCAGCAAGTGTTTTTGTCACGTATCGTATATATATAAATATTATATTGGAAATATTTATTGTATTCTGCAAACTTTAGTAAGCTGAATACAAAATTTTGATATTCCTAATATATGATACATATATGATACAGAAACGTGTGTTTGACATTAACATTATATTACACTATTTGTGATTTACCCATACAGTCCCATATCTGTCATTTTTTATTTGTGTCAGGTATATACCTGTATGTCAAGTCATCCATGCTTTGTTTCTGGAAAGCAACTCATTTTGTTGAGCATATCTTATATTTCCTGAAACAAATATTTATTTTATCTTTGTCATAAGCATCCAAAGATATGAGTGTTTAATTAATTTATATCTTGCTGAAAATGTATGTCTGACCATTTAAAATGTGTTCTGTTTAGTCAGTCACAATGTTTTGTAAGCAATAAGTTGCTTCTATTCAGCAGAACAGATCTTACATTTCCTTGTATTATGTTGTAAGGTTGACCTTTGACAAGAAATAGACAAGTTGCAGGTAGTCATTCATTTTGTTTCGCTTGTATGCTAGTGGATGAAATCTTTAAGGACAAACACTGTATACTTGATTTCTTTATAACTGTTACCATGGTTACATATCCCTTTACAATCTGTATGGCAGTAGGGTAGCCTAGTGGTTAAAGTGTTTGCTTGTTGCGCTGAAGACCCAGGTTTCATTCCCCACATGGGTACAACGGGTGAAGCCCATTTCTCGCGTCCCCGCCATGATGTTGCTGGAATATTGCAAAAAGCGACGCAAAGTCATACTCAATTACTGACTACAATCTGTAAAAAGTAACCAGGAGAAGGCTGTGAAAGTCTGAATGGTCATATCAAAGGTCTGTCCAAAACATCTATAGGCTGGTGATCTGCAATCATGATTTAATTTGATGTACTATTGTATCAGGGTATTAGTGTGGCATATACTTAATAAAAGTTTTAAAAAGAGCCCCTATAAACTTGGTAAAGAAGGGGCTTCCTTTTATGTTTGGAGCAATTTGCCCTTTGCAGTTGAAACTTCTATTGCAATACTGCTGCAGTAGTTTCATCAGTTGTAGGTTTACTTGCATCTTTGCATAAGGTCTTTGTGATTTGACTGAATGTGCTTGTTGCGTTACATAGAGTATCTTGACATGGATCAAGATATGTATTATAGTGTCACCTTGCTGAGTCTTAGGGACAATGAGGATTGCTGCAGGATGTAAACCCAGTGACATCTAACATTTAACATGGGGAGCCCTTCAATATCATGAGCCCTTTAACCTTGAACACACTTCTTGTCAGCCAGTAAATGGGCACTAGAGACGGACCATGGTGTCAGGGTGGGTAAGATCTCTGACTTTGTGTACTTGCTAAAAGCTGCCTTCAAAAAGCTGCTGTGGGTTCGAATCCTGGATGGCACAGAACCCGCAAAAAGTATTAGAATCTGTACCTTACTGGTAGAGCGTAATCTGAAACGTTACATTTTACCACATTCTAAATGGCAGTGTGTATTCAAATGGTCTTTTGTCAGTTTGCTTATTCTGTCATAGTGATGACTGAAGAAAGTGGGTCAAAGAATATTTATCATTCCTCTACCAAGATTAAAATTGTCACCTGCAATCGTTTCCTTTGAATTCTTCCAACAGTGTTCCATAAAAGCATCATTGATAGTTAACAGTCACAGACATGGGCTGTTATTCACTGAATTTCACCAAGCTATTTTACAAGTCAGATGAAGCAGTTTCTAAGCTTTTGTTTCTTTTGGATTGACTCAGTCTCTATTTGGGGCATTGGGAATAGCCTAGTGGTTAAAGCGTTCCCTCGTCACGCTGAAGTCCCTGGTTCGATTTCCCACATGGGTACAATGTGTGAAGCCCATTTCTGGTGTTCCCTGCTGTGATATTGCTGGAATATTGCTAAAAGCAGCTTAAAACTAAACTCACTCCAGTCTTTATTAATGCATGGTTATGAAATCCATGTCTTTATTCAAACATTCCTACTAAACTAATTTATGTTTTAAAATGTTAATATTAATTAACGCCCTTTGTGATAATACCAACAGTATTTGATAATGAAATATTTTTATATGCTTGTAATTTTTATCATGTTATGATGTTTATCTAACTCTGTCTATGAGAAAACATGCAGTTACCCCATTGTTATCTAATGTTGTTTTACATGCTATCTTATGTATTGTTATCTATGTCCTGTTCTTTGGAACTTGTTACCATGGTTACATATTTACATACCACAGTTTATTGACTTTTTGTGGAGCAAAAGGTTTTCTCTTACCCAGAAATCATAAAATTATTTTGTAAGGCCAGAACAACATATGTTATATTTGTGATTACACTTTCTTAGTAAAGTACAAATTCTAGTACTTTTTGAGTTGGATTCGAACCCACACCCTCCGAGTCAGGATTCTTATCGCCAGCACACAAAGTCAGCTGCCTAACCCGCTCAGCTACCGCGACTTCCACAAAAATGGAAGTCGGACAACTGGTAGTCTAGACTGGATTTTGTGTACCCCTTCTGGGGCTCAACTAAAAAAAAGTACTATAATTTGTACTTTACTAAGAAAGTGTAATCCCAAATATAACATATGTTACATTTGACCACTTTCTAAATGGCATTGTGTAATCATGTCCAAAATATTCAAACAGAAGGATGTTTAAGAAGTTAGTGATATTTTCAGTCAAATATGCAATGTTTACGGTTTACAAAGACATGTTTTTGGGTTGTTTTTTTCTCATATATGTAGACATACTACAGTCCATTACATTTAAATGCATAAATATTGTAGTGGTCAGCTGCATGCTAAAATCAAAATTAAAAACAAAGAGCAGAAGTAAACATAGAAATCCAATTAAATTTGATATTATTTTGGAATATGAAAAGAAAATCAAGATATCAAGATAATCAAATTGATCTTGCCTGCCAAATGAACCTTTGAAATGTGTTATGTATATATCTAACACTTAAATTAATCACTTTTATGAGAATGAAATCCCTATATCAATTACTGAATGATTAGAATCTGTTTACTTTTGAAGTGCAACACTGACACATTTATGTAATATATTAAGTGAATGCTGACTTTGCAGCTATCTTTACTTAAAATACAGCTGTGATGTCAATGTTGTTTGCACTGCAGGTTATAGACTATCTGTAGTATATTGGCAATGTATTAATGGACTTTGCAAAGCATTTTTTAGTTCATACGTTAATTCTAAGCACATGCATTATGGATGTACTGGCTTCAACAGTCCAGACTGACAAAATGCGTATGCAGTCCAAAGTTGCAGGCTACTTCAAATGCAGCACAAAGATTCATATGTATGTTTGTGTTGTAATTATGTTCATTTATATATTGATTTATTTTAACTTTCCGGCTGTATTTTCAATATGATTCATGCACTATTCTGTTTTTCTGATGCTTTTTCAAAGTTCGGAACGTATGTGTATCTGGACAGTCATTACAAATGATACTCGCCAGTCAAGCTCCCTCATCTGTTATTTATAACAAATGCCCAGGTACTGTGAAAACAAAGTGCTATCCTTAACAGAGTTGTGACGCCCAAAGAACCCTCGTAGAAAAATGTAAGTTCCGACCACCACTGTATCTAAAGTTGGCCCCAGTGATCAGATGGAAGAACAGTTGTGCAGTTGAATTATATAGTTTCTTTTATGTCTGTATCAGTATTTATCAAATCTTGTCCTTAAAGATGATGCTTACGTGGAAGTGGTTTTGCAGTAAGGCTGTTCTTTCATTAAAACACTTTGTTTTCACAGGTTTTTATCTTTAGTTACTATTTTAACAATTATATTGATGAGAATGCTATCATTTGACAGAATATACATGTATGTGATTTTCCAAAAGGTACACAAATTTCTTTGATTTGTGAGATGTTTAGCTGGAGGTGTTTTGTCATAGGTGCCCCACTCTTTATATTTATAAGTATAATAGATACCATCTATGTAAGATATCTATATATGATATTTTAAGACAAGCATGGGTTATTGAAGATCAATTCTAACCCGGATCTTCACAGGTCATAAATATATGAGTCGGGCGCCTATGTGTTTTATGTGTAAGTCTTGTTGATAATATTGTTCTGAATGTCACATCTCTGAGGAGGTGTACTGTATGAATCTGAAACAAAGAATCCGTAACAAAAGGATTCAAGGATATTTCACTTTTAAATATGGGCCCTTGTTATCATACTCAATCATTTGTTGATATTTTTTCAGTTCATTCAAGTTATGTGTTAATGTATGTTTTGCTCAAGTCATATTGTAAGCATGTGTGAAAAAATGACTTGTTCTTTTCAGAGATGTGACAATGTTTGTTTATGTACTGCAATTTGACAAATCAAACATTTGCATTTTGATGCTTTTTACTTTTGAATATATATTTTGGGGGATGTCAGTGTTTAAGCTGACAGTTTTTATATACCAGTTTGTTGTTCAATGACTCCTAACTTAATCCCATGTATTTGGTGGAGGCTATACATGCGCGCACACGCACACAGATGAGTTGTTGAAATGATATTCAAAATGAAGTTTGGGTGATCAACAAAATATTTCACATCAAATGTATTGAGAATCAATCAATCCATTGAGAACATTGAGAACAGTTTACAAATGTAATTCAATTTATATTTTCTCAATCAACCATTCCTTCTTTAAAGAAGACAAGTTTCCTGATTTTCTGATGTTCCATGTTCACTTTATATATAAAGTGGTAGTTTGTGCTCAGTAGAAGCTCTGACATTTTGGACATTTCAAAACTGCTATTTCTTCCTTGATTTTTATTCTTCATTTGTTCCTTTTCAGTATGTATAATCTATGAACAATAATGGTCAGTGGTTCTATCATTCATGTGTGTTTTATATGCCTTCATCCTTTTCAGTCCCATTGTTGTTACTTATCTGCAGTCTGCCAATTTGCCAATAGTCCGAAGATTGAGTCCAGGCTCTCTGACTTTGGAATATGTGGTATTTTAATTAACATATTTGTCCAAAGGCTGTAAATTATGGAGATATTGTCTACAATGACAAAACTCATAATATCTATACACAAATATGCTTTTAAATTGGCTATTTAAAGGACCTGGTAATATTAGTTGTGAAGTTTGTATCTTCATACATAGAAAACACTTCCATGTTTTGACAGAAATTTGTCCAGTTTTATAAATATCATTGTACTTTATTTTCTGTATTATTCTGACCAAACTGTTTTGTACATCCTTTGATATCTTAAAAATGTAGTTCCTGGATCATAAGTCTGCTTGCTGGTTCAGTTGCACTGACCAGTTTCAAAGCTTGAATATTTGTGAGCCGAAGTACCCTGTGGCAGTACATTAACTTACTATCACTGGTTGGCCATATGTGGAACTATTGAGGATGTGTCTCGCATGTTGTTGATGCTCTAACGACCCTGCTTGTGTTGAACAGTATTATACACTCTTCTGACACAGTGATGCTACCGGACTGTAGGAAGCTGGTCTTCTGAACTGGTGTGCTCTTTGTATTCATTTTGCTTCACAAATAAACTTTTGAAACACAGAGTTAAACACATTTTATTTGCAAAAAATATAATACTCAAAGAACTTAAAACATGATATTGTCTTATGACTATAATTAATGGCATGTTCTTCAAAATTGTTTTGAGTAGTATATATAGTAACATCATAGACAGTGCTTTTCGTCCTTCCTAACATCAGGAGCATACACAGGTAGATCCAGAGGTTGGGTGCAGGAGTGCACACACAAACGTTTGTCCTGAAAGTTTATTAAATGACCGTTGAAACTCTCGTGAAAACGGGTGAAAATTAGTGCACGCTCTCCCTTTCTCAAAAAGCTGTATCTGCCCCTGCATAGGAATGAGTGAGTATGTGGTGTGTCATGCTGCATCAAGAAATACTGCAGGTATTTTGACTTAGGAAACCAGGAATTAATAGCCACAACAATGACGTCATGATGACAATCAACAAGGTGACATTGTGACCACCCAACCTCTTTTTTCTAAGCTGGAATCTGCAAAGGATCACTGATGCGATATCCCAGTATATATGGAAGACTTCAGCAAAGTTTCTGGTAGCTATTGCACTTCTTTATGAAACATGGCAAGTTGTTTGCTTGGCTGTCAGTTTCCATACGCCTTTGCTAAAGAGGGTGACAGTTTGAAGGCCTTCCTGTACAGTTCAGCTGCTTCCATACACTCCCCACAAGCCTGAAATAAAGGTTCACGCTGAATTACATCTTTTGAAGCATTATGATGACACACTATTGTTGTAGTTGATTCTGAGCCAGGTATTCACTGGCCATTCTGAACAACACTTCTATCAAGAAAAACTTAAGTCCATTCCGAAAAAAAAGAAAGAAGAGAAATATTGTATCAACTATTACCAAACAAACCCAACTTGTTCAGCTCTGTATTACTATGTTGCCATGGTAACCAAAAAATATATGATGTCAGCCATTTCATGAGCAGACATGAACACTCACTTTCATATTGTACTCAAGCAGGATGTTTAGTGAACTACCCGCTGGGCCAGCTGATGGAAACAACTTAAACTTTTAACCTTAATCTGTCCACTTTTTAAGAATACAGGGCTGGAGCATCTCACCTCTTTGCGTTCAGCATCCTGCACCATCAACAAGGCCTTTTGGTCAGCCTCGGAACAGGCACTTGGACTCGCATTGCGGAACATTATGTCAGTCCTCAGAATATACTTCCGACCATCACTAAACAACAGAGTACCGACAAACACTTTTTAGAATTCCATCTATCATAATGATTTTGTAAAGTATATTTGTCTATGTGTTTGAAATACAGGATCAGTGTTACAACCTGCTCATTACTGAATAATGATTATTCTCTGAGAACATTGTCACAGCACTGAATAGAAGTTCCTCTCCTGATACCCACACACCTTAAACCGGGCACACTACAATATTTCTAACAAATACAGTTCAAGGCAGCATTCAGAGCAGTTTGCTTGTTGTTTAACACTGCACTCAGTAATATTCCGACTACATAACATCAAGAGCATCGATCTATGCAACTGGGATACAATAACATACATCAACCAACTCAGGAAGTCTGACCTCTCAATCATATTAGTCGCATCTTATGACAAACATGGGTTGCTGTAGACCAATTCTAACCTGGATCTTCACTGGTTCAGAGCAGTAGATGGTAAATACACGTACATTACAGAGTATATGTGTTTCATGATTATTTCTGGTTGAGCATTTCACTAAATAGTATATGATAAAAATTTGCATATACAGGACACCAGATAAGGGCCGTATCGGCTTATGTACTGATATAAAATATGCACGATACGGTAGGAAATAATTTTAAAAACGTAGCAGATACAGACCACAGCAATGGTGTACGGTTTCAGAATCATTTACAGACGTATTTATCTGAAAAAAGTATTGATTTATTGTTTATTGACCTGTTTACACCAGAGTAGCAATGTTGTGGTGCATATATGAAACGAAACACAAGATTACTGATACGCCATTAAATTCCATTCAGTATTCTAAATGTACTCTTATTGTTTTCCAGTACTCCTATATTGAAAAAATAAGGAGTACGTACTCCTGATGTTGAAATATTATCTTGAGCCCTGATATACACTATATACATCAAAGATAGATTTTTTATGTACAAAGAGGAATCTGATTTTATGATAATCTACAGCACTCCGACTGTTGAAAGGTCAATATTTGGCATTTCACTGACCCTAGTTTCTCCCCTTCGTGTAGCCGGTGATGGTTAAAGACAATAGCCATGCCAGGTTCAGGCTGGATGCGATACAGGACATTTTTCTCCTCTGCACAGAACTTGCCATTCTCGTCCTGAACACAAACATTTTATCTAACTTAGTGTTATTCTTAGAGTTCGCCCTTCACCATTTATTTTTTAACTATTTCACATTCATAACAATTAAGAGTTTTAAGGTTATGGCAGTGATATTATATAAATTTAATTTTTTATTTTATTTGTAGCTAGGTTAGAGATATCTCATAGACATGAAACATGCCACTTATACACTATGTGAATAGGTAACTGTTCCGTGGCATAAGTTATTTGGCCATCCTTTCAACTTCTTTCAATCACATGACTTCGTTTGGTTGGTTTGTTTGTTGAATGCCACTCAGCAATATTCCTACTATATGGCAGTGGTCTGTAAATAATTGAGTCTGGACCTGGCAATCTTGTGATCAACATCATGAGCATCGATCATGTGTCAAACCAAGTCAGTGAGACTGACCACCCCATCCCATTAATTGCCCCCTACGACAAGCATCAGTTATTGGAGACCATTTACACAGATCCATGCTCATGACATCAATCATTGGATTGTCTGGTCTAGACTTGATTATTTACAGGCTGATGTCACATTGCTGGAAAATTGCTGAGACAATAAACAAAAATCAAACAGTAAAACCGATTCTTACATTGATTTTCTTGAGTGGTATACTTCGTGTACGAGTTCTTACCTACCTTGTACAGAACTTGTTTCTCATCCACAAAGTTGGTGCTTCCCCCACTAAAGTCTCCATTGAGGTAGAGCATCAGCGTCTGGAGTGACCGCTGGTCAGTGCTGCTGGAGAAGTGACCATCAAAGTGGGGGCTGAAGTGTCCCCCTGGTAAGTAACGGCATAGTCGGAACACCTGGAGAAAACAGGTTAACAAGAGTGACTTCCCTCAGTGTTTTCCAAGGAGAGAGCAATAATGCCTGTTTGTTACACAGAATTATGGAAGATAAATGACAACTGACTCGTAATACTTGTTTGGACAAGTACACTGATCAGTACAGTGAGCAATGATCTACACCATCAGGGTACATACGGACTAACATTTGTATAGCACCAACATCCAGCTCAGCTGCTCAAAGGTGCTTGGTTTCTCCCTCGATCACTGGATGTCAATCTCAACGGCACGTCGTATATCAATCTCAACTCCCTCGGGAGCATAAAACTCTTGCAGCCACTAGGTGCACCGAGTTAGTGTGGCTTTCCCATCCTTACGAGGTACCCATTCACAGCTGGGTGGACTGGGACACATAGTCACAGTACTTTGTCCAAGTTTACTGCACATTGCTGTACCCACAACTAGGTGTTTGCAGGTATTCATGTGGCCACCATCTGGTCTAATACCAACGGATTCTTTGGTTCTTTTAAGTGCACAGGGTTGTGTACAGTACACTAGGGGTTGTGACAACACTGAAAGAGTCTGCACACAAAGTTGACTCCAAGGTTGTTACACCCGATCACAGGTGGGCTCGATCCCGTCACCTCAAGCTCGCTGGATCATTAGCCTGGCGTTTTAGCCAGTTCGCCCACCACGCCCCCAGCCAGTTCACCCACCAGGCCCCCACAGGGTATTGTGTCATACAATCAGCCATGTAACTTATCCTGACATCAGACCCAATCCATTTTGTCATCTTCTAAAGTGAGTCACATGTAAAAAGATGTGCAAGTCACACAGTTAAGTGTCTCATCATTTAGCTCAGTTTTGGATAATTCTGTTATCTTGTTCAACACATATACACCTAGAACCAACACTGGTCAGTTTGTTCAGTACATACATCTTTGCATCCTCGATAATCTCCAGGGTATACGTTACTATCACTCTCCACTATACCCTGGATGCATCCACGGCTTGGCCGGAAGATTTTATTACCTCCCTTTGCTGGCTTTTTATCCAATCAGATGTCTACGCTGGGAAGTTGAGCGAACCAATCACAACTCACCTTCGCTTCTTAAATTATCTAACTATTAAACTATTGATGCAGAGGGTACTCTGAATGATGTGGAAGGAGTTATTTTACATATTTTTGAAAGTTTATGATCTGTCAATTTGTCTGTATTATTTCTCCAAACATCTGAGTGGTACTGCGAACAATCTTTCGCGACTGCGACCGCTATCTTTGTTGACACTGGCAAGCTTGGATGTAACGGCGGCTTAGCTGATTGGCTACTGTGAGAATGCGGAGCCAGCAAAGGGAGGTAACATAATTATCGGGCCAAGCTGTGGATGCACTATAAGGTGGATGTATGGTGCTGACAAACCAAGGATCAAAATCAGGGTGAATCTGAGACTCGAACCCATGATCATGGATTTCCTGCAGGCTCAAAGGACCTAACTCTGCATTGAGTTTTGCAGTGAATCTGATACCTGGGCCACCAATGTACACAGATCTAACAAAATACCGTAAATCTTAAAATGAACTTGCCTAAAAAATAATGCAACTGTTGGACTCTAGACAAAAAGGCGACTTGTTCTTAATTCGACTTCTTTCCAGCCGCAGGGTATTATATGTGGAGATAAAGTGACTTCTATTTCAAAGATTAATTAAAGCAAACAGAGACATTTCCCCCCTATAATTCACTCTTGTATTAAGATTGCATTTTCAACATTTACAGTGTATGTGTGCAGGTTGTCAAGATTACACTCAAGGTTACACATCCTCTACTGACCGGGTTGAGTCCCAATGGCTGCCATGTTCCCTGGAGAAGGAAGTCAATGCCTTGTACATGTTGCTGTTTTGGGTCACCATTGATGACAATATTGGACAGGAATGGCTCCAGCCTTGCCCATAGAAGCTCTGCTAGCTCCTGGCTCCTGAAGGAAACTCTAGAAAGAAGGAGATACATTTACCTATCTTGAAAAATACTTGCACAGACAATTTGTGTTCCTAAATAATATTTATGGTACAGAGACACATATTCAGTTAATGACCTTCATGTCACATTAAAGAAAACAAACAAAATTACAATGGATTTTAAGCGGTGTTAATAAAAAGAGTAAAAAGAAAAAATATTTCTCTTTCCAGAGTAATTCCAAACAAAACCAAAAACTTAACTAATTAAAAATCCACATAACCACACCTATTTACTGAGTAAAAGACATAACCCTTGAAATGGTTGGTGCGATGGTCTTGACGTCATAATTTAATACCATAAAGTCATACACTACTCATGGCCCCTACACTATGTACAGTATTAATGTTAGGAAGTCGATACTTTACTGTTAATAATGACGAAATCACCATTCATGTTCGTTTCATACATCTCTCTCGATCGATCGATATTGATGTATTGTACGTAGCTACAGTACCGGTGACAACTTCTGTATTCTTCCTTCACGCCGATGAGGGGTTCAAACCCAACTTCTTCCCCCTTGTCAATATAATGCCGACAGTCCTGAGGGGTGAACAGGCCATGAAGCAGGAACCCCTCGTTCCCAAAGTCCAGGATTTCGGTCCTGTTGACAGACTCCTGGGCAAACCCGTCCCCCGATGCACAACACACATGCTTCAGTTCCCCAGCGTCATGTAGAATCTCGCCCGCCTCGTTGGCTCCAGCTTCGGTCCCCGCTACAAACTCGGAAATCATGTCTGTAACTAGAACTAATATCAGAGTGCGTTACTGAAATTACATCCTCGTGGTGTATGAAACTAAGTTGGGATTGCACAACCAATCGAGAAGAAAGTTTGTTTACATGCAACTTCATAACAGGTTAGAGTTATCTCCCCTCCCATGACAGCCTCTCAAGCTCTATCGCGTTGAGAAGCTTGTCAGCCCAATCGTGTAATAATCATAATAAGGAATGAGAGAAATGAATAGTGTTTATTAGACAGGGACATGATTTAAGCAAGAATATTCTTCTTTTCTTATTCAAAACAGTTATAGCGTTATTAAGTTAATAAGTGTTGTTTTGTTTATTGTCAAGTCACGTAAACTCTCCTAAGCTAGCTATCGTTGCTGGGCAGGACACCAACTGTTGGTATACTGAGGTTTCATGACAAACAGTTTCAGGCAATATGTGGACGTAGTATTGTATACAAAATATCCATTGTTGTTAGATATATATTATAGTAGCATGAGAGGTTTCCCTTTAATGAATACCACAAGGCTCCGGGGTGTGAGCAGACGGCGCATATATTTTCCTGGGACGAATCCACTGTTGAACAAATTCCTATTTATACATAAAGCCCTGAAACATTTGGTGAACAATGTAAATTGTCCAAGGTATCACACCATCAACCAGATAGAGATTCAGACACATGTCAAAGTTAACAGCCCCTACTTCCAGGACATGCTGCAGAGTTTACTACATACATTACAGATGAAATATGAGAAATACAAATCTCCTAATGTAATTTACACACATATAAATACTATTACGGATCTTTCATAACTGTCAGATCTAGTTTCCACATCCCTGTGATATCCCAGATGTTCGCCGAGGTTCATATCTGGGCACCGGTGAAGATCCGGGTTGGAATTGGTCTTCAGCAATCCATGCTTGACACTTGTCATCGTATCCCACTTGCGTAGATCGATGCTCATGCTGTTGATCACTGGATTGTCTGGTCAGACTTGATTATTTACAGACCGCCGCCATGTAGCTTGAATATTGCTGACTGCGGCGTTAAACAACAAACAAATGATACTGGGGCTTCTTGCAAGCAATGGTAATGTTTCGATTGCGTTGTGAGATAACGGCTCGAGAAAGGTGAGGTCAAACGTTGTCATCCATGAATGTCGGACAGCTGGCAAGGGGATGGTTATCAAAATGTGGCACGACGGCGGTATTCAGTACTTCTTGTTGATAATGTCGATCATTGCCTATCCCAGGTACTTGCAGTCATACGCGAAGCAACCCAACACAATCACTAAGCCGCTACCACCAAAGGATTCAGTGATATGCCTCATTGCGACGTCTCCCCAGCGCAACAACGGATGTCGGTAAGGTGTAGAAGACCAAAGAATCCTACATCATGTCCTGCACCACGCAAGGCGTTCATGCCTGTGCCTATTTATGAGGAAAGGACGCTTGTTGGACGACGTTCCCTCAGATCAGCAGCCAGCAGCCTCCTTCTGATCGACAAGTGGTCTAATGACCGACTGGCTAATGGTCAAGTTAGCGCTGATGTTGCGGACAAGACATCCCTGCGCCGTCATGCCTTTTACTTAATGTGTCAAGACATGTTGATTGCACTTGAACTGCTTGATAGTTACTAATGCGACAGGTAACTGACTGAGTAGGTGGGCGAACTGGCTAAGGCGCCAGGTTAGTGATCCAGCGAGCACGAAGTACCGGGATCGAGCCCACTTGTGACCGGGTGTAAAATCCTTGGGGTCAACTGTGTGTGCAGACTCTTTCAGTGTTGTCACAACCCCTAGTGTACAGTACACAACACTGTGCACTTAAAAGAACACACGAATCCGTTGGTATATAACCAGATAGTGGCCACATGAATACGTGCAAACACCTAGTTGCGGGTACAGCAACGTGCAGTTAACTAGGACAAAGTGCTGTGACTATGTGTCCCAGTCCACCCAGCTGTGAATTGGGTACCTCGTAAGGATGGGAAAGCCGCAATAACTCGGTGCGCCTTGTGGCAGCAAGAGTTGTATGGTCCCCAGGGAGTTGAGATTGATAATAAGATGTGCCGTTGAGATTGACGTCCGATGATCGAGGAAAAAAATACCAGCGCCTTGAGCATGCACTAGTGCGTGGATATGTGCGCTACATAAAATCCAATAATAATAAAATAAATAATATAAACTGAGTAACAGTCACATAATCTAGACAAAAGACGGGAAATGGTTAGTATTCATGCACTGATGGATGTTCGAGCATGTTTCAGCTATCATCTAAAATATGGTGCCCACATCTAAAGGTATATATTATGAACGTAAACGGACATATCTGCAACAACATTAAAATCGACATGCCTTACTAAACATACGATATAACAATGCCACATACTTCACCCTATCCAGGAATGCCGTCCATGAAAACTGTCCAACTATGATAGACAAGATTGCCAGCAAAACAGTGCCACTGATGTGTTCAAAAGGCTACAACACCCTACACGTCCTCCTCAAAATGACCCGCAAAATCGTGATGACCAAGGAAAGCAAGTTTTAACGAGGACTGTTTTCGACTTGCAAAGTGACTCAAATCACACCATTTCTGATGAAGCCCTTGAACATCCTTGGAAGAGTCTGTTAGTCGTCTGTCGCCAGGCACCTTGAAGGATTTTGTGTACTGGCGTATTGACTGATAGTCTTGTTTATGCTCAGTGTTATTTCATCACATACGTCAATAGAACATACTGATATCGAATTAGCCAACCCCAGTTACGAATCTTCATTAGTCATTGCTTTCAGTAACGGAGACCTATTCTGCATCTGAATCCCCATGTACACAGGTGTCTTTCAAAAGTAGAAACAGTATCTGGAGTAAGCCTGATAGACTGAAGAATTACATCTACATGTATTATTGAGCAAAGAGTGGTTTGAGGTTCTTTCACTGGGCTGTTCTCACAGTATAACATTGCATCATCAGCAATTATTGAGGGATCTGAAGGTAGGTTTTTCTCCACCATGCTGCTGAAGAAGAGTGACAAAAGACTATAGAATAGAATAGAATAGGATAGAATAGAATAATACTTTAATGCCTTTTCAGGAATTTGTGTTACATCAGCAGAGCTACTGACACATTAGAGGGATACTAGTACCAAACATATTTACATAAATTCTTTTATTTAGGTATCTTCACATTTGTTTAAGAGAGATATGGTACTTGGAATAAAGGATGTACGGGCTCTCTTAGTTTTCACAATTGGAACTTTGTAGCGGCGGCCTGAAGGGAGAAGGTTGTATTCCGAATTTAAGTAGTGAGTACGGTCAGATATGATTTTGACAGCTTGATTCACGATTTGCCGCTCATATATTGATGATAAACATTCAAATCTGACTCTAGCGATTTTACTTGCAGTGTTAACAATTTTGTCTATTTTAGATTTGAGATGAACTGAGACCCGTACCAACAATGGAAGGAAAATGTTAAAATACTCTGAATAAATGCTACATAAAAAGATGACAACACAGATGGGTTAACATTAAAAGATCTCAGTTTACGCAATGAGATGAAGACGTTGTTGACACTTTTTTGTATAGGGCTTCAGTGTTGAGTTCCAGTTCAGCTTAGAGTCAAGGAAGGTTCCCAGATACCTATACTCCGACACTGTCTTAACACATTCACCGTTGATTATCACTGGAAGCATTTCTGTGGGTTTACTCCGAAAGTCAATTATCAGTTCCTTTGTTTTTGTGACATTTAAGAGTAAGTGGTTTTCTGCACACCAAGTCGTAAAATGATTAATGTCCTCTTTATACATTTCTTCAGAATCGGCGTCGTTCAGTTTGCCGACAATTGCTGCATCATCTGTGAACTTTACAGTTGAACAGGTTGAATTCGAGCTTGCACAATGATTAGTGTAGAGGGTGAGATATTACACAGCCTTGTGGTGCACCAGTGTTGGCGGTCCGTTTACTCGATACAGCCCCGTTAACTTTCACGTACTGCTGTCTGTCCACAAGAAAGTTTTCGATCCACTTGATGAGGTATGAGTTAACGCCCATGTCTAACAGTTTCTGTATCATGATATGTGGCTGGATAGTGTTGAACGCAGATGAAAAGTCAACGAAGAGGATCCTGATGTATGACTTGGGTGTTTATAGACATTATTAAGGAGTGACAGTGTGGCATCAACAACTCATCTCCTTGACCCGTAGGCGAACTGAAGCGGGTCCAGTATGTCGGCAACTTCCTGACGGAGATGTCTCAACAAGATGCGTTCCAGCGACTTCATTGCTATAGATGTGAGAGCAACTGGCCTGTAGTGATTGAGTTCTATAGGTTGTGTCTTTTTAGGAACTGGTACAATTTCTGATGTTTTCCAGACCGAAGGAATATCACTGAGAATTGAAACAATCTAGTGAAAACTGTACACGGTTGAAGTCTGCACTCCTTCAATAGCCATCACACGTGCGTCTCAGGCAGTCAAGATTTTTGTAAATATGTTACAGCACGCATGCATTAGTCTGAACTAAGCCCACCGAGATGCCACGTCCCATTTTGACACCCTTATGCCAAACACCATTGTTATGACACACACCATTCTTTAAAGTCTTGTTGTTTGACTGATAAGGATCAAACCAATGACCTTCAGTTCTCCAGACAGACATGCTCAATCCACTGCAGAATTTCAAGTGCATTTCAAAGCCAATGACCTGGGCAGTGTTTAAAATTAGAGATCCGTGACCATAAACAGAACTGGTTCATCCAACACATACGTTATCCATGCATTTATTTCCCAGGTTTCAAATAATAAAAATACCAGAGTTTTTGTTGTAGCTCTCTTTATTTCACAATGTGTTTTTACATTCAAAATATATCTCTGGTAGTCATATGTACAACAAACTATCTCAATCAAATATTTTATTCACATATCAGATTTAGAATCTTGTTTAAACAACTGGACAGTTGATAAATAAAACAAATATATACATAATATATACATAGCCAGTGCAGACAACATACATAGTGACATGGTCCTTTGAGAGAGTAAATATTGCTTAACACCGCATCAGCAGTTTTGCAGCTATTCGCAGTGAACATAGAGCTTTGCCTGCTTGAATCTGTGAAGTACAAGCTTCTCAATACTGACCATGACAAACATTTTTTACATTTTCTCATATAAGTTAAGAACATATATAAGTCATATGACAACACATTATCTATACATATTTAAGCTATTGACATATCTGATGGTATTTTTGCAGCTGGCACACAGGGTCCAAGCATTTTGTTGTAAGTGTTTTGTAAATGAATGTTGTGATGTTACCTTCATCAGCTTTATCCATAATATCTAATCGAATCTGGGCAAGTACACCTGTGGAAAACAGCACTAGCTATCTACATCATATGGGTGTTGATAGGTAATACATGATCAATGCATCAGGCACCACACAACGATGCATTAGAGATGAGGCGACTTCTTATGTCCTATATCCATGTTTCCAGTTGATATATAATCAATACACCACACACCGTGAGATAAGTCTCATTCGACAAGCATCGGACCTGTGTTGCACTAGAGATGTGGTGTTCTGTTATGTTCTATAGCCATGTTGCCAGGCAATACATAATCAGTGCACCACACACATGATAACGATCATTATTGGACAAACATGAGCCCCTGCTGCCCTACAGTAATGAGGTGATCTGTGATGTCCTATGAAGATGATGCTGTACCGTCATGTCACCTCTCCAAGAGGTTGAATATACTACTACTGCTGGATTTGGACTCCAGTGTCTTGGTTCTCTGCCGTTTAGCAGGAGGCAGGTTAGAAGGCCTCTTGTGAATTGAAGGTCGGGAAATTGGCTTTGACTGAAAGTAAATACACATTTGTTCAACACACACCAATTAATTATACAAATACTGGGATACTTAGAAACACAGAAAATGTAGAAGTTAAATACAAACTCTTTGCAAAAGAACCATGTCATGTCCCCATGTTAAGTAGAACTTTCAGAAAAAAGGTGTAACTATTGTGCAAGCTACTGATGTAAAGCAATCATCTTTGGCACAATCATTACATTAAAAAATCAATACGTGAAAAAATCATTGTTGATCTGTAATAAGTGCACCACCTTTATGCAGTTGTATTGTTTTTACAAAAAGTGTGCACAATGCTCAATAACACATGGTAGTTTAAAGTAATAAAATGGCTTAAATACTGATAATCAGTAGGTTTAGAAAGCCCCTGCCCCGCAAAACACAGCTTCAAGATTGTGTTCATAGAGTTAACAGCAATTGCCAGTCTAAGTAAATTTACACTCAGTATTATTTGTTACACTGCTATACTGGGTCTAACAAACCCCAGTAGAAGGTCCCGTCAGCTAACCTTTTGAATTGACCAATAAGAAGCTTACCAAGTTCGGAAAGTTAACATTCGCACATACTGTTTGAACTTTTACCTCGAAAACATTTGTACCCAAACAATTCCAAATGCTATTTTCCGCACGATCGCTACCGAGTAATACACATGGAGGACGCCATTATTCACAGCAGTGAGTAAACAGTCGCTGAAAATAGCGGTTTTATTAATATACCTGGATGTCATCTTGAGGAAATTTATAAGCTAATAGTAACCATGTCATCAGAAACCCTAAGCGAATATACTGCAGGTCAAATATCTGTTTTATGAGGATTTTCATTTGTTGAGAGATCAGTGTCAGTGACCGGGAAAGAGAAAATCCATTTTGTAAGTCCCGCAGAACCCTAAATAGTAGCCATTGTCTGATTGGTTAAATCCATTTGTCCGTCTCTTGTTTGATTGGACGGTCATAGGTCGCTCAAAGGTTAGCTGATGTGACCTTCTACTAGGGTTTGTTACACTCAGTATAGCAGTGTAACGAATAATACTGAGCTAAGTTTACTTAGACTGCAGCAATCGCCTTAACCTAACATTTGGTAGGCATGTTAGATTTGGTCATGTAGATAATAGTCGGCACTGTGGATAGGAAATATAAACACAACGCTATTGCAGTACTCTTGAAACAGCAGTACAGCTGTTACAAACATCCCTGCAATCGTGTTTAAACTCATTAATGTCTTCCCTATCAGAGTGGTGCTCACTTATAACAAACCTGTAGTGCGGCTTCAGATTTTTCAGGGGAGACAACCTGGAATACAAAGTTTTTCGAATGTCTTGTTGCATTGGGATTGACTCCAGACTTTGTTCTCTCGGCAATCTTCGCCAGGGCTTCTTTACCACGTGTCAGGAAGGACCCTTTTCTTTGGTTCTGAGAACAAAAGCACACTATGAAAACATGGCTATCCAAGAATGCACTGTCCAGTTGCTATAACCAAAGCTGCCTAATCTATAGCTGCATTCCTGTGTCTGTACTGTCTTTTCTTCAGTCTCTTAACATAAACAAGGCAGCAATGATGCAAGATGTAGATGATACTGCTTCAGTTTAGTGTTGATTGTTTTTTACATTCTATCTGGTCATAAACCAAGAAAATCAAGATAAAAGCTGAAATTTGAAGACATAACATATATTCTTGTAAGGTGAGCTTGAACAATTTTTAAGCCTGGATAATGTGAAGAACACAATGCTCTTCCCATATTGGGTACAACTGGGTAATAGAGAGAAGGGGCCCATTTCGTAAAGTGATAATAGGGCTAAGACGTTAGTACCCAGTAACAACCATACTGTAACATACACTATGAATCAGGACAGTCGCAGAGCTAAGATCGCTTTGTCGAACAGGGCCCTGGGTACATCATGACGAAGGAAGTAATTACTAAGCTACTAACTTGCCCTTCAGCAGTTACAGTGTATAGGTGTGTGGCTTGAAGACACAGGTTCAATAAACACCAATGAACAATTACATCTCACTGGTACATCAGTAAGAAACATACCGCTGGTTTCAGTACTGGCTTTGCCGGGCTGGGGACTGTCTTCTTTACGGCCTGAGGCTTCACAGATTCTCCCTCAGGTAATTTCTTCACGGGATCTGAAAATAAAGTCAGCTTTCAATGATATATATGACTAAATGTCTGCTGATAGGGCTACATTTCCTGGCAATCTACGATCCACTGCTAGTGTGTTGTTTAATTCCACAATCAGCAAAGTAGCAGCTGCATGGTAGTTGTCTGTAAGTCATCATGTCTGGACCTGACAATCCAGTGATTGACATCATGAGCACCAATCCATGCAGTTTATGCTTGACATGCATCAACCAAATCTACTGACACTGACCACCATATAACACTGGGGACCTGACTCCATATCACTAATGTCCATGTGTTTCCAACTGTTAAAATAACCTTCAGGTATTTACTTTCACCCAAACAAAATTAACCAGGATACCTTTTATTTTCAATGCAAACTTCTTTCCTAACTTGAAAAACTGGCTGTTGGCATTTTCATTCTCTTCTTTTTCCTGCAAACAAAAAGACGAGTGTTTGATGTTACAGTTACCATTTGTTAACTGCTTCATTCAGCAACATTTTGCATATCTTAAGATGAACAGGAAATTAGTAACACTGGACCAGTGATGTCTCATAACCAACAAGTAACCAAGTCTGGCCGCAACAAATTTAAAATATTGCGACAAAGATAAATGACAAAATCTCTCTTTTTATGAAAATGTACACAAATGTTTTTGAATTGACGACAAATAAGCATGATACTTCTCTAATCCTCAAGAGTATAATGTTAGTTCTGCTTGAACAAGACAAAAATGTATGTGTTTACATTTTGCCAATTTTTCAGTTCCACTGATGCAAAGAGAAATGGCTTAAAGCTATAGCCCACAGATGCTAAGACTCAATAAAGACTACCATCATTGAACTTTCACTCAGCACAATTAAGTCATCTTGGACAAGCAGATTAGCATGGACTTTGAAGTTGGTAATTATGCGTAAACCTTTAACATGTTCTTCACATACCCTTTCTTCCTGTAAAAACTTCTCCCTCTCAAATCTCTCCATCCTCCATTTTAACTCATCAGCATCCTCCTCCGGGGCGTCCTCGTCAGATCCCCCACCTCCAAACATGTCCTGCTGGGACTCATCGTCTGAAACACCAACAATGGCTAGTTGATGACTACCAACATCATAGCTAGTGACATCAGTTTTAAGCTGTGTCAGTAACATTGCATCTGTCAGTGTGGAAACAAAGCCAAATGTGACCCAGTCATATTTATTTTGCCTCTTTTGCGAAATTCAAATGCATAGCAGTTTGCTGACATTCAAAGGACCAGGACTTAATCACCTCAAATCTGCAACTCATGCAGCCAATGGATGGCATTCAGGGGCGGGTCCAGGATTTTGGAGAAGGGGGGTGCACATAAATCATGAAGTCCAAAGGTTAGGTGGAAATGCTCCTCAGGTAAAAACTTTTCAGGGGAGAAGGGGTGTGCGCTATCACCCTCTGGATCTGCACCTGCCATTACTGACACATGGCACTGCTAAAGAAAGCGGCTCTGCCAAATTTTGCAACCAAAATCAGTCTGGGTTGGCAAATATGACAATTTCATAGACCACAACCCCAAACTAACTCAGTCTTTTTCCCCGCTTCAATGATCTCTTGACTAATAAATACAAAAGTATCAAAACAGCAACCTACCCATATTTTTCCATCTAAACCTCCTTATCCTGCCTCCCCCTTCTGAGTACAGATCCCCATCTGGGAGGTACATCTCTTGTAGTCGGAGAATTTCACGCTTGTCGGCATCGATAGTTTCCTTCCTGTTGGGGGGTAACAATACATTCTTCAGGACAATGATGATGAAGAACTTTGGTAATGCAGCAGGTATTTATTGAGGAGCATGCAAGAGTACACTGAGACCACACATATAAATACTCACAGATGGGCTCGTCCAACCTGGTTGCGGAGTTCGTCCTCCGTCATCGCTACATCCTGGTCACCCAGCTCCATCTCCATGATGTCCTCGTCCTCCGGTACGTCCAGATCTCGTCACTTTCCGCCTCCGAACCTGACAGCTCTGCCTCATCCTCGATAAACTCTCGTCTCATTTTCCTGAACATGAAAATCCACAATTTTAGTTAGCAAATTATTTTTCTTAATAAGTTGTTTCTCATTTCAAACCCTGGGATGAAATAATATATGTCAATGATTTCAAAATATCTTGTCCAATTAACCAATTATTGTCCAATTATTCTCTTGCGGATAATTATTGTTTGATATTAAATATCACAATACAATACTATGAATTGCTCAATATCGCAATGTTTTTTTGTTAATACTAATGTCACCCCAAAATCTTATTCACCAATTTTCACTTAGCATCTCTTACCCAGTAATCTTCCCCCTGAATGCTCGGAGCGATTTCTTGACTTGAGATTTCTGTGGAACGTCTCCATCAACCTCATCGTAGTCTTCAGGAGGATTCTCATCATCAGCTAGCTCATCCTGCATTGCAAGGTATTAGGGATTAAACATCTCACAAAGAAACAGAAGAGGCATAGTAACACAGTGCCTAAGGAAATGTCTGATTTTAGCAATATATTATTGTTCATGAGTTGACTGTTTTATGACATGTTTAACAAGTTTTTATTCTTCTTAGAAAAATATCTTAAACCTGACTAAATAAATCTTGTACATCTTTCAAGAGCTCACGAGATATGTATCAACACAGAGTGAGTCCGTACAAGCATGTTTTCAGTCATACCTTGTCACTGTCCACCTGTGCCTCATTGTCAGAGAGCAAGGTGAAGGATGTATTGCTCTCCTCATCTTCCTCCAACTTCCGCTTACGTCCTTGAGACTTGCCTTGAGTTGCCCTGAAATATATGCGGTAGTTTGCTGACAAATGTAACAACGATTGTTTGTTTGCATGTTCTTTTAACATCACAATCTGCTAAATTCCTGCTATATTATTGTGTGACTGACAATGATCCACGCTGTTGCTTACAAGGATAAACAAGTGTTTGCCACTAACATGGCAATGTCCCCCGCCGCTAAAGAAGAATGAAATATTTACTAGTTTTAATCTTTTTTGGTCACATAGAAGATTACTTTTAAGAAATGACAATATATTCTTCAGTTTGGAGGCAAAAATTGGGTGCAACATTTTATGATATAAGAGTTTAAAAAGTGGTCAAAGTGTCTTGGTGACCTTGAAAATAAGTTCAAGGTCACCCAAATCAACTGCTGTCTGTGTAATACCCCAATGTAGGATGTCACCAAATTTGAAGACATTGGGTACAACAGTGCATGAAATATCCCATTAACAAGTGTTTGAAGTGTTCAAAGTGTCGTGGTGACCTTGAAAATAAGTTCAAGGTCACCCAAATCGACTGGTGTCTGCACAATCCCCCATTGTAGGCTGTCACCAAATTAAAAGATTTTGGGTACAACAGTTCATGAGATACCGCCTTAACAAGAGTTTAAAAAATGGTCAAAGTGTCGTGGTGACCTTGTAAATAAGGTCACTCAAATCAACAGGTGTCTGTGTAATCCCCCAATGTAGACTGTCACTAAATTTGAAGATACTGGGTACAACAGTTCATGAGATATCGCATTAACAAGAATGGGGACGTACATACGTACGTAGGGACGCTGTTGAATACAACTATCAACCATGTCCGACCAACCCATCCATTAAGTCGACTCTTACAATCTGGAAAGGTAGCCTGGGCGAGTTCAAAACAGAATTTTCCACAGGTGTGAACGCCATGAAGGATGTAAACAACATACACTCACAGAACAGAGGTACGGAACCTGAACCCTCAACATCTTACCTATGATATCAAAGAAAGGAAAACACCTCAGTCACCCCTATCTAACACTGAAATAGTGTGTGAGTGAAGTGACTTCCTGATAAAGCATCAGTACTTTTCCATCAGCTTTAATCTACCATAATTGCTACAAAGTTATTTTCCACATGTGTACATCCTGAAAAGAAAGGCTGGAGTTACTCACGCTGCTGGAAACATCCCTGAGCACAGACCCAGCAGTTCATCCATTCCACCTTGTGTTGCATCAGGGGCAGAATCAGCATTGTTGCCGAAAAGCTGCTTGCAAGACGACTTCTTACTGTCATCTTGACTTGCTGAAAGATCGAGATCAAATATGAAGCCAAACGTTTAAAACATGTCAAATGGACAGATAAATATCCTAAGTATCTTAAAGCATGAAAATATCAGTAATCTTTGAACAAACTTCAGAGAATACTTTACTAAGCATTCAATCTGACATTGTTGTATGCATGACAGCTCTGGTTTGAAATGTGGCATCAATAAATGGACTTCCCACCATCTATATCTAATATGAACAGATTTATCATGTGTTTATGTATAAAGGCTTTCAGAAACCTAAAGTTGAAGACTGTTTAACTAATCCTAGAATTATTTGAGTAACAAGAAACATTTTATCCCGTTATTATCACAGAATGTTGAATGCAATCAGAATGAAAAGCATTATACAACATGTTAGGCATTTCCAGGAAATACACACATCTCTTACTCAATACTGCTGTGATAAAACCAGGAGTTGGTATGAATGAGAAGTAACAGGACCCACTCAAGGACCCCAGAACCCTACTGTTAGTAGGAAAGAGGTGACAATAGGGAACCTGTGTGGATTCTGGGTAACAATTGGTGGTTAGCAGCCAATGTTGATTATACATAACAAGTTATGGATTGGGTGGTCAGGTTTGATGAATTCTGTTGCCACATTTGGTGGATTGGGTGGTAGTGTGTCAACATTGACTTTATTGAAATTATGGGTCACATCAATCACTTAACTGTATTTCCTTAAAAAATGAAACCGTTTGTATACAGGCTAAATAATGACCCTCTCAAAGTGTAAATTTAGCTCTTGTGATATTATTTTCATAGATTAGCAAATTTGTTTACCTAAATTAGGAAAGAAACTGTATTTTCCAGTATAAGATGCAAATTTGTAACAAATGAGAAAATTCAGTACAGTTGACACTTAGAGGTATGTGAAAAATTCCTGAAAGCACCATGGAACAACAAACACACAGCAGTATCTTACCTACAAACTTGCCGGAGCATAGGCCCATGAGCTCAGCCATGTTATCCTGTGTACTAGAAATGTCTTTCAGGCCAAGAGAGGCTTGTGTTGGCTTCTTGGTGGTGGATTTCACTTTGAAAAACCTAGAAAACAATGAACATGTGAAGCCTCCATCAACTTATTTGTATGCTTTGATGGTATACAGTGTTTATTCATTGTTTGTTGTTTAACATTTGATCATACATAGCCATATGACCGCATTCTTTAAATAATAGAGTCTTGACCAGACAATCAGGTGATCAACATCATGAGCATCGATCTGCGCAATTGGGAGGTACAGATTGCTTAGCTGAAGTTGATTCAGATTACTTGTTTTATATTATATTGTATTGAAGATAGGCATTGACAAAAGGTTACAAAAAATATATAAAAAAGACATTTTTCATCCTTTTTTTCTCAGTTCCTAAAAGATATAAAAATAGCTCAATAGACGAAGGGAAGTTATGTCTTGAAAGCTAATATGCAGTGCACTTTTACACTGAAATATAGAGTATCAAAACACAAATCATCATGTGCACAAACCAACACCCTAACGAATGCTCAAAGTGTCACACCCTGGTCTATGGATCCTAATCATTTTTCACCTCTCTGGGGAGCATACAACCTGTCTATTTGGTGTTAGAAGGCTAGCAGTTAAATTACCATTTCATTCTACTGGCTACCCATTCACTGCTGAATGAACTAGGGCATAAACTCCACAACCTGCGGAACTTAATCCGACAGATAATGGACCATCAGCTGGCAAATATTTAGAGTGGAAGCTGCGGTGGCTGAGTGGGTTAGATGGCTGACTTTGTGAGCTGGCAATTTTGTGCTTGACTCTGGGAGTGTGGGCTCCAATCCCAGATGGGACTCAACCCAACAAAAGTACTAGAATCTATACTTACTGAGAAACTGTAATCCCAAAATAAACATACGTTTCATTTGACCACTTTCTAAATGACATTGTGTTTTCATATTAAGATTCAGACCTACCCATCAGCATCCAGCATTTGAGACTGTGAGTCCTCCATGAGAAAGTTAAGTCCCTGTGAGGGTTGGATGTCACTGGCAGGATACATGGAGGAGGTAAACGGCTCTGCCGCAGTGCCATACAAGTCCTGGGAGTCTTCGATGGGAAGTGACATACTTGATGTCTTCTTGGGCTTCTGGAGAGAGCATCAGTCAAATGGTTTGTATAAGAAAAGTAATGACTCACCAGCAATTTAATGCATTGCAATATCTATCTGCTTTCATAGAAGTTGTGTTGAAACTAAGAACAGTGTATTTACATATAGTTTGTTATCTTGCTGTTTAACACCACACAGCAATTTCCAGCTATATGATGGCAGGCTATAAATAGTCAAGTCTGGACCAATCAATCCAGTAATTAACATCACTGATCTATGTTGACATGCATAAACCAAGTCAGCAAGACTGACCAACTGATCCCGTTAGTTGCCTCTTGCAACAAGCATGGTTTGCTGAGATCAATTCTAACCTAGATCTTATACAGGGTTCATACAGCCAAGAGCCCATGAGATTCAAGGGCTTTTCAAGAAATTTTCATGGACATATGATGTATTTTCAAGCACCACTTTTTTTCAAATTGTACCAAAGATATTACACAAAACTTCATATGTGTGTGATGCCAATATCATAAACAGAATTAATCAGACACAAATTCTTAGGTTTATGTATAATATCAGGTTTTCAGATGACAGTTAAATAATCTTTTATCAATCACAGTATAAACATGATAAAATTGTGCCGGTCAAAAAATATTTTTAAGATCTAATTTATCTACATAATTTTTTACAGTTAAACATCAATAAATTATCCAAATTCCAGCACTTTTCAAGGATGATCTATACAATTCAAGCAGTATTCAAGCAGCACTTTTCATCAGACACAGGTGAATTCAAGCACTTTTCAAATCTGTGCGAACCTTGTTATATAATCAGGGATATTCAACACTCGATACCACTATTTTGTTTACGTATCCTATCTATAATCTCTGATCGCTCCTCACCTGTGTTTGTGTGGCTGTCAGATGTTTTGTGAGGGGGGACATGAGGTCATCGTCTTCTTCCAGGTTGTCCTTTGGAGATACTCCTTCTGTGGGAATCTTGAAACTGCCTGGAAAGTCAACATAGAAAGTCAGAGAAGTCGGGATTATATATGCTTTTAACAGTAATCCAGTTTCAAGCAAGGGAATTAAAGCCGAAGGAATGCAGACGATGAAGACTTACCTGTGTTTGATTCTTGTCTGGTGGCCTGGGCAGACGACAGATTGCTGTCCTCGTCATCACTGATGGTCAGCTGTCGCACATGTTTACGTTTCTTCTTGGAGCTGGACCGCACATCTGACACAACGACACTCATGTTAAAGCAGTAATCGTAAAAGCAGGAACTGCAAGTTGCTGAAAAATTGTACCTATGCTCAAAGTATGGCATTTGTGTTTTAATTTCTCAATTTCTTTCATTTAGAGATATAATATTTCATTCCATGCAAAACATGAAACTAAACATTGAACTTTAACGTCCCATCTTGTTTTTCGTTCTTTTTATCAGGGCATTGGCATTAATATTACAATAATAGAACTCAGCAAACTTTTAGATCCAACTGAGATTTTGCTGACATTATCTTCAGATTTGGGGTGAAATATCTGAGCAGGTCTAGAAACATCCCTGACTGATCAGAAGGCACTTACTTCTGAGACACCTGAAAGTTTCCGTACATAACATAACACTCTCCCTTCTATCTGATACAATTATTATTATCATCATCATTATGCTAACATTTGTACAGCAACAATATCCAGCTCAGCTGCTCAAAGGTGCTTTGATTTTCCCTCGATAACTGGATGTCAAATGGCACATCGTATTATCAATCTCAACTCCCTGGGGAGTATACAACTCTTACAGCAACTAGCCGCACAGAGTAAATGTGGCTTTCCCATCCTTACGAGCTACCCATTCACAGTTGGGTGGAATGGGACACATAGTCACAGTACTTTGTCCAAGTTTACTGCACGTTGCTGTACCCGCAATTAGGTGTTTGCACGTATTCATGTGGCCACCATCTGGTCATTTACCAACGGATTTGTGGATTCTTTTAAGTGCACAGGGTTGTGTACTGTACACTAGGGATTGTGACAACACTGAAAGAGTCTGCACACAAAGTTGACAACAAGGTTTTTACACCAGGTCACAGATGGGCTTGATCCCGGCAACGCAAGCTCGCTGGATCACTAGCCTTGCGCCTTAGCCAACTCGCCCACCACGCCCCATGGTGTCTGTTTGTTGCCTAACCCAGCCATTTTCCGGTTGTATGATAGAATCATGTAAATAGCCAGCCTGGACCAGACTATCTGATATTGTAAACCACTGATCCATGCCATTGGGTTATGATATATACAGTCAACCAAATCTTTGATCCCGACAAAATGATCAACTGAGTTGCCTCTTACGACCAGCACAAACTTGAACCGAATTCTAATCCAGACAGCTTCATCCATTAAGTAGCCTCTTACAGACAAACTTTTACAAACCTGGAGAGGTTATGAATTCTTTGAAGAAAAGTCCTCCTTGGGGTACATATAAGCATTAAAATGTCCATTTTAAAAGCCTACGACAGTTGTAACAATATTTCAATAAAATATTTTACCAAACAAAAAACTCGTTATGTGTGGTGAGACCACCCCTACAGGGCCCCGTAGGGGGCCCCCTACAGCCAAGAGCAGGTAACTCTGGCTGTGTACCTCGTACCTCACTTTTCATGCTGAGCGTGTCAGACAGAATGAGGGGAGGTGGTGCCCGTACCCCAAGGAGGACTTTTCTTCAAAGAATTCATAACCTCTCCAGGTTTGTAAAATTCTTTTCAGAAGAAGTCCTCCTTGGGGTACATATAAACATAAGACAGACTCCCCAGCGATGTTGAGTGGGAGGTGGTATTCTGTCTGCCTAACATACCCCCTAGTTCAGTCGAAGGCACAGCCGAAGCAGCGACAGAGAGAGAAAGTACACTCACCTAGTCACCTGACGCTGATGTCAATCAGGCGGGGGCATAACGAAGCGGAGAAAAGGAGCCTAGCCGATAGGCTATTGGTGGAATTTATAAAGGGACATAAGTCCACTAACCATCAAAATGGGAGGAAAGTATGAAGCCGAGTCCAATATATATCCCTCAGCAACCCAAACCAGCCGGCGTGGTGCAGGGATGAACACAGTGACTGTAGCGAGTGATAATCGCTACATACAGTAAAACCACCACCAATGTGATACCACCACCGATTAAAATTGAGGAATTTATTAACACCTACACCATGAGAGAAAAGCAAGCGTGATTTCTAAGGCTCATTCGGCTAGAGAATCGCGACACTGCCACTGGTGAGAACTGTCTGGCCAAACCGAGCGCGCTCCGTGAGTGTTTGTCCAGCTGATAGTGGCGGATGAGCGTGCTTCGATTCGGCTCCAGATAGCCGCTGAGCAGATCTCTTCAATGGGCAGTGCGCTGCGCGTATGCTTTGATGTCGCCACTGCCCTAATAGAATGAGCCTTTAAACCCTGAGGGATGGTTAATCCTTTGTAAGAGTAACTTCGAACAAATGGCAGAGACAAAGCCACCTAGATATGGTCTGCTTGTTGGCGGGAAGACCAGCCTTGCCACCGCCATAACAACAGAACAGCTGCTTATCTTTCCTGATAGCAGCCGTTAGTTGATATAAACCTTGAGAGTCTTACGGACATCTAAGGCGTGAACACGCCCGAAGAGGTACCGGACGATGGAGGCTGAGTGAAAGCTGGCAGTTCGATGAAGCCGTTATATGAAAGCCTGCGACCTTAGGGCCCGGTAGGAGTCTGGCAACAGCGAATACTGACTCTGTCTTTGTGAAAGACAGTCAGAGCAGGATCCGCTGACATCGCATGGATATCACCTACCCGCCTGCCAGGCGTTACCGCCACAAGAAAGGCAGCCTTCCAACTTAACAGCTGGAGTGAAAGAGGCGACAGATCGTGAAGAGAGGACGGACATCCAATCAAGAGCGATTGACAAGTCCCGCGGGGACTAATCCGCCCGGACAGTCGGACGGATTCTGTCCACGCCTGCTAAAAGCTATGCGAGAGGGTGCTGCCCCAAGAGAGCACCTTCGGCAGGAATATGGAAGGCAGAGATTGCCGTGGAGTAGCCCGGATAGTAGGCGGCTAAACCGGCTTCTAACGAGACTGCAAGAACTCCAGTACTTCAATTACAGTTGAAGAAAAGGGATCAAGAATCCCTCTGCCCGACACCACCAGCGCATAACAGGCCCATCTATCCTCATACTGAGCGTTTGTCGAATCCCTCCATGAAGCCAGAATTGTGTCTGCAACTGGTGCAGGAATTCCGCTTCAGCGTGGAAGCGATTCGGACAGAGGCCAGGCCACCCACTGAATCCTGGGATCCGGGCGCGCGCTCCGTTCTGGGATAGTAAGTCGGTCGAAAGGGTAATAGTACAGGAGGCTGAGCCAGAAACCTGAGTAGTACCGGAAACCAGCTTTGAGCCGACCAAAGGGGTGCAAAGGAGCACAAGAAGTCGAGCTGGTTGGGTGGCAAGCTGCAAGAGGACTTTGGGAATCAGGGGGTAGTGGCGGGAGCGCCCACAGAACCCTGTCCGTCCAATCGAGCTGGAAGCGTCTTGGCGATGGCTCGGATCCGGTATCCGAGAGCAAAACACCGAATCTGGTTCGTCCCCAGATGCAAACAGATCCACCTGGAGCGACCCGAACAACTGGGAGATAGCCCGAATATCCCCGATGGAGCATCCACTTCGTGTGGGGCCAGGATCTGACGAGAGTGCATCTGCTCGAGCGTTGTCCGCCCCTGGGAGATAAACAGGCATTACCCGTATGTCGAACTGGTCGCACCAGAGCAGAAACTGCCATGCCTCCTGCAGAGAGGCAGGGAAACCGTACCGCCCTGCTTCAGGATGTAGGTCATTGCCGTCTGGTTGTCCATCTCGAGAGGCGGACCACCACGGCCTTGAACCTGCTCGAAGTCGTTTGAACACCAACCTGACTGCTCTCAATTCTAGCACATTGATGTGCAGTTGCGCCTCGCTCTGTGACCACAGGCCTGAGACCGACAGAGCCCAGCCGCCCCCACCCTGTGAGGGAAGCGTCCGTCTGAATTGAGAGATCTGGCGATGGGATGTCCAAAGGGAGCCCCTTGGATAAATTCCCTGCCAGTGTCCACCACCGTAAATGAGGAATTAGCCACCCTGGGTGTGGAGAATCAACTTCGTAACCCTGGGTGTGGACCCACATTCGAGCTAGAGCCTGCTGAATGGGTGCATCCTCAACAGCTTCTTCGTAAGCGATGTCCACCGTTGCCGCCATGTTGCCTAACAACTGGAGCCAAGTCGAGCTGAGGCCCTGGGGAACTCGAGAAATTGTAACACAACTCTCTGGACTTTGGTGGCGGTCGAGACAGGGGAGACTATCCCTCGCGCTGTCTCGAACCTGGCTCCCAAGAACACCAGATCCTGGGTGGGAACCAGTTCTGATTTCTTGAGGTTGATAATCCAGCCCAACTTGGTGAGAATACTCATCACAGCAAGTGTCGCATAACTTCGACTCAAGTGAGTGGCAAGCGCCGCGAAGGAGCCAATCGTCTAGGTGCGGGTGACAGCACCTGCCCTGTGACCTGGCTACCTGAGCTGGAATTAGCATGAGTTTGGTGAACACCCTTGGCTGTGGAAATGCGAAGGGAGTACCGAAACTGATAGCACCTCCCGTCGAAGGAAAACCTTAGGTATTTCGAACTTCGGGAGTGCATAGGGACATGGAAGTCTGCAGCGTCTTTGAGGTCGATTGACGTGAGCCAATCTCCCTTCTCCACAGGCGAAATCACCCGAGCATGAGTGTTTCCATCTTGAATGGCCGGTACCTCTAACATGTCGTTCAGATCTTTGAGGGTTTAGAATAGGTCTGAACCCTCCGTCCTTTTTGGTGACAAAGGAAATAAGTTGAGTAAAACCCAGCATTTCTTGTCCCACAGGAACCATCTCTATGGCTGCCTTGTCCAGCAGCGACTGGACCTCGACGCGAGCACTTCCGCCTTCTCTAGGGCAGCCCGGCACTGGAGTGCAGCGGATCGGAGAAGGGGGTGGGTCTCGCTTCCACTGTGGCAAGTGGCCTTCCCTGAGTGTGGACAGGACCCAGGGATTGGGCGTGACTTTTCCCATTCCGACAGGAAGAGGAAAGTCGACCACCCACAGGGATATGTGGCAGGAGACATTGAATGCGGACTTTGGCAGTACTCTGACTGCTTGGTCTGAGTACCAACAAGAGCTCGGAGGAATTATAGCTGGGAAGCGGGGCTGACTTCCCTTCCTCTGAAAAGGCTGGTGGGGCGCGCCGTCCTTGCCCTTGCCCCTGCCTCTGCCCTTACCCCTCAGCGACTGCAAGGGCTGAGCCCATTTAACAGATTCGCCAGCGGCGGCAGAAGGATATCACCCGGAGGAGACAACCGGGGGCATGGCGAGGCGTGTGAGGCTGTTCCAGCAAGGGCTTAGAGTCCTTGAAGGTTGAGACAGCCTCAGCGGCCTCCCGGACTACTGTAGCTGCCCGGGGAACAGGGTAGAACCCATCCGGAATGGCAGCGCCAGCAGAGCCTGTTAGCGTGGCAGGCGAATACCTGCGCCACAGGAAAGCCACAGGCGACGGAGGAGGCCATCGCGCCGACATCATTTGGCAAGCCCGGCGACCTGATAGAATCGCTAGCGCCAGATGTGACTGTACCTCCGTTAATTGCTTAGCCAAGGTGGAGGGAGGCGAATCTTCCTCCACCCACCCACATCCAGTAGTTGCCTCTGCAACACCGAGATGTGGCCCGGAATGGATCGTCACTTTGAGGCATTGAACCGCGTGCGGTATTGCTCTTCAAAGGATCGATAGAAGCGGATTTAAAGCGCTGTAGCGTTAGTCGTGAGCAGGCGGAAGCCGGCGACCTTCGCAGCTGAAGCCATAGAATTACCAGCGAACCCCCAGGGGCGACGGATGCGTAAACACAATCGTCAACCACTGGGGGATTGTAGAGGCAAGCCTCCCCCATGAGGTACCGACGGTCAAGTTCTGGCAAATCGAACCTGGACCTGGTACCACAGAGGAGGGGGTTGATTACTTCAGACAAGACTGAGGGTAATATCGCAGCCTTGTGTCCCCACCTTGGTGGGAGCAAAAGCCTCCCCTGGGAGGCGAAACTCCTGAGGGTCGGGTGCGCCAGTACTGACCACTACCTGGGGCAGGACAGAAGCAATACGCTCCCGTACCTGCCTCAGGGACGCACCGAGCGAAACCAAAGGCGTACCCAACTCCTCCCGACCCTCATCCTCCTCCATAGCCTCCTCGGTCGATCCTCAATGAGTGAGGTCTCTGTTTCCAGAGAGAGCTCTGAGGGATCATCGAGGGGTCTACAGAGAGGGACAAAGGCTTCGAGCAGAGCGGGTTGCCCGCACACACCGACCCAAGACTTCGAGACTGAGTCGGCGGTGCGTGATGAGGAAGAGCCCGTGCTGGGATTCCTCAATGGTAGACAAAATGATCCAGACACCGAATGGCCCGGCCAAGCCCGGCATGGCAGTGGGACCAATTAGCAGTAGCGGCAACTACAGGGACTGCCAAACTACTAACTACTGGACCAGACCCGAGCCAAGGCTCGGGCCGGTGTAGTTACTACAGCGGAGGGTGGCCAGCAACCGAGCGAGGCGAAACTTCGGGCCGGCGCACCCGACAGAAACCCCCACACCAGAGCCTAAGCTGAGGTTGGGAGCACTGCCCGCCATAGACCCGACACACACACCCGTACCTGGTGGGACACCAATCTCCTGTCGGAGGCCAGCCATCGCGTCAGCCGCGGAGTGTGGACGAATCCATCTGCTTCTGCAATATATCAGAAAGTAAATCAATTGTTAGCTGGTTAGAAACAGGGACAGGAGGGGGGGAAGGTGCCTGTGATGTTGAGGGGATGGCAGGTGAAGGAGCCTGAGGCCCTGTACCCTTCGCCCGTTTAGGAGCATCCCGAAGAGAGGGAAGCGAAGCCTTCTTTTTCTTTGTTTTATCTTTGTCTTTAGGCTGCTCCTGACCCCAAATGTCCCCCGCCTGGAAGTAAGGGCGTGTAGAACATGTAATCAGCCGCGTCTGGACTTGATGGTCGCGGGGAGAAAGCCTGACACATAGAACAACCTTGTTAGGTCATGGGCTTCCTCCGCTAAACAAGCGTAAGCAAACCAGGTGGCGATCCTGAGGCGACAAACTGCCGCTACAGGTGACACACCCCTTGGGCTGCAAAAACAGAACCGCGCTATGATAATAGCAAGGACTGTATGATATACATAATATAATATGCACACAACAAAACAGAACAAAATACAGCGCCGGGCGATATTTTAACTGCTACAGCAAAGCTATTAATTACTAGCGTAAAGCCAAAATAGCGGCGTAATTGCGATACATAGGTGACAAAGAGCAACATGTGTGGCGATTAACGTGAAGCGTCCGCGAAAACACTCAAGCAAAACTTACCTAAAGCCTGAAAAAGAGGAATTTAGGCAAGTATAATCTACAAAATGAAATATCAGCCCTTTCACAACCCGACTACAAGGCTTTTTCTAAAGCCAGGAGAAGGAGAAAGCAAAGCGGAACCAGCGGTCCGCCATCTTGCCTGCCCTGCGTGGCTGGAGACAGCGAACAACGCCCGGTAAAGTTACAACAAATCATGAATGAAAAAGTCATACAAAGATTCCAGCTAAGCCCGGCGAAAAAAGGAACCATACATACAGGATTTGACTCTATCTCACTCATCCTTATCGTATCTTGGACCATGCAAACGACCTACACGGCCGACGACAGCATGAAAAGTGAGGTACGAGGTACACAGCCAGAGTTACCTGCTCTTGGCTGTAGGGGGCCCTCTACGGGGCCCTGTAGGGGTGGTCTCACCACACATAACGAGTTTTTTGTTTGGTAAAATATTTTATTGAAATATTGTTACAACTGTCGTAGGCTTTTAAAATGGACATTTTAATGCTTATATGTACCCCAAGGAGGACTTCTTCTGAAAAAGAATTGGATCTGATTCTAACCTGAAATCCCCACGTGGAAAACAAATTGTTTGATCTTACTCTGTGACAGATTCTCAAGGTCATCATCTGCATCATCGTCATCAGAAGTGTCGAGTTTTAATTTCATGGTATCTCCCTCCTCCTCCTCCTCCTCCTCACTATCCTCAAAGTCGTCATCATCAGCACGCCCAGCGTTGACATCCTTGTCCGGGTTGTAGTCGTTGTCATCTTCCTCTGCCTCCCCATCCATGAAGGGGTTTGCCTGCCACAATACATCAAACAGTTTACATCTGTCCACAACATGGTCAAACCTATCCCGGAGTAGTTTGCCCTTGTCAAAAAGGACATGGTGTGGAATCAACCAGTCACATGACAACCAAATCCATCTTACTGCCACTTAGTACCAGCATAATACCAATTATAACCCCGAATTCTATGGGAGTCATATTGTGCCAGCGTTTGCATCACAATGATATTGAATCACAATCCCAGTTTGGTCCAGCTCCCATTAAGGAGGTGAGGTGAAATTGGATTTAACGTCGTGCTTGAGAATATTTCGCTCATATGACGACGTGCATGCGTGTGTGTGTGTATGTGCGGCTGCATGGACTAGCCCAGACTTAAGCTGGTTTTACAGTGCTAGCCCACTGAGACCACTTGAGGTAATTACAACTGTTACTATATCCTACCTCTCTTTCTTCGACTTCATCCTCTTCTTCAAATTCTTCCTCCCCAAACTCAGCATCAAACTGATCATCCTCAATGTCTGTGTCCGACTTCTCCGACATCTCATCATCATTGTCCAGGATTCTCTCCTCCTCTGTGTCAGTGCCACCTTCGAAACCCTCCTCGTTCTCCAGTGCATAGATCTCCTGTCGCTTCTGACGGGACTCCTCACGTTTCACCTTCATTTTGCTCTGAAGTTGCTCCTTCAGAGCCAGTAGCTTGGCTCCTTTAAACACAACCAATATCATAAAATTTGAGCAAATAGTAATAAGTGAGGGATTTTAAACAATGTTCCAGTCATAACGCTTCTGGCAACACCAGCTACTGTTTTGACAAAATGTTGCCATGGCAGTAATTGAACTCAGTCTTCAGGCTGACAAGCGAACACCTGCACTACCAGACTACCATACCAGAAATGTAAATTTGACCGTAGAAATATTGTACCCATGCAAAGCAAATCAGTGGTTGTAAGCATTGTGGCGGGATAAAATGACACACCTATGGCACTACCACACATTGTAACCACAATGATTCCTGACAATTAACTCCAGTTACATGCTGATGTGTGACCTCACCTGGCCTGTCTAGTTTCTGCAGTTTGTTGTCCTCCTCCTCGGCCACGTGGTAAGTAATGGACGTCAGTTTCAGCTCAGCTGTATCATCAGACACAGATGCTTTCTCTACAATACTGTAACAAATGCATAATAACTGGTTCAAGCTTTGGACAGGAATACATGTTTTAGCTAATTTCAAGAATTGTTTTACTGGGAAGAACATTTCAGTTCTTAATGCTCGGGTTACACATGTTCCAAGCGGCTTTGGCAAACGGGGACAAAACGGGATAATCGTGCTACAATGTGGGGGTACTGAATGAGCATATGTGACAGTCCGTGATTGCTGTGGATGCCATGCCAGAGTTTTAAATGGTTCAAATATTTGCCAAGACAGTCACGGTACTAATGATAAACCTAGTAGGCTGTAGTAAAATGGGGAATTGCAACAAAACGTGACAGCATGTAAAAGGCCACAACAAAACTTGTAGACAGTCTGTAGTGGGTCTTTAGCATGTTTAGTAGATCTAATTGTTTAGAACAATTCACATAATTACCTAATTTATCTTTTTCCAACCTATGTACCCTAACTCACAGACAATGTACAATTTGACTTGCCCACACTTAGCAATCTACCAGATGCAAACTATAACCCACCTAACACAGCTTTTAAGCAGAATAATTTTTAAAACATGTCACTCCATTGGTCCGACAATAACATACAGACCAGGAAAGATTGGACCCAAGAGAGTACAAACATCTTGAATACCAGTGATGGATTTAGGAATTCGATGATTGGGGACATGTGGGTCCTTGTATCCAAAAACAGGGGACATTCATCAAGAACAGGGGACAAATTCAATTTATTTTTTACAGGCTTTTGTGGTCAGGATACCACATGCCTACACGGTGGCAAACAGCAAAATGAGGTTTTAGGCTACCCCCTTGACAATGAAACTGAAGTTTCAACACACATTTTCCATTAAAGACAGCATTTGAACATTCTTAACTACAAACATATCCATGTTTTACCTGATATCAACATCTTTGGCATGCTTGTGCTTTTTATTTTTTGAATGTTCCATAAATCTGTTCAGGAGTTGATCTCTTCCAGTGAATACTGGCCCTTCATCTTCATCACCGTCTAGATCAATGAAGGAGTCCGGTCCACCGCTCAACTTGGGGGTTTCATCCTTCAGAGAGGACAACGCTTGGATTTTGGGTGTCATGGGAAGAGTTACTGGATTGTCAGCAGTTTCTTGTTCCTTGTCTGTAGCACTACTTTCCTTGTGATCACACGGAATCTCAGGAAGAACAACTTCACTATCAGTCTGTTTAGAGTCATTATTGGTAACTCCATCAGCAATTTCTAAGTCTGTATGACTTTCTGGACAGCTGTTTTCTTTAGGCACATTTTCCACCGTTACTTCTGAAGTTACATTGTGACCAGAATCCACATCCATTTGTTCACTCACACTTTCTGTAACACTTTCTTCAGGTTTTATCAGTTCCACTTTATTTACAATATTGTCGTTTTTGTGAAAATTTTCATCCAAGTCAGGGAGTTCATCCTCTTCAAAATCCATCTTTTTACTGAGGGCATCCTGTTGTGTGGAGCCATCCTGAGTCTCTGTGACTGGATATGAGGTGGGTGTGGCACAACTAGGGGTGGGCGTGGCATCTGTATCACTGTGCTGAGGCTGACTGGAGAGTGTGATAGCTGGGGAACAGTTGGCGATCATATGCTGAATCACACTGGGTTTCCTGAAACAAACAAGTTTCGGGGTCAGCTCCATATTGTGACATGATCATAGTAAGTGAGAAAGGTTTTACAGTTAGACAGTTTAATGAAGAAGAAATACAGTAATGCCAGTCAAAGATCTTTTCAAAATGTGACATATTCCTCTTCATCATAGCAGCAATATTCCTCAGATCACCGTAATGCAACCCCAACTAATAACAGACAATCGTAAAAACACAAAGAACTTCATTTACTAACAAAAACACAGAAAGAAACAGTTTCTCTTACTTGAATTCTCGAACCCCTTTGAGAGCTTTGTAATCTTGTTGTTTCTTTGTTGCTCGTGCCAGAAAGTCATTGAGGGACTTGGGTGTCGGCTGGTGGTATGGCAACACAACCTGGGACTCTGAACAAACATAAAGACATTAAAATCACAGTGAGTGAGTTTGGTTTTACGCTGCTTTTAGCAATATTCCAGCAATATCACGGCCGGGGATCCCAGAAACGGGCTTCACACATTGTACCCATACAGGGGAATGGAACCCTGGACTTCGGCATGATGAGCGAACACCTGAATCACTAGGCTACCCCACCGCCCCCATTCAAATCAGGTGAGGTGAAATTGGGTTTAACGTCGTGCTTGAGAATATTTCGCTCATATGACGACGTGCATGCGTGTGTATGTGTATGTGGGCTTCTTGTACTAGCCCAGACTGAAGCTGTTTTTTTAGTTCTAGACCCACTGTGATACCATGCCGCAGTGAAGCATGAATACCCCACTCAGACACATTATACTGACTCCGAGCCAACCAGTCCTTGTTGTACCCATTAATGCCGAGCGCCAGACAGGGACCAACAAGTACCATATTTTAACGTCTTTTGGTATGACGCGGTCGGGGATTGAACCCGCGACCTTCCGCTCTCCGGGCGGACGCTCTAACCACTACACCACGGAGGCGGTCCATTCAAATGAAAGCAACTGAAGCATAGTTAACGTTCTACAACATATTCATCAATATACCACCAGAATCATAGTATCCCGTACATAATCTGGGAGACAGTGCAGCCTTCTAAAGTTATGCTAGTCTGATAGAACATGCAGATGCTGATAGTGGCACTTTTCATTGACTAGTAGCATTTAAGGGCTGTTGCTCTTAACTAGTTCTCAATGCTTCAAACTGGAAATGAATAAAACTGACAACAGTAAAAATCATGTTGAATTCAAGCAAGACGAGCTACAAATTCTGAGGACTAGCGAAATAAGATTTCCTTTAGTCCCCTGGACTAGTAAACAAAATGTCCCGAATGTCTCAGGCTGAGAGGCCATTGCCTGTGAGATCATCCATTGTTGTACCAGGTATCAACACAATGTGATCAACATAGACATGATTTTTGTCTCACCATGAGGTTGTTTTTTAGGACAAGCATGAGACTCTGGGGTATAATCTGCAACTAAATCCCCACAGCTTCATTGAAACTGATGGAAACAAAAAGAAATACTGACATTCTGGGATGAGAACAACATTGAAAAATATGTCTGCATAAATTTTGTCTAAGGCCTTATCTGCAGACTGGGTTGTGTCACTGTCTGTATACTGTCAATAACTGACCTCTGACAAGTCTTTGTGATTCACTGTGGATGTCCATTAAGTCGTCTCGTTTTGGTTTGGCTTTTCTGTCCTTTCCCTGTCGAGTTTCTTGGCTGCTCCCTGGGAAACACAACTTCTATCAGTCATTGTTTCTAAATTGGTAATCCATTTCTTTTCAAAACACAGCATGCACAATTAGTGAGTATCAAGTAGAAATAGTTTAAGGTAAAATAATAATGTAATTTTTCAAGTAAAATTGATATTTTTATACTTATCCTGACTCATGATCTTTTGCTTATCTCCCTCCGAGTTACCTCCCTTTTGCCCTTTCCCGCGCAGTCATGTGACCAGCCTTACTTGTCACTCTCTCCTGAATTTCTGCCCATGCACTTGGATCTGCTGTGAAATCCTAAGTGTTTCCAGCGGGGAGGTTGGGAGGGCTTCTCGTCATGAGTCAGGATAAGTGTTAAAATATCAATTTTACTTGAAAAATTACATATTTATTCTTATCCTGACTCATGATCATGGGTCAAGCCACTTCTTGGATTCATCAGCTGTCCTTAGATACGTCCTGTATCCCCCCCCCATGGGAACTGCAAAACGGCATTTCCGTGATCCTATTCTTCCAACTTCCATTATAACTCATGTGATTCATGTGGCTCTGACCAGACACAAGGATGAGTCCTCTATATCCTCTTGTCCGAGGATTGTAGATAGCACTGGTACGTGGAACTGTCTATCTGGCTGACCAGGTAGTTGGTTCTTGGCAATGAAGTCCCATCTAAGTCCTAGATGAACTGCAGCATGTTGCCCCATGTCAAATCTGGTTCGACCAAAGTCCAAGCATGTATCTCTGATATTCGAGCTGCCGTGACTAGCGCAAGCAGGAAAAGAGTCTTCTGTGTCAGCAGCTCGAGGGTAGTCTGGTCTAGAGGTTCGTAGTTATCACTCGTAAGATGACGTAGAATTACATTCAGATCCCAGGCCGGAGCTCTGAACTTCTTTTGCTGGTCCTCCAGTTTTAGAGATCTCAGCAGAGCAAGTAATTCTGGTACTTTCGTCAACTTGATGCCCGTTTTCATGGTAATCACTGTACTGATGGCGGCGTGGTATGTCGATAATGTCGAATCTTTCAGATGTCTAGTCTGTCTAAGATGACACAGGTATTCCGCCACCTGAGGATGAGTAACTTTCATTGCAATGAAGCCTTTCCGCCTTGCATTAGTCTCAAACTTCAGCCACTTGTCATCATACAGGTTACGAGTAGATCTGCGTAACGCTAGCTTTACTGCCTTGGCTGCCCTGGCGGAGTATCCTCTTTTCTTCAAACATGTTTTGATACGGTCAGATTCCCGTGGACTTGATTGGTGTGCGGATGTATTATTAGTCTGTAGTTGTTTGTTGAACATAGAGATGTGTGTCGAAGGCCGGCTCTTGTAAATAGGTCCCTCCGCAAACGTTCGACCTGTGTCCACCACAGTAGATACCTCTTGAAGTTGTCTGGCAGCAAGATTGGGTCGATGCTGTCTAGATGTTTTGTCAGGAACCGTTGCAGCAGTCTTAGTTGTAACCTTCCTGTGCGAGTCAAGTCCTGCGCCGAGGTTAGTAGACCGACTAGAACTTGCCATGATCGTAGTGTTAACGGAGAGATGACTGCTAATGGAATCATGGCTTGTATCTTGACCCAACGATCTTCTGGGATGACATTACGATTCTGTGTTATGATAAACCTTATCCCCAGAAATTGCAGATCATGAAGTTCAGCTGTAGTCTGAGTTGACTGGCATCTTGGTGAACCTGAATTCCGTCGTCCAAGTAGAAGGCACTGCGTAGACCTCGATGATGTAGATATGCGACTATAGGCTTGGTTACTCGTGTGAATAGCCACGGAGCTGAAGATATACCAAACGGCAGGACGTTCCATTGGAAGTGCTGCCTTCTGAATAGGAATCGTAGATACTTTCCTGATTCCGAATGTATGGGGATGTGTAAGTACGCATCCTGCAGGTCTATGCTTGCCATGTAATCTGCTGGACGGACGAATAGACTGAGATGAGGTAGGTGGATCATTATGAACCTGTCTGGTTTCAGTAAATAGTTTTTGTTGAATTTGCGCATGTTGTAAATCAGTCTGAACTTCTCCTTGGAGCTCTTCTTGGGTACTAGAAAAATTGGGGAGTAGAAGCCTGGAGTGAGATGATGCTGATCTATTAACTCTGCCGCCTCCTTCATAAGTAGTGAGTTGATGGCTTCTTGTAGTCTGTCTGCCTGCTCCTCTGCATAGTCGAAGACCATCGGGCTGAGGGTTAGCGGAGGTGTGGCCTTGAGTTGTACTCTGTATCCTTCTCGTAGTACTTGGGAGATGTAGTCGTCCTCTAGTATTCCCCAATTTTTCCAGTACCTTTGTAGACGTCCACCCACTGTCGACAGTTTTACAGGAACGTCTGGGGGTGGAAGACTCCAGTCGTTCCGAACCCTGATATCAACGTCTAGTTCCTCTGGAAGCTCTGGGGCTGCGGCCTCTCCCTGAGTTTCCTCAGTAATTTCCGGATGGGCGACTAAAAGATCCTTTGTGGCCTCTGAAGCTGGAGTACTTCTTCTCCTTTGCCTTCTGTATGCCGGAATATTTGGACTTGCTGTTATACTTTTGCGAAGTGTGACGGATGACGTTGGCCAGGGTATCTATGGATTTTATCATCATAACTTCTCTAGAGTCGTGCGTAGCTTCCTTAGCTTCCTCGTCTATTTGTCCTCCAAAGATAGTAGGCGCCTCCCATGGAGCTCTCAAGAGCGGTTGGGTGAATCTGTCACTCCATGAACAGGCTGTAAGTAGCCCTTGTCTGTGTAATAAAGTGAGACCTGCAGATATAGATGCCAGATGGTCCGATAAAAAGTATCGGTCCTTCTTCTGAGTTATGAGCGCCGAATATATCATTGTCTTCTTCCGAACTTGGGTTCTGGAATTTATTGATCAATGCTTCATTGATGGCTCTGGACCTGGCCAACCCGAAGAAGGATCTCCTTGTAGCAGTATCAAGTTGAGATAACTTTTAATTTTCTACTTTATACATCTTGTTCCGGAAGTCGTTGACTAACTTTATGTTATCATCCCATTCAGGCGCCTTTATAAATGGATCCATATGATGTAAGGGGAATCTCTTCACATTAAATGATGGCAGATGCTGACTCTGGTACTTGGATGCTTTCGCGAAAGCTGTGCATAGGTTGGAGGGTACCTTGGATATAGGTTCCATTGGAGGGATAGTGACGGAGTCAAAGTTGTCGTTACGCATCATATAAGTGTAGACTTCATCTTTATCCTTAGAAGGAGACTCCAAGTTCAACCCATTGGCAATCAAAGCTGTAACCTCTGCGTCTGGGGTGACAAAGTCTGCTTGCTCATCCAGTATCTCCTGATTATTAGAGCTAGGCCTCCCTACGCGAACGTCTATCTTGAGAGTCCTCTCTTCGCGAACCTCTATCGGTAGATTCATCTCTTCGCGAACCTCTGTGATGTGAGCTTTCTCTTCGCGAACGTCTGTCACTAGGTGTATCCCTTCGCAAACTTCTGTGATGTGAGCCTTCTCTTCGCGAACCTCTGTCTCGTGATGAGTGACTTCGCTAATGTCTGTGAGAGATATGAGATCTCGATCTAGAGCGGCTAGGTGTAAGAGATGGATCCTTCGATGTTCTCGAACATTGAGGGTTCGCAGGTATAGAACGATGAGTAGGCATCTCATGTCTTCTATCCTCCTCCAAGATGACAGAGTCGTCCGACTGTGGAGACCTTCGCAAAGGTGTATGTTCGCCAACGTAGCCTTGAGACGTAGTTCTCTGAGGAGTAGATTCGCGCAGGTCCGTAGGTTTGCGCACGCTGTCGGTAGATGTGAGTGGCTTCGCCGAGCCTTCGCTTCTTCCTTGAATCTGCGTTCCATCATGGTCATCATCTGGTTGGTGAATTGTCTGATAAATTCACCCGGGTCAAAGTACTACATTGGTTGAAGCTGCTGCGGTGTAGAAGAAGCATTCGGGAACGCTGGTGAGTTCTGTGCCTCGACATCACTCCGTTGAGAAGTAAGTGGTAGTTCATCAAACAGCTGTCTTGCTGTGACCGTTGCAGGAGACGATCTAGTATTCGTAGAAGTCGATTGAGTCGCTGATCTCGTAGGTACTTCGGATAGAAGTAATGGGGGATCATCAAAAACGTCTACTTCATGTGGGGGTAAAATCTCTTCGTTGAAGGATTTCTGATGCATTGACTTACTGGCCCGCTGCTTTCTTCTGCGATGTAGAAGAGGATGGCGTCTTTTTCTTAGCTTGAGTTGGAGTCAACTGCGTTCTTAGCCCCCGTACCAGCAGACTTCCCCTGCAACGTACTCTGAATTTCAGCAGTAGCAAGCAACAGACGGTTTACAGGCTGATCTCCTGTTTTATCAGCCGTGACTTGAGATGACTTCCTCACCCGATCCATGGCACGTCTATAGATATAAGACAAATATTGATTAAATTGTAGATTTGATAAATCAACACAATAAGTACAGCGCAAGCTGGAAGAACATGGTTTTATGCACGAAGGGCATTGGGGGGTGAGGATCAGCCACTGATAATCTGTGCCTGCAAACACTGCAACATTTCATGAAATGTAAACAAAGTTACATAACGATGAAATTATGACACAAATACAAATAATTTTTACAATTTTTTTACATATAATACATTGTAGTTATTGCCAAATCCATACACAGCGTAATTTTGAAGAATAGAACCTAAATAAAACGGTATAATGCCGTATATGGGACTCCAGTGCTCGCCCAACCATCCGCTTGGGCGAAAAGGGAGAGAGTGACAAGTAAGGCTGGTCACATGGCTGTTTGCATGGGAAAGGGCAAAAGGGAGGTAACTCGTGGGTGAGTGTATTTTTACATCCGCTTCAGGAACTTCAAGGGATTCAAGTGTTCCACTACCATTCGCAAGGAAAAGGGAGATAAGCAAAAGATCATGAGTCGGGACAAGAAAAACGTTAAAAACTTAAAGGCATGATCGTGATCATTTTATGTATATATATGTATATTCACTTTGTGTTTATAAGGTAGTATTGTTTTCACTTGATTTCTCACAGTTCCGATAAGCTGACAAAAATCAAATACCTTCATTTTAAGAAGTTTGGCTTTTAGCTTAGGGTCAAGGTTGTCTTCATCGAACCCCTCGTCATCAGCATTATTATCCTCATCACTACTTCTTCCACTGTCTCCATCCCTAGGGGTAGCTGCCGTGTCTACAAACATACATAGGCTCCTGTAGCAGCCAACACAGTCCAGAGGCCCAGATAAGCTGCGTAACTGGGTAAAATATGCATAGAAAATTCCAATTTACGCATTGAAAAATAATTGTTGCGTACCAATTATGCATTTAAAATGTTCGATACGCAAAAAGTTAAAACAAATGCGTACGGAATATATTTATAAAAATCGCTTGCGTAATGAAAATGACATCGATTGCTATGTTAGCATAGGGCAAGGGTTGTACGGTCAGTATAGGATGAGTGATTTTTTATGAAATCATTTCCATTATATTTAAGTTGGTTTTGATTAGGTATGACATAAGGCAGAACATACCTGCTTAGTAAACTTACTCAATGACATAATACTTAGATGAGTAAAATGACTGAAATACGCTCATATTTGAAAGCAGTGGGTAACGGAAATTGAAATACCCACTCAACATTCATAATACCCACTCCCAAAAAAATACAGTGGGTACAGTACCCACATGAGCTAAATCTTATCTGGAGCTCTGACAGTCACTATTGATTCTACAAATTATATGCTGCAACATGAATTTCCTTGAAGATGACGTCTACAAATTCAAACCGTAAGCTTATTATTTAAAGCTCTATTCAGGGATGAGAATGGGTACGAGTGAAAAAAGAGGAAAATGAGCCTGGGGTCTTTCTCCTCGGATTTAGACAATTCACAAGAATGACCCCAGCAAATCTGTGGAATTTCGTGGATAATTCTCATCCCTGTCTATTAATACCCTCATGTGACATCTCCAACACAAGTCCTTGCTTCCATCTTGCACATTCTCACGCCACCTTGCCATCACTGACATAATTATAATCAATTAATCTTAATGTACACCATGCATTGAAGACAAATAATCTGAGTGTGAGTGAGTTACTACTGTTCTATTCTACAAACCTATACACAATTAAACATTTGCCAAACTGAACGTTCCGGCATAAACAGTGAATCATGCCGTTGGCATACATTGACACTGTGACCAACTGGTTTAGTTTTTACGCCGCACTCAGCACCTTTACAACTATATGGTCGCAGTCTGCAAGTAATCGAGTCTGGACCAGACAATCCAGTGATCAACATCATGAGCATCAATCTACACAATTGGGATACCTCAGTCACCTCTTACGACAAGCATGGGTTACTGAAGACCAATTCCAACCCGGATCTTCATGGGTCTGTGACCAACTGATTCGGTTTCCTGCAGTGAGTCAACGGGTAAGGTTTTACACTGTTTTAGCAATATTCCAGCAATATCACAGCTAGTGACACCAGAAATGGTTTTCACATATTGCACTCATATAGGGGAATCAAACGTATTTTGGGCAAATGCTTCAACCATTATGTTTTCCCAGGCTGTTTCCTGTAAACTAACACTGGATGGCACATAGAACAGGAATCATTCTGACAATATGATTACATTATCATAATTTTGTTTTATATGTACATTTCCTTACCAGAATCACTATCTTCTGCATCAAATAGGTCACTGTTGAATATATTTATCTGAAATCAGATCCCAGTTGTTATTAAATCATCCAACATTTTATTCCCATAGGTCAGCAAGCAAGTTTAAACAAAAGTCACCAGAAGATGACAAATCCCCCTGGTCCCCATAAATTTGAAAGAACAAATCATCTGACAGTTACTTAAAATCCAACTTGATTTTTTTGGGACTAACCCCAATTCCATATGGATTTTATAAATAACAAAGCCACAGGGTCATCAGTACATTTAACATTTCATACTGTCTAAGGCACATAATTTACCAGGCCATAGAGTAGTTACTTTCTTCCAGGTAACTCTAGTTAAACAGACCATATCATTAACATCCAACTGGAAACACAAAGAGTCATTTGTCAAAAAAGGGTCAAAATGTACAACCATCGGTCATACAACTAGTCTTAGAAAATAAAATCATTCTAAATTATGAAGGGTCACTTTAGTCTTACACAGCTTTTAGCAATATCATGATGGGGGGGCACCAGAAATGGGCTTCACATAATGTACCCATTTCAGGAATCGAACTCAGGTCTTTGGTGTGATGAGCCAACACCTTAACCCACTGGCTACCCCACTGACCCTCAAAATGTATACAGATTTATAGGCAAGCCAATCTGTCAAGTTGACAACAAGGCTGCTTTCCAAGGGTTCAATTTTCATAACTCTCAGTTCGTTAGGACCTTTATGACCTGGTTTCACACATTTTATCATTCTTTTGTCAATACACACCTTTTTTGGAGAAGCATCTTGTTTGGGATCTGAAAAGGTGAAATCATATAATTACATATTATTATGTGCTTGCCAGTTATACACATTTATTTTTTAAATTGTCAAGTCATTACCAAACATTCTGGCTCGAACACATGCTTGGTTTAAATTTAACAGGTATGATTAAAATGTTGTGATTATAAACTTCTGACATGGTCGAGGAATGCAGCAATAATAATTTAATATTTGAATAATTATTGACCAACTGGTTATATATATATATATATATTGGCAGCATTTACCTTCATTCTCACTGTCAATAGCTGTCATCTTTGCCTGTCAACAAAAAGCAAACATATTATTAACATTACTGACAGATCCACTATCATGAATAGATGATTTCAATTTGTGACAACAAGGTTTAAACTCAAGACACATGAAGGTCATCAATTTACACACAGCACAAAGTACCTTTCTTTTCTTGACGGCATCTGTTGAGCTGTCACTCTCTTCTCCACTTTTTTCATCCCCCTTCACAGAAGCTGTGAAAACAAAAGTCAACGAACATGAAAACAACAGGCAGGTAACTTACCTACCGGTAATTTGGTATAAAGTTCATAAATATGGCTCCTACTAAGTTAATATAGAGACCTGTGTTATATCATAATGTGGCAGCTTGTGTTGCTTGAAATGATAAAGCAGGGTTTTACGTGACTCACAAATGTGCATCTTGTGCACACAAATGTAGAGAATGGACGCAGAAGAAAAATTCAATACATCCAGAGGGACGCACAACATTATTCATTGTACCCACAACACATCAATGACTTTGCTAAGTGTTTGGTTGTTTCTGTCATAGCAGTTAGTGAATTACATGCATTATTTCATCCAACAGTGCACATGATCAATGATTCATTCCAGGCTTTAATAAAATTGTCAAAATGTACAGTTCTCTACCATGTCTACACTGTTTCTTCACAGGATCCTCATATTGCCTGCAAGGACCCTTAAAACTAATGATTAGGGGTTCCCAGGACTCCCATGTTTGTGAGTCGAGGTAAACCCCTGATAAAGTCATAAACCATTAATGTGTGTAGCCAAAATAAACATGAACAAGGCTCCATGTCATAGTGATAATAAATTTCAGGGACTGATAGGGTAGCACATTTAAATACTATGTGAGTAAACCTGATGGTCCCCAGGAACCTCCGTAATTTAAACTCTATGTAGATCATACAAAACAAGCTTCTACTTACACTTTGACTGTGCATCCTCATCGCTGTCTGAGTCGCTGTCCATGATGCTGGAGAGAGCCTCTGAAATTGTCTGGAACCAAGTAAGACATTTGTAAATAAAGATTACTTGAAATGTCTGTAAGCAGCCACCAGGCCGGGACCAGGCTAACCGAGAGCACTGATAACTCATTGTTAACATATGCCTCATTCATAGTGCAGATGGAGCTGTCTTAAACATATCAAAGAGTAAAATGAGAAGAAGAAGAAAAACAGAAGAATCAAAAGTAGTATCCATGACCTGATTCTTTTCAATGCTTACTACCTCAAACTTTACAACATGTACATGTGACCTACATCATTATTCCTTAATGGGACATATAGTTCAGTCACAGTGCAGATGAACCTGCCCTAAGCATAACAAGGAGAATGATAAGAATGTAGATTAGGTAAAAGGATGAAATATTACACCCATACTGTCTACAACCTCATTGAAAACACTATCTGAAAAATGTACCTTTTTCTTTGTATCCTTTATGTTTGTAGTTTTAGTATTACTCTCAGATTCCTCTTCAGACATGGGCTCCACATCTTCGATGGCATCTTCTGCATCACCATTAGTATCCTCATCATCGTCATCAATTATCAACTGTAACATTAACCAGCACAAGCTGTACAGTTCTTCTTTACCACTTATCTGAAAGGTTTCTTAATCCCTGTCAACATATCTCCTTGAACTTTGAACAATGTATATTGGTTATTATCAGTACATCCATGAAAGAAAATACTCACATGTTTCTTGTTTTTCTTCTTTATGACCATTGGTTCATCTTCACTGTCTGAGTTGAGGTCTACAACGGGAGTGAGTGAGTGGGTATGGTTTCATGCCGCTTTTAGCAATATTCCAACAATATCACGACAGGGGACACCAGAAATGGGCTTCACACATTGTACCCATGCTGGTTACAACAGGAGGACAAACCTCAATTCATCATGCAGCATAAAGGTCCACTGCTTAGGACACTGACCAAAGAAAAAGTCTCTTAGCCAATATTGTAAATTATTAAAGTAAAACTAATCATAGTAATTTCTCATTGTGAAATACTGACACCAAACATTCATCAAATATGCTGAATATGAATTATATAACACCAATTGATTAAATGGCAATCAGAATAAACAATGTCACCTGCAACATCTGGAGATGTCCCCGTCATTTCATCATCCATTCCAGAGTCCATTTTCTCACTGGTTTCATCCTCTATCAACTTACCAGGGGGATCTTTACTGCCCTCATCAACCAGGACAGCCTGACATGGATAAGCATGTGGAATTTAGATTAATAAACACAATCATGATGCACACATACAGCATGTAGTATTTACATATTTCACTTGGTTCAGATGTTCTCTCCTGGTTTTTGCCAGTCCCTGTGATTACGATATGAGTTTCTGTCTGTGTAATTGTTGCATTTCATGGTTTATTGGTGTGAACATTGTCACAAGAAAGAGATCCAATATTTGTTCTAATGTTGGATTCACAGATTGGATGGGACAAGGTCTACCAAAATCAACTGAAGGAAGTGTGTTTGTTCTTTATCTTTGAAAGATAAGACAGCCATAAGCCTGAACCCCGAGTCATCTCTAGTTGGAAAATTATGTGGACCACTTTGTCTCTCCGCTAAAAATATGCTGACACTTATATATTTTATATACTCACATACTTGAAGGCTTCAATGTTGTATTTTCTGAGACGGTACATTCATCATGTTCATAAAATAGCATAAAAATACACTTTCTCCATCGTCGTTAACAATGACAACAAATGACGAAATGTTCACTGATAAGCGATGAAGCAGACGATTTTGTCTCATAATTAACAATACATTGCCGGTTCTGTCGACAGAATGACTACATCTAGATACCTCTTTTGCATCCTCAGCTTCTTCCACCACACCAGTCATTTCTGTTGTAATATAATCCGTAAGTTGGCACGATGAATACTTCTTTCCCTTCGTGTCAGATTTGGCGCAAGACGATCATTTAGTATTTCCCGCTGTAAAGATTGACGCATGCGTATAACCAACTTCCGAATAAAGGGCAATCACTCTGTGTCAATAGCGTTGGTGTCATGTTGAGTTCAGATTCACTTGATCCAGTTCGATTCCGGCCAAATTAATAACACGCGGTCATAAACTGTTGTTGTGTTTTGCAGTTGCTGCCGCGGGATTTGACAGAAGTTCTGTTAGTTTTGTGGTGACAAAGCAGCATAGGAGATGGGTCTGGGCAGTTGTTTAAAATCACCGTTTTGTCATAAATCATGATACCTGAGACTGAAGCCACATAAAATAAATTTCTTGTTTTTCCTCACTTTTTATAAATAAGTATGGGTAGTTTTTTTTTGCTGATTTTCTATACAATGCTAGTCGTTTATACAGTATTATCTGCCAGGCGTGTAGCAAGCCAATTCTTTCGTGTAAGCCCGATAGGTTGCAAAGCTTTATATTTAGATAGTATTGAGGGCTTGCCCAACCTTTTAGCAACAGTCATGTGTAAGCCCGGGCCTTTTTCTATAATGGTAGGTACGCCTCTGTCTGCATGTTATATCTGTTAAATGTTTGTGTACAAAATATGCCGATATCAAATCATTTATAAATATGTGTTCTTTTCAAGGTGATTGCATCTTTGTACAATAAATAACCATACAAAAAAAATGTTTTATCACCGTCAATAACACTGAACTGTTATTCCTGTCTAGCTGAACTTGTCTGTAGACTGAAGCTTTCCCGGTCTTCATGCCATAGATAATCAAAGAAAGAATTCCAAGATTCCGAGGGAATATTTATTAAAAACATCTGATATTGTCATAAAATCAGGCATGCAGTGCAGAACTGAACACATGTGAGGCTTGTTTAATTTTGTGTGTAGGACAGGAAATTGTGTCTGATCTTATGACATTTCCCTGATACTTGTAGTCTTTGTGTCATATACCCCAAGACCTGGCTGTTGAAGCAGAAGTCTTGATTATGGAGGATATTTGCTTGTTCATTATTGCAGCACTCAGGAATTTTCAAGCTGTATGACGGTTGTCTGTAAAGGACTGAATCTTTACAAGGCAATCCAGTGATTGACATCATGAGCATTGATCTACGCCTATGGGATAGGATGACATGCATCAACCAAGTCAGCAATCATGTTAGTCCCCTTCTTATAGCAAGCATGGGTTGCTGCAGGCCAATTCTAACCAGGATCTCCATGGGTAAAGATTAGTGTATCAAGTAAGGCAACAAATAGCCAAACAGGGTACAGTCTCACATTGCAGCGTTTGAACAAAATAACATGACGATTTGTAAATGCCGAAGGTGTTGGCCAGATAGGTACATCAAAATCTCACTGTGCAACATCAGCAGATTCAGTCATTTGGTGGTGTCTTAGAATTGGATCATCAGAACCCAACCAACTTTCATGCAGGTGACAAAACATGGATTCACCACTGGGATCCTGAATACAAGCAGGAGTCTGCTGCAGAAGCACCATGAGTCCCCACTTCCAAAGACGTTCCCCTCTTCACCATCAGCAGGCAAAGTCCTTGAAAGCTAAACCATCTGCCCCATTTTGTGTAATTTCTAACAAATACAAGAAAAGCAGACTTCAGACAGGTATTTTATTAACAAGACAAATAAACATGTAAAATAGGACGAAAATAAATACTGTACAGCTTCTTATGTAAAATAATTGCTGAATAATGGAACACATATCATACACAAATGTGCCTGAGATCAACGACTCTTGTTTCCACAATGCAGAACGTGAGGACATGTTGCAGCATCTGATATCTTTGTTGAAGGAATTTCTTTGGCATTTCCTTCCTAACAAAGACATGCTCCTGTGTCAAAATACAATCTAAGTAAGAAGTTGAAAAATATAAAGCTTGTTACACTTTGTAAATACTGCTAATCCTGATGCTGTTTTGATATACACGACTAAAAAGACACTGTCCTGTTTATATAATCTCTGAAACAAACCAACTTGAACAGCAAAACTTTGGATGGAAACATTGTAAAACATATATTTTTTTCACTGCACACAAATATATTTGTAACATGATGAAATGGTTTAACAAAACTGAGGACATGTTTTCTTTCTACTGACACCCAATCCATCACCTTTTCAAAAGATCTTAGTTTCCCACTGTAGTTTTATGCATATTTGTCTTTAATCTAAAGTTATAACTAAACTAATAGAAAATACACTGGTACAAAACTAAATGGAAAATGGCAGACATAGAATCCAGAATCAGTAATCAAGTGGTTATGGCCACATAATATAATCACATTAATCAATACGTAGATTCTTCTTCTCCTTTTTAGATAGATTATATACTGAAGATTGTAGCACAAATAATCAGCTTTCATTTTCGATATTTGTATTGGATTGAGAAGCTGACAAAGAAAATGAAAAAGGCACCATTTCCTGTTAAGTTTACATTATTCTATAACTAGACACCATATTCCTATTATTCCCAAACATTTATCTTGACAGCATCACATACAAATCATGATAACAGACACCTAAATATGTCTTGCATGATATACAGTCTTTGTAGATATCATGAGCAGATATACATATACCCTTCACCATCAATAACCCGTGGCATCTTTGGTCTAGATAGATATATATGGACCAGTTATCACTTAACATACATCATATCATGATAATAATATTTCCAACGTATTTCACATTATCCTTGAATTTAACATTCATTTAATGATGCACACTCAAAACACAACCTCTTCAAATATCTACATTCCTTGTCACTGTCGAGGTGATTTAAAGCTTCATTTGCAGATCTTTGTCGCTGGATAGCTCTATTGAGGGCTACCTGCACAGATACACTGTTTGTTGTTTAAGCTGCACTTACCAACATTCCAGCTATGAGAGGCACAGATACAGCTTTTGGGGAAAACAAAGAGGGTAGGACGGCATTGTTTGGAGGGTGTCCACTTACCATACAACATGCTTGATAAATACTACTAATTAGCAAAACAATTTTAGAAGTCATCATAATCATGTTGATAAGGGACCGTTCATAATCATAATTTATGGCTGGGGGTGGGGTGTGTGTCACCCATTTTGTTCTGGAGAGCAGGGTGGGGGTGGTCATCAATTTAGTACACATGAATTGGGGGAGGTGGGGTGGGGGGTGTTAAGCAATTTGTAAAACTATGCATTGATTTTGTACATGGCCTGTAGGATGCAGGGGGGTCACTTTGTACATACATTTTGGTGGGGAGGGGGGTCATTCACATTGTACATACTTCTCCATAAAAATCATCATCACCCCCACTAGCCATACGTTATGACAGGTCCCTAATATACCATGAAATAATTTATTTTATTAGTATGTCATACAGACCCTGAAAGAAATATATCCAATACGGCCAAAAGAGGCCTGTAATATTTGGCAGGTCTACGTTACTGCAGTGTCAGTATATCAACATTTTGGGGAATAGATATTTGTCTATTTTTGTTGTATTGCCAGTGTCACTTTGCCATGGCGTTCCAGTTACTGTCAAGATTATAACTCCCATTTCAATGTAAAAGAGGAACACATGAGTGCCTCCAAGCCTTGTATTTCCCAGAATGCCCATACAGGAACTGCAGGTTCACAGCAGTTACAAAAACTAACACCGCTCATTTTATGGAATGAGCATTGGAATGGAATACAACAGTTTTTGTACATGTTTAGACTGAATAAATAGTTGGGGACGTGTGTGTGTGTGTAGGCTACTGCTCTGATAATATATGTATTTGAATTATTTCGACCACGGCGTTGACCAGATCATGGAGACATTACACCCATATGAACTATTCAATATTATGTTGCTACTTCCTTGCTGTCGCACACAATCAGACCATCTTGTCCCCACTCAGTGGGCCTGATGTTTATTCTTATCCTCATCCAGGGCTTCTGGCAGGTGAAGCGTCCATATGCAGGTTTGTCCCACACCTGTCATGCTGACAACAGAGAATCCTTTCTTCTCCAACTTGTTCAAGACAACACGGGGAGGGTCAGGGCTCTTGTACTCCAGGCTACAACAGAGACGAGGACAAACTTTTGATCAATGACAACACAGGAAGGGTCAGGGCTCTTGAAATCGAGGCTACAACAGAGAGCGTAAGAGACAAACTTTTGATCAATGACAACACGGGGAGGGTCAGGGCTCTTGAAATCGAGGCTACAACAGAGACGTAGAGACAAACTTTTGATCAATGACAACACGGGAAGGGTCAGGGCTCTTGAAATCGAGGCTACAACAGAGACGTAGAGACAAACTTTTGATCAATGACAACACGGGAAGGGTCAGGGCTCTTGTACTCCAGGCTACAACAGAGACGTAGAGACAAACTTTTGATCAATGACAACACGGGAAGGGTCAGGGCTCTTGAAATCGAGGCTACAACAGAGACGTAGAGACAAACTTTTGATCAATGACAACACGGGAAGGGTCAGGGCTCTTGAAATCGAGGCTACAACAGAGACGTAGAGACAAACTTTTGATCAATGACAACACGGGAAGGGTCAGGGCTCTTGAAATCGAGGCTACAACAGAGACGTAGAGACAAACTTTTGATCAATGACAACACGGGAAGGGTCAGGGCTCTTGAAATCGAGGCTACAACAGAGACGTAGAAACAAACTTTTGATCAATGACAACACGGGAAGGGTCAGGGCTCTTGTACTCCAGGCTACAACAGAGAGGTAAGGTCCAACTTTCATGTTACGAGGTTATCTGCAGTGATCAATTCTTATCCTCATTTTATCTATCATATTGATAGTGTATCTGTGTACAAATCATTTGTCCATGCAAATTTATAAATGGCTATATGTTGGATTATAAGTTCACCAGATGAATTTTGAAGGAAACCATTGATCAAAAGAGAGAAAACAATGGAGTATGAAGAGAAATCCTGAGTTATTAGATAGTGAATTAATTCAGACTGTCCTCACAAGTTGTTTCCAAGTTGTTTGTACAACGAAGCACCGAGATAGTCCATCAACTGGATGTCACTCCATTCATCTCCAACAACTGTCGGCCCGTTTTCCTGGAAATATAACATAACACAGATCAACACAAGCACAGGATTACGTAAAGTCATAGAAATGACATTTCAATAAAATATATATGAGCACAACAAAATCACATATTCTATATAAGCCTTTGCCTTTGTCAACAGTTGGTGCAATTAGGCAGGAGTGTGTCCTCTCAACCAATCAAAAACTGTCATAGAGTCACTGACCATGCTGACAATGACCAGGCAAAACATCAGACTTGATGATGAACATTGTTTGAATAATTTTAATTTATCCATGAATGAACACCACAATAACCAGTTTAGTCAATAATTATTTTGTGAAAAATGTGTAACATGCTTATCCTTGGAATTTCCAATTCATAAGGAAGCACATATATGACCATGACAACTAAATAAAGTTACAATATGCTCACAGAAGAAATCTCAATCATGTGCATGGTGTGTGATTTCAGTTTACATTAAGCATTAATTATGAACTTTCAAGTACTAATTTCAAACTTGTTTTGTTTAAGAACTGATTTAGCCATGTCAGCAGGGCCATGACTTCCCATGCTGTTCTGTTGTACATCAGATGTTTGTAGAACCAGGTATTTCAACATTCTGCCATCTTTAAAGCTCACTTCCACACAGCTCAAGCTGCATTTGGTTTTCTGAGGTGTGGAATTTAGATTGAAATATGACCAAAAGCCATTTCTTTAGTTTTAGTTGCCATCTGCCATCTGTCATAAAAATAAGGGAATTTACTCTGTAAAACCGTAACATGTTGGATAATCATATCTCAGTTACCAGAGTCCAAAATTTCTACATCACCTAACCCTACATCACCTAGCCCTACATCCCAGTGTGACAAATGTACCAATAATAGACACTGATCATATGATAAAAAAATCATCTTTTGCATTTGAACATAAATATCATCTGATCACTATAAATTTACTCTACAAGATTCAATTTGATTGATTACAGTCTGTTTAACATCCATATTGTTTTACATCAGATGGGAAGCACAGTAATAATATTTGCATTCATTCTTAATCTTTATGCATATATATGATGCGAAAATTGCCTCCAGTACAGCCTCATATTATGAAAACATAGGTCACATATATTTCATCTCTTTTAAAATATGGGCGACTATATTTGAGCTATAAACTCTGGTAATGAGAGGAATATTGAGGAAGGTGCCTGGAAAGCGGCATCATTTGAGGATATGAAGATTGTATTGTCAAGTAGCCATATTCCAAGATCGGGTTAATCTTCCAATAATGTCATAAAAATCAGTGCCTGTTATATCGGAGGTAGCATGCACTGATTTTTATATTATGATAATCTCGCACTGTTTTCTCCACAAAAGTGCCTAGATATAAATAATACCGTTATATGCTGAACAGATTGTATGAAACACTAGGTAATACTATGATGTAGCTGTGGTTGAGCTGAGTGAGAAATGGTGACGGATCTACATATCATAAACATTTCATTTAGATAAAAACAGATGCAAGATAGAGTGCAACAAAAAGGGCAGCATGTCTATTTCAGTTTGCTGCCATTTTTTTCAGTAAAATAATATCATATGTACCAGTCGTATCTGCGTGCTGATCAACATGTACGGCATTGTCACAGTTAATATTAATATCGTATATTAATATCGTAATATTTTGAATCCGTGCTTGCAGCAACTTGGTCTTGGTTGTCGCTGTCGACGTCTCACTTCCGGGTCTGGAGTTACCTGCCCTTTGCAGGTGCGCGTCGTCTGCTACACACTAGACTTAACGAGGCTCTAAATGCTATTTTTCTCCTCCAGGTTGTGAATTGCACACGTTCAAATATAGTAATGTTTATAGGTATATAATTGTTATTATATCTTAACACATTGGCCTGTACTTGAATCAAAAGTGCTTCTCGCCGGAGAGCCTAGGAGGAAATGCAAGAATACTAGTATGCGAACAAATATGCTTTTGGATCTGAAGCTGCTGATTAAGTCAGACAGAAGCATCATCGCCAATATCCCTTGATCTGGTCGTTCCAAAGAGACCATGACTTGAGAACGTCAACCACGTGATTGTCAGACTGTTAACGTTGGCACCAGTGGGATCAGTTTGGGGACAGTGCAGCCCCTCTTAACTATAATATACTCCACATGAAGAATCTGTGCGCAAGATGGTTACCCTGACGGCTGCCACCAGTAATTTATTGATGGTGCAGGGAAATTGGTCTTAGGGCTGCATATTTTACTGACAACCCTCCTCGTTTTATGCGACCCTTTAATTCCAGTTCCTTCCCAAATCCCTGCAACAGTTTTACACGAACTCCTGAAACACACATCCCTTCCTATATCGAATGATCAGTCCAATTATAATGAATTATAGTTCCCAGGCTTTCATAAGGAAATTCACAAGGTCCAAAACAACTTATTGTAGACACTTTTCGGGGCGAGCAGAACTACTTCAATTTTAGCAGCTACAGCCGACATGGGATTTTGTGTGTGTGTGTGTGTGTGTGTGTGTGTGTGTGTGTGTGTGTGTGTGTGTGTGTGTGTGTGTGTGTGTGTGTGTGTGTGTGTGTGTGTGTGTGTGTGTGTGTGTGTGTGTGTGTGTGTGTGTGTGTGTGTGTGTGTGTGTGTGTGTGTGTGTGTGTGTTAGGGCCAAGAAGTGACTGTTTATTATCTACAAACCGTCAGTTGTCTATGAACAGAAACCCAATATGGGACTATACAATTGTGTCTTTCATGGACTTATACAATACTCAGGCTGACTATGTATCTTGGAAATTACACAGATTGTTTTGATTACACATGCATTACCGTAAATTGTCAAAGACACCTCCGGAATACCGTGTTCTGCGATATTCGGGGGAAAGGGCAACAGACTATGGAGAAACATGATGTATAAATCAGATATAGATGAGCCTGTGTTAAACTGTCGAGGTCACAAAGATGAATTTCAGTATCCTCTAGGTATAATCTCTCTCTTACACGCACGCACCCACGCACGCACTAACATGTAATAATAAGAACAATCTCGTGTATATGATGTTTTCCTAGCACCATGTTTTGAACAATATATGTTTCAAATATTGTATTACATAAATATATTAACATCGTGTACTTATAGAGTGTATTTTCGTATAAATAATATATTGCAATATCGGTGAGTTCCTGCGATCACTTAAAATTTCGATGAACAATATTGAATGAAATTTTGAATACAATTCACAAAATATATCGCCAACATTAATCTAGCTATACAATAACTACTCTGTATAACCAGGATCTGGTATTCCCGAAAAATGAAGCTTTTAATTCCGTATGTATTTAGTTTCATGTTAATATCGTCCGGTAGGCCCAGATTTCTTGGGTGGGGTAATATGCATTTTACCACACATCAACCACGAGATTTATTACTTTCACTGAAACCCTTTTAAAATCATTGCTCTGGTGATTTAAGTCGCTACAGAGGTGGGGATCTAGTCAAATGGGCCGAAGGAAAAAAAGGGCCGAGAAGTCAAATAGGCCGATGCAAAAAGTCAAATGGGTCGTGCATTCGTGACCAACTCGTGTTATTCCGGCACAAGCCGAATAGCGAACGGAAAGGGGCGAGTGGTGACGAATGATGGGTCGTGGTAAAAGCGAAATGGGCCGTGACAAAATGTCAAAAGGGCCTTATTCTTAGTCATATGGGACGAACAAAAAAAAAAGTTTACAAAGTTGTATTTTTTCGGCCCTTTTGTCCTTCGGCCCAATTTGACTACAACCCCAGGTGTGAAAGTCACATGCTGAGTATGGATACCATTTTATATAACTGCCTTCTGTTGTCAGTATAATGATGTTTAGATTCTTTTCACATTAAAGAATGATGATAATTTTATGGGTTTACAACATCTTATTCCTCTGTGATAGGTGATGTTTCGACATAGATTCTAATGTGGTTGTCAAGCATTGATGTCACATTGTTTATCTATAACTGTCAAATGTCCATTTGAACATGTTTTAAATGTTATTTTTTTAACATTGTTTTGTTATCACTGTTTTCAAGTTTTCTTTTGGGAAAAAATAATAATTAAACCATGAGTTTTATCATGCCACGTCGCTTACATAATGCTTACACTGTAAACCCATTGTAAAGTTTATTCATGAAACGTTGAGAAAGTCTACTTGATTTTGGAGTTATCTTTCCTTAGTAACCTTTGTTTTATAGGTGGCGCTTCAAATTGCCAAAACAATCAGCGACAATCGGCGAGTTGTTTTTCGACTGTATCAGAGTTATTATAATGCAATGTCATTTTTTCGACAACACGCGGCGATCATTTCGGGTATTGGAACCACTGTAATATTTGGTGCAGGTGCCACAATTTTGTATTTTCGTCTGGCGCAAGTCGCACGAGAGCTAGAGCGGCTTGGTGCTACAGTCGCAAGTCTCAAAGCTGACTTTGCAGAGCTCCGAGAGCGACTTTCCACAAGCTCTGGTCGAAGAAGAAAGAATCCTTCGTTCTATTCACTCGCGACAAGCAGCGGAGATGACGATGAAGAGGTCTATCTGGATGCTTACGGAGGGTAATAATGTGTACACTACTTGCCACAGCAGTTGAGATATTTTTTTTCTTCTGTAAAAATTGAGTCAAGTCATAGGCCTAGTTGTTGACTTACACACTTTAAAAATATCAAGTCGTCTAAGCTTCCAACAGTATGTGTATCAATTCAGGAATCTATTGTCTTTGAATTAATGATGTAAAACCCTTGACATGACAATACTAGGAAGTAATTTAGGAAAGATTTCCTCCCGTAACCCCTGTTTTTTTATCATTTGGGCCTAACAACAAATGTTTTTTGTCAAAAAAACCTCATCACTAACCCTTACCCTAAACTAAACGAACCCCTAACCCTAAACCTAAAACCTCAAAATAATCCTAATAAATAGAATACATTTCAACCGGGGGTTATGGGCGGAACTCTTCCCGTAATGTATACAGTAATTATGTGTTTGCCACTGAACATAACCCTAATCCATGTGTTTTGATATATAAAGTCATATGTAGGCTACAGATATATTGATATACAGACAGTCTCTGTAGTATTCTAGGAGATGTAGTGAGTGATACAGTTAAATGCATATTCTTCAACATGTTTCTGTCACATGTTTTTATTTTTGTGACCCTGTTTGGTCAGCAATAAGTTGGGGCATGTTCAGAAGTGGAATAATGGGCTGTTGTATCCAGCATATATCGATATACAGTCCGTTTGAGTCAGAAATGGACAGATGAATTGCAAATTTTATCATTGTACAAAATTGCCACATAAATATAAATAGTACACATGTTTATCATTTACTAATACCCAACAGCTTTCTTATATTTGAAAATTTTCCGGACTCCACCAAAGAAGTTCTTTAAGAAACTATCATTAAAATTTTGACACAGTTCACTATTTGTTATGAGGGAGGAGTGCAGAGAAAGGGACAGCCAGGTGTTAGAGAAGCACGTGCACAAGTGCCTACCAAGTTATTGATTCATTAGCCTGTGCTGTGCCGTCTCAATCCTTTCTCGCACACCTTGCTGTCCCTTTCTCTGCACTCCTCCCTCGTAACAAATAGTGAACTGTGTCAAAATTTTAATGATAGTTTCTTAAAGAACTTTTTGGTGGAGTCCGGAAAATTTTCAAATATAAGAAAGTCTCAAACGGACTGTAGGCTTGATAGGGAAGAGATTTAAATGTGTTCTTTTTACATTTAGATCTCCATTACACATGCAATACGATCCTAATATTCATAGGCTGCTATGACATGCTTGGTGCTGTGACTGTAATGCAATACTGAGGATAATGTAATCACAGCTGGCCTGGCTGAGGTGGTTGTAACTGCCTTAGTTAAGCACAGCATTCGGACATTGTAGAGCTAAGGTTGTTTTGTACAACGGTACCCAGTGCATTTTCTGAATGTATTTTAAGCCCACTGGACAATCTTTTTACTATCAAATGATCATAATGAATAATGGCAGTGATGAAAAAGTGAATTTATAAAAGAAAAAAACAAGATTTGGTATTATGGTGAAAGTGAATAGATTGTTTGAATACATTTTTGTTGAATACAGCTAGGAAAACAATACTGTTTCCCCCCAGATTCCCACCTTCTTACAAATCAAAATTACACACCCTTATCAAATGGTGATGTGCGAGTGAGTGAGTAGGTTTAGTTTTACGCCACACTCAGCAATATTCCTGCTATTTGGCGGTGTTTTTTAAATAATCGAGTCTGGACCAGACAATCCAGTGATCAACAGCATGAGCATCGATCTACGCAATTGGGATACAATGACATGTGTCAACCAAGTCAGTGAGCCTTACCATCCAATCCCGTTAGTCACCTCTTACAACAGGCATGGGTTATTGAAGATCAATTCTAACCCAGATCTTCACGGGTAGTCTGACTCAGGGGTGGAAATAACTTTAAAATTGCTAGTGTACTCCGTTACTGTGGCACATGTAAAATCACTTGCCCTGATCATTTTTCCACTGTACCGGCCAATTTTCTTGTTGATTTTTTAAATAAACAACACAATTAACATAGGAAAGTCAACTGGACACTGGTACAGCGTGATATACAAATTTGCTTGCCCGACAGAAAGAAACACTGGACTGGGGCGTCGGGCAATGGGTTATTTCCCCCCCTGTGACTCTGAGTGTGAAGAAGACAGTGCATCCATGTTTCAATGTTTTCCAGAAGTGACCTTGAATCTTTGAAGGAAGTTGCAGCAGAGCTTCAGGACAACTTGAATCGGACTGCAGGAAGTCTGACAGGGGATGATATATTTACTCGTGTTGACCGCTTGTTTGATGGGGAGAACACAGACCAAGAGGAGGCATACCGACTGCTTCTCAAGAGCAAAGCAAGGGTAAATGACCAACAGCTTTACTTCCAATGGGACCCTGTGGGGATCCAAGGTTAAAATTGCTTCCCTACCACATCAGAGGCCACTATCCACATGGATAGTTTGTTTGTTTGTTGTTCAGCAATATTTCAGCTGTGAGTGGATTTCTTTTTGAAGAAGGTTATCGGCCACTGACCACTGATCAATTGTGTGTATCGAGATGTATACAGGGTATAGCAATCATTGTAACTTTATCCTCCAATTAAGCTTTTAGATTCTTACTACTGAGTGAGTGAGTGAGTTTAGTGTTATGTGACTTTTATGTGATTATGGTAAATGAGGAACAACCAGGATGATTGAGAGATGTATCATAATTATCAGTAATTTTATCCATGCTTAAATAATATTGAATTGTTAAGGAAGGACATATTTAGACATTTCCCACAATAACCATCAGGTTATACAAGCAATGGTCCAAGTGTTATTCCCTGTAGATGTTTATAAGCTTGGGAAAATATTCAGTTGATTGCAGTATGCTTTATCAGAATGCTATGTGTTATTTTACAGCACCCAACTGATGTTGAGTTCCTCTGGAGGCTGTCAAAAGCATGTTACCTGGTTTCAAGAATTGAGGGTTTAAGAGGAAATGACGAAAAGAAGAAAGAACTGCTGTACATGGCCCCGAGACAATGCCAGTGATGCTCTTAAACTTAATGATAACTGTGGAAATGCCCATAAGTGGTGAGTTTGTTCAAGTGTTCTTATTTCAAAGCCTAATTCAGTGATCTCGTGCAAATCCCCAGCTGTTGTAGCTGTATCACAAATAATATTATACTACAGTACACACACTAACAAATCATGCGTTGCTAGGAAACCCATTTCCTGTTTATCAGTGTGTTGGAAATTTAAGAGGATTGATTGATTCTTTGTGAAAGTATTGTATTCTTGATCAGAAATTTGTCACAGTTTTGTGCTTGCTCTGTACAATGTTTTACATGACATTTTAGTACTGTTACAAAACGATATGCTTGAAAAAATCCGTCTTTTCAGGTATGCAATAACTCTTGGGAGCGTTGGTGATTATGAATCGACACAGAACAAAATCAAGAATGGGTTTGATATTAAGGTAAAATGTCTTCTTTGTTTATTCCTGAATCCTTGAAATGACTTTAATTTTTCAGTGCACTTTTGTCAGACATTTTGCAAAAGAAATAAACTTAATCATGAGAGGCTATGTGATTTAGAAACAAATATCGGAATATGTAAAGAAACTATAATATTGATTATCCGTTGTCATGAATTTGATGGTGTCACCTCTTCTATTACAGAAACACATTGAAAAAGCAATAGAGCTGAGTCCCCCGGTGACCCTTCCAACCATCACATGCTGGGCAGATGGTGTTACAGTGTAAGTGACCCTTATCTCATACACAGTACTAGCACATTGGCAGGACTGGTAGTGAAGCAGTGTTTGAAATAAATTGTGAGAGTTGAAGGTTCCTTGCCTGACACTCTTGTACTTGTCATTATGGTTATGTTTAAAGCTCAAAATCGTGGAATCAAGACACAGTTTGCATTTCAGGAAATGTACTTTCCTCGTCAGTGACTATCTCACATTATCACATAAGATCCTGGTATACCGGCTTGCGACCGAGTTACGACCGGAAATTGGACTCTGTTCGCCATCACACGCGAAGATTCTCAATACGGTCGCAACTTAGTCTCAACACGGTCACCATGGTCTCAAACATGGTCTCTTTGATCGCAATTAATCTCCATCAGTTGCAAAAGAGTTTGCAAGTGTTTTTGACTGTCTAAAACACTGGCAAAAGTTGTACGACCGGTGACAGTCGCAAGAGGGTCTCAAATGCGGTTGCAATGAGTTCGCACAATTCAGTCTTATTGATTGTAACAGACTCCCCATTCAGTTGCATCAATGAGGAAGTATTTGACTTTTTAGGTGTACATGCTGTCCTGGATCGAGAGGAACCTTGCTGCCACGCTGTTTGCCACGCCTCCAACTGCCTCAGTAGATGATGCTCTTAAGGAGTTTCTTGAGGTACAGTATTAACAACCATGTTGTGATGGATTTGTTCCAACTGTTATAGGTATTAGTTTTTATCATCCAAAAAGTGATTATAGGTAATGTAACTTGGGTGAGATCACAGTGAAATTGAAAAACAACAACAACAATTCAGTGAATTGAATGAAAATAATACAATAATGTTTTATGTCTTTGCAAAGACATAACCATGAGTGCATAACTCACATGCATTTTAGCCTGAAGGGGTTTGTGCACTGTACTCGAGAACATGTAGTTTATTCTTTGGGCTTAATTGTTGTATTCTCAAATTGATTGATTGTTTATGAGATAACTTAAAGGTCACATGCAACGTAAAACACAACTTTGCAGATTCTGATACCTTTCGGTATGGACATACCGAAACAAATCGTCAAAAATGCAAATTCAACTTATAAAGTTGAAAAATAACGCGATGAAAAAAAACGCGTGAAATCGGAGTTCAAACGTTTCACTAATTTTCCCCAGACTTTTCTGGGGAAAACGGGTTTCAACAGCTGGGCTGCGCTCATAGCACGTGCGCAATTAAATAGGTTCGCGCAGCTTGGAAGCGGGTTGTCGGGTGAATTCTCGGTGAAGGCTTTGGTGTGAGCTATGTTTCTAATGTTTTGTTGATATCTCACAGGCGCGAGCTTTTTATATGTTATGACAGTAAATTAACTGTTTATATAATTTCATTTGTCTTTTTCACCACACGTTCTTCTTACCGAGTCACTTTCTCAGTTCGATACTTAAAAGCAATGTCATTATTTAGCGTTGACACAATTTCTAACTGTGATATAGATATGTCGTTGTCACAGACAAAACTCAATGTCTTGTTTTATTGACACCTGTGTGTCTGCCTGTCTGTCACTATCACTGACCACATGCAATTCGAACTTAACACCAATCAGGCTATACGCCATAAACAAAACGCATTGTTTATGGCCCGAGTTCGGTCTCTGTCACATTATGTAATTACACAGACAGGCAGGTGTGATACTTGAACACATGACATGTTATGATGTCTGTTGATTGCAAAATGTTATACACAAAAAATGAGCATGTATTTACAAAACCCAACATCTCTATATACACACACACAATGAGCCGTGAAGGCGGCATCTGCTAATGAACCAGCCGTTACACTTGAGTGCACACCCACCCGCTCTGACTGGGTTCGGTATCCCGGCTGCTTCGTTTCGAGGGAGGTAAACCCAAGTACAAAATATTGCACTTTTGATTTGCGATTATACGCTTATAATTTTGTTTATTTGTTTTTTCATAATCAGCAATGCATATTATATGTCATGAAGAAGTGATAATTGTGTTTTAATTATGTTTGATTTTTGGGTTGCATGTGACCTTTAATTATTGTTTGTTTTGTTATGTATTAATCAGAGTGACTGCGCTTAGACTAGAGATACTGTAATTGAGTTACAAAGTATGTTGGCATTCTAACCTCATGTTTTCAGGCTGAGAGGTTAAACCCTGGCAGATGGAAAGAAAACATGCTGTTCATTGCAAAGGTGATAATATGAAAATAATGTAGACTAAAAATGATCCTTCTTTGAATGGTATTTTAGAAGTCAGGGAGTACAATGCTTACAAATTTAAGGATGACATCTTTTTTCATTTTGTGCCTGCGATGTTTTAGTGCAGATTCTTGTACTGTTGTCTAGCAGGGACAGCTGGATACTGACAAATTTATGGACAACCTTTCGATACAGATTCTTGTATCCTGCTAGACAACAACAGTACAAGAATCTGTACACAAACACTGCACTCACAAAATAAAATTATTTTTTATCCATAAATTTGTCATTATTCTAATAATGATCACATCTACTAGAGAGCCTGTACTCACTGGGACTGGTTTAGAATCCTAGGTATGCCCAAAACATTCTTTCTCCATGTCGGAGGGACCTGAAGTGTTTAGGGTGGGCAGGTTTGAGGACTTTGTAGACTGTGATAACATTGAACTGCTTACCATATCAATCAAGACTTGATTATTTACTGGCCATAGTAATGTAGCTGAAATATTGCTGACTGCAGCAGAAGAGAAACAATGAGATTGACAGAATAATTCAAATTCCAAACCGCTCAATCTCTCCATACAGCCGTGAAGTTCCGGGTTAGAATTGATCTTCAGTAACCCATGCTTGTCGTATGAGGCGACTAACAGGATTGGGTGGTCAGACTCACTGTCTTGGTTGACACATGTCATTGTATCCCAATAGTGTTGATCGATGTCCATGCTGTTGATCCCTGGATTGTCTGGTCCAGACTCGATTATTTACAGACCGCCGCCATATAGCTGGAATATTGCTTAGTGCGGTGTAAAACTAATCTCACTCACTCACTCAAGCTGTCCCTAAAACATTGTCCATCTTTGCACTCACATGTTCTGTAATGTTCATAGGTCAGTGAGTAATTGTTCATGACAGAAAACTTCATGCATGACATTGTTGAAACAGAGTAGACTAAAACATGTGAAGCTGGTCCCTCCTCCTCTGCTCAGTGTAAGTAATTATTGTTTTATCATCATGCAGTTGAAATGAATAATGTCAAGAATTTGTGTGTGTCTACAGAGTTATATTGAGAAGAGAAAGTACAGTGAGGGCACAGAATGGCTGGAGAAGGCAGAGCGAATTGAGGTCAAGAGTGCTGACGTAAGTGGACATATTAATTCCCATAAATAGAGGATATATTATATGAGTGCCCATGTCATACTATGTTTACGACACAAGTGCCTGAATGTTGGCATACCGATATTTAGGCATGAGTGTTGTAAACATATAGTATGATATGGGCACAAATATAATATTTTGTTTATTACCAAAGTCTTCAAATTGAGGAAAATAAACCCAAATCTACTTTCAAACATAGGCTGGCTACCCGCCGTCGCCGCATATAGAATGCAAGGTCACAGAAGAAACGTGACGTCATAGCATTGTTCATGATGTCACGTCAACATGACAAAGTGATATTTTGCCCTAGGGCATCGTATGAAAAATATGAACCCCTATATTTTTGCCCTTGTCCTTGTAGGTAATAATGTTATCTACTACTACATACAGCTTGAACACCTGAAGGGGTGGTGGGGTAGCCTACTGGTTAAAGCATTTGCTCATCATGCTGAAGGCCCAGATTCGATTCCTCACATGGGTACGATGTGTGAAGTCCATTCCTGGTGTCCCCCGCCGTTATGTTGCTGGAATATTGCTGAAAGCGGCGTAAAACTAAACTCACTTGCACACCTGACAATGTTATATCATCCTTTGATAATGGCCTGTTAATTTCCAGTATTTTTGCATGTCTGGAAGAAGGCAACATGTCTTCATACTGGCAGGTAAAACTGTATACAGGGGCAACTGTCAGATTTGTTTGTACTGAGTTGTGCTATTAAACAAATATTACAGACTACCATCCACCTTTGTCTCATTTTCTGCCTTGCTTTTCTGTGAGTCAGGTTTACATCTGGTGAAAGGGAGATAACTCATTCTGACTTCATGTACAGTTGCCCTTTTCATGAAGACAGCATGGCCAGCTATTTAGTTATACTGTTGTTTTGAAGTAAACAATGTATGATATTTTGTTGTTGTAACAAAGGCTTAAGAACTAATTCTAACTGTACCTTGATTTATGAATATGTAAGGAGTAAGTGGAAATAATTGAGCCATTATACAATTGAAATGTAAATGTCCTATTGTATTTCTGTGCTTTTGGACACAATGGGGTTTGCAGATAAATATAGCTCCCCAATAAAACCATACTTCTTGCATACTGATAGATGTTATTGTGTGGGAAAAGTGGATATGCCGAAGTATTGACTGTTTGGGGATTTTGGGTCAGAATACAGATGCCAAGCAATCTTGGCTAGTCAAAAGGGGCAACTAAGAGGATCTTTACATCTTTCAGTGCCTAATGATTATTTGTTTGAATCTCATCTTCATCGTTATTTTCCTGATTTGCCAGGACCATGTTATGGGTTTCACCAAACTGGTATACGTTAAATACCTTTGTCACTTGGGCTTTCTGCACAGACAGATGTGCTGTGATATGATTTAGGTACTATTCAAAGTGCTGTAATCAATCATTCACTCCAAGATGCCGAGCACCAGGGTTCGTTTCCCCACATGGGTACAATGTGTGAAGCTTATTTCCTGTGTCCCCTACCATGATATTTTTGGAATATTGCTAAAACTCAGTAAAAGAGGCGTAAAAACTCCCTTCCTCCCTCCCTTCCTCAACTCCTCTCCGCTCCACTCCACTCTGCTCCACTCACTCACTCAGGGCGGTTTGGTAGCCTAATGGTTAAAGCGTTCGCTCATCACGCTGAAGACCCGGGTTCGATTCCCCACATGGGTACAGTGTGTGAAGCCCATTTGTGGTGTCCCCCGCCATGATATTGCTGGAACATCGCTAAAAGTGGCGTAAAACTAAACTCACTCACTCACTCACTCAACTTGATGCTGTATACTTTACATTGCAGGATGAAGAACACCAGTCTGAGATCCAACAACTGCTGGCCAAGTACGGGAGATAATGTTATGACTGATAGGGACATGCATAATTATGGGTTGATGTATGTAAAGGAAATCCTTAAATCTTGTCTGAGACATGTATGCCACATAACCTTTCTTTGATTAAGAAAACACTTCAAAGGGTCAGTGACCCTGAGGTCAGAAATATTATGTTTTGTAATTTTATGATGGTAGAGTATATTGTACACTTTTTCCTTCTACGAACTTTGATACATATTCTTGTAAATGGAAATGGTGACCATTATTATTTATTACTTACTTTATCCTGTTCAGAGTGACCAGAGACTCAATGACTATTTAACTAGAGTTTAAGAAATGGGGAAAAAATGTATCTATCAAACAGATACTGAACTAATTTTCTTACAATACTGTGTATACTAAAACAAATGTTCCATACTTTACCATGTTTATTGAGGAAGGCATGAGCAGTGGTTCAGAAGAGCTAACGAACAAAGATGTCAGTATGAGTGTTCTTTTATTTTATCTCACTGACTCATAACCAGTTATCATCAGCTAGGTTTGTTTAGTCGTGAACAGAATACATGTTTAAGCCAGTCTTGCATGAAGCAGTGATACTCTCATATTGTTTGGTCAGACCAGATGCTCAGGTTTATGAAACTGCAGGTTGATAGGAGTATTACTTTACAGGAGGGTCATGATTCAGTTTCAGTAAACAAAGGTTGTGAAGGTACATGGTTTGCTATATGACGATAACTGTATGTTTGAGCTCGGCAATTGATTCCTCTGGATAGTCAGTTCATCATCAGTGTTCACGAATAGCGTCTGACCCTCAGACAAATCCGGCAGATTGCCCAACGGTCCGATAGAAATCTACAACCCGCCGGCCCCAGTTTCTGACAGTATATTTCACAATGACTTTGACTGAAGTTGTTATATGTGACATGTGACACTTGTTTGCTGTTTATAGATCTTATGTTTGTTAATAATTTCATTGCCAATATAAGAAATATTAAATCTGAAATGTGTGTTTAATTTTATTCTATGGGTCCTGTGAATTTTCAATGGGTCAGACAGACATCTGAAACTTACAGGACCGAAAGTCCTGTTACTTTGAAACACCATTCGTGAACACTGCATCATGGATTAACCATTCAAGGCAGACTGAGACATAAATATAACTTTACACAGGCATTGTGCATTAGCTTGTGATACTGCACATCTCAATAATGTACCCTGGTATAATTAGACCTTCTAATTAGTTGGGGACGGGATCGGGTGGTCAGATCCGCTGTCTGGCTTGACACATGTCATCACATCCCAATTGCGTAGATCGATGTTCATGCTGTTGATCCCTGGATTGTCTGGTCCAGATCCGATTATTTACAGACCGCCGCCATATAGCTGGAATATTGCTGAGTGCGGCGTAAAACTCAACTCACCCACTCTAATTAGTTGGGAATATGCTACTCAAAATAAGTTAAGGATCAGCCGACTCTGTCACATTACTAAAGATTATGTGTCATGGCTTTACAAGTTACTGCCGTAATGTAAAAACATTGATCCTTAACTTCTTTTGAGTAGTATATGGTAGATAAGAGTTTTACGATCAGTTGCTACGATCTTGCCTGCTCTCAGGTGTTTTTACAGGTGTTTGACAAACAGGAGTTTATATGCATAATGCAGGCCGAGTCTTTAATGGTGTGAATCTTGTTTAGGAGTAAGTGATTATATTAGTGATAGAGTTCTGATGATATTAGTATTCATGCTGTTGTATGTCTTAGTTCTACAGATAGACTGCTGATCAGAGGTGTAGACTTTCTGACTGTGTTTGAAATAAGAGCTGGCCAGTAGGCCCGTGGCAGATAGATATCATATCGGGTAATATTTATTTGCATGTCCATTTATTTGTCACAATAAGCAGCAGGTTCCCAAATCAGGGCCTGAAGAGTTTAGTGAGATTCTGATACAGTTATACAGCTTGTGGGGCCAGGCAGCCCTGTAATTGTTTTAGTTCAAACACTTTCTTCTGAATGTTGTGGATGAAGATACATTATCATTGTCGCAGGTTGAATTGCTAATCATAGACCTCAGGTACCTTTAATGAGTCTGATGTTCACGATGAAAGTGTCACTGACTTAGAGTATTGTATTACCAAAGATATTCTTGACATTTCCAAAGTGAAATTTAGTCAATAATTGTTATGTATATAACAATGAGTTGAACGCCTCACTGATCTAGTGATGATAGATAATGACTAGTCTCTGAAAATCACAAAGGAAATCAATTACCTGTAGCATATGACTAAAAGTAAAATGATGCTTGCATACAATTTACCGTTTTTTTAATGTGACATGACTTTGGGCTCAAATTGATGGGATAGTGTTATGGCATAATTTATAGAGTATTTTTAGAACCAAATGCTATTTGTATAGTTATTACCTTGAACGGATTATTTTGATTCCCAGTTTTGTAATAACGCTGTGATATCAGTGTGTAAACTGATATAGGTATTTTTCAGTAGCTCATTTTGTTGTGATTTAATATTTCAATAGTAATACAAACATCCCAATGAAAAGATGTTTCAAGATTTATTGGTGAAATGGCATACTCTTTGGATCCCACAAAAGAGAATATGTTTTGCTTTGACTGGTAGTATGTTTGAGGGTGTTTGAAGTTGTTGTTTTTTTTCTCATTTTTTAAGTTATTACTTCTGAAAGGTCAGCATTAGAAAAATATGAAGACTTTGAATGAATCACAACTGATATTCCTATAACTCGTATTGACTCGGATAGATGTCAGGCATCAGATCTATGGTGGTTCTCTTATCTGTGCTGTGTATTCTTTCCTACCCAAACAAATAATTAAGAGTTTTATCCAAATTATATCACAAGTAGAAACAATCCCAGGGTTAAGGGTTCCCCAATTGTATGTGGTGTGTGAGTGAGTGAGTTTAGTTCTAAACCACTTTTAGCAATATCACGGCAGGGGACACCAGAAATGGGCTTCACATATTGTACCCATGTGGGGAATGGAACCCGTGTCTTCAGCATGACGAGAGAACACTTTAACCACCAGGCTACCCCACCGCCTCTAATAGCATGTGGTACTATACAAGTGAAAGAAGCATTATAAAAAGGTTGAGCCTTGCTCATCTAGACACTTGAGTTTTCTTAAGTATGAAATATTGTCCAGATAAGGGCATGCTATTGGTAACCGATATTCACTTTCGGAATCCATAAGCTGGAATTCCAGATAAAAAGTATCCGTTTTCGTTGTATATGTTTTGTTTCATGAAATATTGTCCAGCAGGTTTACACTGTATATGACACCATATTAAGTATGTACATTTCTGAATGAATTTGGCCACTTCCAACAGATTAGACCCCATAGACCTGATGCAACACAAACATTTCATTGTCCTGGTGAACAAAGGCGTAAACCACAAGCTGCAAGAACCTGCCATGTCCATGAGTAAGTGGACACAAGGTAGATATTGAGGCAGCAGCTCAACATTCCAGTATTACCTTCTACCCTTTGCATTGTGCCACAAAATGATTTCAGGGTAACCCTGATTGTTATCCCTATGCTTTAGCATAGAGATGCTGTAGACCCGAGATCGTTTCATGGAACCACGCCTCCCATGTGAAAGTTGTAGGTTTGGCTTTTAGCAATTGTTCACGATGATTGTTCTGAGATTATCTTGAATGTTTTGTTTGATATCATATACATCCTACATGATTGTTTCCATGTTACCACCAGTGTCTTACGGTGGGCAAGTTGTTGAAGAATGCTTGTGCGGGATGTATGAGTAATTTGTATGACTGTTATAATGTGTAGTGAGATACATGGGGACACTCAGATCTCAGCAAAATCTAAATATTTAATCTCCTAGTCTTGATTATATCAGATCTATGCACAAGACAAATCACAAGCTGTTCAGTGATTACCAGGGGTTTATCTAGATCTGCTTAGAGGCTGATACTCACGGAAGTATGTCAGTAAGAACTCCCAAACTTGAATTAAATTCTTCCCCATTCTGTACTCAGCATCATTATTGAAGTATCAAGAAGACATGTAAAAGAGTTTTAAAAAGTGGAAGGACATGTTGCTTGTGTGTATGTCACACTGACTTGATGCTTTACAAAACTAGAAAACTAAAAATACAATGACAAATGCAGGATTGAAGGTGATGAAAAAATTCTACCCAAAATAAATGGCTGAATGGAAACCCTGGTTTATCCCATGCACAAGTAGCAGTAAATATGGCTATAAAATGATTTATTCCAGATGCAACTGAACCGCACAAATTGAACATGCTACATTTAATAAAGAATGATCTCTCATTATTGTCATGACCCCTCAAAAATGGCGCTGAGAAATGTATGACAAGTGCAAGACAGTGTAGAGGTGACCTGTGTTTTACTACTAACAGGACCACTTAATAGGAAGAGGATTATTGCATAGTTTAACATTATTACATTGAATAAAGTGTGAAAAATCGATGTTACAATACCTCTAAATTAAGGAAATTGTACTCCAACAAACAGCTCCAAGTTTTGAACAAAATAGATATGTTTTATCCATGTGCTTCTAGTTATGAATTACCCTGATCACAATAAAATATATGTTGTACATAAACCAGCACCAGTGACATGAGAGGACCATGCACACAAATTAAAGACATTCACCATTTCATTTAATATAGGCTATGATATCCTTACTATTATTTTTTTAACCAAGAGCCAAACTACCATAAATTGTAAATTAACTTGACAAGGCATCAAGCCTTTACTGTCAGAAATTACCTGTAATCAACTTATTGTAAACTGAAAATACTAGTAGATTTAATATAAGGAAGACGAACTTGTGCACTGTTTCAATATTTTCTTGACACCTGTTGTATATCTTGCTGCTGAAGAGGTCATGGCCCTCTGGAACATCACAGTAACACTTTTTACAGCACTATATTTGTACTTTTAAGACAAAAATAATTTCAAACACATTAGATTAAGAGGTTTGCTTTTTCCATTTGGTTTGGTCTGAATTTAGCGAAAAAAGGTGAATGTGGTTAAATATGTTTTCATATTGATTTTGTGAGAATGATTGTGATTTTAATACATGGGTATGATGTTTTTGTTTGTGAAGGCTGATTAAGTGCTGTTTGATTTCTACACTGTGTTCAGTGTGGGCCACTCATCTAGTGTATTACTGATATAAACTGGGTATCACTTATCTGTGTGTTTCTTGTCATGTACACATCACACCAGAGGAGGGACTGTGTGAGTCAGCTGTGTTCTAGCAACGTTGACCTATCATCTGGGGTTGTATATCTACGAGTATAGAACATTCATGGTGGTTAATAATAATGGATGTCTATGGCGCCTGGTATCCAACTCGAAGCCCTTCAACTGCTCACGAAGTCAGTCGTGCATTTGTTCAACTGCTCACGAAGTCAGTCGTGCATTTGTTATGCCTTATTTTCCATCCGTTTGAGTTGCTCAAAACGCATTCACAATCTGATTATTATTACCCCGGATAACCCAAGCTGCATGTGAGGCGCTTGTAGGTTAATGGGCACATGACTTATCCCACCGGGTACCCATTTTCTGCTGGGTGAACAGAGTCAATTTTGAACAGACTCACTTGCCTGATGTGACCACATGTATCACATGTGTTCCCGATGAGAACATGCCACCAGCAACATATGCTGGCCCTAAGAATCGACAAAATGGATGAGGTAGTCAGGCTCGGTAACTTGGGAATGGCTTGTTGTCTCACCCCATCATATCGTTGCTTATTATATCAACCACTGGATTGCGCGGCCCCGACAGGTTTCGTCATCTCTCTGGAATACTGATGAGTGAGGTGTCATACAACACACCGTAACCTTGGTTGAA